ATCCCACAGCGGAGGCAGCTGCAAATGAAAAAAGTTAGACAGAGGTACAAAATACTCAGGAAACCAGAGACAAACCAGGTCTGTGGTTCAAATCCCTGTCTGTGCTTGCATCCATCACCTGTAAATTCTCATTGGTGACTGAGAAATATTGTTTTGTATTTACTTCATTTGATCCTCTCATTGGATTATCTCATAATTATGACTTTTTTCTATTGACTATGACTTTTTATCTCATAGTTATAACATTTTTCTTATAGTTTTGATTTTGTTTCTTATAGTTATGACTTTTTTCTAATTGACTTTTTTCTTATAATTAAGACTTTTTATCTCAAAGTCATGACCTTTTTCTCGTGATTTTTACTTTTGCTCGACTGATTTTTTTTCTCATAATTTAGACATTTTTCCTCGTAACTATGCCTTTATCTCATAAATATGACTTTTCTTCTCATGACTATGACTTTTTATCTCATGAGCATGACTTTTTTTCTTGTGGCTATGACTTTTTATCTCATAGTTATGTTTTTTTTTTCTCATGACTATGACTTTTTATCTCATAGTTATGTTTTTTTTTCTCATGACTATGACTTTTTATCCTTAATTATGCCTTTTTTCTCATTAGTATGGCTTATGGTCCCATAGTTATGATTTTTTTTCTCATGACTATGACATTTTGTCTCATAAATGACTTCTTTTCTCATGACTTTGACTTTTATCCTTAATTATGACTTTTTTTCTTATTACTATGACTTTTTATCTACAACTATGACTTTTACTTTTATGACTCATACTTTTTATCTCATACTTATTACTATTGAACTCATGATTATGACTGTTTTTGTCTGACTTATCACAAAATTGGACACTGATCAGTATTTTAAATGTCAAACTTTATAACTTATAATTACAACATTATATATGGAGCTTCTTGTTATAAATATTAATTAAAAGTTAAAAGCCACCTACAAGACAATTTACGATGCTTTTTAACACTATTCATTTTATTTTTTTAATTCTTAGGAGAGGGTAATGTCCACCAACATCCAAGGAAATCCATCAACATGGGATCCAATGGAAACCAACTCACTCATGGAGGCAGCCTCAAGTGGCCAATAGAGGTACTGCAGTCTTTGACATTAAAACAATTAATACTTTTTAGAAATGTTTTCTTTAACACTAACCCGTGTATATATACTGCCAAGAGCATGCCAAACCTGTAGGTGGCAGTGTAGCAAGAAGCGCAAGCCTACATTAGTCAATCAGAATCCCGCATAGAAGCAACAACAACAACAACATCACTTCCTTCTTTCTGGTGCACAATCTGCCGACAGCTACCCACATTTCCATTTTTCTCTGTTTACATGCAAACAGAGTTTTCCAAAATCTCCACTCTGGCTGGAGTTTTTAAAAAGCATTGTTTTCTGGGGCGAATTCTCTGTTTGTGTCTAAACGAAGCGTGCAAACGATGGTTAACATCTTTGTTTTTAAAATAACCGGGTATGTATAAACGGGGCCTCAGTTCAGCTCCAGGAGGTTAAAATATGAAGCTTATGCAGTTGCAAAAGCAGCTGTAAATGGCACCGAGTTCGAATCATACATGCATAAAATTTCAGCCATGGTTAATTTTTCATTCTATAAACGTCGTCTATATGCACTCGCCTTTAAAATATGCATATAGTTTAACGAAAGCCTCTCCCAGCTCGATGAATCACCTAAGGAAACCTACAGATTCACAGCAGGGAGGGAGAGCTGTTTACATCTCTGTTGATGCACACTTTCATGACAAGGTCTTTCGTGCCTCTGCAGACATAGACTCGTGTTGTTCAGGAGGTAGAGCCTGGCAGAGACTTGCTCGTTGCAGCTCTGTTGATCACCGGCAGCGGAAAAAGTAGATAAGAAACGACAACACAGTCTCCAAGATAACACAGGCTGGATTTAGGTGACAATAACAAAGACTTCAGGCTGTTCTCTTCTGGAGTTTCTGCAGAAAGAGCATTAAAAACAGCATCAAAGGTCAGGAGATAAAATGCCAGCGTTAGCTGTGGGGGGCCTCCCCCAAAACCCAGGCCCCAAACACAAACACGTAACAGATCGTGTCTGTAAAAAACCTCAGATCAATTATTCATCCACTGAAGGAAATACAACTGGAGACACGGTGAGAGTGAAACAAAAGCAAAGTTGGAGTTATATTCAGACGCACGAATCATACTGAATAACGTGAAGACAAGGAGACAGGAAATATACTGCTCTGTGTTTACAAACAGAAAGATCTGCCGTGATCCTGCATGTGATTATTTCAGTTTCTTATATCTGAAAATCCCTGAAAGACACAAACTGCATTTTTTCTCCTCTATTTTAACTTTATTGGTGTAAAAGACGTTCCCAGATACGATGATGTGACCCGTCTTCGCTTGATTTCTGTAACACAAACAGAGAATAGGGGATGAGTCTGCACATGTGTAAATAGGGGCCACCCTTTACTTCTCATGCAAAGTTCCTGAAAATTTTCAGAAATTACCCGAAATGAGCTGCATGTGTGAACAAGAAAAACCAAGTGTTTTTTGAACCCCACCTTCACGCTGTGCTTTTCCTGCAAGCCGCTGATTTCATAACAAGTCTTCTGCAGACAGGAAACTACGGAAGTGTATTGCATTCACCAAAAATAAAAAATAAAAAAAACTCCTTTTTTTCAGTCTTTTTTTTTGTTTGTTTGTTTTTCAGACTAATTTTTTTATATTTTTTTAAGTAATTTTTTTTCTGTTTTTTAGACTGCTTTCTCCTTTTTTTTTTTTTTTAACCTTTTTTTGTTTTTCAGACTTTACAGTTTCCTTTTTTGGTCATGAATGCAATACGCTTCTGCAGTAAGCAATGAGGGTGTGTGAACACCTGAAATTTTTCTGACATTTTCCGAAGTGCATGTCTGGAAACAGCTAAAGGCTACAAAGAAGTACATCAGCCTGACATGACACAATGCATGCAGGTACAAAGTCATGTCATGGACTTTTAACTTCTTATTTGATAGGACAGCTTAAAAAAACAGGAAAGTTGGTGATTAAGTGGGAGGAGGATCTGAGACCGCTCCATGACTCGACTTTTTTCACATCTCTGCCCGAGCTCATTAACAACAACACACATGAACATAAACATACTCAGTGACCTGGTTTTGAGTGATGCTGGTGTAGGTGCAGCTGAGCACGATCACCGGCCCATCTACAAATAATAGCACAGAAGAGACTTGCCTCTTTTTTCCCTGACCCTGTACAGCAGCTGATTTTAGATCGAGTCTCTGGGGAAACCACCGTAACCACATCAGGGAAAATCTACAGTAGTGTGCGCTGTTGAGGAGATTTGAGATTTGGGGGCTGCAGCAGATTTCCGTTTTCTTTTTTTCATGAGTTCAGTGTTTTCCTTGTGCTGTCTAATACCTCTGTAGTCCTCTACATAAGCAGCCAAAAGTGTAAAGGCCACAGGAGAGCAGAAAAACACATCCACACTGTCACCCCCTCTGACCCGCCTGCTTTAGAAGTCTGTCTGAGCCTTTATACACCAAACAAAGCATGAAAACACACACAAACACACACATCAGGGCAGCTCTGAGACCAACACTTACACTGTGTTGCTGGAAACACAAGGTTCAGACTTCTTCTTCCCCTGCCTTTTGGAGCAGCTGGCAGGTTAAGTGTCTTGTTTAAAGGTATTAAAGATCGCTGACAGAAAACAAAGTGATGCTTCTCACTCATGTAAAGTGCAAAAAAACAAACTTCACACAGATTTCTGGCCTGCGGACGGACTTTCACAACATGCTGCAGCTTTGAATCAGGCAAAGGAAACCAAAGTTGATGATAGTGTGATGAGAAAAAGCTCTAATAGTTTGTAAAGTACAAAAAAAACACCTTCTGCTGTTGCTGCAGATATTTCCCACAGGCTGCACTTTCTTTAAAGAGAGACATAACACCAAGAGTGTGACACAAGAGATTCAGAAAGTGCAAAAGTTCAAACCTGTGATAACAGACAACCAAACCCTGACTCGCAGAGGTGAGATCGATGTGAAAATTACAATTAAAGGGTGTCAAGCCCGTTAAGAAGTTCTGCATTACTTTCTCCGTCAGAAAGCACTTGACTTTTTGCACCGTCATATTCTACGGGAAAAAACTACAATAACCCCGACTCTCCTGCACAGGCGGCCGCACTTAAATCACTAAATGACAGACAGTGAGCGTGTTAACAAGCGAAGAAAAGTCTGCACAAGAACAGATGAGACGAATTTGTATTATCACGAGAAACTAAACACTGCAGGGCTTTCTCACTTTTAAGACCGGAGCACAGTGAACCGTACGATGAGTCCTATGACTTTTTGCAAAGGTGATCCTCGTGTGATTGCACATGAATCCGTGGGTTCTTGTGAGTTCTCGCGATTCCTGCTGTCCGTAATCCACCACGAAATTCGCCTCACAGACGGATCCAGTAGGAATTGGCGGATGGCGAAAATAGCTGCTGTTCCGGATCGGAGCCGTTCCGGATGCGGTGGAAATTCCAGGTAACACCGAGTTAGACACCCCCTGGAGAGATGAATGTTGCCAACTGCTTGCTTCTCTAGTTATACCAACTTTAGTAACAACCGCACCATAGCAATACACAGCGGTTTACATCTCCACGCGCAAACCTCAACCAAAACGCCACTCTATATCCACAAATAATGCTCAGAACAGCACCTAACTTCATCAACAGGACATATAGGGTCACAGACATAGTACTAGACACCAAACATCTTACACAAACACAACTTACCCACTCTCCTCCAGCAGCTGCTTGTTTGTGGGGGAGCCCTGACGAGTTGATCACCGAGTGAGCGATCTCAGCCCCTCCGCCAAAGGCTGCTGGAAGAGAGTAGGTGACCGCTGTGTATTGCTATCATGCAATCATTACTAAAGTTGGTATAACTAGAAAAGCAAGCGGTCAGCAACATTCATCTCTCGAAGGGGTGTCTAACTCAGTGTTACGGTGTGTTTGACCCTAAATTAATTTTACGACGGACTATCCCTTTAAGAAAGCTCAGAAATGGTCGTCAAATTTGATGCACTTATCTCAGAGGTGTTTGAGTGTGGATCACAGTTAGAGCTGTTTAAGTTCTCCAAATTGCATTACTACTATGATAATCTCTGTTCTGTTTCATAATCTGCAAAACCCTGAATTACGTCGCATTGATGGTTGAGTTTGCACCACTTTTACCGCACGAAATTGCACAGCAAGAATGCGTAGTGCTGGTTTGTTTGTAGTTTTTACACACAGGGTTTAAGTGGCAATCTTTGTTGTTTGGGGATGAGCAATTTTGGAAAAACTGTAAAGGTAAAGCTCCTGAAACTTTCAGGTATGCATGTCCATCATTGGCATATCATTCAAAAACGCTCTTTCTTAAAAATGTCGATACCTTTCTCTTCCTCTCTTGCGTCACAAGTATCAGTTGCATTGCAGTATTAGTTCTCTTATGTAACTCCACAGTCGTGTCGGACAAAAGCCAGTGGGAGCTTTTTCTAACCTCGCAGTAAGTGACAAGTATTTCTTCAAAGAATCACAGGAATCGAGGACAATGCTGTGAAGCTCAGAGGGAGAATCACACACAGCAATCCTTCTATTCTCCTTCAGCCCTCTTCTGAACTAATGAAGAGTTATTACTGAGGTTAGTGGACCACAGGAAAACCCTGTCGCTGTCTCTTTTGCTGAGGAATTAAGTTAATTGACTGTATTGGGGATTAGGTGCGAACAGAACCAAATCAATCTGCTTTTAGAGGCTCAAAGTCATCCAGCATCCTTAAATTGAAGTATTACTTTAGTTTTGTCACTTTTTGCAACTTCTCATGGCAATGATGCATCTATGCGGTGATTTTTTCCTTTGTGGTACCATTCATCGTAAACTGAGCCACGACTCTAAAATCCCAGACTGTCTTTTTTCAAACGGTTTCCCAGGGGTGATAATTCTGCACTTACACTCATGCTGCAGTAATCAATAAGTCATTCCAGTGTGCCGACTGCTCGGAGACTGATAAAAGACTTGTGAAATAAAACATACTTAAAGTCTGCTGGAGAGCACACTACGTTTATTTTTAATGATTATCAGGGGGACGGTTGGTTTATGAAGCACAGACACACCAAAATGTGGGACTTCTCCATCTTCATCTACAACTCAATCAGTTATTCAGGATCTTACTGCATTTTTACAAAGTTGTCCCTTTTGAAATATGGGTAAGTTAAAGCTCCTGTGAGAACTTCCTGTTTGTGTCCATGTTGGTGTCGTAAACGCGTCAATTTTTACGTTTGCAGCGAAAAATAAAAGGTTAAAAAAGGCTGTTTCTTTAGCGTGCTGTACTGACCCCCCTTAGTGGGATTACAGGTATTAAAAGGTCCGGTTTAGGGGCGTGGATGGCCGAGTGGGTTAGCGCACCCCGTACACAAAGACCACAGTCCCTGCAGCGGTCGCGGGTTCGACTGACCATGTGCTGCACGTCCTCCTCTATCTCCCAACATTTCATACTGTCCTATCAATAAAAAATGGCAAAAAGGTTCAGAAACAGTTATTCAAGCTGCTGGTCGTCTTATTTGCTTTTATGGCTCAAACAAACCAACAAAAAAACACCCACAGGAACTTTAAAGTGACTCTGGCCTTGTCCACATAGAGAGAAAAACGATATATGGCCATTTCATTTTGAAAAAGTTTTCCTTAAAGACAGCATCGTTTCGGGAAATATCGGCATAAACACAAAACCACAAAAGAAAACGATGTAGTGAATATGCCAAGCCAGTAAGTGGCGCTGTAACACTACCCCAGTAATGCACCAAAAGCTAGAAGAAGAGTATGAAGCGTGTGTAAAAAGGTTGTTTTAGCCGGACTCATGTTACGTAATCGTTTCAAGAAAGATCTGGAAAGGATCCACATAGACACGAAACAGTAGTCGTATATGGATTTATACACTCTGGGACCTGTTTTCAAGAAGTGTCGTTTACAGTCACCCGAAATGCTTTTTCTGTGTGGATGAAACAACAAACAACTTTTTTGTTTACTCGTTTACTTTACTGGTTGTTTATCTCATCTCTCAAGTTTGAGTATCTTGAAGCCACTGTGAGACTGTAGGAGGGTTAAGAGACTTCCACTGCAGAGGTCAGCGACGTGTTGGTGCACGAAAGAGGAGCGAGTAAATGCAGTCGATGTGTGCAAAATTATGTGTACTGATGGTCTTTTTTTGATAGTGAATCACATGCCAGGAGCAACTCATCTAAGGCTAACAATAGGGGTCGGCAAGGTAGCGTTTCAGTTTGATGTCGCTTGATATTGCCAAATACTCCCATTTCTCTGTACCTTAAAAAAAGTAACAGCCAGTCTCTTTGTGTGTAAAGTATCGTGTTTATATTTTTTGAAATGGAGAAGTTTCAAGTTTGAGATAAGTTTTAATTACAGCCCAAGTTTGACTCACAATCTTTTTAATTCACCAGTACAGTGGAAATGTTGACTCGTCCAGTGAATTAGATGGATGTTAGATATGATTCGGTAACAAACTGAGAGAGAAGCTTAATCTGGGTTTGCACTCTTGTTCAAATTCACTTCCAATCCAGACAAAAGTTTGTGATTTACACACAGAAAATAAACATCATTTACTCTCCTTTCCTCCAGGATTGCATACCCCAACATTAAAAATACACTTGTTCACAGTGTACTCTCTTTCCAGTGTTAAAGCTGAGTCAATAAACCCTCTCTATCCATTATTTCCAGGCTAGACTTCCTGTCAGTCCAAGTGTTTTTCTTCTTCAGGAAACAAAGTTTATTTGGTTACATCAGCTGCTCACGCTCCATAGTTGAATTGTTTCTGCAGACTGAGAAGTGTGAGAGCGGCACACCTCTTAGTTCCTGCTAACAGAGCAGAAAGACGGAGGAAGCTACAGACTCGGTTTGACTCAGGAGGGACTTTTAGACTGCACACTCTGACCCTGCAAAATACTCTGTTTTGGGATGGATAGACGAACCTAGACTTCGTAGACCACACTGAAAATCCAACAAAGTAATGTCAGTCCTGTCTGCAGCAGCTCTGCGCACGTATTCGGCGACTGAAGGCTGCTTTAGCGAGGTTGAAAGACTGAAGTTAAATGAGATGCTTCAACCAGTAAATTGAATTTTTCCTTTAAACTAGGAAATTTTAAACTTTAGTCTTTGCTTGATTAATTGACGTCTGCCTCCCGCCTTATCACAAAGTTTTTAGGCAGGGATTCAACTTGGTGAGATTGATCCCGGCCACCTTTCACTCTCTTTGACATCCATCTCAGAGCTAGTTCTGGCGGGTCTCCTCTGCTCCGTCTGTACACAGGTCTTCAATAAATAATGTTCACGCTGAACTGATGGGCCGTGTTTTAGAAACAAGGCTCTGAACTCTGCAGCGACCTCCTGTTTCATCACTCTGACTCATTCATTATTCCTTTGTGAGCGCAGAGCTGCGGGAGGCTCAAAGCAGAAACGAGACGGATCTGAACCGAGCCGGTCAGCCGTGTGTTTGAACAGAGCCGCTCTTTTTGACAGAGATGAAATTCAAAGAAGGAGAAACACTGCAACAGGAATGAGTATCGACTGAAAAAGCCAATAACAGCGACAGAAAGACTCGGTTTATCAAGACTGTCTGTTGTTTTCACTCATGAACCTGTAAGGCGTGGAAAAGGAAGTCTCCCACACCCAGTTTGTTAACCTGTGGAGGGAAACTGTCACCGCTCACCGTGCGTCACTAGCTTTAAGCTGAAATCTTCAGGGAGAGCTTGGCTGTTTGTTTGCTGTGGGCTTTAACGTTCACGCTCATCCTGTTTGATAAACAGGCAGGGATTATCATCGCAGCCAAATATGCTAACAGCTCCGCTAACATCCACACAGGAGTCGTCAGGGGGGCTGCAGGTTTAGAGACGAGTGAACGCTGTTTGACCAGCAATGAGCGTCTCTTCATTTATTCATTCTGGAAAACAGATTTGTTAAAGTTTTTAAAGAAGATTTATGTTTGATATTTACAGCGTTAATCTTATCAAGTGAAAGTTTTCAAATGTCTCTCAATCTGGAAACTCAGCATCAATTTATTTTAGTGCTGATAAAACGGTGTCAATGCAAGACGATAAACTAATAGGTGAAAAAGTTTGGAATAACCATTTTAGCAACCTAATTTAGGTGAGACAAAAGTCAAAATCTTAAAATAATAGTTTCAGATTACTGAAAATTCCCATAATCCCTGAGATGTAAGAGAATTCTGATTTAAAACTCAGAATTCTGAATTTATTTTACAAAAATTCTTAGAGTGATGTCAGAATTCTGAACTTTTATTCCAAAGTTCTAAGATTGAAGTTGGAATTCTAAATTTCTTTTATCATTTATCTGAGATTAATGTCAGAATTCCGACTTCAATCTCACATTTAATCAATATTCTGACTTTTTCTGTAAGAATTTTGAGGTTGAAGTCAGAATTTTCAGCTTTGATCCCAAATTTCTGAGATTTGAACTGAAGTTCAGAATTTTTTTATCTTTGATATGAGATTAAGTCAGGATTCAGGTTTTTTATTTTATTATGTTTAGTTTGAAGTCAGCCTGTTGTCTTCAAACTCAGAATTAAAATTTTAAAAAGTCAGTAATCTGAGTTAAATTGAAGAAATATTTGGAAAAGGAAATCAGCTGTCTGATTTTTATGACTGTCTGAGAAAACTTTATTGTCAGAAATTTTAGTTTTATTTCATGATTTCTAAGAAAAGAGTCCGATTTCTAAACCTCCTCTAATAAATCCACGATTTAAGTCCGAACTCTGACTCTTGACTTAAAATATTGACCTTTTTTAAAACACACTGACTTTAATCTTCTGTCTTTATTCAAATAATATTTTCAAAAGATGAGATTAAAGTCAGAATATGCCTCTAAATGTAGAATTTTGTCTTCTTTTTTTCAGAATTCAGAATCTTTCATAGATTTCTAAGATTAAAGTCAAAATTCCAAATTTCATCCTAAAATTCTAAGAAAAGTCAGATTTCTAAATCTCTCTTACAATTCTGATGCTTGACTTAGAATTCTGTCCTTTTTTGAGATTTCTGACTTTAATCTCAGAAAATTTAGAAAATGAATCAGAGTTCGTGGCCCCAGTCCTCTTCCACACATAAATACGATAATATATATATATTTTTTAAATCCACACAGGAGCTTTAACTTGGGAGCACCAGTGAAAATGACTGAAAATCACAGAGGAAATAATCACTTCATAAGAGGTGACTGAGTTCTTTAAGATAGCCTTTGAGTACGTACAGGTGACTGAACGTCGCTGTAGTAGAGCACATACACGAACCTCCTAAAACACATAAACAGTTTAAAGGTCAGACAGCAGAGATTCATTATCCTTTCCCTTTTCTCCTGCATTATAAATACTTTTTATATATTTACAACCAAAACTACGAGGAGGAGCAGCGGCTGAAGTCAATAATATGGTTACTGGAGGTAATGAAACCAGCTGGTGTCCATTTTTATTCCTGTCCAGCCGGGCATTAATAATAGAAAATCTGTAATTTAAAATATTCCAATTGATTCCTGTATTTCATTCAATACACTTTACCCCACAGCATGCTGCGTCTGCTGCACCACTCTGGATCTTTTCTGCCCTCTAGTGGAAAGATTTGGAACAGCTCTATTAAATATTGTTCACCAGGATGTGAGATTGGCTTGGATGTTTATTTTGCATAAATTTAATTATATGTTAACAAATTAAAAACTGTTTTTTTATTAGACTGAATTAAGTTTGGTCATAATTTGTTAAATACATTTCAGTCTTTGTGATTCCTTAAATAATTTGCCACCCTGTGCATAAGTGCACATCAATTTCCTTTATTATCTTTAGTAGCACATGCACAGTGGCTGCGTTTTTTTCCAGGAAATGCACCATCCCTGCAGGCCTACAGGAAGTGCATCCATAAATAGCACCGTTAGACCCCAGTGGGAACCTAACAGAGTGTGTGTGGAGCCCTGTGGGATCAAATCTGCCTCTGTTTTTCCAGTTACTTTCCAGCTGTGCTCTGAAAAACATCAGCCCACAAAGCAACAGAAGATTTAGCTGATACCCGCAGAATACGCAGCTGTTTCTAAAGCTTTGTCCTATTCAGTCACCTCAAAACAAAGATAAATCCACCCACGGAGATCCCCCACATGAATTCCTAATAATACGTATTGAGCAAAATTACAGTTTTAAGTTAGGACAGATTTAATCATCTTCCACAATGATTAGGGGAAAAAAATCACTTTTAAGGCCCCTCACACCACAGGATGTTTTGGTGAAATAACCTTCAGGACCGTCTGATAATTGGGCCCAGAAATGGCTTGACGTGTAGCCTGGTGCATACCCTACTTTAAAACCACCAGGACAAAATCAGCCATGAAATAAAAGGTACCGCTTTGTCCACAGGGGGGCTCCACAACCAACACTTACTAAATGTTCCTCACTGGCACTTTAATTGGCTGTGTGAATGGAGACATATTCAGTCGTAAACAGTACAGTAATGGGTTGTTGCGTCATTGTTTATACTGCTGTTTTTTTATGGCATGTAGTGAAAAAATAAATATGCAGAGAGTTTAGCTTTCCTACTTCAAAAACATTTATTAAAAATCCATTTCAGGTGCTCTCCTCCTGTCTATGGTGTGTTATTTCTGCGGCCACCTCAGGGGGGCACTGTTGAGCTGTTACCAGAACAACATTTCTGTCCGGACAGACTAAGAGGCTGTTTTTCAGTAAATCATTGTTTTCAATACCCTAATATATATATATATATATATATATATATATATATATATATATATATATATATATATATATATATATATACATATTTAGAGAGGGAGAAAGAGAGAAAGAGATAAAAATAAATATAAAAATAAATCGTGTGTGTATATGAAGCTCTTTTGTGTTGGTGCAAAGAGAGCATACATCTGCTGATACAATAATAGGATAAATCTATTTGAAACAGTTCTATGTGTCATATTTCTATGCTTGGTGCAGGCTCTTGTGGGTCTCAGGCTTCTTGTTTAAGGAAGTAGTCCCTCCTGACTTATCCGCTAATCCTTTTTCCAATTTCTATGTTCTCTTTTTTGTTTTACTTTGTGTTTGTTTCTCTCTCTCGGCCTCTGTCTCGTTCCCTGATTAAGCGTTATCTCAGTGAGAATTTTTTTGCAATAATTGTGTTTTATTAGCTCAAGCGTTTGTGTTTCCACCGTGGCTGATATCTTACATTTATTTATGGATACAACAACAAATTTATGAGATGTTATCTGACCTGCAGAAAAACTCCTCAAGACCAAAAATCTCTTTTCCTGATTAAAACAGGCATAATACAACATACAATCGATGATGTACTCAGGCAGGGCAAACACCCACCTGATGCCCTTATGCCTGAAAAAATGCGACTCTTGGATGCTTCTATATATAAATAAAACATCATCAAACGTCACTTCTGACTCCCTTTCTGTGAAAACTGCATAAAAAACTTAGGCAGTAGCTGCAGAGTGAACTTTTGTAGCTGTACAGAAAAGAAAGTCCTTCAGGATGCCCTTACAGTTTAAAAAATTAGGTAGAAGTGCCCACTGAATGCCCTCCCTTATATATAAAATGTAAAAACGTGCCCTCAGGATGCCATTTCAATTAAAAAAGATGTCTATAAGGGCTCCTCTCTTGCATATAAACTGCAAAAAAAGTGCCTTTTGGGTGCCTTTGTGTGTATTAAATGCAAAATTGTGCCCTTTAAGTGTGTAAAAGGTAAAAAGTCCCCTCTGTATGCCGATGAAGCAAATATTAAATGTGAAAATACCTATTGGATGACCGTCCACTTTGAAGATATGTAGATAAAGTTCCTTCTGAATGTCCCTCCAGAGTAAAACATTTTAAAAAATGCTTTTTAAATGTCATTTTAGTCTATAAAATGTGTAAAGTTGTGCTTTTAGGTGCCCTCTACAACATGAACTGCTAAAAAGGTCCCGTCCTGAGAGTGAAGTTTTTTGTAATCTTCGAGTTGAATCAGTTTATTTTATCATTTAATTCACTCAGTTTTGAAATCACCTTGTGGAAAAATAAAAGACCAGATGTGAGTTTTAATTCAATTGTTGATTTTTTATCATGTCTCCAATCTGTTTCAAATCTTCCCATGAGACCCTGTGAGGTTTTAGCTTTTTTTGGTCATTAGTTGAGTTTGTGTAACGCATGTGGAAGGACAGACACTCTCAACTTTTGTTTAAAAAAACAAGTATGAATAATATGAAGCAGGAATTGAGTAATAACGGCAAACCCTGCAGTGCGTAGCAGCCACACTTTGTTCCAACAGCGATTATTTGTTTCTCCAAGTGCCAGCAGATGTCTGCGCCTCACAAGACCACCAGTGAGAGCGCATTAGTATAAACTGTGTGAGAGCGACTTTAAACAACACAAGAGGAACTTCTGACCTTTCTTAATACTTGATTTCATTTTTAAATAACCGTTCCGCTCTTTATTTCCTCCTTCTTTTCACTCTAAACAGCACGAGCTCAAACTGACTCGCAGAGATGCAACATGTTTTGTTTGCAGAATTGATTTTTGCAAATAATTACCCAGAGGTAAACAAAAACTTACTGGAATATCTCCTTTTTTTTCTTTGTTTGTTTGTTCCGCTCACTGATTCACTAAGCAAAGCCTGATTACACAGAGGCATGAAATCATTGAAACAGTGATTACGCTGCCACATTTAAATAAAGAAATGGTACCGCTGTGTTATTATAGTTTTGGCTGAGTCATTTCCACAACATAACGAGTTTATTCAATAATTCAGTTCATACTTATACCAGTTTAAGACAGACATCCTGCTGTTTTTGGAGGTTTTGTTAAGGATCTATTGTGTAATAAAGTGTTTTGGAGCGGTCACTTCTGCTTTTTTTCTCTCTCTCTCTCTTCCCTGTGAGTCTGAGATCAGAGCTGGAGGCTGGAACAGACTTGGTAAATCATTGAGCAATCTGTCTGTGAAATCCTGCAGCTCTTCCTGTGTTTAATAGCGTCTCAGTCTCCAGTTTCTACTTCTGTGTGACTCCTCTCCTTTTGTCTTATGAAGATAAAATGTACGTAATAACGAGAAGCTGTGTCCTGATTTTATGGATTCAAACGCTGGCGTTCGTGAGAAGTCAAGGTAAGCTCCTCTAAGGTTTACCATTTAATTTCTGGTTTTGCACTTTGTCAACGGAAACAACTCTGAGAGCATTGCCAGCATTGTCTGTATTTGCATTTATTCCTCTTTTTCTTTGCTGCTTCACAGACTGCACACTTGAACAGTTTATGCGCAGCAATCTGTATGACCAGAATTTTGACACTTCTTCTCTGGAGGCCAGCTACGCCCCAGGGAGACAAATAAGAGTGGGCTGCATCGTGGGCTTCAGTGGCTTCTTTAAACTGAGCTGCATCGAAGGAAAATGGGAGTCGAAAGGAACAAATTGTCAACGTAAGTTATGACACTTTGCATTACTTTCAATATATTTTGGATACTAGATCAACTTTTGTCACAGGTGATAAATCATAGGACAAATGAAGAAGAAGTAGCAGGTTGTTGGTGAGCTAGCTGAAGCATCCTGAGAGATGATTTAATATCGTACATTTTCAATATTTACCTCCGCCAAGGAGATTATGTTTTCAGAAACGTTGGTTTGTTGTTTTGTTTTTTTTTGTTGACCTGAAATTTTCACCAGAGGTGCATCTCAGCCCCAGGAGGATCCCTTTACATTTTGGTGGTGATCCAGACAAAATTCTGAATACTGTGATCCAGAACACACAAAAATAAGGGTGTCATTGGAATTTTCAATGCTGAAAGATAACCAATGGGCGGCACAGTGGTGTAGTGGTTAGCACTGTCACCTCACAACCAGAAGATCCTGGTCAAGGCATTTCTTGTTTTAGGAATATTGTGAACATACCAGTTTAAACACAAATAAACGTTAATAAAAGACACGTAACAGTAAAAGTTTTGGTGTGAATCACAATATAAGGGAGGACATGAGCTGCTTGGCGGAGGTCTGCGCTCTCCGAGTGCTTTTCTAGTTATAATCTAACATTTTCTTGACTTCCTCTCAGGGTTGTTTCTGCTAATAATTCCCCCTTTAATTCTTGTGTTTAAAGCGAGATCATGCGGTCATCCCGGCGACGCCCAGTTTGCAGATTTTCACCTGGTCCACGGAGACGACTTTGTGTTTGGGTCACAGGTTGTTTACACATGCCACAAAGGGTATGGAAATATGTTATCTCAAATCTAAACTCGATACAGCATCTTTGTTTATCAGTGAGTTGGTATCAATTATCTTCATCGTGCTGTTTTCAGTTATCAGATGGTCAGTCGGAGCAGCACGCGAAACTGTATGGCTAACGGCTGGAGCGGTGTTGTTCCTGTTTGTGAAGGTATGATCTGACATTAGACGATCTTGTACAGACTTCGCATGCGGATCTTTTTTCAATTGATGTCCCCTCTTCCAGCCCAGCAGTGCCCGGCGATTTATGTAGGCGATAAAGTTCAGGTGATCGGAGATCCGGAAGAGGCGATGTACGGAAACGTGCTTCGATTCAGCTGCAAGTCCAGATCACAGATTCTGACAGGGTCGCAAGAGATCTACTGCGACGAAAGCGGAAGTTGGAGCGACAAGGCTCCAGAATGTAAAGGTGAAACCAGCTGTCTGAAAAACATCCAAATACATAAGTATTAAAAACAACAGCTAGCTACTACCAATAGTTCCCAAACAACTAATGAGTACCAACAAAAGTAACTACCACCTGGTCTTTACGTGACGTCCTACCATCCAACTGAATATCAGGAGTTTGTCACAGTTTGGCTCCTCAAATTGTCAGATACTCAACACACCCTCTGTAAAAAAAACTCAACCTTAGACCTTAGACCAGGTTTTGGTTGGACTCAGGAGCACATATACATTGTGCTAACAGTATCTCAGATTTTAGGGATTCTCCTTTCAAACAATTACAACCCAATTTGAGGCTAATTTATTGTTTATAGAACATTGAATACCATTTTCTATGATGTTAATTGCAGTTTTACCCCTCCCATTCCCACCTAGTCTGTTAAAGCAGTGTCTAAAGTTTATTTGCTTTTTCACGACCAAATGGTATCATGTTAAAAAAAAAAATGTGTGGATTTCCCTACAGAGATTGAATGTCTGGTACCTGTGATCACAAACGGATACATCACCAGGCAAATGCCGTATACAAAGAAAACGATATCCTGAGTTTTGCATGTGACGCCGACTACAAAAAACAAACTGAAATACCTTCAAAATGTGTGAAACTTGGAACGACAGCTGAATTCAACCCTCGGCCTTCCTGTCAACGTAAGTATGAATGAGATGGTCAATTAACGGTCGCAACGTTTCAGTCTGTTTCTTCAGAAAAAAAAAAGAAGTTTGTCCTTATTTCCAAACGAATGTAGCCATAACATGCGTCCTGAGTGGTTTGACTATCGGGGGAGTCAGCTACAACCCGAACAAAATGGTGTTCTCACCTGGAGAAACAGTCAGAGTCTCTTGTGGCGAAAGACACTTCGTTTCAACACCTCAGACCAGGTCAGCCACAGCTACATGTGACAACAGAGGGAACTGGGATTTTGAACCTGTTTGCAGAGGTGAATGTAAATAAAAATCACGATTACACAGTAGTCTGCTAGAGGCAAATATTGAGCTCTGTATTAGTGCTGTGCTGATGATGATGCCCTCCTGATTTAATTATGGTCTTTTCTCTTATTCCAGAGGTGACATGCGAAACTTTTGGCCACAGACACGTGATGTTCCAGAGGTACTATCGGGATAACACTAAAAGATTGTATGACACTGCATACTATAATTGTGCGACAGGATACAGAGCAACAGCTAACCAAGCCACGTGCACCAGAGATGGATGGACTCCAAATCCTCTGTGTGAAAGTAAGCTAACGAGAAATTTATGGCACAATTATTAACTCTGAACTCTTGTCTGAGACAGTGGGAAAGGAGGTTTTGGGTTTATATTCAGATGACTTTTTATTTTACTTAGTTTTTCTACAATTGGTTGTAGTCTAAAACGAAGGCAATGACAGCCAAGGTGGGTGAAGGGCGCCGCTTTCAGGATAACTCGACTGCCATGTTCTGGCAAACTTTGCTGGCAAAGTTAGCGTACATTTCCATTACTGCCAGCAGTGCTACTGTGTCACATTATTGTGGTGTCCACTTGGTCGCCCTTTCTCTGTTGCGCATCATTATCTCGCTGTTCAGTCAGACCTCTCTGTCTGCACTGATTTCATACAGCTGAATTCATTCCAATCCCATTCCTCTCTTGTCTCTTCTGGTGTTCCCCAGGGTTCTGTTCTGGGTCCCCTTCTCTTCCTTATCCTCATACCTCCTCTTGGTCATATCTACCGTAAATTCAATATTAATTTCTACTGCTTTGCGGATGACACCCAGCTCGACCTTTTCACCAAACCCAACTCCGCCCTCTTTTCCTGTAAAACCAGAACCAATGCCTAAATCAACTCCATCATTTGGAGCTGTGTGTTGTGGTTTAAGTAATCATTTCAGATGTAGTTTGCTGATGGAGCCGCCTCTTTAGCCAAATATTCAACCAACAGATCATAGGTATGTGTGTTTCCAGAGTTGGAATTTTGCCTACGCACCAAGCAGGGACCTCTAAACTTGAGAACGTAGAAGTGCTAAAACTTGTAGTTCCACAAGTGTCCACTTGAGGCCGGTTGCAGAAGCACCAGAAACCACAAAATACTGAGGCAAAAAAGACCAATTTTTACAGCAAAAATAAATATATGAGCTAGGGTGACCATATGTCCTCTTTTACTCGTACATGTCCTCTTTTTGGGAGGCTGTCCGGCTTTGTCCAGGAGAGTTTATGGAATCCTTCAGATGTTAAGGGTTTTGAGTTTTTGCGCGTAGACTTTGAAGTGTGTAAAAAAACACTCAACCCGATCGGAAAAACTCTCAAAATTTACTACACGCAACTCTGCAACTCCGTACTCGCATAGTCATGTCCTCTTTTTGGGGATTCAGAATATGGTCACCCTAGCATAAGCCAACAGCTAACCTAAAGCACCAGGTCATTTAGTCTAAAGCTTACTCCAGGAATGTCTATAAATAGTCCTTCTATCCTAATTTGTTGCCTGTTCTCTGTTTATTCTTCAACAGTGATCACCACACTCATACTTGTAGCATCAAGAATGAATCATATTTGTAATTTCTTTTTCTTATTTTATAGAAAAAACATGCAGGAAACTCGAGATCGAGAACACAGAAATAATCCAGACTGACAAGGAAATATTCAAGTACGGTGACAGGGTCACGTATTCCTGCAAGAATGGATATGAAGGACAGTTTACTTTGACATGTAGAGCTGAGACCTATCGACCATGGGCTGGGGAAAAGAATTGTAGAGGTAAGACAAAGGAGACATCATCTGTTTTGACATGTATGCATTTCTCGTTTGTTTGTTTGTTTGTTTGTTTGTTTTTAACTCTGTGATGATTGTTTTCTTTCCTGATAAATGAAAAAGAGCTGTGATACAAGTCTATCTGACTGTTTTAAACCCAAACCATTCAGTTTTTGGACTCCTTACAGCAATCTTTACACTGATAGAATAATGGGTCTCTGATTTAGACTGTAGATCTTCTCCAGCAAAAGGTCACATTAGCCTATAATCCCCATTACATGGAGCTTTGGTGTAGAAATACAGTTGGTGTGTCCTAAATTTGAAACTTTGCTGGATTAGAAGAAGAGCAAATAATTTGTGGAATTACACAATCATAAAATCACCTAACAGAAAATAAATACAACTTCTTTTTACCAATTTTATCAGTTTTTAGGTTTTAACTGCACAAGATAAGAGTTGTAAACTGACAGAATAAAGTCTTAAACTTTGTGAGCTAAAAGTCAGATTTATGAGAATGTAGTGATAGTTATGATAATACAAACATTTACTTACAAAATGAAAGCTGTGAATTAACATGAAAAAAGTTGAAACAGTACACGGTCAAAGTTGTTAATTTACGAGAATAAAGCTCTAACTTTACAAGATGAAAGCTGTTACTTTAACTTTAAAAGATTAAAATTGTAAAATACAAAAAAACTTTCAACTTTGGGGAATAAAAGTCACACATTTGTGAGTTTAAGTTGTAAAATTATTGAGACTCATAATTTTGTGAGAACAAACTTTAAAATTAGAAAGTAAAAAAGACACAAGTTTGAATATATAGTCATAACTTCACAAGACTGAAGTTTAAATGATGACAATAAAGTTAAAACCTAAATTTGTTTAAAAAAAAAAAAAAAACATGCTTGGTTCAAAACACAGTAAATTTACGCCTCATTCTTTAGTGGTCCAATGTGTCCACTTACTCCTTACTCTCTGTTGATTATTTGACTGTAACAAGACTTTGCTTTACATTTGTCTTTCTTAACTGACTTTCTTGGATACAGGACTTCTCATATTAAACATGTTTTACTAAAAACACGTGGAGCTAATGTGAATTATTCAACTGAATCTGTTTCAGTGGCAGGGTGTGACAGAATGGACATCGCCAATGCTGACATCACTTCTTATAAAAGAAACAAATACGACCACAACGACAGAGTCGAATATACCTGCAGGGATGACCCTCAAGTATATTTCACGGTTACCTGTCAGAAAGGTAACTGGATTGGGGTCCAGAGCTGTACTGGTAAGAATTTTGGATTAAGACAGTTATAACTATAAAAAAAAGACATAATCTGCTTTCTTTGTTTGCCTTGTGTCACATTGACTGACTTACACCACAGCACCGGCGAGGCATGAAAATAGAGCCCACTATGTTAACATACCAATCAAAGCACTGCTAGCAGAGCACTGTTTTTGAGATGAGATGAAATGAAATTGAGTTGCAACTGACCGCAGGTCACGCCATCTCCTGCGACTCAGTACAGGTATTTTTGAAGTTTGATATTTCTTTCTTTTGTCTGAATATAACCCCTTTCTTTGTTCTTTTGTTGACAGGATGCCCACAAATTGACATTCCTAATGGATTTTTTGTTGCTGTAAATGCTACTCAAAATGATGAAAAACGGTACTACAGCTGCAAAGAAGGCTATAAGCTTTCCACCGGGGGCTGGTGGGCAGAAGCCGAGTGTATAAACGGACAATGGAGTGGACTTCAAAAGTGCATTGGTAAATAATCTTTGTCACCCTGCCGATCTGGTTTAGAAATGAAGAGACATTTGTAGGTTTTTGAGTCTGAGACGTTTTTTTTAAGGGACCTGAAATCAGTGTGAAACCACCATAAATAGCACCAGTTAGAGCATCTCGACCCATTTCTCTTTAACGTTTCAGAAAATCTCCAAATGGGGCATTTTGACAAATTTGGTGCCAGTTCAAATTTTTTTTTAACATTTCTTTAAAGCAAGCTTGATGTTTTCACTTTCTGGATGACACTTTTCTACTTTCCTGACATTGTCCAGCAGCAATATACCGATTTAAAACTTGTTACTATTCCCCCAGAGAACAGTCAGTGTGGAGAGCCTCCCAAGATTCTCAATGGAGTCACCAGTTATGTCACTCGTTCTACACAACATGTAAGCGTTGAATGTCAAAAGGGATATCGCGCCAAGGATAGCTGGTTGACCTGCCAGGATGGGGAATGGGATTTCCGTAGATTCTCACCTGAGACCATATGTGCACGTGAGTCTCGTCAGTGTGTTCTACTCTTAAATGAGATGACAGACCTTAAATCGGTGGTTTTCATGTTATTATCTGTTTCAGCTGAATTCGAGCCCTGCGGACCACCTGCTCGAGTTGAGAATGCTGTGATTGAGACGCCTTATCTGAAGGAATTCTTGTCTGGATCCAGGGTGACGTATATATGCCGTGCCAACTACATAGCAAAGGGAGAAAACACGATTCGGTGCTTGGATGGTGAATGGGACCAGCCGAGGATCGTATGTACACGTAAGTCGAGGTCAAAGAAGATTCGGGTTTTAAAGGAGGGTGGAAATTTAACAATTCCAGATCGGTGATTGTGGGGTCATGGCTGTTAGAATTAGTTAAATGCTAAAATGCAATGAACTCAGCTGTTACACAAGGGATGCACAATATGGACTTTTAAGGTTTGACACCAATAACCTATCACCTGCTTCTATTGGCTGATACCAATACCACCATTGGTTTATATTTCTAAGATTTTTCCGTTTAAGAATCTAGAGTTTTTGCACACCTAGAGCAAAGAAGGGTGCAGATTTAGTGGGCAAAGATCGGTAAATCTGAGTGCAAAGTTATCCGTATAACTACAAAGCAGCTACTATAGATGTAACTTGCACTTCAAAATCTATGCACATGAAAAAGCGCACTGATTTCTCACTTTAAATATGAAGTGTTTATTTCACAGGTAGCTTTTTCTCACATACAAATGGGGGTATTTTATTTGGCACTGAGAGGGTGCACAGAGAAATAACAGAAATTGCGATATAAAGTTTAACAGAATGTCGTCTGCATATTGTGCGAGTATTCTGGTGGAGATCACTTATTCTTTAATCCATATGGAAACTCTAGAATTTTATGACTGTAAACTGAATGCAGATTTTTCTCCCACAGCTCCTTCAGCACCCACAGTATCTCCCACGGGACCCATACCACTCACAGCACCCACAGTATCTCCCACTCCCAAGCCCACAGCAATCCCCGCTCCCCAGGAACAGTGATGCCGTCTGTTGGAGTTCCACAAAAATCACCATAAATATATGTTTTACGGTCCTTTGTTCATTTATAGTTTGACAGAAAACAGAGAGGAGAAAAACGGGTCTGAGGTATTTTCATGAATTTGCTTCCTGATGCAACCGAAATGTTCTGTTTCTGTAAATACGGTGATGCATGTCGAATAAAACACTGCTGTGGTTTTACTCATGTTGTCTTTCATTCTTAGACTTAAAGCCCAGAATAATGAGAAGGGTCTTTACAATAGGTTGTGTGTTGATACAGTATTATATACAGAAAGATAATAAAAGTTGTTGACCGGGAAGGTCGACCTGTGCTGAAACTGCCTTTAGATTCACACAAACAGATTGTTTTTCTTTGTTTTTCTTTGTGAGTGTATTTTAATGGTAAATGAAGTCTCTCTTCAATATACTACTGTTACGTTTTTCATGTTAAGGTGGAAAACTATTTAGCTAGAAGTCAGGCCTCATGATTTAACACATGTTCTCATTTTAGTGATTGTGAGGTTACCTGGTGGTCCTTTTGTGAAAGTCGCCATGCTTTGCTAGCATGGCAAAACTGAGGGACCTATAATTCTTATGCACACTCAAATACATAGATATAAAGTGAATTTCCATAGATATGAGATTTGTAGGTGGTGGTGTGATCTGCAGACGCAGCTTGTTTTGAGACATCAGGTTGTGCCTCCTTATCAGGGTGACGCTGAAGGACGAGTTCACCCAGCAACTCCGTCAGAGTCGCACCCACCCAGCTGGTAAGATTGACATGAGGGTTAAATCCTGTTGAAAGGCTCATAGTCCATCCCACTTTCCTCCTTTCAAGAGCAGTTCCCAGAGTCCAAGTCCAGATAAAACATCTAATCCAGACCTCCACAGGTAACTTCAAACTACTCAAACAGACAAAGATAATAAATACAAAATGCAATTTTAAAAAAATAATTTTATTTATCCAGGAAAAAAAGTGATCCAAACCAACCCCACACAATGTGAAAAAGTAGTCGTCCCCTAAACCTGATAGCTCAATAAGTCTTTCACATCGCCTTGGAGGAGTTTTGGCCCACTCTTTTTTGCAGAGTTGTTCTAGTTCAGCCATATTGGAGGTTTTTGAGCATGAATCATCTGTTTAAGGTCCTGCCACAACATCTCAATCCGGACTTTATTTTAGCCACTCCAAAACCTTAACTTGTTGGACTAGTTGGTGTGCTTAGGATCACTGTCCTGCTGCATAACCCAAGAGCACTTCAGCTTAAAGTCCCGAACGAATGGCTGGACCTTCTCCTTTAGGATTTTCTGGTAGAGAGCAGAACTCATGGTTCCATCATTCATGGTGCAGGTCCTGAAGCAGCAAATCAGTCCCAGACCATCACTGGTCTAGTGGTCTTTTTCTAAAACGCTGTGTTAGTTTTATTCCAGATGAAACGGGGTGCACACGTGTCAGTCCACTGAATATTTGCCCAAAAGTCCTGGTGATCATCAAGATGTTCTTCAGCAAATGTGAGACCGGCCTTTGTGTTGTTTTTGGTCAGCAGTGGTTTTGGTCTCGGAGCTCTTCTATGGAAGCCATTTTTGTTGGGTCTCTTTCTTGTTGAATCATAAACTCTGATCTTAACTGAGCCGAGTGAGGCCTGCTGTGCTTTAGATGTCGTTCTGGGTTCTTTTGCGACCTCCTGGATGAGTCGTCGATGCACCCTTGGAGTAATTTAGGTGGGCCGGCCTCTCCTGGGAAGGTTTCCCTCTGTTCGATACTTTCTCTATTGGCGGTTAATGGATCTTATTGTGGTTCTGTGGAGTCCCAGACTGATAGATGACAATAACTTTGTTTTTCTTGAGTTTGAGATCTTCATGTTAGGTTCTCTTTAAGGGATTTCTTGATCCCACAGGTTAAACTCTGCTTTCCAAATAATGTGGTTACTCACAGTTGATTCATGATTTAATAACAGGGGATGATTACTTTCTCAACGCTCTGAATGTTTGTTCATGTTTGTTTGTTTTTTGACTTTGGCTTTCCGCTGCAGTGGAGGTTGAAATTGTGATGCTTCTTTTACCCTAATTACACCGTCCAAAAGGTGAAGGAAAAAAATCACAGGAACATGACGAATAGGAATTTAATTCTGATGTTTGAGCTCATCCAGTATGAATCATTTGAGTGCAAATAAACTGTTTTTCTCTCTTTGTACCATTTAAACTAATTGCTCCACTGACTGATTGCTTCATGTACTTTTTAGGAAGAACTTTGTCCTCTAGTCTTGCCTCCATTCCCGTAACATCTGATGTCACATTTAACCTGGAGAGATAACAAACAACCTGATGTTTGCAGACTCGAACTTCTCAAACACTCAGCTGTTTTATTTGAAAACAGCTTCAATGACTCTGTTTATGCTGTGTAACATATTGATCATGTTTTGCTGGAGTTTTAGGGTCATGCTGAATTTTAGAAGTTAGCGGAAAAGAAGTCTTTGTTTTATTTCAAAGTACTGACAAAACTAGACAGGTGTTAATACTCTTAAATGGTTGCAAACAAATGTGAATTATTATGGATTCAGTGGACAGATTGATACACTATTTTAACTCTACATGAACTTTGCAGGAGAATCCAGCACTCCGTATGTGGGTAGTATGTGCTGTGTGCTTCTATGCCGCCGTGCTGTGCTCATACTGTCTTGTGCAATTCCACTGGGCAGTCCCATGTTGCAACCTTTCATGCTCTCAAAGGGCTGCAGCTGAAGAGAAACACACAGGAATTCAGCCAAGAAAACAGAGTTCATAAGAGGAGTTTATCCTGATTACGCTCTGGTTTGTCGGTGCATGTCCGCTCGAGAAAATGCGTTTATCTTTTATCCTTTTGTTTCTTCAGCTGTGGGGGAATGTGAAAGTTTCTTTGTCGCAGGAAGGTAAGACAGAGATTTTATACATTTTACCTCTAAGCGATACTCATAAGAATATTGCATGTTTTGATTTGCTCTTATTACTAAAGGACAACGGGTTTATCTGTCCCTTGCTTGGTTTTCTTTCCAATTTTGCATCTGTAAAAGACAACTTGAATGTTCAATATCTTCCTTTTCTCCCCTTTTTTGCCGTTCAGCGCTCTGTTCGGATCTTCCAGTTGTTCCTAATGCCCACGTTTCAGAGGACACCAGAAGAGAGGAATACCCAATGGGATGGGTAGTAAACTTCGCCTGTGATATAGGCTACATAACAAGCCGCCCCATCAAATACGCCTGCACAAACGAAGGGTGGTTCACGAGCCATCAGGGAAACTGCTACTGTGAGTTACAAAGCTCTTTGCTCTTTCTTTACGAGCATGCATGTGGTAAAAACTCCATAAAAACATCACTTTTACATGAGAATACACCTAAGTAAATATGATTGATAAGGTGTTGGCTTTATAGGGTTAAAAACTGAGGCATTATCTGCTGTAAAAACTTAAAACAACGCAACTCAACTTTATTTATAGCACTTTGAATACAACCAAAGTCAAAGCTGACACAAAAGTGCCGTACATAATAATATAAAACAACAATAAATAGTTAAAAAAAGAATAAAAATGGCGTCACATTCTGGGTCAAAAGCTAAGAAATAAAACGTTTTTTTTAGACAGGTTTTAAAAATGGACAGAACAAAACAAAAAAACAAAACAAGGCTTGAATTTAGTATGAGCCACATTTACCTAACAAGTCACCAGAAGCATCTCTTTTTTTCAGAGTTTTACAGGCAACTATAAGACCTGAGTTACTGAGTTAGACTGAATTTTGGACTGTAACACATAATAAATAACAAACACACCTTTTAGGATTTGAGGTTTATGTGATTTTTTTCTTCTTACTGCCTTTTTTTTTAAACATCATGACGAGACATTTAATGATGACCTTTGAGTTTTCTTTCTTTTACAGTAAGGCCATGTCAACTTCCTGATGATACTCCAAACGGCTACTATGAAATAATCCAGGGTGACGACTTGGTCTTTGGAGCGACTATCAAATACCGCTGTAATTCAGGGTACGTGGATTTATGAGAGAATAAAGATTTTATTTACTGTTTGTTTCATTGTTCTTAGAACGGAAAATGCAAAGTTGGACTTCCCTGTGTTAGATTTTCCTGAAGTTAATAAACACTCTGATCGATTATCTTGTTATCAGGTGTTTTTACCTCAAAGTTAAAAGCCTTGTTTCTGTTCAGGTATCAAATGGTGAGTAGGGAGGACACCAGGACTTGTTTGGTGGACAGATGGACCAGTCACGTGCCCATATGTGAACGTAAGTGTCAGTATTTTTTCCTTAGTGTCACCATACATGTGAGTTTAAGATTATTTTTTGAATAATGGCTAAAAGCAAGAAGAGAACCTGCACATGTAAAGCTCCTGTAAGTAATTTTTAGTTTGTTCCCAGAGTCCAAGTCCAGATAAAACATCTAATCCAGTCTCCTTACTGGGGCTTTAAGGTCTTCATTTTCTGGGCTCCTCTGACAGGGTTTTTCCCAAGTTGGGATGACAGGATAAAAACTGTCATTCAAATTGTTTCTAGACTTAAAACCTGGAGTTCAGCTTCCTTCCTTTGCATCTTCAGGATTATCCTCTTTTCTGTGTTTACGTAGCGATCAGCTGTGAAGCCCCACCAGCTAACGAACGTATGACAATACACCATTTATCTGATGATGATGGCCCCATAGTCGCCAACCGTTTCATCACATTCAGCTGTGATCAACCCGGGACATATTTGAATGGCAGTGCAAGGCTGATATGTGGTAGTGATGGACAGTGGGATCATGCATTTCCCACCTGTGAAGGTAAGGAAGTAAAAATGATTCCCAGGATTTATAAAATATTATTTTTAATACTGAACGATCATTGACATGAGGACTTGTGCAACCTCTCTTATAATCTTTCCAGACTATACTTGCACAGTGGGCGAGTTGCATCCTCAACTCAATGTTACCGGACTACCAGCAGCAAATGAAACGATAAAGGTTGGACACACATTACAGTTTCATTGCAATGGTGAGTTCATGCTGAGTGGGCCTGACAGTGTCAAATGTGTGGAAAACGGGCGGTGGAACTATCCCCTTCCAACCTGCAGTGGTACGTTGACTTTCATTAGGATTTTCAATTCAGTTCATGCAAATTGTAGTTTTCTTTTGCCAGCCCCCAGTGGACACTTGGGGAACTGCAGTTTTTTTATCGTCAGTTTTTAACAATGAAGATTACAGTTATATTTGGCATGTGTTTCTAACCTGAGTGAGAGTTCTGCAGGGTTTGACAGATGTGGTTTAAATGCGCATGAACAAATGTGAAGTAGGAAAGACTTTTAACGCCTCAGGTTGGCATTTTTTGTTTTTTTGTTTTTCATAACAGACCAATGCACAATCCCAGGAATACCACAAAGCGTACGGGTCACCTCACGTCTACCAAGCAACCGCCAAGTCAGACCAGGGGAAAAAATACATTTTGTGTGCAACACCAATCGCCGCGGCCACATCCTTCGAGGAAAAGCAACAGTTGAATGTTTGGTTGGTGGACAGTGGAGCGATGACTTCCCAACATGTGGGCGTAAGTAAAAAGGGACTCACTTCGAGATGTGCTCTGCAGACTCAAGGTCCTTACACACCGGGACCGACGCAAATATATAGCGCGAAGTTATGAAATATTCAGAATTGTGACACGCCTGACTATACACATCAAGCCCGATGCAATTTTGTGACTTTCCGGGGTGAAAAAAGACACATCCCGGTTGAAAGCGAGAAGACTGACACAACAGCAGACTGAGTGTTTTTCAGTTCTGATTAGACTCTAGTGTTGAGATGTCTGTCTGTCATGATAGCATGGACTGAGTCGGCCAGTACCAGATAAGAACATTAAACTATAATCTATAAACGTAAGGTAACAACCGAGACCTAATGGTGCTGTGACTGAGTTTACAGTGAAAATACATATGGTATGTTGTATCTGAACAGGTTAGCTTACGAGCTAAAGTTACTTAGCACAGATGAAAGTTAAAACAAAGACGTTTATCAAACTGTTAAAGCTCACAAACCATCGTCATATGAGAAATCCGACGCTATGACTCTCCACAAATTGTCCTTCAGGTCGTTATCTTTGTGATATTTGTGTCTTTTATCAAAAATCACTCTGTTCTCCGACACGTAAACAATCAGCCGGTCGGCCATGTTGGATATATCGGTGACTCTGACGTCTCAACAACACAAAATCTGATTGGTCAGAAGTGGACACACAGTATGCGAAACTTTGGAAAAATCGACCGTGATCTGAAAAAATAAATGCCGCAATATCGCAGGACGGGAAAACGTCGCTGATGTGAACGCTTGTATTGACAGGATACAGGGTCAAAAAAAAATATTAACTTCTGAAATAATCGCATGAAAAAAAAAACGGTCCTGGTGTGTAAGGACCGTTTCTACCCTGAGGTCTCAAAGCGGGTTCACAAAATACTCTCTGTACCCAGTGACTCGCGGGAAACGTATAAAAACCATGAATAACTTTTACTTTCTCTGATTTACCCACTCACTGTAGTACCTTTGGGCTGTGGGACGCCACCACCCCTTGACAATGGAGACACGAGGAACAGTGTGAGACCCCGGTACGACCATAATGAAAGGGTTGAGTACATCTGCCAGAAGTTACACATACCAGAGGGTTCAGCATATAAAACCTGCAACAATGGTGAATGGACTGGATATTTCAAGTGCCTCAGTAAGTTGTTTTCTGTTATTTTCATATATGAGTCTGCTTTTAATTCCAATAAAAGGACTGTCACAGATTTTGCAAGCGAACCTGTCATGGTCAGGTTCTTCTGGTATCAGGGAGGACCTTCCTCAAAGCTAACTGCTGAGTAATTTTGCTTTAATTTCGATCATTGCAGTTATTACTGATCCATACTCAAACAGCCCAGCATGATCTCTGCATAGAAGAGTCTCAGGGATGATAAAACTGCTGTTTCTCTCTCCTCTCTTGCAGGACCTTGCACCGTAGACGCAGACGTTATGAGGAGACATAACATTCACTTCACTTGGTCTAGTGAGGAAAAGCTGTATGCAGTTCACCAAGGTGGACTCACATTCAGCTGTGTTAAAGGAAAAAGACCTGTGGACCCACAGGGCATGCGCCAATTTTGTGTGGACGGGGAGATAAGTGTGCCCATATGCCAGTAAAGTTTGAGAACGAACATTGACACGAGGAGGACATCGTTTTCCTTCAAACTGCTGAAAGATGAAAAGTAATTTCACTGTGAAAAAAAGTGTTTTTGTATTCTCTCTGGTACAAAGTCTTTAGGCTTAATTTGAGCCAAATTCATGTGACGAGTCCAGAAAAAAACAGATGTCGCATTTCAAGATATTTTACACAGAAAACATGAACTGGTTTTCTTGTAATGAGATGAAGATGTACTTGAAAACTTACTTAACTATCATCTCAGAGAACCTGTTTTTTTATCTTGATTTTGGTGTAATACCTTGAAAAAAGACCTTTTTCTTGCCTTGTAAGGTGGACGTGGCTCAAATGAAGCCTAGTTAGACCCTTTTTATCAGACTTGAGATCAAAAACACAAAGATTTGAGAACAAATCTACATTTAGCCCAAAGTTTTGAGCTTTAAACTTTTTCACACATTGAAGCTTTAAGTCCTAAAAGCTAGAACAGGAGTTTTGGGAAAAGGGCTTTTGGATTCCAGCCTCCTTAACCCACAGTTTATGGAAGAATAATGTGAAACTCGAGGATCTGGTGACATTGCTATGATAGTAAACTGTACTGACTCCCTGTGTGTATGTGTCTTGTCCAGTTTTAATCTCAGTGGGACAAAACCAGAATAAATAAAGGTTACATAATTTTAAAAGGAGATTTATCAGGCTTTATTTGTGTTTCTTCCTGGTGTCATGACCCTCTCCACTTGCTGGTAAATCCCGTCAGACAGTCGAGTAAAAGATTAACAACAGGGGAGATAACAGGGCAATAAAGCTTTAAATAATTATGAGAATTAGGAAAAACTACATTTTAGAGGCACAAAACCAGACTAATTCTGAATCAGACAAGAAACTGTGATTTTTAAACCCCTATTTAATACATAACGTAATCTGAGGTGACTGCATATAGCTCATAAACCTAAACTTTTTAATTTGTCAGCTGACTGAAATTCAACCGAATCAAGTTTGTTGTAGTTATACAATACAGCTGGAAATTGTAGTGATGTGTCAGTCACAATCGAACCGGTTCAAAGAGCCGTCTGCTTTGTGAACGATGTGCAATTTCTTTCTTTCTTTCTTTCTTTTTTCCCACCACAGATCATAGAAAAAAAACTACAAGGCAGAATGACGGGATTTCTATCTGCTTTGTGTACCAAAATGTAAAATGTCTGTAAATGCAATAAAAACAATTGGCTACAGCAATTCACTGATATTAAAAAATATAATTTTTACTCATGAGTACTTCAGTACAAAAGATGTATTGAATTATTTAAGCGGTATGTGTACACATATATACATATCATAAGCCAAACAACACTAAATTTGGCTGAATTAGAAAATGGACAAGTGTTAAATGAAGAGACGTTTGGGAGCCGATAGAGCCGGCTCTTCTTGGTGAGCTGAACTGAATGATCACTAAAAAGATCCGTAATTTCCATCACAAGGAAATTGATATTCTCTTGCATGTACACACCACATATGACTCAACTGTTTATATCATGCTTTGACCCTGGAGTTGAACAGGGTGGGAAGTCGGGTAGGAAACAAAACCTGGTCAGAGGACAGAGCTGAAAGGGGGCGGACTGCTACCTTGCAAAGCGAAGCAGACATACTTTTGTTAATTGATGCTCAGACACAGACAGTGGTCGAGTTAAAACCCACTAATCAAGCTCTAATTATAGCTCGACTTATGCATATAAACATACTGACAGAACAACAAACCCGTGTCTGAATCCACAGACAGGCCTTGAGTGTCGATGTGACATTTTTATATACAGTTTTAGACCAAATAGAAAAAAATTCTGTTGCGTGGACAACTTATTTGCAATAAAAACAGTCACAGAACTTTGGCGTCTGTGCAGAAACCTCCCCTTTGTCAGGACTTATTCCTGATGTGAGTCTTCATGATGAGAATAACTCGTTTTTCCAGTCAGCTTGATAAACAGGAGAGATGATCAGAGGGGCGGAGTTTAAACCGCAGTTGTTGTGACATGGGCTAAAGCATGGGAAGAGTTTCTCAGCAAAGGAGCAGTCGGTAAAGGAGTAGATCAAAGCTGCAGCATCAACATCATAAAAGGAGACCAGACCCTCTTCATAATCCACGAACACCCCGACCTTCTCAGGATGAGACTTCAGAGAAAGACTGACTGGAGGGCTGGCACACGCTTCGTACTCGTTTTCATTCCTCAACCATATCGCCCAGAAACCGTTCTGAGGAGACAGAGAGATCTTCCCCTTCCTGTTGATGGACTCTCTGCTCACTCCTAAATCCCACTTTGTCTTTCCTTTGACCTGGACCTCATAGTAAAATTTGCCCGAAGAGAAACCCCGCTTTGCGAAGACAACAGCACACCAATCAAATCTCTCCGGGGTGACTGGGAGGTCCTTCCACACATCGCCACAATAAACTTGTTTCCCATCGTCGGACAGGATGAGTTTGAAATGTGCCGTATCAGGATCGAGAATCACATCCACTTCATACTGCTGGACCCTCCTCACCTCAGCCTCGAACAGCTCCTTCATCTGTTTACTGAGCGTGTCCTCGAGGTGGCTCACAGCTCTCACCACAGTCCCCTCATAAGACATTGGGCGGACTCTGATTTCAGTCCAGTTTTTGGTGGGTGGAGCAGCGTTCGGGGTGGTGAAGTTTTGAAGGAGGTGGAGGTGGTCTTCAGAGAGTGAGAGCTGCTCTACCGCAGAGAATCTCTTCTTCAGCTCAGAGATTTCCTGCTGCAGCTCTGCGATGAAGCCTTCAGCCCGTTCCTCCGTCTCCTTCTGCTTCTCTTTGATGGTTCGGATGAGCTCGGCCTGACTTCTCTCGATGGATTCTTTCAGAGCTGTGAAGACCTCGACACCTTCAGCGATCTCTCTGTTTGCATTCTTATTACTGAGCTCCACTGACCGTCTGATCTCTTCGATCTTCAGGCGTCTCTTCTGGATCATCTGCTGAATTTCATTCTCTGTCTTCTCCAGCTCGGCCTTCTTTCCTTTGTACTCGTCTTCCAGAGGAACAACATCATGCGTTTTGTGGTTCGTAACGGTGCACAGCACGCAGACACACATCTGGTCGTTTTTGCAGAACAGCTCCAGCAGTTTGTCATGCTTCGTACACATCCTTCCTTCCAGGTTCTCCACAGGGTCGATCAGCTGATGTTTTTGTAGACGTGAAGATCTCAGATGAGGCTCGAGGTGAGTGTCACAGTAAGAGGCCAGGCACACCAAGCAGGACTTCAGGGCCTTCAGTTTGGTTCCAGTGCAGACGTCACAGGAAACATCTCCTGGTTCTGCAGCTTGTCGCTCCATGCTGGCTTCCTGAAGAGCTGACAGTCTGTACTGGGCAGTGACCTCAGATATGAACGTGTTGACCTTCAGCTCAGGTGTGGTGTAGAAAACCTCTTTACAGTTGGGACACCGACACCGGCCGTTGGTTCTCCAATGTTCGGTGATGCAGTCTTTACAGAAGTTGTGTCCACATGGTGTGCTGACTGGATTGATGAACATGTCCAGACAGATGGAGCACAGGAACTGATCCTCATTCAGCAGACAGCAGGCAGCAGACATTTTTACAACCTGAGGATAAGAAAAGGGACAGATAGTCAAACCTTCTGCTAAAAGTTATTCGTTTATTACCTGTTACTCTTTTACGGGACACTATGGGTGTGGACATTATACTGTTTTGGCGTTTGTGTATGTCAACATCCTCTCCAAGTTTTAGGGTATGCCACTAAGCGCGGGTAAAATCATCTGTGCAAATGAATTACATGTTGAGTCAATGCAAAGACACGATTAGACGCTGGTACTACTCTGACGGCAGGAATGACGCTGGGGGGGGGGGGGGGGGGTCGAAGAGTGATTGAAGATAATTATTAGTATAATAATCTAATAAATACAATGGAGTATGAGGGCCACATTAAGAAAGAAAAAAACATTTTTAAATCTTTGAGATTAAAGTTATTATTTAGGAGAATAAAGTCATTAATGACTTTAAGAATAAAGTAGTTAAGTTACCTGTTGTGGAGGAGAGTTGTTAAAATCAGCACTGAGGAGCATTTAGATGAATTGTACTTTAGTATAGGTTTCACAGACATGGAGATACTTAATCCTTTGGTATATCAGCATTACACTGTCACGAGTATCAGAACTTTAAAAAGAATATATGAGAAATGCTGCTTTTGTGGAGGGGAAATGGCTGTACAGAGGCTAAATTCATCAATGCAGCTGTTAATAGCAATAGCATAGGGCTTTAGTTTATCATATGAGTTTATCTGCCATGAGGTGTTGAGGTCTCTGCATGTGTAGGTTACTGACTTACTGTAATCATCGGGTCTATCTCGGCCTTATAAAAACCTGCTCTATTTCGGCAAGTGTCTGTCTTCTTCTGTAGTCAAACCGCAAGATATCAAAATCTACCCGGATACAACAATGCTGCTTTTTGATTGGCTGTTCAGTAAATATACTTTATTTGATTGGCTTGCGCGTGGCACGCAACTTAGGAACTCTCGGAGAAACTCCGTTGATTTCCCCCTGTTCCATAGTTAAAGAGGTGCAACTTGGTGGACATCACCATGTTCATTTAAATGCGTGAGAAATACAATGTGTGGCGTGTGAGCGTGTGAACGAGTGGGAATGCGTGTGTCTCACGCTGAATGCGTGAGACTTGAGAGCCCTGCCTTTTTTTTCAATTACCGAAACTGGAATAAAAAGGAGCTCGTCTGGAGTGAGGAGGTCGGATTACCTGGTAAATTGTGAAAAACCTTTGTCTATCACTTGATCCCGCTGGTTGAATTGGCAGGGATTACCGTTGAAATTACCGTTGACGCGCGAATGAAGCGAGGAAATACTATTCATTCACACGTCTGGTTTCTCACAAATTAAGCGAGTGGATGATTTTACTCTTGCTTGGTGTGAGCGCTCCATTATCCAAGTTTCTGACAGCTGAGAATAACCGGGTTTCTCTTAGTGCAATGCAAATGTTGTATAAACCTACTCAATAACAGGTGGAGCATTTTCAGTGTTAATTTTATTCTGTTATTAGAGCCGGCTGGTGACCAAATTTTATGAGAAAATAGCTAAATTCAACAAGTCATGTGTTAATCATTGAATTGTGTTTTGAGATGAAACCTCAAAAACAATATACCCATCATTCACCAACACGTGCTCATGGGTTTATAAGGAAAAAGAAGATATATTCAGACACAATCAAGCAACAAAAATATGCAGAAAGGTTTGCAACAGATGTAGAGAATGAGAGAGAGATGCATCGGGTGTAGCAGAAAACAAAAGTAATGATCAAACATGCTTTAGAGTGAAGTTCTGTCTTTTTTAGTCGGTGAACTCACCTGTGACAGACAGACTTGCAGTTCTGTTAAGATCACCTTGACGGTTTTAGCTCTGTTTACGCTCAGACTTTAACTTCCGTTTCAGCGAACATGGAGTTTAAGGTTCTCCTCCTTCATTGTTGCTCCTCCTCTCAGTGTAGCTCTGTAAGGCTGTTATTTCCTCTGGAAATGGAGTTTAAGTTTCTCCTCTTTCATTGTTGCTCCTCCTCTCAGTGTAGCTCTGTAAGGCTGTTATTTCCTCTGGAAATGGAGTTTAAGTTTCTCCTCTTTCATTGTTGCTCCTCCTCTCAGTGTAGCTCTGTTAGGCTGTTATTTCCTCTGAAGGCGTGTGACTAGTTTCCTTGGAAAAAGTATGCAAATGTTGGCTCAGGTGACTGCTTACTCTCATGCTTTCTCTTTTGGGTTTCTTGGAATTTAAGTGTCTCCTCCCCTCAGTGCTCTGTATCGAGTTCAGTATGAGACTAGATCTTTTGCTGACTGCGAGATAGAGAAAAACCTGATGGAAACTACCTGTGGCATTGAGAAACAGGCTTTTCTTATCGGAATGTTTGATGACAGATTCACAGTGTTAAAAACATGACACAAACTCATTGACAACCATCGTTGTACCTGATTAAATTACAGCCTTATTTTGAGAACTAACTTTTCCAGATTTTAGAGGGGAACTTCGACGTTTTCACCAGGATCCTATTTTCCCATGTGCTTGTGTGCGTGCTTGACTGACGGGGAGAACAGTCTCTGAATTTGGTCCAGTATTGAGGGAGAGCAGAGCAGCTGCATCCTTTACATGCTCAAAGAATGTCATCTGCCAAAAAAACACACCCTGCTGACTCTTGACACTTAAATGTGTTGTTTATTTTGAATATTTAATGTGGAAATTGTAAAGTCGTGGCTGTTACCCCAGCTGCTCGGCTGACACTAAACCCCCCACACCAGTTTCAGGCATTAAAAGTCACAACATGAAATCATAAATCTGGTTGCAGATGGTCTTGCTTGCTTTTATGTATCATAAACAGGCATTGAAATGAATTTCAGACTCTTAAACTGCAAAAGTGAATCATTTCCCCTGCTCTGACATGTTATCATCATTATATGTTTGTGGACTTTCTCTTGCAGAGCCCTGCGTTGTGAATGAAGACGACCTGAAATGATATAACAACACCTAAAAATCCCAAGATAGTCTAGCTGCAGACCTCCAATGGATATAGTGAGAAACTTTATTCTAAAATAGCTGGATTATTTGTCCGCTTCCTTTTTTAAAGGTGCTGCTGACAAAGTGTTTAAATACGCTCTGTTTTCATAAACACTTGAAAAAGTGTGTCTGCTTTAATATTTTAGATATACTTTTAAAGATATAGTTGTTATTGATGCTTTTCTAGGCCTTTAGAGACACCAATTCAAAGTGGGTTTTAAATGTCGGCGCTGTTGCGTGTGAAAGATAGTTAAAGACGCCAAGACCCGCCTTCTGATTGGTTTATATTGCGTGGTGCCTTCAGTGGTTGGTTAGATTTAGGCACCAAGGACGATGGATTGGTCTGGGATTGGTTATCCCGGTCAGAGTTACTCGAACTTTGGCAAGCCAAGTTTTTTATCATGAAAAAAATAAATACAGAGCGTTGAATGGGGAAATATAAGAGTGAGAAATGTCAAGCGTGGCGTGAGAATGGGCCAAATTGCGTGAATGTCACACTTAAAGCGTGATGTTTGGCAGCTCTGTAACAAGTATATTTCTGTCTTCACTGTATGCAAGACCTAGGAGTTTGCAGGCTCACAAAGTACCCTATATGTTTTACTATGATAGATGATTATGAGACAGAGAACTATGACTGCTACCATTTTGCATTATGGTATCTACATTCCATGAAACGCCTTTTCCACCATTATTCATTATTATTTGAGGCAGAGCAGCTGTATGTATTTCCAGGTGTCCTCAAAAACTGCCGTGACCCGGATTCGAACCGGGGTTGCTGCGGCCACAACGCAGAGTACTAACCACTATACGATCACGGCGAGCTGTCCTGTCGGACGGCCTAACTTCTTTACGCACAGAGGCAGTTCTCTGCTGCCACTGTGATACTACTCTTCCCCGTTGTTTGTTGTGTTTCAATCGGATATAAAATTACGAATCATAATGGACAAAGTCATCATAAAAATGTCATGACAAACTGCTGAACGGTGCTGAGCCAATATCATGAGTGTCGAGCAAAGATCTTACTAATAGACAGATTCATCACTCAGATGTGTAACATTGAACTAGATTATCATTTAAAAGAGACGCTCAAACCGCCTCTTCTGTAGACTTGTGGTACTAGTCTACTCGAAAACACTTCAGTATGTCTAAAATAAGTTTAAAAGAAAAGAATAAATGCTACTCGTTGTTTTAAAATACTAATTTTCGAGTGAACCATCTCCATATTTTGTTCTCTTGTGGTGAAGGGCGTGGCTTATGGGCGTTTAAATACGTAGTTCATACGTGATTGGTCGACCACTCTGTATTCTTACGGATTCTATCTGCTCTCTTTCCTGATTGGATAAAACGCAGATGACATTCGCTTATGATTGGTTCGTGGAATCAACGGTCGAATTTTCAAACCGGATCAGTATGTTGTTGAGGAAGCGTGATTCAACGTTACGACGAGCTCATCAACAGAAGTATCGCCGCACATGTACTGAAGCCGTCTTAAACAACTTAACTCGTTATGTAGAACGATATTAAGCTATTTTGTGGATTTACAATGGCGGAAACAATCCCTTCAACGAGAGGGGGATTTCTGGATTTTAGTCCAGTACGGAGAGGCGAAGGGAATAAGGAGAATGATGTTCCGGTGCTGAGTTTGATCCAGTTTTCTAAGGCTCCTTTTGTCACTTTCGGGACCGTGAAGTTGGGAACTTCTAAATCGGCTGTTTTACGTATTGAAAACCCGACAGAGGACGCAGAAGCAGATGTTACAGTGGAAAAGATCTCCTCAAGTAAAGGCTTTTCTGTGGACTACAGGAACTTCACCATTCAGGTAAGTTACTTAGGGTGAATATAGTCGTTACAGGGTTTCTATTGACTTGAATCAACATTTTAAAGTTATAACTCTTGTTCTTTGTGATCTGTCTGCAGCCTGAGGGCTCTTTCAGTCTGACAGTAACCTGGACCCCAACAGAGGAAGGTGGGGTCAGAGAACTCATCATATTTAATGCCAATGGGGTCCTCAAGCACCAGGCTGTCCTGCTGGGGAGGGCAGAGGCCCCCAGAAAGAAAAAAGTAAGTTTGCTATCAACGAACAGTTGTGCTTCACAGATAAAGACTGTAGAGAGTCTGATAAAAACATATTTGAAACTAATTTTTGGAGGCACTAGTATTTTTAATTATAATAACTTTATCTGTATAGCACTTTTAAAAACAAAATTACAAAGTACTTTGACATATAATCATAGAGCACATGGAAAAAGACAGATCAAAACAAAAAGCTCATTTAAAATGGAATTGAAGACCATTTTCATTTAACATAAGGAAACTAAACAATACTAGAACCATGCAACATCAAATGAGACCATGAGGACCAAAATAAAAACATAAAATAGTTAAGAAAAAAGAAACTGCAATTAAAAGAGGGTCAAAGGGGAAACTGGACAGATCTGGAGTGATGTGATGCTGTCTACTAAAACCAGTTAAAAGCCGAGATGCTGCATTCTGAACTAGTTGGAGGCGGGAGAGTGATTTCTTATTTAAACCAGGGAGGAGAGAGTTACGGGAGTCCAGCCTTGAGAAAATGAAGGAGTGGGTTATTTTTTTGAGATCTGGGGGATCTGGAGTATTTGTTTAATAGATTCATGGCTGTTGGTTTGATGATTACTGAATGTGGACCGAGACACTAGTATTTTATATCTGCTGATACTTTTAATCAACTTTTCAAGCTCTTATTTGCCAAAACCAAAGCCACGCCAATAATATTGTGCAGCCCTAACACAAACGTCCTTAAATCCTTCTGAGTTTTTCTTGCAGTTTTCATTTAACGAAATCTGGGACTTAAAAAAAAAAGCTTGCACACAGTTCTTGTCGTGGCAGGGAACCTTGTAATTTAGACATTATCCTCTGTTTGTGGTCTATGTTTTGGGTTTGTACAAGGTGCTACAAGCTTGTCCTCCCTGAGCACAAATTTGGACTCTGCAAAATATTAAATTTTAAGATGAATTTACAACCAAAAACAACATTTGAGAACATTGACAGATGGATAAAGGTTGCATGGTGTTCTGCACACCTTAAATTTTATAATGGATCTTGTCTTTAAATTGCACTTAAAAAGTTTATGTTTGTCAGCACGGCATCAATGATTTTGACCAGAAAAAAGGTGCAGAAGACGAGAAAAATTACGCAAAAAAATCCTCTGTATTTTTTTGGGAAATGTGACAGAATTTGATTTGAAATCTTGTGTCCTATCAGTTGCAGACATTATATAGTTGTTTGATACTGTCAGCAATAATTCCTGTGTAATGCTCATCACAAATATGGCCTTTAACTTGTATTTTTCCCCACCTGTTACAGAAAAGTTTATGGGACACAATCAAAAACAAAAGAGAGGGTGAGAAAGTCACTGCACCCAGAAGGAAGAAAACAGAACAACCGCTAAAGATGGCGGCCAATAAAACTTTCCAAGTGTCCCGAAAACCACAGTACAAACGGGAGAAACCTCGCAGCCCCCTCGCCTCCCTCAACGAAGGCCAAACTGTGAGGGAGCGTTCCCTCACCAAGAGCAACGCCACTGAAGACCATCCTCAAAAACCAGAGGAGCAGGAGACCCTGAAATCCACCCAGACTCAGAGACAGCGATCTCTGGTCTTGTCGGACCAGGAGAACATCCACCATGTTCAGAGGAACTCTCCTCTCGTTCTGCTGGTCCCAGCAGCCAAGCTGATGGACTCTTCGGATACCCTGTCAGGCAAACTTGAAAATAAAGACATCGCTCGAATGCTGAACAAGACGCTGTCCCCCATCGGGACCCCTGAGAGGTTTAAGAGGCTCATGCCTCATATTCAGTCAGAGAGCCCAGCTGTTCTGAAGTCTGTGGCTGAGGATGAAAGCCCTGACAGTGCTTTAACAGGAACCCCGACTCTGTCCCTGAAGGATGCTCTCGCCCTCATCGACTCAGATCTGAACCACATGAACACAAGTCCCAGAGACACCAGTTCCAGCTGTGACTTTTCAGACTCACTGGAATCCAAGAGTGACTCCAGACCTGTCCTGAACTCTTTACCCGACAGCCCTCCTGTGTTAGAGTCCAATGAACCAAGACTGACTTTCTTTGTTAGAGAAGTGCCGGATGTTTCAGAAGCTGATACAGCCAAAGAAAAACCCAAAAAGGCGTCTTTCACCTCCGCCACTGTGATTAAAAGCAAAGCTCCAGAGGAGGCGAACTGCTTGAGTGGAAGGAAAATTAAGAAGTCAAGACGGAGGCTGTTGGAGAAGACACTCGAGCTGTCAGACAGCAGCGGACAGTCCGAGTCTGGACCAGGAACTCCAAGTCTTCCTGTTATAGATCCAGGAACCAGTGGAGGGAGAAACTCTGAGGCTTCAGGCTCCCTACATGAGGACAGAAACCAAACCCAGATCCTCACCTCCTTCAGCCCGACTCCACGTCTTGAAGGCTCACCTTTGGCCGTCACCTTCCCAGTTTCCTCCCCTCCACGCTTGCCTTCTGCTCGCTTCTCCTTCTCAGCTACACCTCCACCTCCTGAAGTCCTCGCTCCCATCACGTTAACCGTCTCCTCTCCGTCGCCTTTGAGCTCATCCTCTCCTCTTCACCACACCTCCGCCACATCAGACCGCAACCTGTGCGATCCGTCTCCCACTGTTCTGGCGCCTCCCTGCTTTCAAGAAGAGCTGTTTCCCATTCACCTGGCGACGAAGAGCAAAAAGAGGAAGAGCGAGGAGTTTTTGAAAAGTGACAGGAAGACTCAGGAGGCGGAGAAGACCGGGCGCATCAAGAGGAGCAGGGTGGTGGCCGCAAGAACGGAGTCCACCAGACCTCTTCTTCAGGAAAAGAGGCGTGCAGCGCAGAAGCAGCAGACGAGCACAACAGGTGAGGGATTGTGAAGTTCAGGACACAGTAAATACAAAATACTGAGCAGAGGCAGAAATTCTAGTATAATAATCATTAAAAAGTTTTGTTTTTGGTAGAAATATTCTTATTTCTCTAAACTCTTTTTTTCCTAGGTTCTGTGCGCTCAATGACTTCATCCTCCCTGAGGTCTATGAGGTCTGTGGCTCCTGCTCAGGCGAAACAGTCGAGCTCCAAACCCACTTCAAGAGGTATCAAACTCTGTCCAAAGTTGACTCCATAAGGTCTGGTTCCATTATTTTGAGTTCTTCAACAGCTTTTCTTCTCTCGTTTCACAGCCCCTCCGTCTCTGAAGTCCTCTGGCGCTCCGTCCGTGAAGACAGCGAGAGTCGTGGCGGTGGCTCAGTCGAAGCTGACCTTCGTTAAACCGCTGCAAACAGGTAAACGAAGCAGGATGCAGCAAAGTGAGCGTCTAGGGTGAGTGAAACCGTGTTGAAAGTTTTAATGTTTTCTGTCGTTTGACTCCAGCCATACCGAGACACCCGATGCCGTTTGCTGCCAAGAACATGTTTTATGATGAGAGGTGGATCGAGAAGCAGGAGAGGGGCTTCACCTGGTGGATCAACTACGTCCTCACCCCGGACGAGTTTAAAGTCAACACTGAGGTCAAAGGTAACACCGTTATAGTCGCATACAGCCAGTTTACTGAGACACAATGATAACGGTTATGGAGTCTGAGACGTCACTCTTCAATCTGTGGCTCCTGCAGTCAACGCCGTGTCCATCGCCATGGGCAGCGACGACAGGTACAGCGTCCCTAAAGCCCCCACCAAAGAGGAGATGTCCTTCAGCACCTACACGGCCCGGCGCAAGCTCAACCGCCTCCGACGGTCCGCCTGCCAGCTCTTCACATCGGAGGCCATGGTCAAAGCGATTCAGAGGCTGGAGGTGGAGGTGGAGGCCAGGAGGCTGCTCGTCCGAAAAGACCGCCATCTCTGGAAGGACATAGGTAAAGAAACAAACAAACAAGTATCTAACTTGACTTGAAGTTCTAGTAAAACCTGGAAAAACCTGGAAGTAACAGCATTTTCTCCAATTTTTCAGGTGAACGGAGAAAAGTCCTTAACTGGCTGCTTTCCTACAATCCACTGTGGTTACGGATCGGGCTTGAGGTATTCAGACTTTGTGAGACTTCGTCTGAATTTTTAACGTTTGAACCACCAATTCATGCTTCGGTTGTGTAACACACTTTTACTCGCTCTCAGACGATCTACGGGGAGTTGATCTCTCTGGAGAGCAACAGTGACGCTCTGGGTCTGGCCATGTTCATCCTCCAGCGACTGCTGTGGAACCCGGACATCGCCGCAGAGTTCAGACACGCCAAAGTGCCTCACCTTTACAAAGACGGTAATTTACGATCTGATGAGAAATGTAGTTTAAGTTAAAACATCTGTCTGTCTGGGCTGAATTTATCCTTATTATGCATTACAAACACCTCCGTATTACTGTGAATAAACGTGCGCATGTCTCTTTACTTTTTCTCAAACAGGCCACGAGGAGGCGCTGTCTCGCTTCACGCTGAAGAAGCTGCTCCTGCTGGTGTGTTTCCTGGACAAAGCCAAAGAGTCTCGGCTGATCGAACACAATCCCTGTCTGTTCTGCCAGGACGCTGAGTTCAAGGTCGACTGAAAATAACACTCAAGCACATTTTAGTACCAGATGACTTCACAGTATGATTTTTGTGGCTCTTTAATATCTTGAATCTGGCACTTTTAAACTAAGATTAACTGTAAAGAGCTACAGCGTGATAAAGAGAGGATCTGAAGTCTGCCTCCTGCTCTGCACTCTTAATATAATCCTGCTTAATGTCTTTAGTTTGTTTCTTTTTGAGTAAGTTTATAAAACCTTAAACTGAATTATGCAAAAAGTTACACACATGCTGCTGCAAATTCAGGTCTTCTGTGCCACAAAAAACATGATTTTGACAGAACATTTGAAGCACCCCATTACAGAAAATCGCCTCATTTTATTGCGTTTTTCTTTTTACTTTTACCCGGACCAAATTTGCAGAGCTGGATCACAGATTAAGAAGTAATAGAAACATTGCTGCTGTGCTGAAGGAGAGTCAGTAGAGAGAAAGAACCAATTTGAAGTTGGTACATCAGGCTTTTGGAAGTTGTGATGGCATTTTATCAGAAAAATAATCATCAGATCGACCAAACTGATGTTAAGTTGTAGATTATAAATCTAATTTGAAGTTGGATGATTCCTACCACTCAAGAAATAAAAGATGAGTTCTTTTGGGCCGCAGGTTGGTAGTTTTAAACGATAAAGAGCTTTCTCACCTGGTTCTGCAGGGAAACTCAGCCCTGAAGGCAACTCACCAGTGAACCTTCAAGTCCTCACTCTCTGTGCTCATGTTTTTTTTTCTCCTGCAGACTAGTAAAGACCTGCTCCTGGCCTTCTCCAGGGACTTCCTCAGCGGGGAGGGGATCCTCCCGCGGCACCTCGGCTACCTCGGGCTGCCCGTCTCCCACATCCAGACGCCTCTGGACGAGTTCAACTTCGCCGTGAAGAATCTAGCCGTCGACTTAAAATGCGGCATTCGTCTAGTGTGAGTGAAACCCCGAGAATTTTAATGCGGGGCTCTGATCCTCTACGTGATACCTGCTTCCCTCTAAAGGTCAGGCTCAGCTTCACAGCAGCACCCCTGCAGCGAAGAGGGATTCAGTGTTTTTGTCTTCTGCAGAGCGTTGTCAGACCAGGATTTCCTCTCCGACTGATGTAACACCACTGCCCCTGGTCACAGTTCAAACCTATTTGTGTGTTTCTTTTGAAGATTGTTTCCCCTGTTTGCCTTTTTTAATACACAGAAACACAGACTCAACACATGGATTTGCTTTCTTGATCCCAAACTAGAAAATAGTGTTTTTGCAGCAGCAGGTTGTCTGATCAAGAAAAAAAACAAACAAACAAGAAGGTAGAAAAGTGTGAATAGGTTCAGTTATAAGTCGACTTTACAGGGTGGTAAAAGTGTTGAAATGCAAATACAAACAAATGCAATTGATGAATTGTGTAAATTCTGCAGGATCAGAACACAGTGCAGTTTTAATAAGACGGAGATGATCTGCTCAAACTGAAATGTGCATGTTTGTTTGTGCAGTCGTGTTTTTACGGCTCCAGAATATTTTTGAAGGAACGTTCTAAAGAGTTCATCACGTGTGATTTTAAAGTGTTGCTCATGTTTTCAGTCGTGTGATGGAGCTCCTCATCCAGGACTGGACGATATCGGTCAAACTACGTCTTCCTGCCATCAGCCGCCTGCAGAAGGTCCACAATGTGGACTTGGCTCTGCAGGTGCTTAAAAGCAAAGGGGTCGATCTCAAGGATGAACACGGTAACTATGAACTCCTCCTCCTAGAGCATTTAAAAAAAAAGACTCTTTCCTTTGTCTCCTACTCACTGTTTTTCTACAAAGCTGCTTTATTCCAGCGCTGTAGCTCTTCTTGTTCATTTACCGAGTCATTCATTTGTGCACCAACACCTGTCGTTTCACTGCTCAGTCTCAAACAGCTGTTGTTGTGCAGCTGCACAGATGATTCTGGGATTGCTCTTTCCTTTTATGATGCTGTGTTGGATTTGTGTAAACTTTATTGGACAGAATGATTTCCTCTGCATGATTTAGCACGTGTTAGAGTGACTAAGAGCTTTGAAATACGCCGTTTAAAGACCTGCACAGTAAAGTCGACTTAGTAAATCTTGCGAGGCTGTGAATGTCAGTCTGATTAAACACTGTGCCTTTGTTTTCAGGTGCCGCCATCGACGCCAGAGACATTGTGGACGGACACAGAGAGAAAACACTCAGCCTCCTGTGGAAAATCATCTTTGCGTTTCACGTATGAATCTGGCTTAGTTTGAGGATTTTCAGAGGGACTAAAATTCAGAGATTCCCTGTAAATGTTCTTCCTGTTGTCTGAGAAGCTGTTATCAAATCATCCGTAAAGGTGGAGGTGATTTTGAACGAGGACCAGCTGAAAGACGAAATCGGTTTCCTGAAGAGAAGCTTCAAGACCAAACGGAGGCTGGCGTCTCTTAAAGCGGATCGGGACTTTCAGCCGAGTCCCTCAGAGACCCGGACGGCGTACAAACACAGCAGCACTAAGATCACTCTGCTGATGGAGTGGGTCAGAGCCGTGTGTGACTTCTACAACCTGAAGGTGAGTCTGAAACTTCCTACTGCGGCCCTCAGGCGAATGAGGGAACTCTGCTAATTGGAGTTTGGGTGAACGTCTCTGGAGTTCCTCCGCTTCCTGTTAGGCAGGCGGGAGAGTTGCTCCGAACACTCGCTGTACTTTGTCATTTGATGTGTTGGAGAGCTTTAATCTTTTTTTCTGTTACACTGAATGATGTAAAATTGAAATGCATGTTGCAACTGTGCGAAATTGAAATTGAACATCTGCATGAGCAGGAATGAATATTTCTAATTTCCTGCACAGTTTCATGAAAAAAATTAGGAGTTTTTTAAATTAGTTTTCAATAATTAAAATCATCCAGTTGGAGAAATGAACCAACTTCTGTTTTAACCTCTGACTGATCGCCTCGACACCTCAGGACAGTAAGAGGTTTTCAGGGTCAGAAATCACACAGTAACAGGATTGTGTGTCTGCTGTGCGTGCAGGTGGAGAACTTCACCGTGACCTTCTCGGATGGCCGCGTCCTCTGCTATCTCATCCACCACTACCACCCCGGCCTCCTGTCCGATCAGGCTGTCAGTCACAGCACCACGCAGACAGTGGAGTGCTCGCAGAGGGGCCGCCTGGAGCTCGACTGCTCCGCCAGCGACTCTGACAACTCCTTTGACTTCATGACAGGCTCCAACGGTACGTGACAGCTCTGCTCAAACGTCTGTCGGCGCATTTTAAATGTGAAAGTGGCTCTCTGACGTCTGTCATTGAACGTGCAAGCAAGTAAAATGAAGTATGTCTGGGTATAAAGGTTAAAGGAATGACGGAGTTTGAAGAGAATTACCAAATAAACGAAAGAGATGGTTATTAACGGTTTTGAATGATCATATGTGTGTCAAACAGGCCCAGACTCTCCTTCAGTCGAATTCAAAGAGCTGCTGGAAAATGAGAAAAACAACTTCAGGCTGGTCAACACGGCCGTGTCTTTCCTGGGCGGAGTCCCCGCCATGATCAACCCGGCCGACATGTCAAACACCATCCCCAACGAGAAGGTGAGACCTCACAGGAGAGGAGTTCTCACCTCTACAGACGTTATTCTCATTTTAGTGAGAGACAAGGAAAGATCAGTTTGATAGGAATTAAAAGAATCAAGAGTAAGATACTGTACTTCTTTCTTTATTAATGTCTTTGTTTTAATTTCCAGGTGGTCATGTCTTACCTCTCCTTCCTGTGCACTCGTCTCCTGGACCTGAGGAACGAAACCAGAGCAGCTCGGGTCATCCAGGGCGCCTGGAGGAAATACAAACTGAAGAAAGATCTGCAGCTTTTCAAAGTTGGTTCAATGTTTGATAAAATTTCACACTGACTTTTATTTTTCTGATCTAGACCAAAATATATCTAAATCATAGATCTGTCTTTTTGCTGGTAATCTAGATTAAAATAAGGATACATGCAGAAAACACTCACTAATACACGTGTTCAATATTATTAATTAACTTCTCGTCTGGTTTTTACAGGAAAGAAACATGGCTGCTGCAAAAATCCAGTCACTTGTGAGGAGTTTTCTGCAGAAGCGCCGAGTTCGGCGGCAGAATCGAGCCGCCGTTATCATCCAGTCGGCGTGGAGAGGTTACGCCGCTCGCAACAGGATGAGGCTGGAAAAAGAGGCTCAGCTTCGGGCTCTGAAACACAAAGCAGCAACTTTAATACAGGTACATTATTATCAAACTGTGGGGGTTGTAATTCTTCCTTATTCCATGTACTGTCCCTGCATGATAACGCTAAATATCCAAAAACAAAACACACCATCCCTCCTTAAATAAACAAGAGGGACAGTTTGCACACAGCTTTCAGAAACACATATTTATTTCTGCTCGTTTCATGCTGAGCTTCCCTGGACAGAAGTCACACACAGCAGTGTAAGAATCTGGTCCTGTGCCTCCAGCTCCACCTGAATGATTGAATAATTAATGCATCATAGTTCAGCTTATTACGCTTCAGCTGCATAATTAATGGCAATTTCTTGTTACTGCCACCTTAGCATGTGCAGGGAACACATTACTAGTATATGTATTTATTGCAAAAAAGAGAAAATTACTTTATCTAGCATAAAATAACAATAATGCATACTTTTTAACCGCAGCCATAAAAGAGAGAATGAAACATCTGTTCCTGAATTTGACCCTCACAGTGATGAGGCCGTCTTGTGTGATTGTTCCTTGAATAGTTGGTTTCTATCTTGTCTCTACAGACTCAGTGGAGGATGTTTTCAACCATGAGAGCTTACCAGCGCCTCAGATATCACGCCATCGTTGTCCAAGCACAGTGGCGAATGAAGAGGGCGGCCTCCGCTTACGGAAGGATCTACTGGGCGGCGACGGTCCTTCAAAAGCACACCCGATCGCGGGCTCTCGGAAGAAGAGACCGGGAACGCTTTCTCTCCCTCAGAGCGGCAGCCGTGAGAATACAGAGAGGTTACAGGAGATGGAAAACGGAGAAAACGGCGAAGGAAAATCACGCCGCCAAAGTGATACAAGCGGCGTTCAAGAGATGGTATCAAGAGAAAATGGTTGAAAAGAACGCGGCTGCTGTGAGGATTCAGTCTTGGTACAGGATGCAGACATGTCTCCATCAGTACAGAAAGATCAAGAGGAGCGCAGTGCTCATCCAAGCCCGGTACAGAGGCCGCGCACAGAGACGCCGCTTTGAGAGGCTGAAGCTGCAGCACCACTCCGCCGCCGTCATTCAGAGTGCGTTCAGAGGTCACGCTGTCAGGAAGCAGGTGGAGAGGATGAGAAGCGCTGCACTCATAATCCAGCGCGGGTTCAGGGCCTCCGTGAAGAGAGACACGGAGAGGCGAATGTTTGTGAGGATGAGACGCGCCGCCGTCATCATACAGGCGGCTTATCGCGGGAAAGTGGCGCGGGAGTCCCTGAGAAAACGGCACAAGGCAGCCGCAGCGATCCAGGCGGCTTTCAGGAAATATGCTGCCCGAAGGCGCTACCTCGCTTTGAGGAGAGCTGCTTCTCTGATCCAGCGAAAGTACAGAGCCACACTCTTGGCTCGTGAGACAAAGAAGGATTACGACGCTCTCAGGGACGCCGCGCTCACCGTACAAGCCATCTGGAGAGGGAGAGCTGTCAGGGAGCGGATAGAGAAGTGGCATCACTGCGCAACACTGATACAAGCTCACTACCGTCGGCACAGAGCAGAAACAGAGTTCAGGTCCAAGAAGGCAGCTGCGTTAGTCATACAGCGTCGCTACAGGGCCTGTAAGGTCGCACAGGAAACGCAGAAATCATACCTGCGCTTGAGAGCGGCCTGTGTCACCCTCCAAGCTCGATTCAGAGGCATGAGAGTCAGGAGGGAGTTGGAGAAAAAGCACCTCGCAGCGACTGTCATTCAGTCTTCATTCAGGATGTTTGTGTGTAAGAAACGATACGTCCTCCTCCAAAGTGCAGCGATAATCACACAGAGCCGATACAGAGCTCTGCTGGTCTGCAGGGCGCAGCGAAACCAGTACAGAGAGTTAAAACAGGCGGCTGTGAAGATACAAGCCGTCTACAGGGGGTTCAGAGTGAGGCAAGACCTGAAGAAGAGGCACAATGCTGCCCGAGCAATCCAAGCCCAGTTCAGGATGCACAAAACAAGAATGGCGTATCTGGCAACCAAGTGTGCCGCCATCATTATTCAGGAGCGCTACAGGGCGAAACTGCTCAGGAATCAACAGATGCAGAAACTCAGAGTGATGAAATCTGCAGCTGTCGTCATTCAGGCCGCATATCGAGGTCGTGCAGCCAGGAAGATGGTCGCAAAGATGAACCGAGCAGCTACAATCATCCAGAGAAAGTTTTTCACCATTAGGGACAGGAAGAGGTTCCTGGCTTTAAGGGAAGCAGCCGTGATCTGTCAGCGCAGGTACAGAGCGGTGATCCTGGCAAGAAAAGACCGTCTGGACTATCTGTCGAAGCGCAGGGCCGCGGTTTGTCTGCAGGCAGCCTGCAGAGGATGGAAAGTTAGGAAAGAGTTGCGTTCCCAGCAGGCAGCAGCTACAATAATTCAGTCTCACTTCAGGATGCACCAGCAGAGAAACTCCTACAGGAGGCTCCACTGGGCTGCGAACGTGCTGCAAGTACGCTACAGAGCGAACAAGACGATGAGAGCAGAGATGGATGCCCTAAAAGCCAAGAAACACGCAGCTGTCGTCTTACAGGCCGCTTTCCGAGGAATGAAATCCAGACGAGTCATCAAACAAAAACACCAGGCAGCTGCTCTCATCCAGAGAGCTTACAGAGCCCACCGTGAACACGAGCAGTATCAGACTCTAAAATCCTCCATCCTCACAATCCAGAGGAGGTATCGAGCCACTTTAGCTGCCAGAGAACAAACACAGAAATACCAAAACATGAGAAGAGCTGCTGTCGTCCTTCAGGCGGCATTTAGAGGTCAGAGGGTCAGGAAGGAGGTCGCTCTTAGACATCAGGCTGCAACCGTCATCCAGTCAGTGTTCAGAAAACACAGAGAGGAAGTCAAATATCAGGCCATGCGTCTGTCTGCGATCATCATCCAGAGATACTACCGGGCCTGCGTTGTCCAAAGACACGAGAGGAAAAAGTTCCTCGATGTGAAAAAATCTGCCGTCATCTTTCAGGCGGCGTTCAGAGGATACCGGGCGAGGAAAAACATCGCTAAGATGAACAGAGCAGCGACAGTCATTCAAGCAAACTTCAGAAGACACAGACATCAGTCAGCCTTCAGGAGGCGGCGCTGGGCAGCGTGTGTCCTCCAGCAGAGGTTTAGAGCCCAGAGACTTAAAAACACTGAGATGAATCAATATCAGGAGGTGAGGAGAGCTGTGGTTACTCTACAAGCTGCATATCGAGGAATGAAATCAAGACAGATCATCAAACAAAGACATCATCACGCCGAGGTTATCCAGAGAGCTTACAGAGCCCACCGTGAACACAAACAGTATCTGAAACTACGATCCTCCGTCCTCACGATCCAGCAAAGATACCGAGCCACTGTAGCTGCAAGATCACAAAGAAGACAGTATCTGAAAGTGCAGAGAGCAGCCGTCACCCTTCAGTCCGCTTTCAGAGGACTTCAGGTCAGGAAGGAGGTTTCTCTGCAGCATCAGGCTGCAACCGTCATCCAGTCTGTATTCAGGAGACACAAAGAGGAAGTTAAATTCAAGGCCATGCGCCTGTCTGCGATTATTATCCAGAGATTCTACCGCTCCTGGATTCTGCAGAGAAAAGACAGAGAGAAGTTTCTGAATATGAAGGAGTCTGCGCTTGTCTTACAGGCGGCGTTCAGAGGAAACCGTGTGAGAAAAAGCATCGCTAAAATGAACAGAGCAGCTACAGTCATTCAGGCGAACTTCAAGAGGCACAAGCATCAGTCAGCCTTCAGGAGGCGGCGCTGGGCAGCGTGTGTCCTCCAGCAGAGGTTTAGAGCCCAGAGACAAAGAAACACTGAGATGAATCAATATCAGGAGGTGAGGAGAGCTGTGGTTACTCTACAAGCTGCATATCGAGGAATGAAATCAAGACAGATTATCAAACAAAAACAGGAGGCAGCTTCTCTTATCCAGAGAGCTTACAGAGCCCGCTCTGAGCGGAGGGAGTTTTTGAAACTAAAATCGTCTGTTGTTACTATCCAGCAAAAATACCGAGCCACTGTAGCCGCAAAGACTGAGAGAGCACGATACCTGAACACGCGCCGAGCTGCTGTCACTCTGCAGGCCGCTTTCAGAGGACTTCAGGTCAGGAGAGAGGTTTCTCTCCAGCATCAGGCTGCAACTGTAATCCAGTCTGCTTTTAGAAAACACAGAGAGGTAGTCAAATATCAGGCCATGCGCCTGTCTGCAATCATCATCCAGAGATACTATCGCTCCTGGATTCTGCAGAGAAAAGACAGAGAAAAGTTTATAAATTGGAAACAATCTGCTGTCGTCTTGCAGGCGGCGTTCAGAGGATTCTGTGTGAGAAAAAGCATCGCTAAGATGAACCGAGCAGCTACGGTCATTCAGGCGAACTTCAAGAGGCACAAGCATCAGTCAGCCTTCAGGAGGCGGCGCTGGGCAGCATGTGTGTTACAGGAGAGGTTTAGAGCCCAGAGACAGAAGAATAATGAGCTGAGAAAATATCAAGAGCTGAGGAAAGCTGCGGTCGTTCTCCAGGCTGGATATCGAGGAATGAAGTCCAGACAAATGATTCAGCAAAAGCATCAAGCTGCTCGTCTCATCCAGAGAGCTTACAGAGCCCACCGTGAACACCAACAGTATCAGACTCTAAAATCCTCCATCCTCACAATCCAGAGGAGGTATCGGGCGACTTTAGCTGCCAGAGAACAAACACAGAAATACCAAAACATGAGAAGAGCTGCTGTCGTCCTTCAGGCGGCATTTAGAGGTCAGAGGGTCAGGAAGGAGGTCGCTCTCAGACATCAGGCTGCAACCGTCATCCAGTCTGTATTCAGGAGACACAAAGAGGAAGTTAAATTCAAGGCCATGCGCCTGTCTGCGATTATTATCCAGAGATTCTACCGCTCCTGTATCAAGACAAGAAAAGACAGAGAGAAGTTTTTAAGTTTAAAGAAATCCACCATCACCCTTCAGGCAGCAGCCAGAGGCTGGTCAGTCAGGAGGGACATGAACAGACAGAAGCAGGCCGCCGTCGTTATCCAGTCCTGCTGGAGATGTTCGGTACAGAGGTGCGACTTCCAAAGGAAGCGGGAGGCTGCTGTGACGCTCCAGAGGAGGGTCCGAGCGTGGCAGATAGGCAGGCAGGAGAGAGAGAACTACAGTCGAGTGAGGAGAGCTGCTGTGGTTCTTCAGACACACTGCAGAGCCTGGATTACAAGACAACAGGTAGTCAGCCTTTTTGTTTTTCAAGTGGCTTCTTCTTTTTCCACCTAAATTTTAGCTCAAAAACTGCAAATACGAAAGGTGACGCAGCCATGATGAAGGTTTTACTGATTGTCAAGTCTCTAAAATGACAGAACAGTCACTGAAATATCTCTCCCTGCCCATGTTTAATGTTTAATGTCCTTATGATAAAGAGACTAAAATTTCATGTTTTCTTGTGTTTCAGGCACTAGAGAAAACCAGAGCAGAGAGGAGGCTCCGCTTCGCATCTGCAGGTTTCCACCATCTCTGCGCCATAAAGATCCAAAGAGCCGTGAGAGCCCACTGGGCTTTAGAGTCAGCCAAGAGACAAATCCACTCTGTCCTCACCGTACAGGTAAAGACAAGGGAGCCCCAGCTCTGACCAGGCCTCGTAAATGTTTCAGCGAGCGTTCAGTTTTCTGACGATTGCCTTGTTTTTTTTCTAGCGATGGGTGAGAGCGAGACAGCAGAGGCGGCGGTATCTGGAGGAGAGGAGGAAGGTGATCACAGCCCAGAGAGCAGCTAAGCGCTGGTTAGCTCGCCGCCACACGGCTGCATCCGTCATCCAGGAGGCCGTCCACAGATTCCTCCTCCTCAGGAGGCAGAAGAGGGTTCAGCAGGGCATTGTCAAAGCTCAGGTACTGCAGTCAGTGCTGGATGAAGTACAGATGAATTCACCTTTTCTTTCTTTTAACACAAGGATCATATGTCTTTCTGATTCTGCAGCTACTTTCACCAGCTGCTGTCAGTTCTCCTTTTCATACTTGGCGTCATACAGTCTCTTCTGGTCCAATAATGTTGCCTCTGACACACCGTTGTTTCCATATTATACTCGACTCTCCCTCCAGGCTCTATGGAGAGGACATCGCTCCCGCCGCCTGAACGACAACCCCAAAGTGGTGAAGCTAAGACAACGTCTACGCAAAGTCTCTGCTGAGGTCAAAGAGGAGGACAAACTGTGCAACAAGACGTCGTCGGCTCTGGACTACCTGCTCCGATACAAACACTTCTCCTACATTTTAGAGGCCCTGAAAAACCTCGGTAAGGCTTTCTCACTTCTGGTCAATCAAGCAGATTTAGAGCCTTGGTGTGCGTGTGTGTTTGTGTGTGTGTGTGCACATAAAAACACGTGTGAAAATAAACCCTTTGTGTGTTGACGCAGAGATCGCCACCAGACTGTCCCCAGAGTGCTGCGAGCGGCTGGTAGAGAGCGGAGCCACCAACATCATCTTCACTCTCATCCGCTGCTGCAACAGGAGCGTCCCCTGCATGGACGTCATCACCTTCTCCATCCAGATCCTCCTCAACCTCTCCAAGGTACCTCAAACCTGCACCAACCTTTTCATTTCAATAGGAAATGTTATCAGCCTCTCAACCTCTCAAGGGTGTAAAACGCCGAGTTTAAACCCTCTCCTCTGTTTACTTTCAGTACCATAAGACCATCGAGGCCGTGTATTCAGTGGAAAACTCAGTGGAGACGCTGCTGGACTTGCTGCAGAGATACAGAGAGAAGGCGGGGGATAAAGTCGCAGATAAAGGCGGCAGCATCTTCACTAAGGCCTGCTTCCTCCTCGCTCTCCTGCTGCAGGACAAACATCGCGTCGTGGTCCGTCACTTTACGTTATCTAAACTTTATCCCAACAATTTTCTTTTAACCTTTGAGAGATAAATTTTGCTTTTATGTAAATGTTTTGACTTTTTAAATTGTCTTTTAGGAGGTTATGAAGCTCCCCAAAGTCTTAGACAGGATACGCAGCATTTATCGCCTCACTGCTCGCAAACAAAAGATGGATGCGGAGAGGACTGTGATCAAACAGAAGATGAACGCCTCCATCAACGGGAGCTTCTACGTTCCAGCGACGCCTCGAAAATCCAACCCTGTACCAAAGTACGTTCACAGGAGACGAGTTCACGTCATGTCTCTGGGGTACCTGTTCATACATGTTTGCCGTGATTTCTGACTCTGTTTTTGTTTTTCCAGATTTGCACCAGATTGGGTTCTAAGGAAGGACAAGCTCAAGGATATCGTGGACCCGCTCAGAGCCATCCAGATGGTGGCAAACACACTGTCTATTGTGCTGTAAATATCTAAGCTTCAGAATTTTGATTTGATGAATTTTTTACCTGAAGAAAATATTTTTTATGTATTGTTGAAGGTTCTTTTAATCGATGCATTTCCATGTGTTACCTGTACATATTAAATTGGATTTGTTTCTTACACCGGGATCGTTTTCTGTCTCTTTCTAATGATAAGGACATTTTATTATGTGGTTTAAAATTAGGCTGTCTGGATATATCAATCACAACTAAACTCAAAGCCGTGTCTAACAATATTTTCACAATTTTTTCAAAATCTACACTCCCTAGTCAATATTTTCCTCTTCCTTTTGTTGTTCACCTCCTGCATTCATCCCGAGGTTTCATTTGTGATTTTCAATTTCGACAATCTTTCTTCAGCTTTTATTTTGAAATGTAGGAGAAGTCGAAAACCTTCCTGTGTTCTGACAAATCAAAATTTAACTGTCTTTTTAAAAACTGAGGACCGGCTTGTTATCAGCCCTACAGCGTCTGTAATAATATGACATATGTAGTTCAAACAAGTGGGACAGCACCATGAACACTAAATAATATATACAGGTTTTGGAGCAACATATGCTGCTACACAGGCAACACCTTCATCTAAATCTTTTCTATGCAAGTAGTGCCCCAAGATGACCAGCAGGAGGCAGCTGTGTTCAACTGTTCAACACTGTATGATCCTGATGAATGATGAAGTAGATTGTTCAAAATGTGCAGAAGTCTTGACTCCTGAAAGGTGTGTTTCAGATATAATCTCAATCTGTACATGAAGCTATGAAAAATGGCTAAAAAATGTGGGATTCAACCCTATAGAAATGAAGAGGCCTGTTTTTCACTATTTTGATGACTTTGTGAAAACTTTGTTGAACAGAGGGATGCCTCTCATAGCTTAGACAAGCTGTGTGCAATCTACATTGTGGCTCAACCTCTAAATGACTCCCATCTTAATGTTGCTCAGAGAATTTCCTTGTGTCTGTGTTAGTGCTGGTTTGGTTGTTTGATGAGCTGTGGACTTCCATGGCTACCCATGCAAGTGAAACTGTGAGAAATTCATTCTGATTTTGCCAATCCAGATTTGAAAATCCTCCTCCATTAAAGACTATAGAGGTGATTTTCATTCTTAATCCTTATACAGTATTAGTGACAAAAACGTCCACTAAAGATCAATTTTTTGTCTTAATTTGACAAAAGCATTCTCACTGTATTGCAGCAAATGGCATGACTTTTGCTGACAAACCTTATTTTTGCATGTAATTTGAAAATATGATTTCAAAAGGTCAATAGTACACTGTCGGCAAATTTACTACACTTTAGCATTATTAGTGGCTGAAAACAGCCACTAACTTTGCTGTAAAATATATCAGATAAATATTATTTTCTGTTTTTTTGCATAAATCTTTTAATCAACCTCAGTCTTGATCAAAACTAGTAAATATTAAAAAAAATAATAGATATTTTTAAGATACATATTTAAGATATTTTCAATATAAAAAGTGATTGGACAGAGATTTTTTTTTTTCATGTTATCACAGTCTGGGACATGTCTTAGATAAGTGACATCAATTACTTTTATGCATTTTTAGTTTTTGTGCAGCAATAGATTTTCAACAAAAACTTTTATGCTATCAGTGGCTGTTTTTGCCCCATTGACTCCCATTATAACCATGATTTGAAGTCAGAGACATGGCACAATATAAATATAATTCTTACAGTCAGGGTGATCAACTCAAATTAGGCAATTTTACCGTTGATCACCTGGTTCACCCATTTACCCAATACATAGTCCTGTTGTGTTACTAGCCTAGTTTCTGTATCTGTATAGTGGAGTTTAGTATTCAGTAGTTTTGATCAGGACTGCAGTTGCTTAACAGATTTATCCCTAAGTAGAAAGAAATATTGATCTGATACATTTTTAAAGCAGTTAAAAAACAGCCATTAATACTGCTAAAGGAAGTTTTTCTTAAGGCTGTTTGAGGATTAATACTGGGTAACGTTTCTACAGTGTCCACCTCCCTGTCTGCAGACAGTTTGTAAAACAAAGAGCTCGGTTACAGCTTGATTAATTGTGTTATTTAGAGTTCTGTTTGTTGACGTTTGCATCTCAATAGAACTGGCTTGAGCCATCTCCTTCCTCCTGGTTTCTATCCCTTTGAAAATATCTCTAACCTCCACTGTCCTTTTGTCTCCACCCCTCCAGCACCGTAAATAATCCCTTTCAGCCCTTTTATTAGATCATGCAAATGTAAATTCCATCACAATGCAAGTCAGTGAATGCAGTAGGGGTTGACTGTAATTGTTGCATTGCTGACACTGCAGCTCTTCAACTGTCTCTACTCAACCTCTGCACTTCAACAGATGGCACTGAATGCAGCTTTAATTTATTTAATATCAGGTGGAAAAATGGAGGCGTAATCTCAACCGTAAACCCTTTTTTAAAAACAAAATATGCAAACATTTTAATCTACAATTAAAAACCCACCACCTTGAGGTTTTCTTTAATGATACATTATTTTATAATTTATTTTTTACATTGTTTTTTTTTAATATCCTGTCCGAATGGACATCACCTTGAGTTACATCCTATGTATGAAAAGTGCTGTAAAAATAAAGATTGATTGATTGAATAGTAGTTAACTCTAGCTTTATGTTATTATTCTCGGTAAGTCTAATGTTCATGGTGGCATATAGCATTTTAAATTTGACCTCTTTTGTTCTATGAGGGAGTGGATAGGACAAATATCGTTTTCTTATCGTTCTTGCTTCAACAACACTCTAATCTAGGAGCTGTGTCTGTCTGTCAGAGGACCTTTCTTGTTTTGATTTCCCCACCCTCCCCGAGGAGACACTGATCACATGACCCGTCCACCGTCCAATCAGGTTCCAGGAAAGCACGGCTCGTAATTTTGAACAGACGACGGAGCAGCAGCAGTCAGGCAGAGAGAGAGCGGAGGACCGTCGATGTTTCCTTGAATCCCTCCTTGATTTATGGATCTTTTTTAAGCTGCTGTCGGGTCGGATGAAGTGAAAACATCAGCGCCGTCTCTCTGAGAAATATGAGTTCTCATGTTATCACTCCTGGACCGTACCGAGCCACAAAGCTGGTGAGTCTGTTATCCGTTAATTTGGAGGAGGAGGCTAACCGCTAACTGGAACTGGTTAGAAACACATTAGAAACGTTAGCTCATCGGTGTTTAACTCCGTTTAAATATTTATTTACACAGACTTATGAAACGAATAAGATATCTATTGTATTATTAATTTAAAATTCCTCCATTTTGAGTCCCTCCCCTCACTCACTAACACTAAAGTAAATAAAATGTTGGTTTAGTTGATCCGTTCTTTTAAACGGACTCTTCACGTTGAAAAAGTCAATTTTAACTTCATTTTAATTTTGTTTGTAAGATGTAAGTTTAATACAAACCATTTAAGACATAGATGTACCATTCTTTCAAATTATATGACCATTTCTACAGTTATTGCTCATAAAAATCGCTCAACATGTGACAATAAACACTTAATTTTACTTTACAATGATAAGAGCCTTTATGACTAATGATTTCAACCTATATCTATACAAATATGTATTTTACTAGTACTAAACTTGTCTAATATTAGATAGACCCCCTCTAATAATGTCAAAACCACAACAGCTCTGACCTGATGATACATAAGGTGAACTTCCATCATGTGATCAGGTTCAGTTCAGTCTAATATTTGGTTGAAAAACCACAATAACTGATCTGTACCATCCTACTTCTCTTAGAGGACCAAGTGTGTCTGTCTGACCCTCAGTACATCACTGATTTGTTGTGTGACCCTACTCCCCAGGACGCACCCTTGGGTCGTCAGGCCAGAACCTCCTAAAGGTGCCAAAGACCCGTTTTAAAACTCGGGGATACTGGGCTTTTAAGACCGTATCCCCCAGACTCTGGAACGATCTGCCTCTCTCCCTTCGTTTTATCGACTCAGTGGATGTTTTTAAAAAGCAGTTGAAGACTTTTTTGTTTAGACACATTTTAAATTAAAAGGGTTTATTTATCTCTTATACTGATCTTTTATAGCTGCACTTATTTCCGTACTCACCTGCACTGTATTCAAATTTGTGTATGTATATGTACTTATCTTTTGTACACTTTATGTTTATCTAATTGCACTCTGATGCAGCCTTTTAGCCATCACAACTTGGTCCTTGCTGAATATGTTCAAATTCTTACACTTGCTCATTTGTTTCTAACCCATAAACTTCAAGGGCAGCGTGTTTCTTCAGGGTTACTCGGGGGAAAGCTGTCAGGATGTCATTGATAATTTAAAGGGATATTCTGGCGTAAAATTAATTTAGGGTCAAACACACCGTAACACTGAGTTTTTCTTTCTTTCCTCTTTTAGTGGAATGAGGTGACTCGTTTGTTCCGGGCTGGTATGCCCCTCAGGAAGCACCGGCAGAACTTCAGACACCACAACTCCTGCTTCACCGCCTCTGCTGCCGTGGACTGGCTGCACCAGCTTCTCCGTAGCAACAGCAACTTTGGCCCCGATGTCACCAGGCAGCAGACGGTGCAGCTCCTGAAGAAGTTCCTGAAGAACCATGTGATCGAAGATGTGAAAGGTCGATGGGGCACAGAGGATCTGGAGGACAACAACAATCTGTACAGGTTAGAGAAAGAAACCTTTGCTTTAAAGTTTAAAAACACTGTCAAATAAGCGTTAAGGTTGTTGTTACATCTCTCTTTTCTCCTAGATTTCCCTCCACTTCTCCTCTAAAGCCTATCCCCCGTGCAGCTCCATCCTCGACCCCGGGCTCCATTAAGAAACGGCCATCATTCAGGGACAAGGAGGTTTTCTTCAAGTTTAGGAGCAGTAGGAAGCAGGACAAGGAGACACAGGTGAGTCAGAGTGTAAATAAATAACTATATCCAGGTTATGTCCACTTTTGTCCCTGAAAACAGATGTCTCCTCTACTCTCCGTTCCCTCCAGGAAAATATAGATCCTGCACTTCAGGCAGACGAAGATATTCAGCCAGTGGGAGAGAAGCAGGTGCACAGACGAGAGCTCACAGTGGGGGATGAGCACGAGATCTGGAAAGACATCACCCTGACCCAGTATAAATCATTTGCTTTTACTCATTTTAGTGCCTCTAGATTTTAACAAGTTTACTTCCTTTAATTTAAATAATCTAAAAGACTCTAGAAATGAGCAGCATTGTTTTGGGTGTTGTGTTTCAGCCTGCAGAGGATTCTGGGTGTTGCAACGCTTAATGAAGTTTTAGACCATCGTTATATAAACCCACAGAACATCATCCACAACATGACCAAAGTCAACAAGCATGGAGTGGTGACACTGGACGACAAAACTAGTAAGTTTATTCATCAGCTGTAAATTTAAACATCATGAGAAAAGCTCAAAAAAAGTCTCACTCAGTCTCTCTTTGTGAATATGTCTTCCTCTCAACATTTAGACTATTTTTTATTTATACTTTCTGAGCACACACAGAACAGACACGTCTCCTAATTCTGCATTTGAATAGAGTGGAGCACAACAGTCGACCACATGACCTCAATTATGAGGCCTCTGCTAAGTTTGAATCCCAAACAGCTCTATGAACTGGTCTAACCTGTTGCTCATCCCTACAGATGACCTCCCTCACTGGGTTTTGTCTGCAATGAAGAGCCTGGCCAACTGTGAGTAACAAGAACCTCTAAAAGGTGGAACTATTAACCCTTCTCTCTCAGTTAGACGGCTGCAGTAACCTGTCGTTTATTTTCAGGGCCAAAGTACGACAGCGCGCAGCCGTCTTATCCCGGCTTTGAGAGGGATGTCTTCAAAACAGTGTCTGATTACTTCTACAGTCTCCCTCAGCCGCTCCTCACATATGAACTGTATGAACTGTTTATCAACGTCCTGGGTAGGTATCATGGACCTTCTGCATCTCCTGGCTGCAATAGCGAATTTTTATGCTTTTTGATGGGATTATAACTACAATCCTAATTCCAAAAGAGTCGGGATTTGGTGGGAAATTATATGAAATGATGCAGGAGAAAGTGTTTTAACTCTACATGTCAATGAAAACAGTACAAAGACAACCTATCAGGTACTGAAACTGAAAATGCTTGAAAAAAAAAAAAGAGAATGCTCAACGCAAGTGATATGTTTCAACAAGTTATGGCATAAGCATGTTTACCATTGTGTTGGATCACCTCTGTAAATGTTTGGTAACCAAGGAGACGACTTTCAGGAGTTAGAATTTCAGCTGCTCAAACATTTGAAGTCTCCTTTGACATATTTTTCATCCATGATCGTCTGGACTGCAGAAAAGCCAGTTTAGCACCCTGACCCGTCTGATGTAGGACAGAGTCTTAAAGAGACATGAGACCATAGCCCTACCTACACACATCCAAAACCAACTTTGATTTATTTATTTTTTTGACACAGAATATACCAATATGGGCAAAATGATGTTGGTTATTGTCGTAAATTTCGGTATCTGTAAATTTTCGATTTATTGCCCAGCCCTACTCATGAGTTCAGCAGCATGTGGTCGCTTTCATGGTTCCCCTCGGGATTCTGACCGAGGAATTTTCTTCATTAGGACAAAAAAAAACCCCTTTGTTTACTTTTTTCTCTGCAAGCTTTGTTGGTAGATGGTTGCTAAAATTCCCACAGATGAGAGCTCACATCGATCGCTGTACAGAGGCCGAGTCCCCAAAGGACAAATGAGACTGACACTCACAAGACTGTCTGCAGGATCTTAATAATGCTGAGTCCTGCAGACTTGCTAACACTTGACTGCTAACAGAGGCTCTGGTTGTTGTCCTTCTGTCACAGTGAAATAAGCTGTTGTACTCGCTGTGTGTGTGTGTGTTTGCCTGTTATGTGTTGCCTCCAACCAGCTCATGGTTTGTAAAAGTTTGAACTAACTCGACCCTCTCCCTCCTCTTCGCTGTCTCTGTCTGCTTGCACTGACACTCTGCCTGCACCGCTTCACTCCCTCTCTGTCTCTGCATCCGCTTTCAGTGTTTTGCGGCTACGTCGCAGCACCGGCCGCACATCAACGCGGGAAACGCAAGAAGCATGACCTCCCCTCAGCCCCCCCTCCAGCCAAAGCGTCTTTCCGCTCCACAGAGTGTCTCCTCCTGTCGCTGCTCAGACAGGGGGCGTGTGACGAGACAGAGTCGCCCATGAGGGATGTGCTCGGCGGGAAGTTCCAGTCGAGGATGGCGGCGCTGAGAGGAGGTGGCGGTGAAGGTCTGTTAGGAGGCAGCTGCATCAGCCTGAGCGCAGCCGTCTCTATGAGGCCACAAACCAGGAGTTGTTCACTGGAAACAATCCTAGATGACTCCGCCCCTCTCACCCGACAACAGCTATTCCTCTCCAGCGACAGCCTGGCATCCTTCGCCCAGAGTAGCGGGAGCCAGGAGGACAGCCCCGTAACCACAACGCCGCACACTCACACAGACTTCCCATCTGTTTCCAAAGCCGCTCCTGTTGCTCGTGAAATCGCTCCAGGAGTTCGAACTAGAAACAGATTGTCTGTCGCTTCTTTCGGAGGAGTGTCGGGGACACAGAGGTTGCGCCCGTCACGACCTCGCAGCGTTGGCAGCTGCTTGGACATCGTCGTAGAAACAAGAGAAGAAGATGTCAAAGAAACCGGCAAGTTGCAAGACCGAGCAACCAGCTGCCTCGACGTGAACACTCCTGCTCACCAGCATCACTCCTCCTCAGCTTCCCACCCTCCACCGCTTTCCTCCTATCATCCTGTGTCCTTCTTCTCTTCCTCTGCTACCGCCAAAGCACAAGGGTCTCGCCTCACCGCAGCGCCCGGCGGGCCCAGACCCGCCGCCAGCACCTCTAATCTCTGGACGCTTCCTGCGCCTGCTGTCGTCCGGCGCTGCCTCAGCTCTCTGGATGTGTCGAAGCAGCCTCGACCCGTCTCGCTGCTCAAACCGCCTGTCCGTGTGCCCACCGGCAACTCCCAGCCCGCTCAAACCAAAGCTGAGCAAAGTAAGACTCTCTCTCCCCTCCACCCGTCTGTGAGTCTGCCTGTCTGTGAATGTCTAATCAAACTAACTCCATCTAACATCTAACCACCACTGAAATAACAACACAAGGTTTACCTTAGAAATACGACGGTGAGAGAGAGAAATGCAGGACAGAAAGGTTGGTGTTGGGATAAGAGGCGAGGATTTGGATGTAGTTTCAGTCGAGCTGTCTGGGGTTTGGTCATTTTTAAGGCTGCTGTTTTCACACCATCATACACACCAATGCCTGAGCCAATCCCTGAACACTGCACTGCTCGAATACCTCGTTATTATGGAGGGTTAGCTGCTCCTAAGAGGGACCTAAGTAGAGTTGCAAAGGGGCGGAAAATTTCAAAAACTTTCCACGGGAAGTTAAGCTGGGGAATTTTTGAAATATTCCAAATTGGAAACTGTAGAGTAAAATAATAAAAATCCTTAAAAACAATAATGCAGTGGCATGAGCAGAAATCTAGTTGGCTAAACAACTGGAATGGTCTTTGAAATATTGAACAATTGATGTATAAATTATTGTATGGTTACAGAAAACCATCTTGCAGGAGTCAGAAGAAACAACATCACATTTGAGGTAGCTACCACCACCACCACCGTAGGAGCTAGCCCCTTAGATGGTCAATGAAATGAAAAAAAAACTATTTTTAGTTACGTTACATATTAATACTATTATAGGTCAAATATATTTACCCCATAATATTATCCAAACTTACTTAACTTTATAAAGTCTGTGGGCTCAAAAGTGCGGCCTCCAGGGTTCGAGAAATCATCTGAGGAGTGTACTCGTATTAAATCTGGTTGTTTTAGCCAAGATTATTCTCCAATATTCTTTCTCCAACTATATTTAAGTTCCCCGTTGAGAGCCAACCTTCAGTTTTGTAAATGTCAGATTTATTCCCGTTAATTCCCATGGTAAGTTTCCAGAATTTTGCGACCCTAGACCTAAACAAACCCTGAATGACAAAGTAAGAGCAGAGAGGAGTGACAGGATCATTCAGCTGTTCACGCAGTCTAATATAAATATTTTCAGTTTTCTTCTTCTGACACTCGTGAGTGTGTCTGATAGTTTGGAGATCCTGGTTGTGTCTGTGGAGGGTGTCAACGTCCATCTTTCTGAGTTGATCAGGACTCTAAACTGGGATGTTCGTGCTTCTTTATCCCTCTGCATCAGGCTGTAGTGTCTGTAGGATTTTAGCTGACTCATCGTTCACTGTAGCTGTAGTTCATTAATCCTGTCATTAAAACCATTCATCCATCCATCCATTCATCTGTCATGTCCTGTGAATGTGATGAAGCAGTGATGGATGAATGTGACCACTCAGAGTGATTTTCTGTCTATTCATGTGTTCATGTTACTGCGTGAACGTGTGTGTGTGTGTGTGTGTGTGTGTGAATACACAGGCGTCCTCCAGCCTCACTGCGAACGTGTCGCCATCGAGGCCTTGCAGCTCTGCACGCTCCTCCTCCCGCCCACGTCCCGCAGGAAGCTGCAGCTCCTCATGAGGATGATGTCGCGCATCAGTCAGAACGTGGACATGCCCCGCCTCCACCCGGCCATCGGCACCAGAACCCTGGTCAGCAACCAACCTCAGCATTTTATTTAAGTGTGACTCCACCTCCTCACTTTACTCACACGACTCCGTCTGAACACGTTTGTTCTCGTTCCAGATGGTTCACACGTTTTCAGGCTGCGTCCTCGGCAGCGCTGAGGAAGGGGATCTGGACGAGCTGTTAGCGACCCGGCTGGTTTCCTTCCTCATGGACCATCAAGAGAGCATCCTCTCAGTCCCAGAGTACCTGCGCAGCGCCATCAATGGCCATATACAGTACCTACGAGCAGTTCAGGTACATACACCATCTTTAGGGAGTCGTCAGAGTTCATATTTTTACACATTTTGAACCCCTTATTTATGCACCTGTGAACTTTGACCTCGGTCTCTTTGTCACTTTGCCCAGAACTATATGGTTTCTGTCAGTGTTGGCGTCCTCTAAGGACAAACGGTCTTTTCTGATCACGTCCCTGATGAGAAAGTCTCGATAATGATGACGTTTGATGGACTAACCTCTCATTTACGGTGAACATTTGACATGGAAGATGGACAAACAGATTTTTCTTAATGGGCGCCACCTTCAGGCAGTAAAAGTTACAGTATCAGTCTTGTTGCTAAAGGTCTTGTTTGCTTCTGTGTATCTTAAAAATCCAACTATTTCAAAAACTTCCCAAGAGCTAAAAATGTGAATATTTCCTTGTTTTTCCCTCCTTAAACTAGATATTTGACTTTCCTTCTCAATTTTCTAACATTTTTTGGACATAAAGGCTGATCATTTATCAAGGAAAATGTGTTTACCGCTTAGTTTAATGTAAGTCTTCTCAGAAAGATGTACACTGTCTTTTTTTTTCCTCCTGATTGCAGGTACCAGTCGATGGCGCAGCTGACGGTGACAGCGAAGATCCAGGCTGCGCTCCAGTTCCCATCTACGCCTTCTGCCATCAGATCAGTGGCGCTGAGTTTGAACAACAGAAGCTGGAGGCTTCTCAGAAAGCCATGGAGGAGCTGCTGGAGATCCTGCTGACCGACCAAAGCATGAGTGAGAAGGACAGACGCAAGAAACTCAAGCAGGTAGAAACCGTCTCGATTTATCCTCGATTCAAAGATGCTGGACAAGCGTAATCAAATACTGACATAATAATCGCAAAAATAGATGCAGAAATAAGTTTATTTTCCTTTTTTTTTCTGAAGGAGGACTGCAGGAAGTTTTAGTCAAAACAGACTGCTGTCTATAATCGTAAATGTATGTGATGTTAAGGTCAGTCCTGGTCATTTCCCGTCTTTGTTTCAGTTTCAGAAGCAGTACCCCGACATCTACAACCGGCGCTGTCCCCCGTCAGAGAGAGAAAACAGCAAACCAAAGATTAAACCTCCGCTCCTCAACATCAAGAAAACCAAAGCTTTCAGCATCAGGAACTAAACCGGGCGAACAGGTGACGTTGTCATAGAAACCACAGCACACAGTTTCTGTCACTTTTGCTGCACTATTGCTGCGCTGGTACTAAGAGATCTGGAGAATCCACTTCTTTTTGCAGCTTTCATCTCTTCATGTTACGTTGGATTTACTGTTATTAAAGAGTTCGTTTGTGTTTTAACGGTTTCAGCACCATGTTGGAAACATCATGTTTTCATGAACGAGGTTTTATTTCTGAAATGTTCGACAGTTTTAGAGTAATCGCCCCGTTTCCTCCTCTCACCTGTTGTGATACTGACCTGTGTGTGTGTGCATGTGTGTGTTTAAAGTTTGAAGGTGCGTTTTGGGAGAGAAAATTATAATTCGGAGAGATCACTGGTCAAAATGAGAATGATTCGACTTTCTATATTTATGTGAATGATGTTCTGGGAGATATGTGTTTGCTTGAAGTGTTTTATTCTCGTGTTTTAGAGTCTTTTCTAAACGTTTTATATCTTTGTTTCATAGATTTTATTTGAACTGATCTCTGAGCCTTTTCTGTTCCCAAACTCTGAATTCTTCTCCTTTTCAATCTTTTGTTTTTTTATTCGTTTTAATCTTTTCTTAAAAAGGGATCTCCTTTTTTTTCTTTTTTTTTATTCGTGTTTGTCATCATTGACTCATCCCTGTTTAGTGCATCGGCCGGAGTGATATTTTGCACTGGATTTAGTAAACTGAGAGGCAGTTAAAAAAGGTTAATTTATCGGTATTTAATTCTCCCGTTAGAAGGTTTAAGTAGACTCCTGTTGTGTTAAGCTCGACTGAAAATGTCCAGCTTCCCTCTTTTTTCTATTTATCTATATGAAGTATTATCCTAATGTGTGTCTTTACCTCAGATCAGATGTAACCGCTTGTGTGTTTGGACAGAGTTGTACACATGAAGTGTTTATAGTTGTGTTCTTCCTCTACATTGTTTACTATGCAAACCCTGGGAAATAAACCTGTTAAGCTGTTTTATTTAAACGACTCTGTCCTGTGTCTTTTGGTTTTTGTCGGATGAAATCAGGAATTCTTTGTCATTGGCTCAGGTAATAAACTGCAGATATTCATGGCATCCTATGTAGTATACTGCCCCCTCCCCTTCCTTTCCTTCTCTGCTTTTTCAAACAGGAAATAAACTCTCTAATGTATGGAAGAAGATTAGGGCCACTGGAGAAAAATAAATAAATCAATGTAATTTTTTTTAGTCATTATTCTGAGAAAAAAAGACAAAATTCTGAGTTTTTCTCTGAATTCTAGGATTAAAGTCAGAATTCTGACCTTTTTCAGATTTCTGAGATAAAAATTAGAATTCTGAGAAAAAAAGTCAGAAGTCTGAGTTTAAAAGTAAGAATTCTGGGAAGAAAAAAGTCAAAATTCTGAAAAAAAAGGCAGAATTCTGAGTTTTTCTTAGGATTCTGAGATTTAAGTTAAAGTCTCAGGGAAAAAAGTCAGAAAGTCAAAATTCTGAGTTTTTCTTAGAATTTTGAGATTAAAGTCAGAATTCTTCCGGAAAAAAAAGTCAAAATTCTGAGAAGAAAAGTCAGAATTTTGAGTTTAACGTTAGAATTCTGACTTTTCTCAAAATTCTGAGTTATTTCCCCGGACTAATAATTTTTTAATAATTATATTGAACATTGTTGTTATTTTTACAGTGGACCTAACTCTCTTGCGTATAAATGGACTGTGATGTTTGACAGAATTATGTTTCAGTTTTCATCTTTGAGCAAACTATAATTACTCATTGAGCTCAAATGAAACTAAAGTCATGTTGCACGTTGTTGTAGACAAATGGAACAACTGATTACAGTTTCTACTGACCGATACGGATCATGAGAGAGCATGTCACCTGTGGTTACAGTTTCAATATTAACATAAAAACTCTATTTACAAAGTTGCACAAGCACTTGCAGGGGTCCACAGAGTCTCTCAATGGCAGATATATGCTGCCGATACCACAGTGTTGTTATTTTTCTTGCATTTGACAAAAAAACAACAACATTATGATAATATTTGCAAATGGAAAAATTACTAAAGCAGTATTTTTAGGTTATGCACAAGATTTCTGAAAGTGTCTGATACTGTTGCCTATACTAGACAGCATTATTCTTCACATTACAGTGGAGCTTAAAAAAAACCTTAAAACTCAAGCTATGAACTGTTTAAGATCTTATGTGAAGCTGTAAGGTGATGTTTTCAATTGGAAAAGGTAATGCTAATATTGGACAATTATGTCAAAATGCATCAATTTGCCAATAGATGACTTATGTGCAGTGTGCAGCTTCATAGTTTTGTACTGCAGAAGTGTTAGTTCACCTTAAATTGCGTTTTATTTAATCATTAAATGTATTTTAAGGTCTGTGTGTGTGAGATGGGTGAGAGTTATTACATATTTACTAGCATTCACTTGTTAAATCATCATTTTTTCAGCCCACACAGAGCCCCAGATGACGGATGACTCCTCCGTTTAACCCTTTATCATCCAACTATTCATTGTAATTCCTGTGTCATCCTCCTATTCAGTGATGTGGTTTCATTAATCAGGATGACAGAGGACAAAAATAGGCTGGACATGGTTAATCATTCAGTCCCCCCTCCCTTCCCCTCTGTGGCTCCTTCTCCTCTTTCAAAGCCAGCCAATTAAAATAGTTTCTGAGTGTTTGTGGAGGCTGTCTGGAAATAATTACCCGTGTATTGGACTCGTTCTCCGGGTAAAATTCAGCAGCAGAAACAAACAGTTTCAAAACACTGACCACATCCCCGTTAGGTGAGGAAGTGTTTGTGTTCCCAGGTCGACAAAGAAGTTGTTCTGAGGCCTGGAGGACATTCTGCAAGGAGTCGAGGGCCAGACGGCTGAAAGGAGGGAGACAAAGATGGCTTGTTCAGGAGGAGGAGGAGAGGCTTGAGAGGAAATCAGGGGAGAAGGAGAGGGGGTTGCACAGGAGAGAGGGAAGAGTGGGGAAAGTAAGGGAGGATGGGAGGAAAAGAGAGGAGGGAGGAGTGAGTTTCCATCCCTCACCGCAGGAAATCTGTGTTTGGTTTAAATGCCAGCCGAAGTCTCTTTACAAGCTGCCCGTGAGTGTGAGCGTCAGGGAAATACAGCAGCATGGTCAGCCGGTGAGTTACCTTTCTTTTCTCTCACTCTGATTAGAAAGTTTGTTTTCCTTTTCTTAAAATAAGGTGTGATGGTAAGTTTGAACAAGATATTTTAAGTTCCTTCTTTAAAATGGGTGGAAATTTGAATGGGGTTTGGTCTGTTGGATCAAAACATCATATTAAAACCACACTTAGATTCCTTCAAATAGTTATGCTGATTATAAATTTTGAAGATCTCCCTTTAAAGTAAGAATCAGGCTTAACTGCACAGGATCAAGATGTTTGGTAGGTGTCAGAAAAGACAAAGACACCAGTGAGGAGGTTTTATAGTTTGGAGTTGGCAAAACAACTTCACCACGTGGTCCTTTTGGTCACTTTCCTGCAGTTTTTGACAGTTTTGCACAAACTTCTTGAGCAGATGGATGGATGCCTGCTCCAAACTGTTAACATTCCCAAATTTTCCAAGCTTGAACTTTAGATTTTATCCTTCAATCCTATTACAATCATTCAACTCAAACTGCTGTTACAATTAAACATACAACAGCTACTAAATTAACCTTTTTTGATTGTAAGATCAAGACAAAGCAAACTCTATCATCAGTATTCAAGATTTATGCAGAACAATAAGAAAGTTATTTCATAACTCCGATGTAAACTGTGTCTTAACTCTGTTTTGTTTTTTTCCCTCCAGTGTGGAGCATCCTGCCGCAGGCTACAAGAAGATCTTTGAGACGGTGGAGGAGCTGAATGAGCCCATACCTGCTCGGATCACAGGTAAGGAGGAGAAGAGGTGACTTTTTTAAAGTCAAGTATCACAGAGCAAAGTTAGTGTTTGATTAAAAGTTCATTGTTCATTTATTCCGTCAGGCTTGAAGTTTGGGGTTAGCAGCAGCATAAAATCATGATTTATATAACAGAGAAGAGGAGTATCTATCAGGCAGGATTTTGAAATCTTAAAGATTACTGACAAATAGTAAAAAACAAATCAATAGTAGTTCAAAACTGGCAGGAGCAGTTTGTTGTAGTTCAGAAAATGGGAAAAATGAGAGGAAATTTAATTGTAAACATCAGAAAGCACAGATGACTTGAAACCAGAGATGTTTTTCTGTGGTTGGATTCTTTTTACAGAGAGATTTTAAGAGTTTTAAAGGGTTTCTGTTGCAGTTTAAACAGAATAATTTGACTTTACGAAACAGGCAGGCAGGGAGGATTTATTCTTGATGCAGAAGTTTCATTAAAAACTTGATTTTTCATCCTCACATTGGTTGTCATGTAACTGTAACTGGACAGACCATTTATTCCTGACTGTTTCTGTTTTAAATAGCAGGTGATATAAAAGCAAAAACAAGAGTTTCCTTCCCCAGGCTCCTGTCCAGAGTTGGAGTTTGTTAAAACAGTGAAATATTCGTCTCTGATTCTCTGAAAAACATTAAAAACCAACTTAAACACATTTAGTGATAGGTAAGGTTTAACAACTGAACAGAAAGACCTCTCAGCTCGCATAACGATCAAATATAGTCTTTCCAGCAGCTGTTGAATCCAAATGTTTATGTTAACATCAAAAAACACTTGAAAAACAATAAAACTATTTAAAAAGTAAGAGTCGATGATGTAGCAGAATATGTTCAGACCTCTGGGAAGGAAAAGGCCCTAAAAAGAAAACTAATGTTCAGCCAATATGTAGAGGCAGAGCGTCAGATATTTGGAGCTGCAGCTGGAAAGGTTTGGTCCTCCCTGAGCTCCGACCAAAACCCGGGTCCGCAGATCTGGGTGTCCTTTATAAAAGAGGAGGTCTGAGAGATAAGTAGATAAGATGTGCTCATGATTATGTCCACCAGAGGAAGACAAGGTTCCATGTTTGCTCTTGTTTTGCTTGATTATTAGTTTTGGATGACACAAGGCTGAAAAGGAGCGGATACTCCAGCCAGGTCCAGTCCTCAGATAAGAAAGCTCTCTGTCACTCACATCCTGCATGTTCGTGTGTTCGCAGGTAGGATACCGTCATGGCTGGGCGGCAGTCTTCTCAGGATGGGTCCTGGACTCTTCGAAATCGGAGACGAACCTTTCCACCACCTGTTTGACGGACAGGCTCTCATTCACAAGTTTGACCTGAAGGACGGTCGTGTGACCTACTACAGGAAGTAAGGACATGACATTTCTTGGTTTTTAGGGCGATCCAATTTTCTTTTTTACTCTTCGTCCTCTTCTGGGAAACATTTAACCTTCTGCCTGACTGTTCCTTGAGATTTTGGCGAGGTGTGTGTGCTCAGGAATTTGAAGGGAGTTTTTGCATCGTTGGAAATTTTCATACTTTTTTTCTGCCAAAGATAAAAAATACCACGCACCTTTTTCTTTATCGTTTTTATCAGTTTGGTGCAGATCCAAATCCTGATACAGACATTTCACCACATCTGATTCCTGTTACTCAACTGTAGAAAACAGCTGACGGTGAATTCATCCAAACTGAAATGTTGCAACAGCAGAAATAAAACACAATACTTGAATACAGACACACACAGACACACAGCAGCTACAAACCGCAAAAATCCCTCAAACTGCTGAAGAGGTGTTTTGTTTATGCAGCACAGTCAGGAGGATGTTTTATAGATGTCATATTCACCTCCACAGTTTGATTACTCTGATTTATTTGCTGCTCTAACGTTGACGTCTCTGCTCAGGTTCATCAAGACGGATGCTTACGTTCGAGCCATGACGGAGAACAGAGTCGTCATCACCGAGTTTGGGACGGCAGCTTATCCAGACCCCTGCAAAAACATCTTCTCCAGGTGAAAATGATGAAACCTCACAAAGACACATTTTACCCTCTCAGCCATAAAGTCCAATATCATCCTCTCATGGACCTTTACTGCAAATGAGCATTTTTACAAACACTCAGTACAGTGCATCAGGGGTTTGTGCATGGTTACGAGTTACTCTATATCCATGTTAAATTAACAAATACCCAAATTGCGTGAAACAAATGTAATAAATCTAAAGCTTTCCAACTTGTGTATATTCCCTTTTATGGAAACCCTTCATGGAAAGTGTATTATTGCATTATTTTAATTTTATTTGTAGGTTTTAAATCTTTAAAGCTCCAATAAGGAGTTTTTTCACATCCATGAAATTCACACTGAAACTTTTTATTGATATTCAGAATCAAACAAAGTCATCAGCAACACGATTCCTGATTTTTAAATAGTAATTTCTAATGTCTGAAACTGGTGTGAGGGGGTCAGTGTCGGCCAAGCAGCTGTTTTTACCTTTTCACAGTCAAAAGTCAACAGGACGACCTTAGACATCTGAACACAGGGGGCGCCAACACTGACACAAAGTCCTCACAGGAGCTTTAAATATAAACTTAGCACGTCAGTAACTTCATCGTTTGTTCCAGAAACGGAAATCTCCTTCAATAATGTATCGAAAACTTAAATTTATTTGATTATTCCCCAAAACGAGAACATTAATTTACAGATCGTTCACTCCATTTTCCCAAAATGTATCTAGATATCTCACAAGAAAAGTGTTGAGAGGATATTTTGCAGATCTAAACACTCGGCTTCACCTTGGTCTCTGATCTGCTAAATGAAAATTTGATGAAGGTTTTTCACCATCTAGACTGTGTGTGTTTTATTTACTCTTAAACTGCTTAATAACAGTGTAATAGACTGAGATGTTTTGAGTTTATAGTGACGAAAAAGTACAATAAAACTCTAGAAGGCCAAGAAAGCCAAATTAATTATTATGTAAATTATTATCTTGGATCATGTTTTATTTTAAGGCATTTTTCTGAAGATGCATGTTAAAGTGAATTCTCTCGATTTAAACCCTAAACTGAAAAATTCAAGTGTAAACCTGAAAAAGGAGCATCTTAAAATATCCGCGCACCATGTTAAATATCTGACGTCTGTCTGCCTTTCTGGTGAAAGATTATCCTTAATGTCTAATCCTGAGGACTAAAAGCCTCTGTGTAATATTATACAGACAAACATTTGGGTAATTTGGCCTTATGGCAAACTAATTTATGACAAGTTATGCAAGTGAGATGAGAAATCCTCATACCGTCTGTGTCAGCTCTGAAAACTGCTGGTGTGGTTCTCCGCTTCGATTCAGAAATGTGAGCCATAAAAAGCACCTGTGGTACATCTGTGGGTGGAGACGACTCAGGAGTTATTTTACGCTGAAGAGGTTCATCTGCCTGAGAGAGAGAGCAGCTGGTTTTTAATGTACCCAGAGGGTGTTCGAGTTCATTTAAGGTTTAAAAAACTACTCCTCTGTTGTCACCGCCACATTTTTAACTCTAAGAAAGTGAAAACTGTTACACCGCAACTCAGGAAGACACCGACTCAGAGGGGGATTGGACTAATTTACTGATAAAAGACTATTTTACAGTTTTAGTTTCATTTATACAGTCCCAGCAAAAGCTGAAATATATGTTACCCTGCATGTATTTTCACTTACTTCTGCAAGGATGTCTAAAGTTGCAACACAAATCAACTTTTGCAATAAGGGGTTTGACTCAGAATCTTTTATGGTCACTTTTGGATTTTAAGACCCATGACTAGAGACCTGACATGGACTCATCTATATCAATGCAAGACAGTTCTAATGCTGAAATGATTCTTCTTCTACTTACTGCACTATGTTGAAAAACAGGCTGATCATCAGCTCTGCTCCTGTCTCTGCAGATTCTTTACTTACTTCAGAGGAATGGAGGTGACTGATAACTGCTTAGTGAACCTCTATCCAATCGGTGAAGACTTCTACGCTGTCACGGAAACCAACTACATCACCAAGGTGGATCCTGATTCGCTGGAGACTTTAGGGAAGGTGAGAACTTATTGGCTGAATATATAATGGAGAATATTTTGGGTTATCTTGATTAATTCTTGGGTTTGTCTTCTTGTATTTTTCAGGTGGATCTGTGTAAGTACCTCTCAGTGAACGGGGTGACGGCTCACCCCCACAAAGACCAAGATGGTACGGTCTATAACATTGGGAACTGCTTTGGGAAGAATATGAGTTTGGCTTATAACATCGTCAAAATCCCCCCAGCTGAGGAAGGTGAAATTAAATCCTTATTTAAAACATCCAAAAGTTAAATCATACGAAGCTTTTCTTTTCTTTCTTTAAGATGGTTATTTTTCAACGAATCAAACTTAACTTCAACGCCAATCCTAAAGTTGCAAATAATTATTGTCCAAAGGTGAGTCAAATCCTCTGGAGAAATCTCAGGTGGTGGTTCAGCTTCCCAGCAGTGAGAGGTTAAAACCCTCCTACATCCACAGGTACAAAGTCTCTTCTGTTTCTCACCATGAGCACATCGTACCATGACTTTGAGCTTCATGCCTCTTTTTTCCTCTCTGTTTATCTGTTTGTAGTTTTGGTATGACAAAAAACTACTTTGTGTTTGTGGAGCCGCCTGTGAAGATCAATCTGCTCAAGTTCCTCTCAGCCTGGAGCGTCAGAGGAGCCACATACATGGACTGCTTTGAATCCAATGAGACCATGGGGGTGAGTCAGGCTGGGTTAGATGCTCATCCACACCAACTAGACTCAGAGGGTGATAGGAAGCTGACGTTAAATCATATTTATGTCACAGTACCATTGTCTTCTTTAAATTCATTTACTCTTCATAAAAAAATCTCAGGTTGTTGTTTACCGCTCGTTTATTAGGTGTATTTGTGTGTTTGTGTTTTATAGACTTGGTTCCATCTGGCCACCAAAGACCCTGCAAATCATCTGAACAACCACAAGTTCAGAACGTCGGCCTTCAACGTTTTCCACCACATCAACACGTACGAAGAGGAGGAGGGATTCATCGTGGTCGACCTCTGCACCTGGAAAGGGTGAGTATGACCCTGAGTGTGTGTGTGTCTGTGTGCGTGTGTCACAGTCTCATCCCTCCTTCTGTCTCCACAGTCACGACTTTGTGTATAACTACCTGTACCTGGCCAACCTGAAGGGGGACTGGGAGGAGGTGAAGAAGGCAGCGATGAGAGCTCCTCAGCCCGAGGTCAGGAGATACGTTCTGCCGCTGGATATACACAAGGTGAGCTGAATATGAGGTATGAGGTCAAATGTATGAATGTGTTTACATAATGAGTAACGGTGAAACTGCAGAGTGACTTTGGCGGCTAAACGAAGATGCTTCAGTATTTTACTCTCTGGTTTTAATTCTGTTTTTTATGTTTTTCCGTATTTTCAGGAGGAGCAGGGGAAGAATCTGGTGTCTCTGCCTTACACCACAGCGACTGCTGTTCTCCGTAGTGATGGAACCATCTGGCTGGAACCTGAAGTCCTCTTTTCTGGACCCAGACAGGGTGAAAACAAAAAAACTATACACAAGGGTTAAGATAAAGTGAGACCAAGAATATTTTACCACAGAAATCTTGGTCAAGTGTATCTTATACCATATTCTATCATGTTCTTTTTAATTTTCTATCATATTATATCAAAACATTACATAGTGCATCATGTTATATTGAATTGTATCATATCAGATCATAATGTTACGTGCTCTACAGTGACCTAATGTGACGTCATCTAACTCAACAAAATTTATATTTGTATCTTCTAATATTGTATCTTATCGTATCATTACCTACCATGTCATTTTATACTTTATTTATTATAACAAAACATATCGTAACAAAACTCGTAGTATCACATCTCACATGTTGTATTGTATCATATCAGACCTGGTCATAGCGTTGCTTAATGTATTGCACTCTGACGTACTGTTAAGTCTTGTTGAAGTCTTTAAACACAACGTAACATATGTTATCACATTATTTTGTATTGTATCTTATCGTATCATTTGTTTAGTTTGTTTTTATATCCTACTGTGTCATTTTGTAACACTATTTCAGGTAATGTAACATAATTAGGGCTGTCAAACGATTAATCTTTTTAATCGCGATTAATCGCAGAATCTTCATAGTTAACTGTGTTTAATCGTGGTTTGAATTGCATGTTTAAAACTCTGTTATTTTGCATTTTAAGGCAGTTTTAAGCCCATAATGAAAAGTATTTCTTACCAGAGTCTTAACTGGGAATCAAATGAACACAAAGAAAGAATTTCCTTTTTGACCTTTTTGTATTCTTTCAAAAAAGTGCCATGTAGACCAACTTAATGTTTCTCTCTCTCTCTCTCTCTCTCTCTCTCTCTCTTTCTCTCTCTTTTCCTGTTTTTCAGCCTTTGAGTTTCCACAGATTAACTACTCTCTGTGCAACGGGGAGAAGTACTCCTTTACTTACGGCCTCGGACTGAACCACTTCATCCCTGACAGGGTGAGGGAGTATTTTTTAGTCCTCAGACATGCGTTCGGTCTTCTTATTGTCACTGATGTCGTCCCTGTTGTTGGTTTTCTAACTCACAGATAGTGAAGCTGAACGTTCAGACCAAGCAGACCTGGGTTTGGCAGGAGGAGGAGTGCTACCCTTCAGAGCCGCTGTTTGTACCCAGACCTGGAGCAACAAGGGAGGACGATGGTACCGCATTCTTTTACTTAGACTTGGACAGACTTAGAAGGTGTTTCCTGATCAAAAAGCACACTCACTTTATGTCTCCGTGTTTCAGGTGTGCTGCTGAGTATCGTGGTGAAGCCGGGTGCAGAGAGACCCAGCTTCCTGCTGGTGCTGGACGCCATGAGACTGACAGAGCTGGCCCGTGCGGACGTCGACGCCATCATCCCTGTGACCCTCCACGGACTGTACAAACCATGAACCCTCAGAAAATGGACTCCAAATAAAAGTTTTCTGAACACAGAACCACGGCAGAACTTTTTATTATACGCAAAATAATCATGTATGTCAGCCGTTGTTGTTTTTGAGGGATCCAAGAGGGAGGATTTGTTCTTCAGGGTCTTAAAGCATTATAAAAAATAAAAAACAATACTCGTTTATCAAACACATTTAGCACATTTATCCTGCTGAACTTCTTTTGGCTTTGCAGTGCTTCTCAGGGTCACTGGAAAGATAAGGAATTTATAATATTGTTTGCAGAAGAAGTTATTTACAATAATGAGCATTTAATCATTTACTATTTCAAAGTCTGAGAGTTCAAATATCCGACTTTTTGATGACTTTGATTTCAAAAAAAGATGTTACTGTATCAAGCTTCATCATTCCTTGTGGCTCATGAATAAAAATGAGTCTCAAACATTTCTGACTGTTTTCTCAGCCTGTTAGTATCTTTTATCGCTGTTTTTTCAACTGTGATCTTGTTTCTTCCCTTTCCTTCGAATTTTTTAAAAAGTTCTTGCTGTTTTATGATGAAAAACCTTTTTGGATCATTTACATTCAAAGAACCTCCTGCAGAGAAGCATTCTGTGTTTACCATAGCGATCTGTGCAAAGTTCACTGACCAAGAAACCGGTTTTGAACAGCTGCAGCTGAAACTAGGTTTGAAAGATTACTTATAAAAAAGAGAGCTGTTATACATTCAGGTATGTCTTCAGCGCTGCGTTAGGGTGCACGTTCACACTTCTGCTGCTGTGACTGAAGATACGCCAGCGTGTGTCTGACCGAGTCCTCCACTTCAAACAGTCGAGTTTGGCGTGAATCTTTCCTGCAAAGAGAACGATGAGTTCCCTGAAACATGTGAACCCCAGAGTGAAGGACATCAGAGCGTCATCACACAGCGAGCTGACCAAACGGGCTGAACAAATCACCCAAGAGATCACACAGGCGAGTGATTTTACTCAATAAACTGTTAAATAATTTTAGGTTTTCTGGCATCTGCAAATATTTACTACTACAGCTGTGTGAAATAAAGTTATTTAGCTTTTATCAAACCAAACAAAATACATGTTTATTACAAATATGTGTGTATTTAATTAGTAATAATTGTCAGATCAGATTTTCCTTCTTTTACATTTAGGATTATTTTGGTCTTTAATCCAGACTGACTCTCAGCTACAGCTTTAAAACTGTTTCAGTCTTATCTATTGTATGTAGACATATTTGGAGGTTAGTACCAACAATCAAATCCACCTTTTTAATTCTCCTTTTTAATCAGGCTTTTAATATTTCGTGACATCTCCCATTTGCTATTTTATCATTGCTGTGTTTTCTTACCTTTTTATTGTTTTGATATCCCCTGACATTTGTTGTTGTAAGGTGCTATATAAATAAACATTATTATTATTGTTATAATAATAATAATTATTATTATTATTATTATTATTATTATTATTATTATTATTATTATTATTATTATTATTATTATTATCATGTTATTATTAATATTGTTATTATCATAATAATTATCGTAATAATTATTATTGTTGTAATCATGATCTTTATTATTATCATTATTATTATTATTATTATTATTATTGTTATTATTATTATTACCCTGTACTTTGACCTATCTTGTTCTCCCTTTTCATGCTTCCTCTCTGTCAGCCCCTCAGTTTATAAACTTTTGTCTCCTTGTCCAGCAGGGGGCACTGAGACCCTTTAAAGAGGTGATCGATGTCAGCTCAGGTGATTTCCACAGAACAGGGATGAAACCACTGACATTTGTCCGCCAGGTCAGTCCTTTGTTCATCCTTCACTAAGAAATCCCAAACCACTTTTCTGATAAATTTATAACAAATCCATCTGTCTGTATTTTCAGAAACACATGTGTTTTTCCCTCAGATTGACTGAAATATTTGCTGTTTTCTCAGGTGTTGTGTGTGTGTTTGTACCCTGAGCTCCTGGAGAACAAAGATCTGCCTCTGGATGTCAGGCAGAGAGCTCAGAGGTTACTACAGATCTGCGATGGGGGAAGTTTAGGTGAGCTCTTTTAATCTTCTGTGCACATTATATCAAGAAAAATACGAAACTAACATACCTGATTGATTTATTAATAGGATCTTACACAGCCTCTGCTGGTATGTGGCGAGTCAGACAGAGCATCTCTGAGTTCATCTCAAGACGAGACGCAGGAGTTCCTTCATACGCCAAAGATGTCTTCATTTCTATAGGATCTCAGAAGGCCCTCATGGTACAACCACAGTTTTAGACCTTTTTGCTGTAAAATTATGAATTTCAGTCGATCAGGGTAAATTAGACCTATCGAAAGTTTGGAATAATTTAAAGAAACAGGAATACATAAACTAAATGTGAGTTAGCATGTGTAAAAAAGGTGTGGTGAGTTGCTCTGTTGTGTTCAGACGATTGTGAAGCTGATCTCCAGTGTTGAGGGACAGACTCGTACAGGTGTCTTGACCGCGGTACCCTGTCCTCACACTCTGCCCTCCCTGCTGGACGACGCCGGGGTGACTCTGGAGCCGTATCTGCTGATGGAGGACCAAGGCTGGGCTGTAGATCTGGAAGAGCTGCACCGAGCTTTGAAGGTCGCTAGAGGGCGCTGCAATCCGAGAGCTGTTTATATTAGCAACCCAGGAAACCCCACAGGTAACCAGGTTAAGCTAGCAACATTTACCACCCTTGTAAATCTGACATTACTACTTTTGTTTGTGTATGTTTATCATCTCAGGTCATGTTCAGGACAGAAAGTCGATACAGGAAGTGATTCGGTTCGCAGCAGCAGAGCGACTCCTCCTATTGGTCAATGAGGTGAGCTAAAACTGTATCTTTGGATCGGAGTTTAACGCCGAAGTTTGTTGCTGCTAGCCAATTAAAATAGATATTTAGATAGATATTTCTTGCTAATCACCCAGCTGTGTTTAATAGTTAATTGTGCACAGTGAAAACCATAGACAGTTTATAGAATGGACGCCGTCTGCCTCCTCGCTGGGTGAAGCCACCGCGAGAACAGCACACCCTGGTGACGGGCTGCAGTATAGGTCATAAATCCTGCCTCCTCCAGCAATCCTTATGGAGCTGTGGACAAACTTTAGAAATTAATTGAAGATTTCAGCTGTATGTCTCCTTTTTTTTCATCACTTATTTATGAATCACTATTTTGTTTTAAACTCCAGGTGTACCAGGACAGCGTGTTTGGAGAGGGCGGAGAGTTTATCTCCTATAAGAAAGTCCTGTTTGAGATGGGGGACGAGTTCTCAGAGGGAGTGGAGCTGGTCTCTTTTCACTCTCTGTCCAACGCCTGCATGGGAGAGTGAGTCCTCGTGTGAACTTTTGTAAACTAATAAAGAAAATGTTATTAGAAGAAATATACCGACTAAATTTCTGGGAAATGTTCTCAGCTGGACACCTCATTTTTTAGTATATTGCCCCCTGCTGGTCATTAATGGGTGCAGGTTTGTACATGAAATTGTTGTATTTGGAAAGTAGGCAGCAGGTAAAGTCACATATTTCCAGGCCATCCAACCCTAAAAACAGCCTGTAGATTTTATGATGCATCTGTATGATATTAACTATCATATGTTTGGTTAGTTTAATAACTTGGTGTTCCAGGTGTGGTCTGAGAGCAGGATACATGGAGTTCATCAACTTGGACCCAGGGGTAGAACATTTCATCAGTGTTCTCCTGGACACCGATATCAGCGTCCCAGTCACAGGACAGCTCGCTTTGGACCTCATGGTCAACCCACCAACACCTGGAGACCCTTCTCATGACTCATACACAAAGGTGACTTCTGTGCAGAGCCTCTCTTTAGGTCACATTTCTTGCTGCATTTATTCAGTCGGGCTTACTTTGTGTTCAGAGTGTCTGACTCTACAATAAATGTCTCTGTCGTTCATTTTCTTGGAAGGAGGTTCTCCTCACTCGAGCCATTCTATCCCAGAATGCTCAGCGTGCTCAGAAGTTTCTGGACGATCTACCAGGGATGAGCTGTCAGCCAGTGATGGCGGGGATCTACCTCTTTCCCCGCCTTCATTTACCATCTGGGATTATTGAGCAGGCAGAGGTGGGAGTGAGATTACAACCCTTCATGCACATTTGAAAACAAAGGGTCATGTTTGAATGAGATTCCTCTTGACTGGCTTTGCACATCATAATAAATTGGCTAAAAAATGTTGAGTAATGTAACGTGTCAACATTCACATCTCTGTAGGAGTTAAAGGTGGAGGCGGATGTTCTGTACTGTCAGTGGTTGCTGGAAGAACAGGGCGTGTTACTGGGAGCCGGGAGTCAGAACGGAGAAGCAGCTGGAAACCACCACCTGAGGTGAGCAATAAGAAGTCTGAATCACCAACACATGATTTCTAATTCCGCTCAAAGTGATAATACGGCGTCTTTCTCCCTCAGGTTCTGTGTCCTCGTTCCTCCTGAGACTTTGGAGGATCTTCTTTCTCGCCTGCGTTCATTTCACCTTCGGCTCTTGGGCGCAATTTACGACTCTGAAAAAAGTGTGGAGGACGCCGCTATCTTGACATCATAAAACCAACCTTGGACCTTAATGTTCCTCTTGAGAAATAATTCCTTTTTCAATGTTTTTAAACGTAATACTTTGACTTTACGATCTAAAATGTTTCATAAATGAAGCAGGAAAATGTACATCTTTGAAACGGTTTAATTCAAATTTTAAATAGCATCTCAGCATTTGGCAAATCATCCTTGTAAGGTGATTAAAGACACATATCTGCAATCTAAAAATGTATTTACAGTATTTTAATGTTTCCTTTTATACAAATGAGTAAAAATACACAAGAGCAATTAAATTACATCAGTAATTACAGGCCACAATGTCCTTCAACTTAGCATTTTGACTCTTACAGACATGGTCGCGGTCACAGGGAGGAAAGCAGTGCTTCATTTTAAGGCTCTTTCGTCATAATTTTAAAAAAAAATCTCTTATCTCTGAGGTCAAGCTGACACAGACCTTTGAGCAGCTGTGTGTAATACTTCAACTTAACTCATCTACCAGCAACTCTTTACAAAACACCAAAATCCACATGACTCTCTCTAATAATATGAATCATCTGGCTGCAGTTGTGTTTTCATTTTCTGTAACAATGAAGTTACACATCTTACATCTGAATTTTCCATCCCTGTTTCACTGAAGAGTAAAATCATCTGTGTGTCACCTGTAGATCCTTCTGTGCAGCGTGCAAACAAACCTGTCAATATTTTGAGTATCAAACTAACGTTTCCTTCAGATAACAGTCAGTACAGGTTGCTTGGTGTTAGGAGTGGGTCCTCTTGGAGTCACCAAAGGCTGAAGCAGCAGAACAGCATGTTTAAGTTGTCCAGAAGTAGAGAGGATGGTTTATATACGCAGGAGAGCCGACTGTAGTTTCTCTGTGGAGAGTTGATACTGCTGCTGTTTGATGATGTCCAGACAGTCACTGAGAACCTGCAGACAGAAACACAATACATGTCCTTTTATTATAATAATAATAATAATAATAATATAGGCCGCCTTTGTGTTCTTCTGTTTACATTGATTGCATTTGTTCATTAAAATAAGTTTGCTTTTTTACCTTCCTGGTGTCCTGAGGCAGAATCACTCCATCATCCCAGAGTCTGCCAGAGGAGAAGAACGCCGAGCTCTCCTCCTCTAACCTCTTATTTAACTTGTCCTCCTGTTTCTTCTGCTCCTCCTCTGGCTGCTCGGTGTCAGGTGGGAGCAGAGAGGCGGAGTGACCAGGGGCGGCCATCGACACTCGGGCGTTTGGCCACAGGAACAGGAAGTTCGGGTCGAAGGCGCGCCCACACTGTGGAGGACAAATATTGTTTGTTTAAAATCAAAATTAACATAATGTAGGAATTAGGATTATTGGAGTGCTGTCGTAAAATGAACTCTGAGTTTTCAAAGATATCACTTCAGGAGAAAAACTGCAGAAAAATCACCCAAAATCCTTTAACCTTAAACAAACAGATCTAAAACATGTTTTAACTCGTTGTTTTGGCAGCTGAAAGGACTAAAATCTTAATCTCTCTGACTGAGCATCAAACAAAACTTCAGTATGTTTCTCTCACCATTGCGTAGCTGTCAGCACCATAGCAACCACCAATCACCACAGTGATTTTAGGGACGGACGCACAAGCCACTGCAGACATCATCGAGCCCTGAGCCTTCAGACGGTTCGTGTTTGTTTCTGCCTGAAAGAGACAAACAGAAAAACTGTCAGACTGATACTTTTCTGGATTCTTTTAATGTTATTCCTCTTTTTTGAGAGTTTTTACCTGTGCTGTGGAGAGAGTGGGAGCTGCTGCAGGCGCTGTGTTCTGGAGGAAGACGAGTGGGACGTCTCTCTGGTCGCACAGCTGAATAAAATGGCTGCCTTTCAGAGCGGCTTCGTACGACAGCTCGCCGTTGTTGGCTACGATTCCAACCAGGTGACTAAAAGATGAAAATTGTAACATAAACTCAGAAAAAAACTTTAATTATCACCTTTTTTGAAAAAGAAAATCACAAAGTGGGTGTTTGTCACTGATAGGAGGACCGCAGAAGGGTTTTGTTTTGGACCCCTGTTGTTGTCCACTTATCTGATAAAGACCTCAGTGAGGTCAGCGGTTAATCTCATGGGGGTGAGGGGTCACTGAGTTTGCGAGGGAGGTGTTTGAAAGCCGTTCTCAGAATAATGAAATTACAGCTTCGACAAAACAAGACAAGATTGGTGACAAAACGAGTCAGTAATCAAAAATCGGGATTAAATCTGTTGTTAAAAAATGAAAATTTAATTGTATTCTTGCCTCCACCATCTTAATCTAAGTGTGTGTGTGTTTTTGTGTGTGTTTACCCTTGTATCTTCCCGAAGCCGGTGACGAGTGTGGTCCCGTATCGAGCTTTAAACTCCTGGAAGCGGCTCCCGTCTGTTAGCCGACTGATTATCTGGATACACAGAAAACCCACCGACAGTTTTTTACTAATTCAGGTTTTGTGATATAACAGATACGACACTGAAATAACTTCTCAGCTAACAGACAACATCGTGATTTTTCAGAGCTGCCAATCCATCAATTTGTTCTGGTTTTTCTTTGTTTCTGTAATGAAGAGGTTGGCCAGTAGGGGGCACTTTCTGCTTTGACAGCTGAGCAAGAATTACTTCATCTTCTTGTCAGCAAGCAACCTAATCTACACACATTTCAAGATGCTCCTTAAGATTAAAATGCAAACCTCAAAATCATAAAGATACAAACCGAACAAGCGAAGTGATTGTATTAACATTTTTCCAAACTTGAACTCGTCCTCCTCAAATTTTTGCACTCTTTACCATTTTAGCGTCCAGACTGAAGTCGTAACTTTTCGGAGCGAATCCCAAAAGCTCCTCTGAACTGTACAGCGGCTCCTCCTCTGCTCTCCTCTTCCTCACCACCTCCTCATCCTCCTCCTCGGGCAGTTGGAAGTTGAGGGTAGATATGATGTTTCTGGTGTATTCATACGCCTCCTTCTCCTCCCAAGCGAAGTGATCCACACAGCCGCTCACCCTGAAAGAAGACGGTGAACACGATGATGTTGATTTGTTTCTGTTTCCTTGAAGGCGTTTTCATTTCATGGACCTACTCAGCGTGAAGTCGGGCTCCTCCCAGGTTTTCTGGTGTGACTTCCTCTCCTGTGGCGGCTTTGACGAGCGGTGGCCCCCCTAAGAATATGGTCCCTATTCGGTGCACCATCACAGCTTCTTCTGCCATAGTGGGGATGTAAGCTCCACCCGCCGTGCACGACCCGCACACCACCGACACCTTCAAGAGGAATAACAGCCTTCACATCAAACTTAATCAGCCGGAGCCACATTTATTATTTCTGAGCAAGCTTGCCGCTCTTTCTTTCTTTACCTGTGGGATCTTCATGGCTGACATGATGGCTTCATTATAGAAGGTCCTGCCCCCCTGGTTCTTATCAGGAAAGATCTCCGACTGCATATTTATGCACAAACACAGAGAAGTGGAGATTAAAACAGCAGGCAGCAAAATAAAGCCTACATTCAGAGCCAAAGCAGTGAGTGTGTGTTCACCTGCAGCGGTAGAAAAGCTCCTCCAGAATCGACGAGATAAACACAAGGCAGCCGATTCTGTATGGCTACTTCTTGTGCGCGTAGCTGCTTCTTTACTGTGATTGGATAAGCTGTGCCGCCTTTCACTGTGGCGTCATTGGCAATAAACACACACCACAGACCGTTGATCCTGCCGATGCCTGCATGGATACAAACAGAAACGTTATAAAGTCAGCGGTGAACATGTGAGATAAAGTTTTGTGCGAAAAAGGTTCAGGAGAAAGGCTGGTCTAAGTAAATCAAAAGCCACACTTATCAGATTGAACAGTCTATAGTTAGTACCAAAGATACAGATGCAGCTAGTGGTTTCTGACCAGTCAGGCAGCCGGCTGAAGGGATGTCCCCGTACGGCAGACCCAGACCAGCAAACGGAGACAGCTCCAGAAAGTCCTCGTCATCCAGCAGGAGGCTGAGCCGATCTCTGACCAGCAGCTTTCTGTTTCTCTGAGTGTGTCTGGCTATGGCGTTCTCTCCTCCTCCTTTCCTCACCTTTTCACTCAACTCCATGAACCTGACAGAGACAGGATGGACGGTACAGATTTACAAACATAATGGCAAACTGAAAAGGTGAGCTGTCAAGAGGAGATCTTACTTCTTATGGCAGGCGTTGCTGTTTCGGACGTTAGCTTCATAAACGTGTTTCTGGATGGGCACGAGAGGTTGTTTCAGCACTGGGAAGGCACTGCGTAGAGATCTCTTCTTTTGCGCTACAGAGCTCATACAACGAACAGGACACTGCGAACGCTGCTCAGCCAGCCTGCAGCACAAGAAGAAGTCAAAACATGAATTCAGTCATCAATCAATCAAGAAAAGGTCGGCTTTGTGTTGAAGTTACTGTCAGATAAAATGTATATCGTGACCTGTAGTGTCTCTCCTCTGACGTGTTCCTCAGTGGCCATGATGATGAGGAGGAGGACAGAGAGGAGGAAGGCACAAAGACAGGACACACCCTTCCTCCACCGCACACACTCCTTTGAGGGACAAAAACAAACATGTTAGTTTTCACTAAACTGATCAGGAACACAGTCTGTGTTCATGACAGGAAGATACAACTCAGATATCCCTATTGTGTGTTGAACATAAATCACAATACGGTGTTTATATAGTCAGTTTAAGTTTGTCATGTGAATGATTAAATAATATGCATTGCACTGTAACTTCTTTATATTAACCACCTTTAATACTCCAGAGGAGAGAAATAGGAGAAACACCATTACCAACATCTACCACTGACTGAACTGACCTCTAAATCATACTTGTGTCCTTAAATTACCTGTCAGCACCTTACATATAATCCAAGCTATTTATCTTTTATCTCCTTTATTAAAACCTCAAGAAAACAAGTTTTTAGTAACACAAAAACAACAACTATTGAACCCTGCAAAACAAAACACCCAGACTCTGATGGTTCTACCTTAGCTGTATGTTAGGAGTTATCAGAATACATCTATTTTGATCTTTTTTTAACGAAATTTAAACCTATATGAATAAGAATACGGTAAAATACTGTTTTTGTAGCCTAACATATGGAGGTTGTTTAACGGTTACTACATGTTCAGAAAATATATGCCAAAGGTCGTGAAGACAACTGAGTTCACTTTAAGTGATAATTGTGAGGAGTCATGGAAGGATAACACATTATAACAGCGTCTCTTACCTTACAATGTGCCGGTACATTTCTGTCAGAACCTGCTGTAAGATAATATATCCTAAAATATAGGTTCTGAGCCAAAATTAGCTTCAGGTTCAGTGTACACTGACTGCTCTGCTGCGCTCAGGCTCTTCTTTGTCTGGTCTGTAGTGAGTCAGTTGATGGTGAGGGAGCTGTGTCGCTCACTACCGCCACCTACAGGAGGGGAAAACAAGAGCACACGAGAGGTTAAATCAGCATCTGTCAGGGGCATCAACTATAACCTTATAATAACTCCGTAACTTCTTACCACCAGTCTGTCACCCACTTCACCAAGTGGTGCTCTGACAACTTTCTGGAGCTGAATGTGGACAAGACAAAACAACTACTCAATACACACATGATCACAAACCCTGGACCTGGCACTCACTACCATACACAACAAAGCAGTCGAACATGTTGATCACTTCAGATATCTTGGACTCATACTTGACAATAAACTGACTTTCGAACAACATATCACCGATATCCATGAACATTCCCAGCAAAGACTCCACATCCTCTGCAAGCTCCATTCCCTAGTCTATGTGTCTGTCACACCAAAACTTCTCTTACTGTTATACACCAGCATCATTCAACCCATACTTCTCTACTGCTCCCCCTTTAACATGCTACATAATTTGTGTGTGTGTGTTTTTCTTTTGTGCATTTTCTCTCTATATTAAAGTCAGTGACTGAAGCTGTAGTGACAGAGTTTGACCACTGGAGAGAACTGTTTGTTCACTTTTGGCCTCAACGCAAACAAGGTAAAAGAGATGAACTATAAAACACAAAAAGGTGCAAATAATATAAAATGAATCCATTCAACTCTTTTTTGTTGATAAAGGATATTAATTATAGATCAACTGAAACAAAGATAATCAGCCCCCAACACCCTCGATGTAAGTTTCAAGGGTTATCTCTTTAAAGGTCTACAATTTGAGAAATTCAATTAATATGTAAAAGAAACACATTTTGATATGCCAAATGTTTTGAAATGATTTCTCCAGTTTTACTTGTTTTTTCTCCCCAAGAAATGTTGATGTATTTGATCAGACATTTTTGTATTTTGTGAAAGATTTGTGGTTAATGTAAATGGTTTATATTTTCATTTTTTAAAGCCTTTTCTGCATATGTTAATTTTCTAGAGGTAGGATTGGACATTAGAACATAGTACAGTTTTATCAGAAAATTATAGACCTATTAGTAAACCTATGTACCACAGAAACTCTGAGCTTATATGATCTTTAAATATTCTAATTAAATGTAAAAGCAGATTAATTTCATCTGTTCTCTCAAGGCCTAAATATAAATCAAATGATCATAATCATAACCGGAACAATGGGCTTAAAGTACCTCTTAAATTTGGACAATGGTTTCAGAAAACTTGTTTGTTTTATTTTCCAGATGAAAAGAAATTATTCAAATATCAAGAAAAAAGCAAGCTTCGTAATACTGATATGACTTAATTTAACTTGAGTTCTTGGAAAACATTTAAAAAAGGAAAAATATATATTAGGTGGTTCCTCTCTTCTGCATCCTAAGGTCTGAAACCTTGATTAATATGTGGGGCCCCTGTGGTAAAGGGGTCCCCGGTTTGTACGGCCCTGCTGGTTCATGTGGATTTGGAGGAGGAGGAGGGGAAGGAGGAGGAGTGTTTGTCGGGCAGACAGTCAGTCAGTCAGTCAGTGTGGACCGGAGTCCCAGCGGCAGTTTTGGAGAGTCTGAGCCGGGAAAACTACGTCAAATACGGGAGAAGTCAAACGGGGGAATCCGCGATGAGTTGGGGAACGGAGCTTTGGGTGAGTTAAAACTCTTTCCTCTGACTGTCTGCGTTTAAATTCTGCTTTTATCGCGCTGGCACAACAGGACGTTGACTTGTGGGACACAGGGACGGAGGAAGGTGCCGTGTTACCTTGTAGCTTTGTGCTGTGAGGAGGCGTTAGCTGTCCGCCTGCGCCGTTAGCCGGTGTTATGTCGTAGAATGCACCCCTACCGTAGAATCTACCCCCTGCATCCCATCCACTCATTAGCTTCTTAAAGTGGAAGAAAATGATCTCATATTTAAAAAAACGACAAGACAACATGTCAAATGGATTAGGAAATTTTCTTTTTGTTTTTATGTGTCATAATAATGCACATATGGAGTTGTACTTGGGTATATAAGCTGTACAGTAAACTGTCAAGGTAGAGAACGGTATATTTTCGGATTAGAGGGTATTGTTTTCGTCTTATCTGAATAGCTTGAATGAAATCATGAAAGGCACCGGCTTTGTAATCCATCCAACTGTGAAGAAAACTTGAATTATTTCGCCTTGTTGCGTACTTTCAACCGCGCTCTCGTAAGGGGTTCATTCTTCGGCAGGGGTGCATTCTACGCCACAACACCGGCCAGCGCTAAAGCTAATGCTAAAGCTAATCCGCGGTGCACCTTAACGGCTGTGACAGCGGCGGAACAATAGGCGAGTCTGCCGACACACGGGCACCGGAGCCCGGGGCAGGAGGGAGGGGGTGGTCAGACTGCTTTCTTCGCCTTTTCACCTGTCAACTTCAGTCATTTTTGCGCTGCTTAATTTATATTTTCACATTGACCGGCAAGTTATAAAGTAGTATGTGGACGTTTCTTGTTTTTTTTGTGAGTGTCACACCCTGTTTGAAAGAGAGGCTGGCAGGGATTCCCGGTAACAGGGCGGAGAGGCGGTGTGTGATCCGGGTTCACCGCCATCCTGCTCGGTCCCTATAAAATTAACAACAATTTACACCCAGTTCATCCGGTAACTGTAATGCCATATCACTCCTCTTTGTTGTCAGTGTTTTGTCTTAACTTCCATACCATAAAATTAAGCCTATTGACCCCTAAACTCAACGAATGGCTGAATGAAAAATAGTATTTAATCTATATTTGTTGATTTTTAGTTAAAAATACAATCCCAGAAACACTCACTATAGCTGCTGCTCCTTTTCCAACCCCAGAGTAGATTGCATACCTCATGTTTAACATTATTAACACAACACTGGGTTTATTTGATTGTTTGGTGCAGCTCAGATCAGATTTTCAGTCTGTTCTCTTGAATCAGACTCTCAGCTGACATTATGGCGAGCATCAACCTTTGATTTTTGGGGTGTTGGCCATGGTGAGCCTTGTAACCAGAGAGGCAACCAGCAGCAGCAGCAGCAGCATCCCCTGTGGGTGTGTTTTAATCTGTGTGTGTGTGTGTGTGTGAGAGCTGTGAGTGTGTGTGTTACTCCTTCAGCTGACCTCAGTGGTTTTATCTGCAGTTTCATACAAGATCATTTTGAGCTCAAATGAAACACAAATTTGCCTCCACAGACAAAGGGATCAGTATTTGTGTATTTCTGTGATTGGAGCTGATTTTGTAGTCGTGCGTATGATCCATCACGATTTCACTCGTATTTTGGGGGGTCTGGCTCATTTATGTTATTCATATTTATGCGTCTTTCTGGGGGGCAGGTTTATGTCTGCTGTGCAAGTTCATGTTCCCAGGTCTCGCTCTCCAAATCAAAACTGGTTGAAGGAAAGACTTAATTTAGATTTTTGCGTATTAATGTTTGCCTTTTTAAAATCAAGAGAATATCAGAAAACAGTTTGATTCTTGAAAATAGAGCAAAGCAACTATAGATGAAAGAAATGCTCCACCGATAAGCTTTACCTCAGTTAGGCTTTAACTCATGATAGTATCAGTATCTCTTGAGCTGTCAGCAATTTTGCAGAGTTGAATTAATAGTAATTTGTGCTGCTTGTGTTTATTACATCTGGAAAATATCAGATCTCTGCAAAATTCTGTGAAGGATTAGGATTTGCATTCACAGCTTAGTGTGCGTAAAGCACAATGCTCACTTGTTGTTTTGCACATTGTGTGAAATTGACTCTTTGTATATGTATGATTTACCCACTGAGCAATAGACGGCTATTAGACATAAAGTTGTTTTTTAGACCTAATTTCAACCGTCTAAATTCTGTATATCTGTAGACGGAATTTAGACGTTGCACTTAAACCTGCTATTCGATAAATATTTATTTTAAAAAGCAACTGTGAGTTTATAACTGATCTCCAAGTACTAAACCAAAATAATTATGATAGCCATTGAGCAATATTCTGGTAGACCTCTGTTAGCTGGCTAGTCTAAACTCGGTCTAAATTTAGACATCTGAAAACTTTCATTTTTAGACCTGTGGTAGCCTGATGACCAGTCATCTAGACTACATTTTAGACGTCTATTAGACCTCTTTTAGACCAAAAAATGCTTGGTGGAGCATTTTGTAATTCTGTAATTTTTGCAGAAGCACTAGGGAACTAGTGAAGACAGTTAGGTATGCATGAATTGATCTATTTAAAAGGGGATTGAATGCTAGTGCAAAGACAAAAATGGATTAAATGTTGGTTTAAAATTAGGATTGGGGAAAAATTCATTACGCAAGTCCATTAAGATAAAAACGAGTGATATGCCGTAACATAAAAAGACTAGCATATGCTCATTGACTCGGTCATTTAAGCCGTTTCATTCATTCATTCATGTATCGTGTTTTTGTCTCCGCTGAGCAGAGATGCTGCCTGAAGGTCGTCATAATCCTCTGAGTCCACTGATGGGATTAATGCGTCGGCTGTCCGATTACACATGATTGGCTGTCTGATGTCAGATTATGGATTATTGTCCGTGAGATTAGATGTTGCACAGATGATTGCCTCTTGTGTTAAACAGACTGACTCCTGAGCATCATTCACACTGACTGTAGGCATTACTGTCGAGTTTATTCTGTGTTTTAAACTCTGAGCGTTCACAAAGGGTTTACCGCTCTAGTAGCAGAGATTACAGTTGTTTCCCAAATAACCTTAAAGTGACTAATTGGGTTATTCTCGTGTAATTCCAATTAAGATGGCTTTAAGGGGTCAGATTATGTTCAAAACTGTACATCTAAACAGATTTCTCTAAAGGTCTGTTTAACTGTTATCTCGATTCAGGCCTTATCTACCTGTTACTTCCTAATCTAGGGATATAAAGAAACGGCAGTACAGGGAAGCAAAGCGAGAATTTGGGGAAGTATCACTTTCTGCAGATTCTAATAATGTCTTTTAGTCCTATATTTCATTAAGAAAGGTTAAAAATTGTTGATAGCACGTGTGAAACTGAGTCATGTTTCAATACAGTGTCAAACCAACACTATCAAATAAGGATCACATGAATTTATATTCATTTTTTTGGTTGTTTGCTTGTTGCGTAGTCAGGACCAAACTACCCTTATGAGGCATCTTACATGACATGCAAAAAAACAATTTAGCTTGTATTATTAGGTTAAATATTTCACATCTGCTTTAAGTTTGCGGTGAATTGTTTTTTGGGACATCTGAAAAGTCTGAACCCTGATTTTAAGAAGTGCATATCAACCCTGAACTGAACGTTTGTCTGTTTCCTGAGATTAAATGAAAACTGGCAAATTTTTCTGTATTTAAAAAACAAAATATTTCAACTCTGGAAACATACTTAAAGATATTGCTGAGTAACCCTTGTATTGAACATATATTGTGAGTTTCTTGACCGTTCACATTTCCTACGACATGCTGATCTCCCCCTTTGTTTGATATTGTAATATTTCAATAATGAAAAAGTCCATTATAGCCTCCTAAAGGCAGAGCTTTTGAGTTTTCAACTTTAAGGTTTGATAAAATTTCAAAAACAGAACTTAAATCATATAGGTATTCTTTGTCAAAGTTGTTTCTTATGGATTAGAGAGTTTGATTAAATTTTAACAGAAAAAAACACATAAATCTGATTTTCTGAAGCACGTTTTTCTCCGATTGTGTCTTCATAGATGTTTCTTTTTGTGTTGCATCACCTCAGCAGTAAACAATCCATCAGCGTTTGCCTCTTTATACTCCATCAATAGGAATAAACACAAACAGCATGACACAAATAAAAAGCATCCAGCACTCAAGGCAGTATCAGAGCTCTCAGTTTAGTTCGGCGCCTTTTGCTTTTGCCCTGTGTTTTGGCTCCGGTTCAGCTCTTTGAGATATAACAAAGCAAGCGAGGAACATCCTATTACCACTCTGGCTTCCAGCCCTCAGAGACGCACACAGAAAGTAGGAAGTGTTTGTCTGAATTGAAGCTCTGTGTGCGTTTTGTGTGTGTGTGTGTGTGGCTGTGTGTTGAGAGCCAGGATGCTGCCATGCTGTGCTCTGGTCTGTCTGGTTGAGGTGAGCCGGAGGCCAGCCGAGGGGAGCAGCCAAGTATGACGGGCGGGCTTCTCTGCTGAGCGGCCAAACTGAAAGACAAGGATAAGGGGATAAAGGATGCAAAGGTGGAGGAGAGACGACGGACTCTGAACGGCCGGCTAGACTTTTGAGTTTACTTTGAAGTCTGTCAGCTGTTAAATGGACGGGACACCGAAGAGCAATTGTGGAAAAGCAGATCCAGAGCCGTGAGCAGGTTTTACCCTGCAGGCTGAGGAGTCATGGAAATGGCTTTTCTTTGTATGTTGGGTAGAATGGAGGGAAAAAAAAACTATTGCAGTCTTCCCTCAGGTGTCCCATGGGAGGTGTTGGGAGTACTAGGGTTACACATGAACCATTTTGTACTAAAATAGAAAGAAAAAAGCAATCTATTTGGCATCAGGTGGTTATAGATTCAAGAAGAAGAGTGCTCGATATTTCCTCTCATATCTGCATTATTTATAGATCACAGACAGCTCCATATAGAGGTCTAGAGGGATCTCCTTTTACTGAAAATGCCCGGCTCTTTATCCTCTGAATGGGACAGAATCTCACTCTATGACGTTGTCTGATCTTAGGTACTCTTAGACGGAGTAGGGATGGGAAACAAGAGCCGGTTCTTGTTGAGAACCGCTTCAAAATGGTTCAATCCATCGACATCGTTTACATTTTATCTTAATGATTCCTTTCTTCCGGGTGCCATGAAGTAAGACAGAGTAATAAACCTTCACATGTTTTACCATCAGACTGTGAGGCTCTAGCAGGTCTGGTCACATGGTTCTTGTTGTTTGGGAGGGCAGTACTCTGTGTCTCAGCAGACCCCAGCAGGTGTGAATGAAGTCATGTTGGAGCTGGGGGCGCTGGTCTGGACACGACAAGCTGTTGCGGCCCGTCATGCCAAGCTCTAAAGAGTGTGGAGGAGAGGCTGTTTCTGTGGGCGTGAGAGAGAGAACATGCCGATTTTTTCAGCTCCGGTTGAGTGACGATGATAGTGAAAGCCCTTTTTAGTTAGTTAGTGTCCTGACCGTGAGGGAGGATGTCTCTGTTAATTAGTAAAATTGTGCTAACACACTCCTTTAAGAGCCAGGGGAAAGACGGAGATAGAAAAGAGAAGAGGTGGAGAGAGAGGAGGAGTGAAGACAAAAAAACAAACTCATAAAGAAGAAAAGACGGAGGAGGTTTGATAACAGGAGCAGAGGGGCAGATTTTAATATGACTGGAGGTGAGTGTAGATGGACAGAGCGGAGTTTACAGACATGATAGATGAGTTGAAAGTTTAATGATCCCGGTGGAGCCATCAGCTGCTGCAACACAAAGTAGTAACAGGATACATGAAGGATGAAATCCTGTGAGTCAGAGTCGAGTGAAATAAAATTTTGACTGAATAAACAGATCCAAAAGTTCACTCATGGTCTTCTGGGACGGAGTAAAACGCATTAGAAAGCGTGGCAACATTCGAGCATGACTATCTGACCTGACATGACCTGACCTGACTGTGGTGGAAGGGCGGGTTTGGGGCTGAGACAAACACAAACACCGATCTGCTGCTTTCTTCCTCTGTCCCCTCGGCTCCTCTCCTCTCCCTTCCTTTCCTTTCCTTTCCTTTCCTTTCCTTCCTCTCTCTCTCTACCCGTTGCTTCACTCCCTGTCCTCCCTCTGGATCCAACCCGCCAGCTGTTTGGCAGTGAAGCTCCTCTTGGACTCAGTCCCCATACCACCGGTACTCCTTCAGATCAGCGCTGTGACCCTGAATAAACCTGTTTCCTGTCGGTCTAAATGTGCCAACAACATATGTAACATGATCCGGTATTAACGCCATATTTACATTTTTGAACAGAACAAAAGGGGTGAAAGAAAAGTTAATCTATGTAGAGCATAGACCTGCAAAGTTGATTATTAACTCGTGTCGTAAAACCTCTCATCGTTTATCATCATTTCTTTCCAGGAAGTAGAAATCTGAATCAGTGGAGACAGAAACCGTTTCCAGACGTCTCAGAGTCATGACTTGTTTAGATGCAGGGCTTTGGTCAGAGCTGTTGCAGCTGTGTTCACTGTCTGCTGTCTTCCAGGAGTCAGCCTGCCTGTCAACTGTTTATTAGTCAGTTACTTTATTAGCCAGCGGACAAAAATGCAGCCTTCAGAACGCGTGGAAAATTGGAAGATGGGGGGAATTTTTCCCTACGTCTCCAACCCCATCATTACACTAAATCCTCTGCTGGATTTCTGGCTGCTGTCAATCTGAGGCTAACTTGTGTAACATGCTGACAGACAGTAATGTAGTGTAGATTTTACACTGACAGAAATCTGAAGCCTGACCGTGGCGCTCAGCAACTTGAAGGATCGGTTAAAGATCGAGTACAGGAACAGTCGGAGAGCAGAGATCCTTTAGTAAGTCATAATTTTTTGAGTTTTAAATTCACAGATTAGGCAAAAACTGATATTCCACTCTGACATGTGAGACAGAGTCTGTTTTGGGGAGTCCTCCAGAAAAAGAGAAAGACTCCCTGATGATGATTTCCACTGTGTTCTTCTGCAGAATCCAAAACAGAGTCAACCTATGTTTGTATTCAAAGTTGTAACGCACAGACCAACTGTGTGCAGCTCATTCGCCTGAAGTCACACCGTCCCTAGTTCTTTTTTTCCCCCTGAATTAGCATCTGTTCAACCAAACCAGCACTCTACATGATTTCATACGAAGCGCTGTAGTATTTAAATGCACCATTATGATCCAGTGAAGTAAAAAAGCTGATAAGAAGTGATCTGATCTGCATGTCCTACATATCCCAGCATGCTCTGGGCTGTAAATTTTCTTTAAACACGTCAGAAAATCATTCATACAGCGTAAATGTTGATATTAGTGGTTGGGCGATATGGTGTTTTAGTGGTTGTTGAAGATGCAGATGATGACAGATCAGGTCAGCTGATGGCAGATATCATGTATGATTGTAACGATAACAGCCATTAAAGGGTGGGCGATATGGCCTCAAATCAATATTTCGATATATTGAGTTCATTCATTGAGTTCTACGGCCATTATTTTATGCTCATTACAATCTCATATATGTCATAGAGTTCAGAGTATTTATGTCAGTGTCAATATAAAACCTTATAATTCCATGTTAAAGAACATAATTTACATCAATTTTTGAATGGAGATAGATTGATAAATGTTCAAAAGTTGATATCCTGGAAAACACACACAAGCATTAAACCCAACAGTTTGGGCTAAAGGAGTCCTCTGTAGCTTTTTATACATTTTATATAAGTGTATTAGTCTTTGGTGACCCTGCATGGTGAGATTATTGCGTCCAACCGTTCCCGTTTTCGACTCTGTGACGTAGAAGTGAGATGTCTCTCAGCTGATGTCCTCATGGTTTCTGTGTACTAAACACACCAGCTGCTTGTTAAACCTGCTCACCTCTGCCACACTGATGCTATCAGCTCTGTGGACACTCAAAGATGGTGTATGGAGAAAGAGACTCGAGTTTTTAAAGTTGTAGTTGGTCTAAAGTCACTTTTTTTACAGACAGTTTCACCACACTGTAATAAATGTGGCTCCTTTTGCCTTTTAGAAACCAGACTGCTGAATTCCCTTCTTCTCTGACTCAGACTTTGTTTAGGGCTGACTGAAGACTGCTCTTTTATTCTGCATACTTAAGCGTTTTCTTGCAGTTACTTCTCCCCCCCTCAGCGACTTTAGAAACCAAAACCCAAACCATGTAGAGCTAATCGACAAATTAATTCAGGCACAGGGATAACATCGAGACGATTACAGTATTGAAGACAAAGCTCTCATTGTGCAGCAGCACCGTGTCCTCTGGTTGTTGGTTCACTTCCATGTTTAGCGATGTGGTTCTCTATCACTGCTGCTTCCCTTAGCAACCATTGTCAGAGTAAAGAGTATAAATCAGCACGAATGAATCAAGCACCTTTTGTTCCCTGATTCTGTGTGTCTGTGTGATAATACAGGGTGGTAATGTTTGCCAAGTTACAATAAACTGTTACCTCTTCTTACCTCATTATGAAGCTGATTAATGCACCTTTTCCTTTCTTCATCCCCACACCAACCTCTCCGCCTCTTCATCATTCCTTTGTCCAAATCCTGCCCATAAACATTTGTATCACAGGGTTAGTCTGCAAGGCCCAATAGTAAGGATTTAGAGTTATCAAAAACTCATGGTACGATAATACCTCGATAACAAGTCAATGATGTGATAAATATCGTGGTGCTAAAGGAAAACACAAATGGAGACTTGGACAAAACCATGTTTTTAAGGCTCTGAGGTCTGGTCTAGCCTTTGCCTTTAGACGCTTACATGTACAGCCAGTAAAAGGCGGGATATTTACACCGTCAGACGCAGAATTTAAGGAAAACATATTGGTGATGTGTCGTGTCCCAATCCGATATTGATATTGGGTATCGGTCCTGGAACAGTCTGTAGACAATCATAATCATTCAGCTGTTTCACTGGTGTATAAAATGCAGACTACAAATCAAGAAAATCTGCAATTTCGTAGAATCGCAATTTAAATTGAATCGGCATCCAAAATATCATAGAACAAACGAATCAGGAGAAAAGTATATTGTCCCAGGCCTATCTGATTATTTTGACCTGCATCTAAAATCTCCGATATCAGCACTCTGATACAAGCAGTCCATTCCAGATTCCGTTCCAGAACCTCTAGCTAGCATCTGAGCCCACGTAATCACAACATCAGTGCGTACTAAGGTACGAACACAGTAGCAAGGAGTAGGAGTGATGTCAGCCGTGTGGCGGATTTTTCATTTAAGTCCGAAAAAGATGTTGCAGCTGATTGCAAAACTTGTCCTGCACAAGTTTGTGCCGATATCTGATCAATATCAGTATCGTATCAGAAGTAAAATAACCTGTATCGGGACACCCCTAAATATAACGTGATGTGCAATCACATGCTGGGAAGTTAATATTGTCCTTTTTTTCTTTTTGTTTGTCCATTACCTTTTCTTCGTTTTTATTCCTTGATGAGCGAAAACCAAAACATTTCCACACTTACGATAAAAAAGCTGCTGAAACACCTACCATTTAAAAACCCGCTCTCTGTCCCTCCTGTTGAAACAAAAAAACACTTTTTGCCAATAAAACCAAAACTAACCAAATTAATCCAAACTCAAAGTCCACTTAAAAGCTCTTAAACACAACTTACAGTCTTCATAAATAACTGAGCAACATAATTACTTTAGCCGGTCACTTTTTCTTTGTACAGCTAACTCAAACCAAAAGTTATCCCAAGACATCTTCAAAAACAAGCCTGTCTAGACCACACTCTTTGTTAGACTTGAATTATTTAGCAGTTTGTACAAGCTCATCACATTTTCCCCAAATCCTGGTTGACTCTTCATGGCTCCCCTTCACCGAGAGAAAACTAGTTTCCCTAAAGTCTCCAGCTGTGTCGTCGCCCCTCATAGAGGTTGTGACCCTCAAGGTAATTATCCGTCTTTGGACTGTGGACTTCCAGGAACAATCTCAAGGGCTCTCATAGGTCCCTGCCTCCCCTGCTGATTTAGCAGTTGATGTTGTGTACAAGTTACACAAAAGCAGTTTCACCCTGCCGCCCTTATCGCACAGCTGCATCTATTTGTGTTGCATATTTGCGCCATGGTGGTTTGATAAGTGAATGTATGGGAAACACCGGCAGGGAGGAATTCGGCACAACGCACATACCATGAATATCATGTGAAATTGTGTGCGTATACGTAGGACGAGCTTAACTGGGACAGCCCCACCCCCCTCTCCCCTCGCTCGCCTCCCCGTCTTTCTTCCCTCCGTCTCACACGCTGCCTGTTTGCATACGGGGGAAACAATGTTAATTCGAGCAACAGAGGAGTTTTCCCAGGCTGTTTATTTGTCCAATGAAGCTTCAGAGCCCCATAAAACTGCTCTGTGCTGCTCACTGCACACATTAGCACACACACACACACACACAAACACACACTCTTATAGCCGCTCTGCATGGAGGGTTTCTGGTTACCTTGGTAACCTGTCCATGAAGTGTTCAGTAAACCCCCCCTGGTTACCGCGGGTACCCCAGACCTTCATATTTCAGGTAGTCAGAGCTCTGAATAAAGGATGTGAACACACTGAGCTGCGGACTGACTGACCCTGAGCAGAAATTTTCCACTTTCATCCGACAAAAGGAAAGACTTGTTCAATTTTTGGGGTATAAAAAACAGAGATCTGAGTCAGCTATAAATATCCCTAAGAGGGGACTTCTTCCCTATGAGTATGACAACAGTCGTCTCAAACAGGACTCAGGTTTCCAGTCTTTTATGAACTGGTCTGAACCCACTTTGTGACCCACTATTGTCTCCCAGAATAGTATTAAACAAACATGGCTTTGTGTTTTTCTAGGCTAGACCGGCCATTGTTCATTGAAAACCCACTTTAATGTTTGTAAACTGTAACTGGAAAGTGTGTCACGTTGGCACTGACACAATTGGAGCTGAAAACACGCTGTGAAAGCAGCAGGTAGTTATGGTTTCGTCATCACCTCGGAATAAAAACTAGAGGCATGTATGTGAGTGTTGTAAGCTGTGGTGCAGCACTGCAGCAGACTGTAAAACCTGGACAGGGACTGGACACGCAGAAAAGAAATTAAGGGTGAGTCTAGAGACTGAAAGGACCTGCTGTATTAATCATTCATTTAAGCTCTGACTTTGATATTTTGGCTTTGTCAGTATCTTAAAGTCGGAGCTTACCACTTTGCCTGTCATGTGGTGCCGTCTGACCTATTTAACCACTTTGTGAGCGTCTGCTGGATTTGCACATCATCATCCGCTCCTATATGTCGGAATAAGCCGTATAAATGTAAAGTACAGCTCACACACGGCAAGATAGAGAATAGGAGGGAAGGCGAGGCAAGATTGCACATCTAATTCACCAGGAAACAAGAGCATCATGAGGAAGAGAACATCTAAAAATGAGTCAAAACAAGACAGAAAATCAGAATGAAAATAAAATGGAAAAGGATGGAAAAGTAGGAAAGCAGTATTTTGGATAGGAGAGCTTTAATCTGCTGACATTCTGATTGTGATATCGTGCGTAAGTTTAAAATGATAGTGTAAAATAGGGCTGGGTGATATGGCCTCAAATCAATATCACGATATATTGATCAGTTCACCTCAATAACGATAAATGGACGATAACTACTCCAACTGGATGGGGTGGAGTCACATCTCTGACGTAGGACAGCGTCTTAAAGGGACATGAGACCATAGCCTACCTACACACATCCTAAACAAACTTTTATTTATTTAGTTTTTTGACACCTAATATATGGATATGGGCAAATTGATGTTGGTTATTGTCGTGAATTTATCGCCCAGCCCTATTAACATCTAAACATGAGCTAAAACATGCCAGTAAATCGGATAGAAAATAAAGAGTAAAAATGGAAAAGTAGGAAAGCAGGATCTTGGATAGTTGGATATTATCTTCTCAAACCAGAAACTGACTTCGAGAGCTTTAAGCTGTTAATAATCTGATTGTGATATCATGATATCCCAATCATGACATCAGTGTTAGTCTGAAAAACTATGAGAAGCTGAGGTTTAAGAGGAACTGAGAGTTTGACTTGGCCTGCAGTCTTCCAGGATTTTGTTGTTCCAGATAAGTGGAACATAAAAGTTTCATCCGTTTGTTTGCTTGTTAAAAACATTGCATCTGTTTTTCTTTTCTTAAAGAGGGATCAGCAGAAACTCAGGTCTGAGCAGCGTCTCTTCTGTACATCTGTAAAAGTACAGCTGAGGTCAGAATCAAAGGGGAGGATATCAGTTTTTCAGAAACTTCCGGATTGGATCTGTTTGACTCTACAGCCGTTGTAGGTCGTCCAGTGTCTTATTTTTGTCCCTTAGCATAAAAAGTTTTTGTCTCAGACCATCCTAACTCATAAGTGTAGTAGTGTAGCAATGACTGTAGCAGTTTTACTACACCCGAGCTCATACCTGCTGTCATAAATTAGTCACATGAGACGCAGTTAAAGGTTAATCCGTATGATACACATTTACAGGGAGTGGACTGGCTGACCAGTGCATGCTCATGGGGGGAAATAAAGATGAAGATCCTCATAGACAGGGCCGAGATTCACAGTCTGTGTGTCACATGATGAGGACGGGCAGGCAGGATGTGAAGGGGCATTCACCATGTCTACATGCTTATTTATACCATGGTAAAGACGATCTGAGGAGATATTTCCACTGAATACAGGCGCTATTTTTGTAAGCTACTTCATGAAACTCGTGCTGGGTACAAGGGAACGTTGTACAGAATATTCCACTGAGTCGAAACATCTCCGAGACACGAGTCAGAGGGATTCTGGGGGACTAATGAGGGGTTTCTCCGATTTAAAGATCTCTGAACGCAGCGTCGTCATTTTACGGCTACAATCTATTGAGTACCCAAAGTAACAAGGTGGGTTAGGGTTAGGATTAGAATAAAATAATGCAATACAAACACTTTATCCAGAATGAAACTGCTGATTTGAATTTTAATCTGAAGGTCTGGTGCATTCCGTTGGTTTTCTGCAAGATGATGGTGCCAGACTGGTTAGCCACCATTGGAAAAGTGCTTCCATTACTGTGTCACACTGCTGCGATGTTCTGCTACTGAGGGCGTGTTCGGGTTTGTAGCTTGTAAAGGCCAGATTGATCAGGATAGATCATACCCCATGTAAACAGAAGACAGTTTGAAAGATTTTAATCTGAATAGCAGCAATCGGTCATGCAAACCCACTTTTTGAGACTCCACCTTTATAGTAAACAAAATAGTTTGATATTTGTTAATTTACTGTCCTGTAGATGCTCAGATGTGAAGATTGATGATACCATGTAGGGCTGGGCGATTGATTGGATTTTAATTTGGATTACGAGGTGTCGATGTCAAATTCTGAGTTTTAAATAATTGTGTTATCAATATAATTCAAAAGAGTTGTGATGATGACTTTTTGGCTTAATCAAGCAGCTCTAATGCCACATTATAGAGTTAGTCTGCATGCTATGAGCTAGGGATGGGCGATAAATTATCGTTCACGATATAGCGTCAGAAAAATCCTCCATGATAAATATTTGCCATCTCATGATAAATGCAAGTTGATGGCATAAGCGTGAGTGACGGACTCGCAGCCATAGCAGAATAACAAACAAACATGGCCGACGGTGGTGAATAGGGTTGGGAATCGAGAATCGAGAATCGATGGGAATCGGGACTAAAACTTCGATTCTTCCGGTATCGTTCAAATATTAAAATTTCGATTCCAAGTTTCGATGCCAGAGTCCGCCGACCGGAAGAAATAGCCGCCGAAAATCAACGAAGAAGAAGCCGCTTAACACCAATGAGGACGGAGCGTATGAGACGAAGCCACACAGAGAGACAGAGAGAGAAAGTACATTGTAACCCACAGCAATGCAGCAGCTGTGGGTTACATGTAATCTCTCTCTGTCTCTCTCCTCTCTCTGTGTGACTTCGTCTCATACGCTCCGTCCTCGTTGGTGTTCGGCAGCTTCTTCTTCGTTGGTCAAAAGTTTGGCTAACTTTAGCAGGAAGAATGAGCTCTTATCTCAATGCAACATTAACAATACAGTTATATCATGCAAAGGAGGGTAAACGACCAACGTGATTAAACACCTCAGGATTCATGGAGGAGAAATACCCGAGTGCTCGTCTTTGACGCGCTTCGCCGGTGTTGTGCCAGAGAATGCACCCCTGCTGTTGAATGCACCCCTGACGGGAGCGCGGTTGAAAGTACACAACAAGGCGAAACAATCCAAGTTTTTCTTACCGTTGAACGGAATCTAAAGCGTGTGCCTTTAATGATTTCATTCAGGCTATTCAGATATGCCGAAAACAATAGCCCTCTGATTCGGAATATTTACTGTCCTGAAAATATAATGTTCTCTACCTTAACAGCTTACTCTACAGTTTATATACCCAAGTACACCTCTATGTGTGCATTTTTGAGACACATACAAACAAAACGAAAGTTTACTGCTCCATTTGACACGTTTTCATGATCTAATACCCGTGTTTTATTAAATATGAGATCATATTTCTTCCACTAAGAAGCTAATCAGTGAAGGGGAGGCATTCTACGGCAGGGGTGCATTCTACAGCACAACACCTGTCTTCCGCTAACCAGTCAGGATCAGATAAGTGAAACAATAAATGACTTCTGTCCTCTGCTAACTTTGAAACGGTAAAGAAATTGAACTGAGTAAACTTAAATATCCATCTAACGTTAGCCCTTGTGCTTTTTCATAGACAAACGACCTGAAAACAAAAATTGATATTTATATACTGGTTGAAAATAGCTCTGTGAGAAATTCATAGTAAAGTTCTTAAAAAGTTAATAGGATTTAAAAATTCATGGAGAAGTTCAGAAATTTCATCCAAAAAGAAGAGCCCCGGTTAGCACCCTCATTCAAACCATGCTTTTTTCTTTCTTTTTTCTTTTTGATATCCTGCCTTTTAAAAGAATCGAATTAGAGAATCGATAGGAATCGGAATCGAAATGAGGAATCGAAATTGGAATCGGAATCGTTCAAAATCAAACAATACCCAACCCTAGTGGTGAAGAAGATGTTTCTTCGCAGCTCGTTACTGTCGAGGCTTCACATGAGGGATTTCCTTCAAGATTGTGGCTTAGATGACTGCAATCAGGTCTGCCTGACATCGGAGAGTGGATCTGTTACTGTTCACTCTGTGTAATAAGAATTTTTAACAAATGTTAAAAATGTTTTTACCTTTGAGATTTGTTTGATGTCAACTTATGTTCTCAAGACAAAATGAGTAAAAAGTATAGATTGGAATTATAATATTTTTATTGGGACTTTTCTTGTTATCGCCAGAATGGCAAATCTTATCATGATAACTTTCTTAGTCCATATCGCCCATCCCTACTATGAGCTTACCTGTTTCAAACACAGTAACTAAACTTATTAGAACTCCCAAACTGAGTTTTAACTCCCACTTGTTGCTTTACTCGTCAAAAGTTACTTCACTGTCAGAGCTGAGTGACCTCACACTGACTTGTTCATCACCTAAAAATACTCAGAGCTGTCAGCACGCTGACCAAAAGTGTCATAGCCTCAAGTCGACCGCGTTAACCATCATAAACAGTGTGGGGAAAAGGTGTCGGAGTCAACACACACTGACACACACACACACAAACACACAAACACTGACACACACTCACACAGCTGGAAGCCTCATGCTGAACCCCAGCTGTGAGGAGGACACTCGAGTGTGTGGTTCGATAAATCAGATATCCTGCAGGGTTTTTTCTTGTAGATGAATAAGCTGTTTGTTTGTGTGCATCTGTGTGTGTGTGTAAACAGGCATGCACATATGGTCTCATGATACATCTCAGTGGATTGTTGAGCAGATACGGTAATCATCACATCCTGTTCTTTCATATCGGACACACACACAGGAAGTGCTGAAACAGATCGAGCTTGAATTAGCCATCCTTGTGTGTGTACACAAGTGTGTATGTGTGAGTGAGTGTGTAACTAACAGCCCAATTATTTCTGTATCCCAGTCAGCCTTGCGGATAGATTTTAAGGACTTTTAGCTTCTTATTAGAAATCACATGTTGGGAGTAAAACAGCCTCAGTTCTTCTCTTAAAATTTAAATGTAAAAAAGATTGAAGAAACTTTAATTTAACAGAAAAAAGAAAAACTTTTTTGATTGTTTCATAGCAGTTATTTTTTGAGACATAAATAGCATAAAACGCAAATTTGCATGACTTTGCAGGAAGGTGCTGGATTTATTTGACGTCTCATTTTGCTCTCCCTCTCTGTCCTCTCGGCTCAGTGAGTTACACCTGCAACACAAAAGGCACAGATATCAAGGGTTTTGTGGTTGAGTCCTCACATTATTTTCATGTAGATCTAAATTAGTTTGCTTACTTTTCTGACAGGTTAAATGTCCAGCTGAATTGTTCCTGTAAAGATAGTTTAAAAGTCTTAAAATTAGAGCTTTCAAGTTTAAGGTCATAAGACTTCCTAACAAGTCAAATTTCTTCGTGACAATCCATGTCACTTAAGTGTAAAATATAAAGGGAGTGTTTGCAGAGACAAGAGATGCAAAATGGGCCTTTTAACCATTTTTCCATCATCCTGGTAATCTGGGTTCACTGCGTGGCAGAGAGGGGAGCACCAGGTTTGGGGAAACAGGGCGACCTTTCAGTTCGTAGATGAGTAACCTGCCAAATTTGAAGATAAGCAGCTAATAATGCTAAACTGGCTAAGAAACAGTCGGCTTTTGTTTTGCAACAGGCCAACACCTGGACTGAGAACAGGTTATTGAATGTACGTCCAAGTTTGGGATAACAAACTCTGACGGATTTTACCCCGGGTGCTGAATCAATAAATCAATTATTTAAATACTGTGGTGTTGTTTGGTGACAGTTAAACATGCTTCAGTCAGACTGTGCAGATGCAGATTTGAGTTTCTTGTCCTGAAGCCCCGAGTTAACCTGGAGCCACCATAAAACCTCCATCACTCACTTCAGTATTTCAACAGCTGACCGCGCCCACTGTTTGTTAAACATGGAGCCTCAGATCATCCAGCACAGTGACCCAAATGGTTGTAAATGTCTGATGTTTGCTGCATGTATAAATAAAACAGAGCAGAGTTAGGATTGACTGTAAATGAATTTGTTTTCACTTAATAGAATCTATTTACAGATTCTACATTACATATAGAAGAACGAGTACTCAGTCCGTCAGATTTATTTACCTCTGTAAACAGAAATCTTCATGCAAACAGCTCACAGGTAATTCTAGGTCAAATATCAGCCTGAACAGACTCAGAGTAAACCTCTTTTCTCCCTCCTAAAACCTGCCGCTCGTACTTTAAACCTTTTCAAACTTGAAATTCTTCGAGCAAATGTCATCCTGAAACTTATCTTTCGGATAAAAAGATCATTTCACAAAAAGAGCTCACACAGAAATTCATGCCAAAGCACAGAACTCCTCTGTTTCATCCTTTTACAATCAAGATAGGAACCCAGGAAATCCGCTGGCTGACCTTCAGTGTCAGAGGGTCGACCTCACAAAAAGAGAGCAGCAGGCTGAGACGAGGAGGGTCGGAGTCAGCCTGAGACAGACTAATGGATCCAGATCAAAGGCTCAGTCTGACATTTACAAATAAAGCAGGGGGAGGATCCAGATTTTTATTGGACATACCAAGATAACAGCAGTCGTCTGAAACTCATTTTTGAGGGGGTAAGACTTCAGGTGTTTAAATCATTGATAATAAGCGGAATAATCACTTTGTTAAGTCCCTTTAAAAACCAACAATAATAAATGTGTATATGCTAAAAAAACGAGCCATTCGAGTCATTAAAAAGTAGTTTTTTTAATCTACCTGCTTTCTTTTTATAGACCCTTTATATCCAATGAAAAACTGATATTTGACAGATATAAAAACAGAAACTTAAGAAGACTTTCAGCTCTTGGATTCACTGAGGTGGACTGTCTGAATAGTTTTGTTCACCCCTGATTTTCAGGTTAAGACATTTGCATCTGATTGGTTGGATTATTTTGGTTTGGTTTTACTTTCCTTTGTATGAAAGAGACGGACAGAGAAAGAAAGAGAGAGAGAGACACTGGTCAGACCTGCTGCACTGAGCAATTTAAGTTGACCAACAACATGTTTGTAATGTAAGACAAGCCCCCCCAATGAGATCAGGGTCAGCGAGCAGTTCAGTTTGCAAACTAGGACAAGACGACAAAGAAAACCTGCGGTGTAAAAACAGTCATGCATCAGGCTTATCTTGGTTTGATGCCCAAGTGTTTGAGGTTGGTTTGACTCAGTGCTTGCTGGGACACGATCATATCTGCATAAGAGGATATATCTATTAAGATGTCCAATCATCTGTCTCTCTTTCGGTCTCTCCCTGGTCGAACCAGTCTGTCAGGCTGCATGTGCGTATGTGTGTGTGTGAAGAAGGGGACGAGCTCGACAATGACAGGGATCGGGTTGCTATGAAACCTGACGAGCTACCCACATACAGGAGTGCCCAGGTGTCCTTGTGTGTGTGAGAGAGAGTGTGTGAGTGTGTGTTTTCCACAGACGGAGTAGTAAACATAGTGGGGCTGGCCTGGAGTAAGGCCCACGGGTGTCGGTGGATTAGGATTGCCTTAACAGTTATTAATGCGTCTGGTAAATCCTTTAAGGACTTAACCTGATTTTCATGCATAATTACCCTGACTAAAGAACAAAATGTCTTAAACATGCTTGAATTTCACCTCAGCGGCCTTAAAAATCACAGAACCGTCAAGTGAATCTGCACTGGAACAGTAAGGATAGATGATTCTGTATTTGCATTAGGATGTAATAGACAGAGGTTTATACTGGAGGACGTGTAAGAAAAATCTCTGTCCATGTCAGTAAATGTTTGTCTCATGGGAAAGAGTCACCTCCTCAGCTTCTTTTTGACAATTTGTGTTCTTACTTCACACATGACCAGCCGTTCATGTTTTCCTTCTGATACCAATGATCTTAAAAGTACCTGCTGGTGACATTTTGGTCTTGATGTGATATATTTAAGGTGTTATGAACTAGGGCTGGGCGATAAACCAAAAATTTACCAATACCGCAATTTACGACAATGATTCAAACATTGTAGCAGCTGAAGTCGATGAAGTTAATGTGGGAGGGGGTGAGCAGCTTGTGGAGTAGTTATTGTCCATTTATTGTTATCAAGGTGAACTGCTCGATATATTGTGATATTGATTTGAGGCCATATCGCCCAGCCTTATCATGAAGGCCCTGAAGCTTCCCTGAGGAGCTCTTTTCACGCCTGTGAAATCAGATGAAATTCATGTCGACGCCTTTTCATAATTTCCAAAAGCAAACGAAACCAGCAGCGACAAAACTGACGATTTTATATTGTTATTTTTAAAGCCTTAAACTACTGTGAGGGGGGTAGGTGTCAGCTGAGCAGACTGCTTTGACCACAAGGGGCGCCAAACCAAAAGCTCCTTTCGGGTGCTTTAAGTTTTATTTTATTTGAGTAGTTGATATTGCGAATTTCTGTAGCGCTGGCGATCATGAAATACTTGAAATTGTGCACGCAGCTCTTTCTGTGGAGGAAGCAGGTTTTTTCTTCCTTCTAAAATACTAAAATTCACTTGAATAGTAGGGCCCGAGAAAATCAACGAAGCACTTAAGGTTTTTGGGTCACTATTGGACTATAAACACCATTTTTAGTCTTGTGCATCTCTATCTTCAAATCCCATACTGCCGTTCTGTGTTAGAAATCTCACAGAACGTCATGATTTTTCTCGCTGATTCATTTTCACACAACATTACGATCATTAGCAGGTGAAGACATCCTTTAACATGATAAAGTGTCCAGATTCAGAATATAAGGTCTAGGCTTACATTAGGAACAAGAGGGACTGTGTGTGAGCATGACGGGCCTCAGGAACAGAGAGTGTATTGTGGTTAAGCAGGTCAGATGATAGAGTCACTGACATCCATGTTTATTATCAACACATGACACACATGTGTACTGCGTGTCTCTCACTCACTGCTTCATTTCTGCCAACCAGGTGTGATTGTATTCACAGTCAGCAGAAAGTTTATTATGCTCTGACAAAGTCCGGAGTGGTTAGACCGCCTCTAGAGGTCGATAACCTCACTTATCAGGGCATGGAGGACTTCGACTGAATGTGTGTCAAATCACTTCTCTGCTGTTTACTAACTTGTTGGAGTAAGAGCTCAGCCGTGTCCCTGGAGAGGTTTCTGGATGACCTTTTCAGAAATATTCAGCCTGATGCTGTGATGATTTAGCTGAACTGAGTCCACAGTGGCAGGGTTGGGTTAATGTTTGACCCCAGTCCTCAGATGGCTGGGGTCAAACATCTACACACATGATTTAAGACCTGTAGGGCTGTAAAGTCCTAGTCAACTCATTGGTCGATACGTGCTGGGTTGACCAAAATTCTCATTGGTCAACTCCATTTTTTTCAGCGTGAATTTAGAGTCCATGGTTAATTTCATCAGGAGGAATGTACCAAGTTCTAATGGGGGTGTTTTCAGAGCACCCCTATTTCACAGGTAACACCCTGTCTCAGAACACCCCCCCTTGTTTACACCATTTTGGATTCGCCCAACCCATTGGAGACAGGAAGACTGAAGAGGGTCCATGTTAATCAACGTCTGGTGGGCAGAATGTTTTTTCGTCGGATGGTAGGGGATATATGTACTATCAGCACAAGAAGGTAATTAAACACAAAAGTTAAAACGCTTAAAATAAAAATAAATATTCAGCAAACCACCAGACGTGATACATTTTTTCTCAGGATGGTAGGGGAAGGCCCCGCCTCCTTTGCCTCTGATTGGCTAGAAGTGCTGGGCTCTGATTGGTTATTCCTTATGGCTGTGAAATGTCAACTTCTACTGGGTTAGGGTTAGGGTTGGGAGATTCAGAATTGCTTTTTGAAGCGGTGGTTTGCTGAATATTTATTTTTATTTTTAGAAATTTAACTTGACTTTTGTGTTTCATTGCCTTCTTCTGCTGATGTTAGTATATTTTCGCCCCGATGAGCCACGTTCCACCGAGTCACATCGTCCCCTGCCGCAGAGGGGTTTGCCGTCAGAGTCGGAAAAACCCCTCATTAGTCGATTTTTGGTCGAAAACTTCAGGGTTTCAGTGGACCAAGAATTTCTTTGGTTAGGGTTCGGGTTAGACCTGAATGTGTGATAAAAAGTGTGTCTTAGTTAAATATGATTCTGATGTGGGAGTTTGGTGTGAGGCTGAGTTTAAAAGCAGCGAATCAATATTTAAAACCTCTCGAGCGGCGACGTGACAAAACTCTGACTTGGATACAGCCCAGTAAAGATGTGTCAGCTGTTAGCGAAGTGTTAATCTGAGTAATCTCTGAGATAATCATCCACCTCCGTCAGTAAACAACACATAAACTTGGAAACAGGAGCTTCAGCTATTACATAAGAAGAAGGAACACCCAGTTAACCAACTTAACTGTTTGATGTGATACGAGAATAACAAAAGATGAAACTACTCACAGGAACACTCTGTGGATGCAAAGAAAACCAAATGAAGTGTGATTAATATTCGAGTTCCTGTCTGCAAGAGTGACACCGATCCTGAATCATTTTTTAATCCGCTTAAATTATCTGTAATTTGATGGAGTGTGAATCACATATTTCCTCTGAGACTTGTTTGTAAAGCTGCTTTAGTCTGTGTTTGTGTAGTGCTGCAGAGAGGCAGAGGTTTCCTTTACTGTAAAGGTAGATCCTGCAGGGCAGAGCAAATATAGGTAGGTGTGTGTACGAGTGTGTGTGTGTGTGTTTACAGGGTGTAGATTAAACAGTGTGTAAACAGCTCATTTAGACACTGAAGTAATTTCGATGACAGATTTGCTTAGACATTAGGGAGCGTTGGCTCGAGTACCAAATAATTATCTACGTATAGAAGCTAAAAAAAACAATTATGAGTTCACACAGGAGTTTGCTGAGCGATATGAGACAATCAACAGAGTTAGCCAGAAGTCAAAGTGTTTATGTCTGGATTAAAGGAGCAACACGGTCAAATAAAATGTCCAAGAGTAGGGTTTATTTAAAGGAAACGACTCAGAGAAGAACATGGCGAATGAGGACCACATTTATCATCACAGGTGCTCCAGTGTCACTTTACCAACAGACAAATCTGACCGCTAGATGAAATGAAATATTCTCATCTTTACACTGTAATCAGCAGCTTTTTACCCCCCTCAGTTTGTGTTTGTTTAATAAAACTCTATTGTGTAAATGCCTCTTTGGCAGTGATTAAAAAAGGAAGTATGATACATGTTAACTTCTGTGTAGAAAAGGCAGTTTCCAATGAATTTAACAGTGTACATGCTTTTATTTTGAAAGAGCAAAGAGGAAACCTTGAATGATGACTTTCTGGTTAAAAAGTGATTCTATAATGTTAGACTTCAATATTTTATCATCTGTTTTATTTGCTTCATCTCCAATATCATCACCTGAAAATGGCCAATGCAGAATCTTAAAAGCAAAAGCTTCATTTTTTTTCCTTTTAGAGGGTTAAATCTGAGACAAACCAACATTTAAATGTCGTCCAGTGCTGCAGGGAAACCTCAGCATGTAAATTGAATTTCGTTACCATCGGTATGTTAACGTTGTCTCAAACTAAGATGGTATGAACTTGATGTAAACATAACAGTTCGACCATCTGGGAGGAAGCCTTCTCCTCGTTCAGACCAGGTGTTAATCTCGCTTGGAGCCTGGAGCAGGTTGAAAAAAATCCAAATCTGGGCCGTTTCTATAGTAACAACTTCCACAGCTTATATAGGGGCCACACTTTGATGGCGATCAGAGAGTAAGCTGTCTTTTCCTCCTGCCTGCAGAACACAGAGGAGGCTGAGGGGGGCTGGAGTCAACAGCCTGCCAGTGCTGCTGTCTGTTTTGCCCATAGAAGGCAGTTGGAGACTTTACAACATTGTTTCAGCTACAAATCCGAGTCTATTCAAATCCAGATGCTCTCAGGAAGGGAAATAGAAAAGTGTGTTTGTGTAGTATACACAGGTATTTGTGCTTACCTCCCGGTGCTTTGGTCTCGACCCAAAGTTCAAATAGTTGCAGGTTTGCTCTTTGAAAAGCTCCTTGAGTGGCTGAAAAACAATCAAATAAGACCTTTATTGAACCGAATACCTCGTTAAAACTCGAACAGAGTGCCAAGTGTTTACCCGCATTTGCAGACTCTTTAAATCCAAATTCATAAATGGAGCTTTTATGTGAGTTTATATTTAGGAGACTTTTCAGGACTAAAGCTCCTATGAGGGACTTTCTGTCTGCTTTGACTTTGGCGCCCCCTGTGGACGATGTGTTAACCCTTTTTTTTTATGCTGATTTTGTCTAGTCCTTGTTAAGTGTTGTTTATGGACAAAAAAACTGTCAATTTGTCAACTTTTTACAGTTTTATTGTCTCTCACTCTGATACCAGCTGTGGGAAAGTCACAAAGGTTAGTCCTCAGGGTTCCCGCCCTCTCACAGCAGTTACAGGAATTAAGTTTAATAACCAAGAAATCGTCAGTCTGGACAGTGATGGTCTCATTTCCTTTAGGGACACATAACAGCTCATTTCAGTCTGTTTCATAACTGATCAAAAATCCCTCACAGGAGCGAGATTTTATAAGATTCCTGCATCATTATCTGTTCAAACTCAATCTCGTATTATGTTAAATATGACCACAAAAGTGCAACAGGTACGAGGACTCTGCAAATACATTGAAAAGTAAAATAACTACCAACACAGTATGACATCTGTTATTTAATTTAATATCATTTACACGTTATAATGAATTCAGAGGGTAAAATAATGAATGGATTTCTGTTGTTTACAGTCGAGGATCATCACACACCGATACAGACATGCACTCCTATCCAATATTCCTCGTGTTTTTCTTACCTCCCCTCCCAGAATCCCTCTCCTAATGCCAGCCTCCCCCCTCCTCTCCCACACACACACACTGGAGTCCTGTGTACTCCCTACATCCTCATTCTTGGAAGGACCCATGTTTCGCGGTTGTTTTTCGAAGAAGATGAACACAGATAGATAGTCAACACATACACAGACACACAAACACACAGAGCAGACAGGGCCGGGGGGTCTTTAGGGTGATGCCAGTGTTTCAGACAAGTTGACATTTCCCACCCAGTCCCTGCCATGTGTGGGCGAGTCTCTGAGTGAGTCTGTGATATGTGTGTGTGAGCTGTGCTCTGGAATGCCTCAGTGATTAATCTTTTGTCCTAGCAGCATTTTCTATGCTAATTACCTGCTCGCTCTCTTGGAATGCACTCAGGCTGTCTGGCTTTCTGATTGGCTGAGAGGAGGCAGTCTAGCTCTGTGATTGGTTGCAGGCCGTCAACTTCAACCCTCCTCCTCTGGGGGCCAACAGACTAATTTATTCTCTTACCCCGAGATTGAAGCTCATTAAGACGGTGGCTTTGTGAGGGAGAAACTCAGCAGAGGTAGATGTGACGTGACCCATTTTTGAGTGTCAACCTATGAGGGAAACAAACGTAATTTTGTTGTGGTGGTGTGTCAAAGTAGGCTTGTGCCAATTAAAAAGTTCAACACTCAGTTATTTTTGGATTGTACATAAAACCTTTTTTTATGACAGTGTTGAACTGGTTTCCTACTGGAACCTTGTGCTTCTGTCTGTGTTCCGTTTGCTTACATATCTGTTTGCTTTGAAGCAGGACTAAGTACTAAACATGTTGTTGCAAAGTCAATGACTTTTCTGCAGGGATTTGTGCGTCAAGTCCACAAAATTATTTGTTACCTTCCCTTTTACTAGTTTTCAGCAGAATTTGTTGCTGAATTAGTGGAACTGATCCCGCTCAGATGGTGTGTCCGGTTCACCCTGGGACAGCTAACCAGTATCTCCAGTTGGAGAGTTACGGGCAAAACCCACAGGGTCCAAAACGGTTGCGCTCTGCTCCGGCACGGCCAGCGAATGTGAGTCATTCCACACAATCTATCCGGCGTCTGATTTAGCCATTTAGGAAGGCGCTGCCATGATGCCAGTGATGCGCTCTGCTACCTGGAGGTTTACAAAGATGACATCTTGTAGTGTGAGAATATTCGGTAGAAACAGCTGCATTCAGTGCATCATTCAGTAATTGCACTCTTAGCCATAGTTGCACATAGAAGATTCCTGCTCTAGAGGTTCTGCAGATCCTGAGATGAACACTGATGCATCTTAATGAACTCCAAAACCACCTCATAGTGTTGACTTGATTTACGTCCTACCAGAAAAATACAAAACAGCCCTTTAAAAATATTTCTGATCGCATCACTCTCTGGAGACTTAAGTTGTGCATTAAAGGAACAAGGTGAGATTTTTGGTTAAAAACACGACCTCCACAAGTTTAGGACAAAAAAAGTGAAGAGATCTAATAGACTGCAACATTAACACTATTAAAAAGTTCCTGACAGGAGCTTTAAAGACCAGCACTGGTGAGCCCAGAACATTTTGTACCACAGTCCTGAATCAGTGTGATATAAGCTCGGTGTTACTGTTGTTTTCGTCGTTGCATCTTTTCCTGCGATTATGTGACAGGATGTTGTTTCCGCTCCTGATAACTCGGCTACTGGTGCATCTTTCTGTTCTTATCAGTGACCAGCTGAGATGAAGTTTCTTGTCTTTTAAGACGAGAAAAAGGTGAGAAACTTTGCTCAACCTTTCAGACACTTAAAGCCTTCAGAGTGATCCTAATCAGCACTTTTTTTATGTGTGATTTACTTTGCACACGGAAGGATCGTTATCAGGTAGTGTTTCCTTTGTTGAGCTCCTTGTCCTTGCGCTCTGGTCAATTAATAACCAACTGAAGTGACAGACTAGTCAGACTTTTATTGTTCAGCTTCCTCAATGCTGCAGCGGACAAAGACAGACTTTAAACACCTGTCTGTGGTTTTGTGACATTGATCCGTTTAGGAGAAAATCACATCTTTAGACCTCTTTAGTTGTACACACTGACTGTAACAGGAACATATATTAGACAGCTTGTTTTTTATTTGTAAGTCGGCATCTGCTGGTCTCATCATGTACAGTCACTTCCACAGTCGGAGGCCTGGATGCCAGAAAAATAAGCTGCTGCACTCTGTAAATAGGATCAGTAAAAGTGCAGGTGCTGCAGCAGCGTGGGTTACCAGATTCTCAGCTCTGCTTAAACCATCCTCCTCCTCCTCTTCTTCCTCCTCCTCCTCCTCCTCCTCCTCTCCGTCTTCATCCTCCCACTTTTTTTCCTGTGAGCCCAAAGATGCTGTCATTCCCCCAGCGAGCCAGTCTGCGCTCAGCTTCGCCACAAACTCCAGCATGAGCTCATACTCGATTACTTATTCATAGGCTCTGTCACAAAGGCTGACGCAACCACAGACAGACAGACACGCTGGCTAAAAAGGAGGTGAACGGGCCTGTTAGCAGGGGCCAGGAAGCTAACAGACAGGCTGGCAGGCGTTCAGACGAGGCGAGCAGAGCTGCAGGATGATAGTAGCAGAACAAAAACAGGCGCGCTCGTGCGTTTATTTGTATCATCCTGTTAAACAGCTGCTTTTCGCTGTGAAAGTCTGGTCTTTGTCACATTTTCTGTATTTGTTCTACAAAATATTTCTGACTTGGCAGCGCTCGTTTGCATCGCTGAGGTCTTTGTCGTGTTTTTTCTCTCTCTGCTGAAAACAGGCCAGTGGATGCTGTCTGCTTTGGCAGTCCATCTTTCACGCTGTTGTTGTTTTGTTTTAACGTGGCGGGGGTCTTCCTTTGTCTCGGTAGCCAGCCAGATTTATTAATTTTTTTGACTGATGGTGTTGATTTGTCCGCAGGCGTTCTCTTGTTTTCTCATTTTGAGTCAGTCAAAGCTACACAGATGAATTAATCACCATGTTGGGCATCAGTGATGGAACTACATATGAGTCTGAAAATCAAATAAAGCTGCAGCTCTGCTTCATGGACTGGGCCTGATACTCTTCTTGTATTCACTAATTTCTCTCTTGAGGGGGTTTCGCTCTGACCCAGCAGAATTAGCAGTCGCTTTATGTCTTCTTTTATGTCTGAAATGCTGCTCATGTGTTGTCTCTGTAGTGAAGGTAGACTTGTTAATCAGGCTGATGACATTTTAAAGTAATCTGCATCACATCAGCATCATCCCACATAAGGCTGCACGATATTGGAAAAAAATAATATTGCGATTTTTTTCAACCCTGCGATATATATTGCGATATTAAAAATACAGGAATTTTCACCAGATGACATGAATAGCATTTAATGTTATGCTGCACTGCTGAAATCTTGAGGACAGTTAATCTGCTCTGATCTTACCTCTTTTTGTGAATGTTAGAATGGCTTCTGTCTCAGAGATATTTTTAGCTCTTATTGTGCTGGGACGTTATTGTAGCAACAGGTGAACACAGAAGACGTGTTTTGGTCGACATCATCCTTCTTTTAACCGAAATAATTCCAGATAACTGACTTTCCTTTTCTTTTTGGCAACAAATCTTCATTTTCGGTGGTTTTCGCTTGTTCGTTGTTCATTTTGCGATCGTTGTTGTTGTTGTTAGCGGTGTTGTGCCGAGAAACGCATGTCCTCCGAGAATTGCATGCACCTCGCAAAACGCGCACTGCTTATAGTAGAGTGGTCCACGGAAATGTACAATTTAAAACCCATACAGTTCTTATTTGTTGGGCTTAACAGTCATGAGTAAAGTTCCGAAAGTAATTCTCAGCGGACACACGTCTCCCTCCATGTGCAGAACATGTGCAGGGGTGGGTTTCCTCCGCTCTGATTTTGATTGACAGCTGGCAGGGTAGTCTGATTGGCCACTGAGAAGTGAGTCTGATTGGCAACTGAGTTAAGGACGAATGTGATTGGTGGATCGCTGCAAAGCACATGCAGAGTCACATGCAGTGTATCTCAGTCAGTTACCCTTGAAATTAAATGAGTTCATTCACCTCCAATATCGCAGGCTCTGCGATGTGACTATCGCACACACGTACATCGCGATGACGATAGTCAAACGATATATCGTGCAGGCCTAATCCCACATCAATCAGGGAAATTGAAAAGTGTATAAAAATGCAAACAGGTTTATTTTGCTGTTTGGTGCAGTTTTAACACTGAGCTGAGGAGGATTTAAATCAAAGCTTGAAAGATTTATCCACCAAGAAAGAAACAGAAATCATATTATTTTTAAACAGCACAAACACAGAGCTACAGGGAAAAGGAGCTCCTCCAAAATTCACCTTAAATTAACATCTCTGTGTGCAGTAAAGCAAATCTATTCTAGTGTATATGCAGTTTCAACAAAGGCACATCTAATTTAATTTAATAAGATATGGTGATTACCTGACAGGCCTTGAAACAAAGGTGAGAGTGACATGCAGTGTGAAAGGAGAAAAAACAATATGCATGAAAAAGAGGATTTTATCTGCAGGTATTGATCTCTAAACACGTTAAAATATCAGTGTACTGTTGTTTAAAATGAAAATAAACTTGTTTTATCCTTTCAACTGTTACTGCGTCATTTCAGCAGGTTAAATAGTTATCATTTTCCATCAACAAAAAACCTCCAGGGGTAAATATTTTGTGGAAAACAGAATAAATGTTGCATGTAAAATAAAAATGTTCATTATTGTCAAACAGAAACTTAGAAATCATCGAACCAGAGAAGCATGGTAACTTTTCCAGCTTTGTTTATATATTTTAACTCTCCAAATCTTTAACCTGCAGAGCTCTCTGTACTGTAGTTAACATTTAAAAGTACTTTTAATGTTTTTCTCAAGGTCATAAAAGACAGTATACACCATCACCAACAACTGTAAGGTCACAAAAAGTCAATTACTGCTTGACTTAAATGTTTCTCAAATACGGGGTTTATTGTCACACTTGAAGCGATCAAGTCCTCGTCCTTGAGGAAACTATAGAGGCTGACACACTCTGACATCAGGGAAGTGCTCCACTCACCTACAAACGGATTATTTTCCTCTTTAAAAAAAAACACAATGACCGTGACCAAAGACACACAAAGCACTGCCCGGCCGTGCACTTTCCTGTTGTCTTTGTGTTTCAAGAAAACGATAACTGAACCAACAAGGTCAGCCGTCTCGTATTTCTCCCTAGCAACACCAGTTCGCTCCGGCCCGGGCTGTGGTTTGTGTTGACACAGACACACAAACAGAGAAAAAGTCGGAGAAAACACACGGTGGTAGCCAGGGCAGCAAACTAAACTGTGGACCTAATGATGTCAGTGTCTATTTAAAAAAGAGTCGTAGCTAATCTCCACCTTCAGACTGTACGGTTATGAATGAGAGGTTAGCACAGGGCGGACCATTTGTTGATTTAAGCTAAAACTGAACGTCTGAAACTGGCATCCATTTGTTATGGTTTTAATAGAAACACTGAGAAGCTTCTCTGATTATTTCTCATAGTTGTTTTTATCTGTGACGGACAGAAGTGTGAGCAGTTATGGAAAGCAGCAGATTTAGTCCTCAATCTAGAGGGAGGATAGAGGTTTCTGAAGTCAAAGAGCATCAGCTGCTCTAACCTTTCCACCGCTGTTGTGATGCTTTTAAACGAAGCACTTAGAAAACCAGAAACCGCCAGAGAGAGCGAGAGATCAGAGACTATTAATGCCAAGCAGTCACCAGGTGTTGATGCTTGTAAATGTTGGACAGGGAGCTGCACATGTGGTCAGTGAATCCAAGATTGTTGGTCCTCGGCGGCAAGTCTTCTGCAGACTGTCTCACTTTTATCGTGTCTGAATTTGCAGCATTTGACCCCTGGCTTTTCTCATGGGGTCTTGATTGGTTTCATTTAGGAATTAATTTGTAAAACCCTGCGGAAAACACACTTTTTGGTGTGAATATATCACTCTGGTGTGTTTCCAGTGGAGTTTGGTGTGGTTAGGAATGTTAAACCCTGATTAACGGATTGTAGTGTGTTTGGCTCCACTCTCTCAGGAAGAGGGAGCCAAAAAAATCTGAGGTCATTGAGGAATTATTTTGGTAACTTTCTCAACTTTTGCAAATGGAAACGCAAATAATTGAACCTGAACTGGACCAGCTTGTAGAAATGCAGCAATATCCGACTGTGGTATTGTTGGAAAGTGAAACTAGACTGACTTGTTCCTTGCAAGGTGGCGCAAAGATTGATTGGCATGTGATGGTCGCTGCAATGAAATAAAAAATGAGAAAAAACTAATGAAGTCTAATGACTTCTAATGAAGTCGATGAAAGTAAAAAGAATTAAGATGAGATCAGCAGCAATCTAGTGACTTTTACATGTTACATGAACAATCAGTTCAGCTATTACATTATGGGTTCGTTTGCACTTGTAATAACAAGCTTTCCTATTAAAGATGCCAGATTATTGTGCATCGAGCATTAATGAAACAGTCTTTGTAAGAATCTGATGGATGCAACTTTAATACGTCGATGAAATGTGATGCTAAGCAGCGATCCAAAGCACAGGGAGCGATGTGTTCAGGTGGTTTGTTTGCAGCGCTCATATCTTTTCCTCTACATAAAATATGCAAAGAGAAGCTTTAAATAATGTATAAGAAGATCCAGAAAGTGTAAAGCTGACCCTTCACCCTAAACAGCACCTGGATCTGACTGTAAATCTGATCCTGATCTGTCTTTATCACACACACAAACACACACAAACACACAGAGCCTGGTGGGATGAGGGTGGCGGCTGTTTATTGTCAGTACAAATAGACGTCTGACAACCAACCAGCTGATGTTGTCTGTATATGTGTGTGTGTGTGTGTGCAGGAGGGGTAAATTATTGTGTTTTTCCAGATGAGCAAATCCATTGTTTCCAGTCCATCTGTCCTGGAGTCACAAAGACACATGGACACACACACATTAGTACAAACAAAGACAAGCCTGAGTTCGTGTTCGTCTTGACAACCCTTCAGTAAATCTGTATTTTGACTCTGGGTACAGTTCGTCATGTTTGAGGGTGTTTTTACGGGTGAAATGTGAAACTCATACATGACAGACAAGAATCAGTCTGACCCCTGAATCACTGGCATGAAGACACGAGTGTTTTATTTGTGTGAATAGGAGCAGACGTGTATTCAGGCTGACAGATCCACCAAACATGTCAAACAGACAAAGACGGTTTTCCAGTGAGCTGTCGGCGCACCATCAGCACGCCTCCAAATGTGATTCTGATTTCTTAAATCTGTTACTGATTATGTATTTCTGATCCTAATCATCTTCCCCTCTTGTCTCTCCTTCTCTTTAGGACCAGTTTGATAATCTGGACAAACACACTCAGTGGGGCATCGACTTCCTCGAACGCTACGCAAAGTTTGTCAAGGAGAGGCTGGACATCGAGCAAAACTACGCCAAGCAGCTACGGTACACACGCACAAATCCACTTCAGAAAATTTCCATCAAGTCTTTTTGAACTGAGTCACTTTGAGAATAGTTTCCGACCTTATTTTGGGAGAAACAGAGCCGACGCACTGCTGAAACGCCAACCTGAGTCTGCTAAAACATCAACCGTCTCCAACAGCTGATGTGATGTATACATTTTCCAGCATACCACACATGCACAGCAGCGCATTTCAGCCCCTTAAACAAAACCGACCACCGAACATCTCAGCGTCAAATAAATCCAGTCTGCTCCATGTTTAATTCCTTTAATATTTTGCTCTGTGACCTAGAAAAGAAAAGCCTAACGCCTGAATCATATTTTCGTCCGACTGATCTTCTTTACAGTCAGAATTCTTCGTCATCTTTGCGGAGCGACTTGGCAGACGCCGACGTGATCTCCCAAAGACATCATAAGAGATTTCAAACACGTTGGGGTTTGTTTGATGGGATCTGAGGTTGCTTTCAGTGACACAGAGCCGGGGTGATATTTCTTCATCGAGACGCCACATGTAAAATCTGTCAGGTGGGGCTCATACCCTAAAGTCTGGTCTCAAAGTGACAGGAGAATTTGGGTCGTGATCTTCAAGGTAGAGAAAATCAGCTCTTAATGGTGCAAAATACTAAAACTAAAAACCCTTACCGGCTCGAATTAAAGATGAAATCAGGGCTTAAAGTCGATGATTATTAAAAACCAGCAGGGTCTCAGAAGTGATGGTTTGATATCAAAGGTTTTCATCGTTATTATAAATTGATCAAACACAGAGCCTCCTGTATATGTGTCTGACGTTTGAACATTTCTACCTCACACTCAGACACACACACATCCAAAAATCTGCCTCCTCTCTCTCTCTAAATCATTAACTCACTACTTTGCTCCTCGGCTCCCTCAGGCTCTAACAATACCGGCTTCAGCAGAGACTTTGATGTTTCTGTTTCTTTATTCATCTTTCATAAAACAAGGAAACCCCCACCCCACCAGCTCCTCCCTCCTCCTCCCTTTGTTACTGTGTGTGTGTCAGACTGTCGGCCTCTTGTCTGTTTACCTTTTTGCTCCACCAGGCTTAAAATAGCAGACGACATTTCCAACACTGTCTCTTTTCTCTCCTCTCTCAGGAACTTGGTGAAGAAGTACTGTCCAAAACGCTCTAAAGATGAGGAACCACGGTGAGTTTTTAATGGTTAACCTGCACAATAAACATGTCGAATAACCAAACCGTATATTTTCATCCCTGTGTTCGATGCGGGTTTGCATGCTACGACTGTCTGGAAAGATTGGTTAAACTGGTCACGCAACAACAGATCGATGAACCGGGGTTTTAGGTCACTTGTTCGCTGATGACATTTCTGCATTACATAACATGATAAGGCTGAGCATCATGTGCAACTGCACTGTTTTTACCTTATGAGCCTTTGGAACCAAAACACAGCAGGAGTGCGACTGTTTTTATTTGGTTTGTCATCATTAATAATGATGTTTTATTGGAAAGGATCGCTATAGAGACCGAGAACGTGAGGAGCTGAGAGTTTGGGGTCACATGCAGCACAAACTGGTGACCACTGAGATGTGGGCTGAGCCTCAGTAGATAAGACATGTGTTAATCTAAAGAAAAAAGACAATATTTTCTCACGCAGGCCATGATTTTATATCATTTAGTATAGGCCTGAACGATATATCGTTTGACTATCGTCATCGCGATGTACGTGTGTGCGATAGTCACATCGCAGAGCCTGCGATATTGGAGGTGAATGAACTCATTTAATTTCAAGGGTAACCGACTGAGATACACTCCATGTGACTCTGCATGTGCTGTGCAGCGATCCACCAATCGCCTTCGTCCTTAACTCAGTTGCCAATCAGACTCACTTCTCAGTTGCCAATCAGACTACCCTGCCAGCTGTCAATCAAAATCAGGGAGGAGAAAACCCACCCCTGCACATGTTCTGCACATGGAGGGAGACGTGTGTCCGCTGAGAATTACTTTCGGAACTTTACTCATGACTATTAAGCCCAACAAATAAGAACTGTATGGGTTTTAAATTGTACATTTCCGTGGACCACTCTACTATAAGCAGAAGCCGTTCTACTAACATTCACAAAAAGAGGTAAGATCAGAGCAGAATAACTGTCCTCAAGATTTCAGCAGTGCAGCATAACATTAAGTGCTATTCAGGTCATCTGGTGAAAATACGGTATTTTTAATATCGCAATATATATCGCAGGGTTGAAAAAATCGCAATATTATTTTTTTTCCAATATCGTGCAGCCTTAATTTAGTACAGTCAGATGAAGCTTTCAATCAGATACCCTCAGATTAATTAACCAACTCCACAATTTTTTTTACTTATAGTACTTTATATCAATGATGCAATATCGGCACATGGTGTTATTTCCCGAACTGATTCTGATGAAACTATAATAGCTATAGTTAGACCCTATAAAATTCCGACATAGTCTATAAGACCTCGTCTATTGGTTTCTACAGGGAGGTTCTAAAGCACAATGATGGGGGCGGATTTATCAGAAATGCTTACTCAACCTAAATCTATCCAGAAACTGATGATTGGCCAGAATGATGTGTCCACCTGTTAATCAATTTACCATGTTTTTGATTGTGCAAATTTTTTGAAAACTGAGGAGTTATAAAAATTCTCCCTCTCATATAGTTTGTACTTTTAATAAAATGTGTTATTGGGGCGTGTTTATTTGTTTGAACCAGGCTGTAAACATTATTAATTCTACTACAGACTGGGCATTTTAACATGGAAGCTGATGGGGTTTTCGTGGCTTCTGGAGCCAGCCTCTAGTGGACACTGGATGAACTGCAAGCCACTCAGAGTTGCAACTTGATTTATAAAAATCTAGTCATATAAAACATGTGAAAATACCATAAATTACTGAACTTGTAAGCACCAGCTCAGAGTTGAAATAGCAGTGTAGAAGGAAGGAAGTGAAGTCAGAGTAAAACTGAACATCATGGCGTCAGTCTGCAGCATGAAGTCATCAGGAAGTTAAAAGATGGGCTGTCTGTACTCGCCGGATGATCAGGATTATTGAGAATGAAATAGTAATTCCTATTCATTATGTTCAATTACACTTAAAGCTGTAACAGGAAAATCTAAAAGCATGCATGGACCTGATGTCACACTATCATTAAGAATATAATTGAACAACTAAGTTCATAACCTGTTTCCTATAAAACCACACTCAGCAGCGTTTGACTTCACATCTGTGGACAAACCATAAAGGAAACACGCTGCGTGCTCTCCTAATCTCATGTTTAATGTGCATGTGTTGTGCAGGTTCACGTCATGTCTGTCCTTCTACTCCGTGCTGAATGAACTGAACGACTATGCCGGTCAGAGGGAGGTGGTGGCGGAGGAGATGGCTCACAGGGTGTACGGGGAGCTGATGAGGTACGGCCAAGACCTGAAATCCGAGAGAAAGCACGTGAGTACACTTTCATGTCTCCTCCGTGTTAAATTACATAGAAGAGATAAAGTGATGTGCATGTACAGATGATGAAGAGCGCGTTTCTTAGAAAACTTGTTGCTTCCTGTAAAAAAAAAAAAAGGATGTTGCTGTTGGCCCGGGTATCCTCTGTCGTCTCTTTTGTGTTTGGCTTCTCTCTGGAGGATAAATATGTTGGAAGTGATGTTGGCCATCTGTCTTTCACTTCTGCCTCCATCTGCTGATCTAATAAATCTGAAACTGTAGATGTCGGTGTGATATGGGAGAACAGCGCCCTCCTCTTGGCCCGTGCTGTAAAGCTTTAAATATACTCTGTCATAAACATGTTCTCCTCTCTGGTTGTGTTCTTGCTTTTTAAGGTTGATGTAAAAAGATTTCAAACATATTTTCTTTATACTTTTTTTAATTATTTAAGTGGAAGACGATATTTCTCACTTTTTGATGGGCAGGCCAAACAATAAAGTCAGTGACTCTATAATGAAATGTTGATATCTTGCTTTTTCAGACATAATAATCCTCTACAATATTGTTTCATGTGATCAACAGTAGCGTTTTCTTGGCTTATGTGCCTGAATCTGTCCCTGTTTTATTGTTGTGTTATTTTATGTCTGATTAGAAACGAGTTATTTTGCATTTAAATAGTTTATAAATGAGGAAAACTTGATATTTTGTATTAAGCTTATTTAGAAAGAGCAAATTCACAACAAACGTTGTCTGTCTCGAGACATTTGAGACTGTACTCTTCAGTATATCTAAATAGACCCAAAATCTAGATGGGCTAAGATCTAGTCTGACTCTGAAATAGTAAAATCAGACCCACTCAGATCTTGTCTTAATCCATGACGAGCGAAACGTTACAGTGACAAGAAAAACTTCTTTTCAACGGGCTGTTTTTCCATAAATTCAGATATCGACTCTCTGATGTTTGTTCAAATACAGGAATTAAATATGAATCAAAGTTGTCAATAATCAAATACTACAATACTGTATAGTACCCCTTACAAATAATACAGTTTTTACTGTTTAACATAATTAACTATCTAAGATTTCATCAGTTCTTTCCAATGATGCTCAAAATTGGGTTCAGTCTTACTCATTTGACAATGAAAGTAACTTAAATTCATCCACAACCACCGTCTTCTTCTTCTTGGGTTTTTAATGAGACGACATTGTATGACTGTCTCCCATGTGGACACACCATAAGTAAAGACTCTGGAGTCCCATTAATTTAAGGGTCCTTATGTGCGCCTATAACCTGAACAAGCACTGGGATAAGCACAATCCTCAGTATCAGAATGAATCGTTCCAGTGAGGGTCTGTATTTAAGTGATTTACCGCCCGTGTCTGCAGATATTGTAGCTGTAAGTACGCAATGATGCGCCCTTCTAGAGAGGAATGTAAAAAATGATGAAACAGTCTTTTTTAATGAGTAACTTTACTGCTTCGGTCACAGGACTCTTATAAACCTGCAGCTGTGGCCTCAGCACTTTCCTCTTCACTGGGTTGTTATCCTCTCTGTCACTGTAACATGAATAATTTTAGTCCAGTCATGTTGTGTATTTGTATATAACTGTTATCCTGTATATACATTATTTATGTGTATTTTTGTGTCTGTGTGAATGTCTCTTTGTCTGTGTGTGTGTGTTTGTCCGTGTGTGTTTGTGTGGATATGAGCAGCATCTACAGGAGGGCAGGAAGGCCCAGCAGTATTTGGATCATTGCTGGAAACAGATGGACAATGTAAGTGTGGAGAAAGGAGGAGGAGGAGGAGGGGAGAAAATGAGAAGTGTTTAGCGTACGTTTCCTCAGTTAGGCAGCACCAGCTGTACTTGACTTGTGCTTGTTTTTAAGAGTAACAAAAGAAATACAAACAAAGGTGACTGCTGCGCAATTCAGGGTCCACTTTTAACCCCTTATTTCACTCAGAGGAATTCACTAAACAGGAAAAATGTTGCATCTCTGGTACCTGTTGTATGTTTGTGCTGAAATAAATGGAAGGTTTAACATCAGAAAGGTTATTTCTGACCCTGAAAAGAGAGCAAAGTTTTTCTGGTCAGCTGCCTTGTCCACAAGGAATGAGGACAGGGACCAGGACCAAGAAACACACACACACACATTTACAGAAATCAATCTTAAGTACAGGCTCTTTGTGCCACATCTGACCCACAGCACCCTCCCTATCCCATTCGTCACATCTGAGATCATATAGATGAATTTACTGCAGTATTTATAGCATTTTTCTCGTTATAACACTTCTAATTAACCACCACTGTGTGCTAATAGTGAAAAAAAAGCTTGTTTGAAACATACATGTCAGCTCGTTCATGTCCTTTTTGAGACATACACGGTACAGAGTGTTTCAACGTGTGGTCTGCATGACTTTGAAGTGACTACTCAGTGACTGGACTGTAATGTCTCAGCTATTCACTGAGTTTTCTTCATTACTAATGTAATCCAGATGGGCTGGCAGGAAATAAACTATCTCCCCCTGTGTGATTCATCTCCATATTTGGCCCTTTTTTCCTTTTTCATTCACTTTTTTCCCCCAGTTGATTATCTGGGAACTCTGAAGAAAAGACAGGAAATAAAAAAAAGGACGCCAAGTAAAGAAGAGAGGGTACAGTCTTTTCGATCGCTTTAACGGCGTTTCTGTCTTTCTTCTTCCTTGTTTGTTTCTTTTTTTAGAGTAAAAGGAAGTTTGAGAGAGAGTGCAAAGAAGCAGAGAAATCCCAGATCACCTTTGAGCGGTTAGATAACGACATCAACGCCACTAAATCAGAGGTGGAGAAGGTAAGAGGGAAAATAACTCTTCAGCTTCCTTTACAGTTAAATATCAGCCAATAGATAATCAATGAAAGTCCACACTTGAACAAATACATTCACATAAAAATCCACCATTCAGAAACAGAGTGACTCATGATTACCCCTTGTGTAAAGTTAGCTGTCTGTAATGGATACTTATGAAATTACACTGTGTGTCCCTGCTTTTCCACACACATACTGTATAATTTGACCAGGTAATTTTAGTTCAGGCTTATAGGAAAATAAACCTCTCCGTCCTGAAGTTAAAACACAGCTTAGACAAAAAAAAAAAGTTTATGTTGAGGTTCCTTCTTTAAACTGTTGGACTGATCAACAATAAATCCAACAGAAGATGAAACAGAAGCTTCTGATTTAGGTCATGTTTTCAGAGGATGGCTAAGTGAAAAGAAGAAGAAGCACCACATGTAAAAACAAAACCCAGTCACCATTGATTTTAGCGATATAATTTAAGCACATGAGAAAGTAAGCTGCAGATCTGTCCTTATCTAATGAAAGTAATAAAAAGGGACAGATATTTGATTTTTTCCTGTCTTTTAATGGATTTATCGGAGAAATTTCACGATACTTTGGCAGTGATACAATACTATCATAATACTTTGGCCACGATACGAAATTATCACGATACTTTGGCCACTATATGATATTATCACAATACAATATTATCACGATACTTTGGCCATGATATGATATTATCACGATACTTTGGCCATGATACAATATTATTGCGATACTTTGGCCACAATACGATGTTATCACGATACTTTGGCCACAATACAATATTATCACGATACTTTGGCCACAATACAATATTATCACAATACTTTGGCAGTGATACAATACGATCATAATACTTCGGCAACGATACGATATTATCACGATACTTTGGCCATGATACAATATTATCACAATACTTTGGCCACTATATGATATTATCACAATACAATATTATCACGCTACTTTGGCCATGATATGATATTATCACGATACTTTGGCCATGATACAATATTATTGCGATACTTTGGCCACAATACGATATAGTATCACGATACTTTGGCCACAATACAATTTTATCACGATACCACAATACAATATTATCACGATACTTGGGCCACGATACGATACTATCACAATACAATATCATCGCAATACTTTGGCCATGATATAATACTATTGCCATACCTTGGCTACAATATGATATTGTCACGATACTTGGGCCACGATACAATATTATAATGATACTTTGGCCACAATACAATATTTTTGCGATACTTTGGCCAGAATTCGGTATTATCATGATACTTGGGCCACGATAGAACCTCCCAAACGTGCCCTTCTATCCAGTTAAATACTGACCCGACTTGTTTATGATGTTTACAGCCTGCACTGTTGTTGTCGTTGTCGTTGTTGCTCAGGCCAAAGCCCAGTTCTACCTGAGGACCCACATGGCTGATGAGAGCAAGAACGAGTACGCCGCCCAGCTACAGAACTTCAACGCAGAACAGTGGAAACATTTCAACACCGCCATACCGCACATCTTCAAGGTAACGAGACTCTGTTTGACTTGTTTCATTGTGAGCTCTGGAGAGTTCAGCCTGTTTTTAAGGATGACTCCATTTCTTCTTGTTTTCTCCGTTACAGAATTTGCAGGACATGGACGAACGGCGGACGGTAAAGCTCGGGGAAACGTACCGGAGCTTTGCTGAGGCAGAGCGGAGAGTCATCCCGATCATCTCCAAATGTTTAGAGGGAATGGTTTCTGCTGCCAAATCTGTTGATGAGCGAAGGGTATGCAGGACAGAGGATGATGGGTTTAAGACAAGAGGACAAGAGAAGGGCAGAGTGTCGACTGAAAAGCTAACTTTTCCCCGTTTGGTATTTTCCTCTTCTTCTCTTTACTCTTTCCAGGATTCAGGCATCGTCGTAGAGTCGTTTAAGTCAGGCTTCGACCCTCCGGGCGACTTCCCCTTTGAGGACTTCAGCCAGAACCTGAGCAGAACCGGTTCAGACGGGACCATCACCAACACACCCAAAGGAGACAGAGATAAAGATGGGGCCCCGGGGCAACGACCCGACCTGAAACAACACCCCATGAGCAGAACCAAGAACAAACTCTGGCTCTTTGGGAAGAAACCAAAGGTACAGTTTGAGTTTACAGAACCAGCTCCAGTTCTGAATCTGTGAATTCATCATAAATATAACTGTAGTTGATTATCTGACAGCGCTGCAGAAAATCCCAGAGGTTCAGCTGAATATCAGCGTCATTAGTCACGTCCTGACCTCTCCACAGTCATTTTAACTTCTCCACCCCGATGACATCTCCAGAGAAACAAACTAACTACTCATGTTTTCCCAAAGTTTTATTACTTCCTCTGCTCCCTGTTTGTGTTCCCAGCTCGTGTTGAGTTGTCATTTTTATTTGTGACAACACGCTCCAGCCTTTCGCCCGTACACTCCCTGGACCTTGCCCTTCTCTATAAAGACTGCGCTTTTTTAATCATTAACTCTCTCCTGTTGGTTCATGTCCGAGTCATCAGCTGCCTCTCGCTATCAGGAACCTGTGTGATGGATCAGGGTGTGTTTTGTGTACATGGATTTGTTTAATTGATAAAGATGTGTTTTTTTACTTTTTCCAAATTTATCCAGGAAGGCCGAAAACTTGGCTTCCAATCTAGTTAATTTCTCTTGAACGTTGAATATTTACAACATGTCTTTTCAACTTTGCTCTGATAAACTTATGATATTATTATGTGGCCAAATCCTCTGTCAAAAATTTAGTGTATACACCCTATAATACCTTTTTTGCCATCTTAAAGGTGTCCCATACACCGCTGCAACCAATAAACTAGAATAAAATGTTGAGAGAGGTTTTTTGTTTCGCATGTTTTACCCAGAAGATGGCGCTCTACGCTGCAAACATCCACTTAGCTGCTGAATACAAAGAGAGACAAGAGGGGAAAATGTAGATATAGTGTGATATAGGGCTGGGTGATAAACTGCAAACTTTTCGAGACCGAAACTTACGACAATAACCGACGTCATTTTGCCAAAATCGGTATATTCAGTGTCAAAAAAATGAATAAATCAAAGTTTGTTTTGGATGTGTGTAGGTAGGCTATGGTCTCATGTTCCTTTTAAGATGCTGTCCTACGTCAGAGACGTGACTCCACCCCAACGAGTCTGTAACAAAGAGGGAAAGACAGGTGAGGAGATGGAGGACGGTCCAAAAGTTGTAGCGGCTGAAGTAGACAAATGTGGGAGGGGGTGAGCAGCTTGTGGAGTAGTTATCGTCCATTTATCGTTATCGAGGTGAACTGATCAATATATTGTGATATTGATTCGAGGCCATATCGCCCAGCCCTAGTGTGATATAAATAAACCTCATGGAGCACTGGTTTGTCAGAAAAGACTTAAATTCAGGACAACAAATGAGCAGATGGGGGTAGCATGTGTCTGGTCATGCAGTACCAACAGTGGCCACTAGTGCAAACATCACCTCACAGCCCGTTGTGGTTTCTGGGGTTTGGAGCGGCATAAATAAAAGCTTGAATGAGTCAGTTTTGAAGTCATTCGAGTTTTCTAAGTTTATGAGGAGAAGTCATCCATGAGTCATACCTGACTCCTTCATGACTCAGTGGAGTCATCTTAACTACATCCTTATAAACTTCACTTTTGTTGACTTTAAAGAAAACAGAGAAAAAAAAACAACTTTCACACTGACGTTCTTCACCGCAGCCAGAAGTCGCCATCATGAGAGAGACATTTGTCACCAAACATCCCGAATCTTCAGAATGTGTCGCCCTGACTTCTGTCTGGTTTTGTCCTCTCTTCCTGCTCCCCATCAGTCCCCTCCCTCCTCCCCTCCTCCACCACCTTCCTTCTCCTCTCGTACCCGGTCCACCTCCAACATTTTCCCTCCACCCCGGTTCAGCTCTGACCTAGTGAGCCACTATCTTTCTGAGATAAAGACTTCAGTTCCCAGAATCCCCCAGAATTTGAAGGGCCTAAGGAGAGGGGTGAGACAGGGAGTGGTGCTGTGGTGTGTTTTAGAAAGTTTCTCTTGATTTTGGGTTTTATGTTCTTTTCACAGAGTGTCTGCAGTTATTAATATATCGAGCAGAAATAAACTTAAATCTGTCTCGGCTTTAAAAGGGTTTTAAAAGTTCTATTTTTGATCTAGAACTATTAAATTCACTGAGAGAAGTGGGTCTGATTTATTTAACAGCTGAATATAATTTAATTTGAGTGTAATAAAAACTGCAGACGCTCTGTTTTATGGTTTTCCTCCTTTAATCTGTGCTTTGGTTCTCTTCTTCTTTCTCCTCAATTTTCATTTTTCTTGTTTTTTCGATTTTCCTTTTTTTTTTTTTTTTTTTTTTTTATCACACAGATTTCTGCTCCAATCACAAGATTGAAGATCATTGGTGATTGATATCATGTGTGTATTTGTGTCTTTGTTTGTGTGTCTGTTGTGGGGCTTTTTTTCTGGTTGCAGTGTCGTGCAGGGTCAAACGTCACAGATGTGATGAAGGCACTGCTGTGATGTTGGTGTGGCTCGGGTTTGCAGTGATATGAGAGTGTTTACATGTTCGAGTGGATCTGATAACAGTGTCAGTGTGCTTTAGCAGAGATTTCTGTTGAACAAGATATTTCACCTCAGCTCCAGGACAACAGTTTGACTGACTTTTATTCCGACAGTATTTCCAGGGATGTTTGGCTGATTATTATATCTGCAGACATCATGCACCCCTAATTATGTGTTTCCTACAGGCCTTATATTTATAAGAATAAAGTTATTTTTACAAAATTTAGATGCATGAATGAACAGACGAGAAAAACTTTTTGACAGTAAAATAGTCATAATTTAGGCCTTTGTCATGCCAGTGATAAATTAAACATACTTGAAATTTTAAAGATAAGCATTTTTTAAACAATTCTTTGGACTTTTTTTGGACTTTATGGAAAGAAAATAATCAACGAGGATATGATCTGTGGATTTCTTAGGCAATACAACCCAGTATAGTTATAGTTTTTCTGCTTTAGGAGTGTGTTTGTGCGGGTACATTACTGCCACCTTCTGTCTGGAAGTGGAATCGCATCACACTGGCAGGAGGAAATAAATTCTTTCTTATAGAGTTTCATATTTTTTCCAAAACAATTCTGTGAGTTTTGTGAATATCAAATAGATAAAAATAGATACTGAAACAAGAAGAAAATCTGTTTATCTGACTGGTTTTACTGACTGACTGACTGGTTTTTGTGGCTGTTTTGCAAACTGATAACTAACCAGCATCCCCTGTTTGTTTTTTCTTTTTTTAATGTAATGGTAAATGCATCAGTGGTCAGTAAAGATGGTAAGTGAGTGAGTGTGTGTTTAGAGTCCCAGCTGTATAGATGTAGAGTAACCTCCCTCACCGAACAGTAGGACTCCCCGAGACACCGAACCTGTAGTGATAGAAAAGTCAGAGACTTCTCCTTCCTGGTTAGTGTAGACTCCTGCCCTTCTGGATCTGTGTTTTTATCCTCCACCTGCCTTAAACTCACATAGAAACATGGAGGGTTTCAAAGAATTAGTTCGTGCTTGACACTTGACACTCACTTAGAGAGAAAATCAAGCACTTGAGAAACAAAGTCACAGCGTTTGCAGGTTGATTTGAATCCCAGCCCTGCTAACAGTGGCCAAATGTTGTGTATGTAAAATTTAACTACAGTTGTAGATTTTAGTCTTGGAAATTGACAACAATCTTGCCACAGTTGCTCTTTATTCACCAGAGTGAACTTAAAAAACCTCTAAATGATCATTTTATTGAAAGTTTGTTGGGAAGCATCGACAAGTTACCTCAAATAAAAGTGCAGCCATGTAGTTACACCTCTTCGAAACATGGAGGCATCCTGAATCTGTCTGTTTTATTTTCCCGGTATCCGTCCTTCACATCACTGACTCGATCTCCAGTTTGCATTCACTTTAAACTGTGCGTCCTCTTCTTTTATTACCACCAGGCCCCGTCTCTGGAAGATTTCAGTCACTTACCCCCCGAGCAGAGGAGGAAGAGGCTGCAGCAGAGGATCGACGAGCTGAACAAAGAGCTGCAGAAAGAGATGGATCAAAGGTAGAGCTTTGAAGTCATAGTCCCTATGTGCATCTCACAGCAAACAACATTTTCTGTGGTATTTTACTTCATTTATATTTTCCAACCGTTCATGTTGAAAATACAGTGATCTGTCTTAAACTCATTAGCCTCTAACAACAGTATCAGTCACTGTCAAAGCTTCGCAGCTTGAAAAAGTATTTGTTGAAAAGTAAAAATGGCTGCACTAGTCTTTGTCTTTAACTTTGCAGCCTACTCAGGTCAGTCATTTATACTGTCTGTGTTTCATGACCTTCAGAGACGCCCTGAACAAAATGAAGGATGTGTATGAGAAGAATCCACAGATGGGAGACCCCAGCAGTCTGCAGCCGAAAATTTCAGAGACCATCTGTAACATGGAGAAGCTGCGCTCGGAAATCCACAAAAATGAGGTACAAAAAAAAGAAACTATAGATGGAAGTGGAGCCGATTATGATGCAGAGGGACATATATTAGCATACTTAGTATCAGTACAAAGTATAACACAGGTTGTTTCCGTCTTCCTCTTTTAACAGACCTGGTTATCTGAAGTGGAGGGGAAGCAGAGCTCGAGGGGAGACAGACGGCACAGCGCTGACAACCACCATCACGCTCCTCAGGGCCGAGAGAGGTGAGAGAGAGGAGGCTGTTCAAAGTATTTATCAATGACATGTAGAGTAATCTTAAACCAATCATTATAAGAGGTTATTTTGAAGAATTTTAGCTCTAACTCTGCGTTTAATAAGTCGTCTTGCTGCTTGTTTCCTGTCAGTCCTGAGGGCAGTTATACAGACGACACCAGTCAGGAGCATCACACTCCTCACCACCGCCCCAAATCTCCACCGTCTGCACACCCGCACCTGCACCCAGACCCACACGAGTTTGACGACGAGTTCGACGACGACGACCCCCTGCCCGTCATCGGACACTGCAAAGCGCTTTACTCTTTTGATGGTGAGGACGAATAGCTCGACTTTGTTAGTTTGAAAGAGCTCATAAAACAGAAGTAGAAAGATCTAAGACTCTGGTCGATGTTTTTGATTCTCCTCTTAGGTCAAAACGAGGGGACGCTGGTGATGGCAGAAGACGAGGTAACGCTTATTTCTTTTAAAGTAAAAAGTTTATAAACAATATTTAATTCATTGAACTAATAAAAGTTTTCTTACACAGCTTCTTTTTGTTTTTAGCACCACATTTCTGATTATATTGACATTTATTTTCTGCTTTTACTCGCAGGTGTTGTACATCATCGAGGAGGACAAAGGCGACGGCTGGACGAGGGCGAGGAAGCAGAGCGGAGAGGAAGGCTACGTCCCCACCTCCTACGTAGATATCACAATGGAGAAAAACAGCAAAGGTGCTGTCACCTACATCTGAAGCTTCTCTGTCCTCTCATCTGTCTGTCTGTCTGTCTGTCTGTCTCTGCTCCTGTTTCCTGTCCCTCATCATCCACATCACCATAAACTGAAAAATAAGAGACACTGCATCTGAACACCTGCATGGACATTCATGTTTTCTCATTCCCATCCCGTCTCTCAGTCCTCTAACTCATTTCTCCTCATCCTCCTCTTTTTATCTGTGGACTGACGTTTGAGAGGTGAGTGTCTGAGCATGAAGACAAAAAGGAAATGTGTATTTGACGACGTTTGAATGATGTGTTTGTTGTATATATAAGGCATTTCTGTGTGTGTTTGGAGTTCGTCTCCACTGCTGTTTGAGCCCCGTGTAAAGGCCGCACCACTTCGTCATCGATCAAAGTGTTTTAGAGTTTTTATGTAGAAGAATTTATTTTTATTTGATCCTTTATTTGAATTATTTTCATGTTTTCTTTTTTAAATCAGACTTTTTAAGCTCCTCGGTTAATATAAAGCTGGTTTCTTCTGTTTGTTTTATTTCTGTTTGTGATTTTAAATGTTTTTTTCCGTGTTACCCGTGCCATCTCACACTTAAAGGTGGAATCACAGTTACAGAAGGTTGTCTGGTTTTCAGTCCTGTCAGGAATTATTCTCTAACTCTAAATCAAAAATAATCTGGCATTTTAAGAAAATGCTTTCTTATTTCGATAAGGCTGTACAGGATTTCCTACACTTGTATTTTAATCACAAACTGTTCTGGTCGCTGTCGAGACACTGATTAAAAACAGCTCTGACAATCAGAGTTTTTACTGAGACCTACGATAGTCTATGTCTTCACTTTGGGTTCAGTTTTACTGATATTTGAGAGTGTATACTTTCCTTATTGTGCTATTTCAAAGTTATGGAATAAAACATAAACTCAGACAATCAAGATTCAATTTAAGACATGCTTTATGGCCCAAAAACTTCTAAGTTCACCTTTTGTTTCAGACCTGATATGAAGTTTCTCTTTAATGGAACTTCTTGTCACGTAGATTCTGAGGCTGAATTTGGTTTGAATTTGTCCCGACAAAAAGAGAGGTGTCCAGATTTTAGATGTAAATTTGTTTGTCAAGTTTGTTTTGAGGCTATTAAAGGGATATTCAGCGTAAAAGTAATTTAGGGTCAATCACACAGTAACACCGAGTTAGACACCCTCTCTCGAAAGATGAATGTTGCGGAGCGCTTGCTTCTCTAGTTATACCAACTTTAGTAATGACACGGCGGTCCACGTCTCCACATGCAAACCTCAACCAAAACGCCACTCTATAGCCACAAATAATGCTCAGAACAGCACCTAACTTCATCAACAGGACATATAGGGTCCCAGCCATAGTACTAGCCACCAAACATCTTTTTAACTTTGACTCATTTCTTTAGCAAAGAGACTAAACACAACTCACCTACTCTCTTCCAGCAGCCGCTTGTTTGTGGGGGGAGCCCTGACGAGTCAATCACCAAATGCAGCGGACAATGTATGATTATTACTTCAGAGAAATGATCCGCTGCACTCTGTGATTGACTCTTCAGGGCTTCCTGATTTCCCTCATAGACTTTTATACTATTTGATAAGCCCCCTTGTGGACATACGGCAGAATGCACTGCCTTTACTTTTGAGGATTTGGATCCATTCATGTGTTTTTCACACAGTAACAGATCTCTGCTCTGACTGCTGATAACAAACAGACAGTAAGAGACAGTTCGCCCACTTTTCCAAACGCAGCAGACTGAAACTAAATCCCTTTAAAACAAAAATCCTCTCATCAAGTTGTCTTTGTCTTAAAGTAACTGGCTCTCTTCTCCATGTGACCGCAGGTTCCTGAGGGCTGCAGGGTGGCCGGGCGATTTGATTGGCTGGTGGAGGGCTCACGCTGGTGGCTGATTATTGGTGGTGGGGGTGGTGACAAAGAAAGAAAGAGAGGGAGAGAGAGTAACGAGGAAAGAGGAAGTGGGGTGGGGAGACAGGTTTGCATGTCTGCATGCTCACTCACCGTCACTGTCATCAGCAAAGGATTCTGGGATACCAGAGGTTGGTCTAGTAGAGAATTAGATACACTTAATTAAAGCCAAAGACAGGCATCAGTTTTCCATGAGTTCCTCCATGACCTGCAGGAGGTTTTCCCAGAACATAGTGACCTTTCAGACACAGACATCCTCTCTGCACCCAGTTACAAAAAAAACTTCTGCTTCATTATTTATCCGTGAAGTTAGTGTCCTCATCCCTGCAGGAGCTGATCAAAGTTTGGAGGGAAATAACTCTCAAAAGCTGCTTGTCTTAAGTTTTCATTTAAACCCTGTATGTTCCCATTTTAATGTGCAAAACGAGGCTCCATGGGTCCTTGAAGACCCCTTTGCACTTTGCTTTGTGGTGAGGAATTTGGTCTTTTTTAAAGTCAAAATAATATATTTCTTTTGGTGCCTTTCAGATCCAGTTGTGTATTTTTTGTTGACAAAAAGAGCCACCACGAAAGCTTAAGTCGTTGTTTAGTGTTTTCAGAAATGGTGAAGACTAAAAAAGTTTTTTTTTTTTTTTTATTGACTCATAATTTTTTATAACATCTTTCTCCTCTTTTTGTGTGCCTTTGCAAGTTCATGTGCAAATCTGTTTTGTGTAAATGTTGCAGAGCAGCAACTTTATCACCTAGAAACGTGCCTGACTTCTTTTACTAAGCAAGATTTTAAGGTGACGAGACTCTAAATCTTCCAAATTTTCCTCCAAACTTTTGGTCCAGCTCCTTGCGAGAGAAACCCATCTCACCTAAAACTCAGGATGTTAGTTTGTCTCAGATTTTAGGGCCAGTCAAAGTTTTCGTTACTAACAAAATCAGTGTCCGCTGCTCCTAATCCTCCCTCTCGCCGTCATCATCATCTGTGCTCTGTTGGTGATGTCTGCCTGCCTGCCTGCCTGAGCCACTCTGCTCCTCATGCCTGCCCTCACCATCATACAGTCGCATGTTTTAACGTGTCCCAGTCATGATCAGGTGTCTGTGACTTGAACTGCATTTTGAAGGCTGATTTGAAGTTGAATGTGTTTCACCAAAGTCCAGCATGGTTTTATTTCTGTATGTCGAATGTTTCCCAAATCAGAGCAGAACGCAGGACGATCAGGTGAATACACACCCTCTCTACCACTCTTTCTTTTCCCACCTTCCTCTGCTCTTCTTCCTCGATTGTGATCGCACCAGTTGACCAGCAGGTGGCGGCGTCCCCTCACCGAACACCAGCTCAGCCTCAGCAGGACTGAGCGGCTTTAAACGGCGAACATGAAAAGGAACTTCACTCTGCCTTAAATCATGCCAGGATTGTTTTGAACACGACTTCTGCGTGACTACGTCTCCCATCAGCCACCTGGGCTCAGCCTCACCCCCCCTCCCCCCTTCTTCAGGACTACATCTAGCATAAAACATTTCCTCCCATCTTAATCAGTTGTAATTGTGAATGTGACAGCGTTCGCACACATGTACCACCGACATGCACGCAGGTACGGAAAGCCAAACAGGCCAAAAGACGATCTCATGTGTTCGGCTTTCCGTACGTGTGTAAATGTGTGCGTGTGTGTCTGTGTTACCTGTGTGACGTTAGTTTTTACCATTGAATGAATTGTACATATTAACATCGTTAATGTCATGCTGAATGTGTTTCCATGGTGATTGTTTTTAAGGTTTGTTTGATTGACACTTTTCATGAGAGACAACAAGGTTTGAATCGAACTGACGCACTTTGCCCTGAAGTACTACAGCATTTGAATCTGATGGAAGGAGCGAGTGAATAAATGAATGATGAATGTTTGAAGTTAATGAATGACCACTGTGGCAGGAAGAAAAAGAAACAGCTTATTAATTCTCTCTCTTTCAAATGTTTTTATACTCTTTTTATAATTCTGGACGAGCGGAGACCGGCTTGTTTTGCATGATTTTCTACCGTCTTTGAACCCACTGATTGTGTTTTTTTTAAGCATTCACTTCATCTCTGTGGTAGAGGAACAAAACTACAATACTCCAGTCAAGTTCGGCTTTGTTTTGATGCTATTTTTAAAAGTGCCACTTATAATTCTGCTGTTTTAGATCCGAACAGCAGGTGGCAGCACTTTGATTGCAGTCTGTTTCTGAGAAGAAGCTGTGAAATGTACAGAATAATGCTGTAGGTGTTGTAACTTGAACTATCCCACCTTTGTTTCTTCTGTCAGCAGACATTGTTGGAAAAACAATAACATTAAGAGTCATTTCGCAAAGGTTTAAAAGTAAAGAACCAATGAGCTTCAATCGTGTGCATCAAAAAGCAAAAGTCTTGCACACCTGTAAGCAGTGGTGGACAACATACTTGATTTTTACTCCATGAGACCATTCTTAAACTCACATGGTACAGCTTCAAAATAACAGGAACAATAATAAGAACATCGAACCGTGGATAATAAAGAGCAGAAAAAAAGTTTTCATGTTTAATCTGGTATAACTCTATTGTTAATCTTTTTGTTTTTTGATGATACTTGTCAACCAAATCAGTCGATGCTTTTTGCTCTAAATATCCAACGTCACGGATCTTCAGTCGAGTTGAAACTGTGCAAACTGTAAAATCAGACGTGTGGGATTGCGTGTTACAGATCAGAGTAAACCTTATTTTTCTGTCACTTTTGCGACTAGATGTTCAACAATAACAAAGTGATGTATCGTTCATCAATCACTCCATATTATAATTTGAAAAACAGCAAATGAAGCCTATCAGGTTTTACGTCTTCCAATGCATGTTTCGATCCGAGCCCAAAGATCTTAAATAAACTATCATGTTAAATGCAAATCATCACATCGTAGGGGCTACAAAAGAAGAAACGGAGCTGGTTTTAGCACCAAAATATCCCAGTAATTGTATATGTGCACTAACGTGACCTTAAGATAGAGACAGTCATGTACAGAAGTGTTTCAGTGTCAGTGTGCTTGCAGAGCATTTCCCACCAACTCCAAAACCTTGCACTCTGAACTTTTCTTACTCTTATTTTTCTGTTTAGGTCAGCCAGCTTTGAGTGTAATGTCCCTTTAATGAAATAACACAATGCCAGTAGCGTCACAGCAGCTTTAAAATGAGCAAAACTCACCACTGAGGTTAATAATTCACCACTAATATCATGCTAAAACTGTGAGCTGAGTGTGAAAAATCCACTGTGTGTAATCTGAACGTTATGCAAAAACCACATCTTAACCAATCAGCTTTGAGAGATCAGATACGATGGTGAGTTCTCATAAAAACCTATCCAACTGTGAGCATGGCGCTGTTAACCAGCAAGCAAAAAGTAGACATGGTCTTCTTTGACATTCCTCTTCTTTTCTAAACTCAGATTATCACGTGTGTTCTGTGGAAATTTGTAACAAACATGTACAGATCCTCTCCAAGACTAAACGCTAATAACAGTAAACAAACTCGTCAGCAGGTACAGTGATTTTAACCATCCAAACATGTAAAGTTGTATGTTCTTACCATGTTGTATATGTTGTAATAATAACCAATGGCAGTACTTCTCTCCATAATGTTGTGCACATCTTTTTACTTTGAATGTTGTCAGACACTTTGTGAACTTTTTTTTAATCTTCCCTCTGAGATATTGTGCTAATAAAATAAGCAGCAGTAAAGTCTGGGGTTGTGTCTTTGGTTTCACTTTTGGAGTATTGTCAAAGTTATGGATGAAGATACAGAGTTATAGTATAACCATGAAGACAGGGTCTATCGTGTATGGTGACTGGGTGACACATCAGGGTCTTTCTCACCCTGTGACATTTTTTTTCAAAAGGAATGATTTTCTTGTGATACTCAAGTTTGAAATTTTTAACAAACTATACTATGACATTGATCATACTTAAATATGAATTTTTTGTTAACACCCAATTAAGAAGTTTTTGTTATACTATACTTTGACATTTTTTTCATGATAAAGTATGATTTTTTTTGTGAGACTCAAATTTGAAATTTTAATCATACTATACTACAACATTTTTAACATACTATACTATGACCTTTTTAACATACTATACTATGACCTTTGTAACATACTATACTATGACCTTTAATTTCATACTTTAATATAAATTTTTTTGTTTTACACTTAAAAAAGAAATTTTTGTCATACTATACTATGACATTATTCTCATGCTAAAGTATGATTTTTTTGTGATACTCAAATTAGAAATTTTTAACATACTATACTATGACCTTTTTAACATACTATACTATGACATTTTTAACATACTATACTATGACCTTTTTAACATACTATACTATGACATTTTTAACATACTATACTATGACATTTAATTTCATACTTTAATATGAATTTTTTAGTTCAGGCTTAAATAAGAAATTTTTGTCATACTATACTATGACATGTTTTACATACTATACTATGACTTTTTTAACATACTATACTTTGACATTTAATTTCATACTTTAATATGAATTTTTTTGTTCACACTTAAATAAGAAATTTTTGTTATACTATACTATGACATTTTTTTCATGATAAAGTATGATTTTTTTGTGAAACTCAAATTTGAAATTTTCATCATACTATACTATGACTTTTTAAACATACTATACTATGACATTTTTCTCATGATAAAGTATGATTTTTTTGTGATACTCAAATTTAAAAATTTTTAACATACTATACTATGACCTTTTTAACATACTATACTATGACATTTGTAACATACTTAACTTTGACATTTTTATCATACTATACTATGACATTTAATTTCATACTTAAATATGATTTTTTTTGTTCACACTTAAATTTGAAAGTTTTTTAACATACTATACTGTGACATTTTTTTGTGACAAAGTATGATTTTTTGTGATGCTTACATTGGAAATTTTTATCATACTATACTATGACATGTTTAACATACTATACTATGACCTTTTTAACATACTATACTATGACTTTTTTAACATACTATACTATGACCTTTTTAACATACTATACTATGACTTTTTTAACATACTATACTATGACATTTAATTTCATACTTTAATATGAATTTTTTTGTTCACACTTAAAAAAGAAATTTTTGTCATACTATACTATGACATTTTTTTCATGATAAAGTATGATTTTTTTGAGAAACTCAAATTTGAAATTTTCATCATACTATACTATGACTTTTAAACATACTAAACTATGACATTTTTCACATGATAAAGTATGATTTTTTTGTGATACTCAAATTTGAAATTTTTATCATACTATACTATGACATTTTTAACAAACTATACTACGACATTTTTAACATACTATACTATGACCTTTTTAACATACTATACTATGACTTTTTTAACATACTATACTATGACATTTAATTTCATACTTTAATATGAATTTTTTTGTTCACACTTAAAAAAGAAATTTTTGTCATACTATACTATGACATTTTTTTCATGATAAAGTATGATTTTTTTGTGAAACTCAAATTTGAAATTTTCATCATACTATACTATGACTTTTTGAACATACTATACTATGACATTTTTCTCATGATAAAGTATGATTTTTTTGTGATACTCAAATTTAAACATTTTTAACATACTATACTATGACCTTTTTAACATACTATACTATGACATTTGTAACATACTTAACTTTGACATTTTTATCATACTTTACTATGACATTTAATTTCATACTAAAATACGATTTTTTTTGTTCACACTTAAATTTGAAAGTTTTTTAACATACTATACTATGACATTTTTTTCATGATAAAGTATGATTTTTTTGTGATACTTTAATTTGAAATTTTTATCATACTATACAATGACATTTTTAACATACTATACTATGGCCTTTTTTAATATACTATACTATGACATTTTTCTCATACTTAATTATGAAATTTTTGTTCTCACTCAAATAAGAATTTTTATTATACTATACTTTGACATTTTAAACTTTTTCATACTATCATATGATATTTTTTATCATTCTATACTATGAATATTTTTAACATACTATACCATGATTTTTTATCATACTATACTATAACCTTTTTATCATACTATATGATGACATTGTTATCATACCATACAATGACATTTTTTTCTCATACTGTACTACGACAATTTTTATTGTACTATACTATGACTTTTTTAACATACTATACTATTTTTTAATCATTCTAAACTGTGAAATGTTTATCTTACTGTACTGACATTTTAAACATACTATACTATGACTTTTTATTATACTTTACTATTACATTTTTATCGTCCTATACTATGACATTTTTCACATACTGTACTATGACATTATATCCCACTATACCATCATATATTTATCATAATTACTTTTGATTTCTTAACATACTATACTGTGACTTTTTCAATGTAAAGCGCTTTGAGGGTCTCTGATAAAGCGCTATATGAAATCTGATGCATTATTATTATTATTACTTTTTTATATACTTCATACTTCTTTTTTGTTATGGTCTTAAATATAAAACAATGATTACTTTCTTTTGATGATTCTATTACTATTCTATCATCATTTTATTTCATCATTAGTCCAACAAAATAATGATAATAACAAAAATAGCCTGTGATACACACAGGCAGACCACATTCCATAACTGTTAACTTTACCTTTCGAATTTCAATGACTTTTTTGGATTACAGAGCAGAGCATTGGAAGGAAGAAATCCCGCTGTTCCCCTGCGATCACTAACCCGTAAGTAAACCGGAGGTTGAGTGACATCAGTGTGAATTCCCCCGATACCATATCTAACTGTTGGCTAGATATTCAGTCTAACAGTCCAGAGATCTTACACCATATTTATTAAATTTAAAGCCACAGTAGTTCATAATAATATAAACATAATAAAATCATTAACATCTTTTTTTTTACAGTCAGTCATCTACAGAAAATATGTACAATCTACTATTAACATGCTAATATTTCATATATATACAACTTAAGTCTCTTACATGTCAATATACTTTTTAAAATCAGAAAATAAAACAAAAATATTTTCATAAAGTACATTTTCTCATGTACACAGAGTACAAGTCTGATTTTCTGCTTCAGTGTGAATACAGTGAAAAAACCTTAATTTTCAACATTATTATTTTACTTTGTTTCTTTACTGTTGCTCTTTAATGTTGTATTGCTTAATAAACAAGCAGCAAAGTCACAGACAAAGATGGTATTGCTCATTTTAACAGCTGAACACGTTAATGGTTCAGTCCTGGTAGTAGATGCAGATTCGTAGGAAACTAACCCTCTTAAAAAATTACAGTAATGCACTTTTGAGAGATACAGATTTTCACTTCCCCCCGATGACTTTTTAAAGACAAAATTTTTGCTTTTAATTCGCTGGAATGTTGAAAAATGTGTCTGAAATGTTGGATTTAACCACAACTTTTTAGTGATTTTAGTTGAAATCTTTTAAATCCCGAACAGGTGGAAGAAAAATCCTTCACCCCCTCAGACAGCAGCTCTTTCTTTGATTCATTCTCGAAGCTTCTCGCCTTCAGAGAGTTTGTTTCTTTTCCTCCTTCTTCATCCAAATACTCTGGTGTGGAGCTCGCTCTCTCTGCTGGAGTCAGATTAAGGTTTGCGTTGTGGGTGGGGGCTCCAGTTTCCGTGACAACGCCGTGAGGATGAGGTTGAATTTGTTGTAGCGATCTGATTGGTTGACGGAAGCTCCTCGGCTCCCCCACAGCAGCCGCAGCTGAAAGTCTGTTTTAAACACCTCCAGGAGGTCTTCATCGCTCTGAAAATCTGAAAAACAAACAAAAATTATGAGGCTCAGAAAAATTTATAAAAAGACGACGTATTAAAAAGTTTTCTATTTTACCGTTAAGGATCTTCTCTGCATTTGTCGTGTAGCTCTGAGCGTTGTGTGCTACATCCCGCGCAGCCTCCAGGTGGCGCAGCATGATGTCACAACCCTGGTCGCTGGTCTCCCACAGCTCCGCCCCTTCAGGTGTGATTGACGGACGCTCCATCAAAGTGAGGAGGGGCAGCAGAAGGGGGACGCAGACCGCGGGTGGAGGGGAAGCTGTGAGAGGAGAGGAGTATTTTAATCAGTATTTTATTATTAAAGAAACCTCGACTAAAGTTTAATTTAACGTTTATGAACAGTACCTGTGCCCTCGTACAGATTCTTGTAAAAAGGTTTCAGGATCTTCTCGTAGCTGATGGCGGTCTGTGTGTAGTTCCTTCGTAAAGCCGTCCAGGTTTCCTCCAGTCGACTGATCTGCAGAGAGAGATTCACTCGTGAGTCTCGGTTCTATCAGACGGTTTCATTCTTGATCTGCTGAGGTTTGGGTATCTGTTTGTGTGTTACCTGAGGCAGATCCAGAGCTTTCATGAGGGCGGTGAAAGCAAACAGGTCCCCAACCGTGTCCTTCAGCTCCACGGCGACCAGAATGATCCGGTTTAAGGTGGAGGCTCGCTCCTCAACGCTGCCGGTACATCCGAGAATATCCACAGCTACACCTATGGCCATGGTGTGGTGCCTGAGAGACAAATGAGATTATTATTTTTTAACTTTTTTGACCCTTTTAGAGTAAATTTTCAAGCTAAAAATAACAGTTTAACATTTTGGGATGCATAACTGATTAACTGAATTTGATCATTTCATCTCATATTTATAAAGTAAAAATTTCACTGGATTTAATTTCAATTTTTAACAAAAAGAAATCTGCTTTAGTGCAAATAAATTCAAACAGAAACCATCCTTTACGTCTCAGTCAGAGGAACAAATCCTCAAAAAAAGATAATTTTAATAAAAGTTTGTTGATTATCTTTGGATAGAGCAAGGACACACTGCAAGAAACTCAAATCTTACTGAGCTAACATACTATAATCTGACTTTTTTATCATACTATACTATGACATCTCTTTTTCATACTAAAATAAGATTTTTTTTTTTGCACCAAAATATGAATTTTAAATTATATCATACAATGACATTTATTATCCTAAAATTTGATTTTTTTTTTTACACTAAAATAGTAAATTTTTATTATACTATATCATGACATTTAATTTCATACTCAAATATGACATTTTTGTTTACACTAAAATAAAATAAGAAATTTTTATCATACTATCATATGATGTTTTTTATATATACTTTACTATGAATTTTTTTAACATACTATACAATGACTTTTTATGTGTGTGTGCGATGTGTGTCTGACGTGTGTCACATGTTTACCTTTCCATGAGGTCCAGCCTCAGCTGCCGGCCGTGCGGCAGAGTCACCAGCTCTAGACCGGAGGCCACGCCCATCTGACCTTTGAGCTCCGGAGTCACACCGAGGATCCGCGCCACCTGTTGACAAAGAAACCTCAGTCATCTATTTATCGTTTTAGTCTCTGTGTTCCTGAGTGTGTGTTTGCTGTTCAGGTGTAAACCGGTTCAGTGTTGATATTTTCCTGCGTCAGGACGATCATTTGATTGCATCAGTTTCACTAAATCTGATTCAGTGAGTCAGTCATGGAGGGTTTATGTGTGACAGCAGCAGTAAACATGTTTAAATCCAAAATATTCAACCTCAACGCTCGGTTAGGGCACGGTTAGGGTGCGTGTGTGTGTGTACCTGGCAGTCGGCCAGCAGCAGGTGTCTTGCTAAACTGTGGTGGTTGTGTTTCAGCAGCAGCTCCTTCGCCTTCTTCAGCACCACCATCTCCAGAGGTTTGTTCTCCGCCGGCAGAAGTCGAGACCCGAAATCTGCCGGCCTGAACGTCGACTCCGTCTCAATTACCGGCCGCAGGAAACTGATCCTCTTACTCGCCTTCTTCTTCTCTTCTCCTTCCTCCCCTTCCTCCTCTTCCCTCCCTAAATCCTCCTCCTCTTCCTCGCTGGTGTTCTCTAAAGCGGCGATGGCGTGATGGTAGGAGCTCCTGTCCAATCCTCTCCTCCCTCCTGCGTCCTGCTCCGTGCCGTCTCCTGTGCTCTCGCCCTCTCTCTTCAGTCGCTCCACATAGCTGCAGAGCGGGGGCTGAAGGTGCAGAGCGTTATCTGTGAGCGGGCTCAGTGAGTTCGAATCCTTCCTCTCTAGCGGGCTGTAGGATCTCGGGTCAGCAGGACTCGGCTGCAGGCGCTCGGTCCATCCTGGTTCTGGAGTCAGGACGAGCTCAGGAGGAGAGAGGATGGAAGCGGAGGAGCTGTTGGAGTCTGTGGAGAGGAGCTGATGCTGGAACTTCAGGGGTTTGACTGGAGGTACAGGAGGACCTGTGGGGACTGTGGAGAACAATCACAGTCATTCATGGTGAGAGAGAAGAAGAATCACTGCAACTGAACAGGAGAAGGTGCAGTACCTTAAGTGGCCACTCGAGGCCTGCTCCAAAAATGAGTCAATAACTATCAACTTCATGTTAAAACTCCTGAGTAAAATGTTTCGCTCATGTTTTCTTCAGGTGTTAATGTACTAAAGGAGTTTGATGGAGAATTAAGTCACCTGCGCTCTTCCAAGGGTCCATGCACGAGGAGTCCAGAGGAGACGTAGTGATCCTGGAGGAGCCGGAGGAGTCTGAGAGGTTGGAGGAGCTGCAGGGGGGCAGCAGAGGCTGTAGGCACGGGGAGCGAGTCAGGCGAGCCAGAGGAACCTTACTGGGTTTAGGAGGCGGTTTAGGGCACAGCTGACTGTCTGATCCTCGAATGGCCTGACCTGAAATCACAGAAAAAACACCTCTCATTAGACTGAGTTATTACTGGAATCAAACATAAACAATCAGAGGGAAATTAGGCCGAGATAACATCCGATAAAGTGCAATTTCTCAACTTTTTAAAGGTTTTTTTGTTTGAATGTAAATTTGGTCTCTAAGTTTACAAACCTGCCAGAGGTTCTGCAGATCTCCGAGCGACAGAGGGACTCAGCACCGGCTCACTGCCCGTCCGAAATACCGGAGACTTGGGGCTGGGACTCGTGAGCAGAGGGTCAGGAGGCTGCTGGGGCTGAGGTTTGGATCCTGGAGGAGAAAAGGAGGCGACAGAAAACATCAGAACAAAGACAAACAAGACGAGCGTGCAAACAAAACGTTCTTCATTTAATAAACAAAAAGTAGAAGAGGAAGGATTCATGTAAATGAGTGAACAAAACACCCTCAGCTCTTTGAATTTAAATAGTTATTATAAACCACATGACAGAAAGAGAATAAAAGCGTGTCAAACAAAGACACCGACAACAAATAATGACACATAAAAAGTGCAGAGATAGCCTGCAGCCTTCCTGCAGGACTGAAACACAATATGTCAAACAAAGCAGAGCGAACCTTTGAAAATTCATCAAAGCTTTAAAAAACAACATACACAGTTCAGTTTTAATGAGACAGTTAGTGAGACTGTTCTACTTTCATAAACCTGCAGACCTCCGTCTGTGAGGAGCAGATCTTCAACGTTTAGATGTTCTCAGAAGGACTTTTTTTTTTAAACGTTTTATAAATAACGGTCACTACAGTAGCTGTTTTCTATCACTGGGTGTTAATATGTCACTCTGAACACTGCCACCCACTGGCCAGCTGTTGTAAGTGCAGCAGGAATTAACATAGTGGAGTTAAAGGGATATTCCAGCGTAAAATTAATTTAGGGTAAAAACACGCTGTAACACCGGGTTAGACACCGCCTCGAGAGATGAATGTTGCCGACCGCTTGATTCTCTAGTTATACTAACTTTAGTAACGACCGCAGGATAGAAATACACAGGGAACGCCACTCTATAGCCACAAATAATGCTCAGAACAGCACCTAACTTCATCAACAGGACATAGAGGGTCACAGACATAGTACTAGACACCAAACATCTTTTTAACTTTGAATGATTTCTTTAACAAAGAGACTAAACACAACTCACCTACTCTCTTCCAGCAGCTGCTTGTTTGTGACAGTGGGGTGCCGCAGCTCAAGGAAGAACATTTATGATCATTTCTTTATCATTTTCTTGAGGTAATAATCATCATATTAATCATTTTTCACTGCAGATTCGGTAGTTCTTCTGTCTTAGCGTCTCAGTCTGATTGTATTTCCATGAAGAAATGATCATAAATGTTCTTCCTTGAGCTGCGTCACCCCGCTGTAGTCCATAATGGACTGGCCTGAGGTCTCGCTACAAACAAGTGGCTGCCGGAAGAGAGTAGGAGAGAGTTGTGTTTAGTCTCTTTGCTAAAGAGAAGTAAAATAAAATGCTGACTTTATTTTATCTACATGCAAAGACATAAATGACATAAACAAAAATCCGTTCTGTTATTTAGACCTTCGTGCACGAACAGTTTAATTTCTCAGTCCTCTCTAATCCAACCTTTACTCACCCAGAGGCAGGTAGCTCTCTGACTGATGAGCTTTGAGCGGACGCCTCCTCTCCTGGACCTGATTGAGACTCGCCGGTTGGCTGCCACAGCGATCCTTCAACCTGAGAGGAGAAGAGGGGCGCAGAAAGTTAACATCCATGAAAATACTCGCACTTCTCTTACAGACCCTTTAAACCCACATCTCTATTTTCCTCTGGCTCCCACTCTTTCCTCAGACGGACACAGACTCCGGGCATCACGCTCAATGAATTTTACGCAGCGTGAAATTACGCGCTTTCTTTATTTTTTTTGGGTGATGGATTAAAATAGCTCGAGGGTTCGAGTTAAAAGCTTCACAGCAGGAAGAGGTTTGAGATTGAGAGGAGGGGGCTGTTCGGCGTACAGAATCAGACAGTTTGTTTAGGCTGATGTCCAATTTTCCATTTTTCTCGGAGGTTTTTGAGGCGTCTCTGACAGAGGGACGCTTCAGTCTGGACTAACCTGAGCTGAGCTCCTCTGCTCATGCCGTTCTCTCGACAGTGCGTGCTCTCTTGCGCGTTGTGCGTGTTATCATGCGCGTGTCCGTTGGTGATGTTGAGGCTGAGGCGCTTCTGACTCCGCTTGTCCTGTGCCGTAAGCCCCGCCTCCCTGTGGTTGCTGGGCAGCCCGTACTTCTCCTCCAGGCAGCGCAGAGGCAGCGCTCTGTTGATGGGCTGGAAGATGATGGCTCCGACCACCTGAAATCGACAGATACGAGAAAAGAGATTAAGAAAAACCACAAAGTAAGATCAGACTGGATCTTAAAAATAATGACTGCATTAATCGACAACAAACCACCACTATGAACTCAAATATATGTAAATAATGACTCCACCCACCTGAGAAACGGGTTTCCTGTTCCCGACGTAGTATCTGATGAGAGCAGGGACGCTGTCGAACCCTTCTCTGTCTATTCGATACTCCACTCTGGAGTAAGCTTCGTTCAACATCACAACCTGAAGAAGAAATGAATTTTGTGGTTATTATTTGTTTTTACGATCAGTGATCCTCCTAATGATCAGAACATCACCATGTCTCTGCGGCAGTTTGTGTCTAAAGGTCTGCTTCTGTCTGTTTTTGAGCATATACACTTAAAAATGACTTTTTCACTTTTTTTTCATGTTTCTGCTACATTTGCAAAAGTTTTCCTATAAAATGCAGCATTAGTCTGCCTCACTTGCTGCAAAACTTGTCCTACATTCATGCAGCGCTGTATAGATCAGTGGGGCTGTCCACTGATATAACAGACATGGACATTAAATCACTAAAGCTCATATTTTTGGAGATGATTCTGCTTTATGGGGCAGTACAGTCATTCACAAGACCATGACAAGACCACATTCAGGGTTCCTACGCAAGTATGGAAAGTATGGACATAAATTTCCAGGTCTTAAAAAGTATGGAAAATGAAAAAATAAAGTATGAAAAAGTATTTATGTTTCAAGACTATTACCACAGTTCTAAAATATTGTTTTCTAAGATATAAAAGTAGGTATTTCTAAGAGGTAGGGTAAGGAAAAATGTGTAAATTTCAACTGTGTAGGAACCCTGACACTGTTCACCTGACTGTAAGTCCTCCATATTTTTTTTTTACCTTCTTGTTGATTTTAAAGTGCTGAGCAGCGTTCCTCCATTGGCTGGTCAGAACATAACTTCCTGGACTGGACAGCGAATCACGGATCAGGAAATCCCCGTCACGCTGCACCAAGTTTTCTGCAACCTGGAAAAGGACACACAGGGTTACAAACGGTCGCACACACACAAAAACACACACACACATGCACACAGTGTGTGTTTATAGTCTAAACACTTTATTCAAAGTTACAGTGGGAGCCTGTTGTGCTGTTATCGTCTTGAAGAGCTCGGTTCAGCTGGTTCTCAGCTGTTACATAAGACATAACTGCTTATTATTGCACTTATCTTTTTAAAGAGAGAAAAACTTTCATGTGAAAAATGCAGATTATGCAATTATGCAGTTTTGTGTTAGATTTTGTGTTTTGTTTTATCATTTTTTTTGTCAGTTTTATTAGCAGCCCTGGAAAACAAAAACAATAATGTTTGTACGAAAGAGGATTGAGGCCACAAGAAGAGAAAAAGATAATTACAGAAGGGAGATTTTTTTAATCTCCATTTCGAGATTAAAGTCGAATTTTTAAAAAAGTCGAAATGAAAACTTTGAAATTTCGAGATTTAAAAAATCGGAATTTTGAGGTTAAAAAAGTCATAATAAAGTCCTTAAATTCTAACCTGCTGTTTAAGATGACGGTTGTTGAAATTAGAGCCATGGAGCATTTCTTGAAAATGTTCTTCAATATCAGTTTCTCACAGAAGGAGATACTTAATTTTTTGGCACATCAGCACAACATTATCACAAGTATCATAATTACTTTATTACGACTTTATTCTCATTAGTAATGACTTTATTTTTGTAAATTAACAACTTTATTCTCATAATTTCAAACTTTTGGTCATGTCAGTCTTTTCTCAGAGTTAAATTTACGTCTCTCTCTCTGACACCTGTTTAAATAGACTAATTATGCTTTTCTGAACAGTTGGTTAGAGTTTGTCATATTGAGTATTTGTCAGTGTTCTGTATCCATATTTAATGAGAGCTCTTCTTATAAACACAGTGAATCAAAGCTCGATTACAAGAACAGCTGTTGGACGGCCTGAGGCACAAAATCCACAAAAATCTGAATGAGGTTTGGTTGAAAATGAACAACTAATCCTTAAAATGTCTCTTCATTCCTGCATCTATCACAGTCTTGTTTCATACACCCCCTCTTTCTGCTCTCTCACACACACTCTCAGCCCTGACACAGAGTTACAGACTTTAATTAAGCTCGTGTTTGTATAGGACATAATGGTAGTTTAGTTTAGCCAAAGGAAGCAGCTTATTAAAAATGATTACATCTCAGCGCGGGCTTTTAGGGGAACACACAATCTCCCTGTCTTACTCACACATATGCACACACACATGCACTATAGAGAAAGAGCTTTTTATACCCTGACCTCACGATATAACCCGGCTCTGCTGCAGAGGCCGATATTTAAGCTATAATCTGTCTGTAAGCATGTGTATGCAGCAGGTCTAATAATAGGTGATCTGGTTCAACAAGTTTTTAACCGGGTTTAACAGGGAGGGACTCATGACTCAGATTTATGTATGTGTGTGTGTGTGTGTGTTACCTGTCTGGGTATGGCTCCGTGGTACCACGCGTGGCTCCTGGGCTCCTCACAGTTCATCTTCAGTTCCTCCTCCAGCTCTCTGCGGAGTTTCTCTGAGGGACAGTCCAGGATGAACTGATCTCTGGAGAACTGCGGAGAGAAAATAAACACAAAACAGGAGTCAGTGAGGCCATTTTTTAGAAGAAAAACACACATAAAATAGAAGATAGCTTCTTTATTCATTCAACGCTGCACAGCTCCGAGCATTTGGTGATTTTAAAGAGTTTATGTGATTCTCTAAACCACATGATCGTAAAATTTACAGCAGTTCCCTCTTCCACAAAACAAACAGAGCCGAGGTCAAAGCTCAGGGTGACGATAAATATCACACCTGTTGCACCAGCCTGACGACACGACATTAAATCAGTAAGCGGGTGAATGTCAGACGAGTAAAAAGGTAAAAAAAAGGACAAAAATCAGGATGATGGGACTGGATAGGCAAGACGTCACATTAAAAAGTGCTCTGCTAACATGTTATACAATATAAGGCCAAAAAAACAAATGCATGGTCCACGTTGTTGTTTATTTAAGGGTATAGGGATGCTTTAATTACTAATAGATTGCAGAACTATTATGTACATCACTGCAGATTACCAAATGCCCTAAAAAACCAACACCAGGACTGAAAAAGTCGTTACAGGAGTCAAAGTTAAGAGCAGCAATGATACTACTGCATGAGTAAGGACCATAATACATTACTTTTTCAGTCTCTTTTACTTTGTTTATCACCTACGTATTATCACCTAAGTATTTAACAAAAACTGCTCCAATGTGTATCAAATCATAGATCCTTGCTTTTTCAAACCTTTGTGATTATATAAGCAAGAAATTTCACTGGAGAAACATCAATTTTATCCTCAAATGTGGAAGAATTGCATGTGTAGCATCCAAGTTTATAAAGTAAATAATCAGAGCAGTTAGCACAGCTAGCTGCAGCTCTTCAAAATGTGATGATAATGAAACATGTGCAACAGAAAGCAAAAGTAAAGGCAACAGCAACGAGACTCAGAGTGAAGTTAACTTGACTAATTTGACTCTGAGGACTCCACAATCTGTAAAACCAACAGCAGTAAATCATACCCCTGAACGCCAGAATGAAAAATCTCGGTAATTAAAGGTCACTGAAACATCAACTACAGGCCTGCTGAGGGTTTGATCTTATTCAAACACCGATCTGACAGTTTAGTGCCCACAAACCGAGTACGAGAATCAGAGAAACTGAAGAAAAGTGAAGGACAAGGAGCTGCTCTGAGTTTGACAGGATGCAGAATCAGCACAACCACCTGCTCCACACACACACACACACACACATGCACACACACTTACATGACAGCTGCTCGGTCTCTGCATGGCTCCGTCTTCCTCCCTCCTTCAAACACACTCGTCATACCAAACACACACACAGTCAGGTTTTATCAATCCGCACAGAAACTCTCTGACATGTTCACACACTCTTTCTTTCTTTCTCTCACAAACACACTCCTCCGTCTCCGTCTGTCCTCTGTGATTTTCCTCTCTTCTCCTTCCTGATGAACTGTCATCAACCTGACCCCACCCAACTGCCCAGACCTGCCTCCATACACACCCTCACCTGACGTACGTAAACACACACACACTCTGGAGTGACGCACACACACCTCCCTGAACTCTCCTTCACTCTTTGACAGGTGACACTTCAGGTGAGTGCACAACTTTGATGTTATCTTCAGGCCATCAGGCAACACTGCAGGCGAATGCAGACTTGACTCTGTAGTCGAGATCACCACATGAGCTCAAAATCACTTCATAAAACCGTTTTCTGTGAATGCAGTTTGATTGTTGCAGGTTAAAACTGAACAATGCAAAAAGGAAACCACAAAAATATGATACAGGAAAGTAGAAAATTATGGACTGAATCCTGTTCCAAAAACTTAAACAGTTAAAATCCATCATCCTGAACAGTCCAGGGATGCGACATTAACGCTGAATGACACACTGCCATCCAGACAATGTGTTTTTCAAGGAATCAGCAAGACAATAACAAACCACATACTGCAGGTTATTACAACAGCATGACTCCAGAAGAGAAGAGTCTGGAAGCTAAACTGGCATACCTGCAGACAGTCCAGACTTGTCACCCACATTATGAGCTAAAAATTTGGAGACCCCAAACAGTTCTCCATCCATTAGTAATTTGAAGCCCTAAGTCTGCCTTTGACTCTCGAAGTTTCAGGTTTGCATACTTAGTTTAAAAGAAAAAAAAAGAAGAAAAGTCTACTGGGGGATGCCTCTGCTGCAGGTGCAGGGTGCATGCTTCTATGATATTATTGTAATGTTATGCTGTGTAGCTGATAGCAGGTCGACATGCTGGTGCAGTTTAAATAAAAGAGTCCCTGCTATAACTAACAAGTTAAGACTTTGATCAAAACGTGCAACTGCAGCTGCTGAAGCCAAACAGTGACACTAAAACACGTCAAAAGGATGTTTTTGAAATGAACCATCAGAGATGTGTCCAAAAGCAGCCTCTTGAATCTGAATCCTCCATTTCATGTTTTCAGTGTCTCTGTAACGTCATTAGGATGGACCCCTCTGCCCCCCGACTTCGTGTCTCCACACATGACAGGAAATCAGCCGATCGTATTACAGCTTCGGCACAGAAAGCTGCTCGTCATAATGCACATGCGATGATACTATCATTGATTTCTCCTCGTATAGAATCAGATTTCTTTGTCAAATTTGATCCTGAGCACTTCTGAAGCGGTGACATCTTTTCTTTAGTCCAAATAGAAATATTAATACAGAGTTTTTGTCTCTCTGCAGGTGGCTGTCTAACACAAGTCCGGTCCTGCTCGAGGTTTCTGCCTGTTAAAGGAAGTGTTTCACTCATGAGGATGAAGATGGGATGAAAATGTGTCATATTTCTGTTTTAAAGCTGGATTTTAAGACACCTCTGTCCACACATTGCATCATTGTCTACTTCCTCTCCCCAGATGTCGCCGTGGCACCAGCCTGACCAGCGGCAGTAATTTAGGTCTGCAAACTTTCCTATAAATAATTTAACGTTTTAGTCTAAGGGAGAAATAATGGATGAGGGAGACATGCCTAAAAGTTTCAAAGGGGCAGATTAAGTGGTTTTTCACTCTTATTTTTGTTTCACTTTTAGTTTTGACATCAGTTCAAAGCAGCGTGTTGTAACTCTCACTGAATGAGCTGAACTGGACCGAGTTAGAGGATAAAGCCGGCTCTAAATCCAGCCGTGATGAACGACAGACGCAGCATTTCATTTACTTTAGTTCTGTTATCGATAACAGTCACATCTATGATTATATTTTATTACAACAGTCAGGATAAAATGCTTTTACATCTGCAGACACACTGACAGCAGGACTAATGAACAGCAGAGGGAGGGATGAAAAAAAGAGAGGTAAATGGATAATGTAGAGAGAGAGATGGAGGGGTGAAGGAGGAATAAAGAGGGATGGATTATTAAGAAGGGGAGTGTGTTTTTATGGCTGTCCTTTAATAAGACCCTGCAATATGATGTCATCCTCTGAGCAGCTGCACTTAGACTGTACGAGTCGGTGTTTGAGGACCATGAGGCAGGAACACTGAACAGGACAGGACCGACACGCCAACTCTTCCTACATCCTCGTGTCCTTTACTCCAGCCTAGTTTAATAAAAGTTCAAGTTTTCCTACATTGGGAAATTAGATGGGCTTCTTCATTGTTTTGTTTTTGAGTTGCTTAAAGCTCCAGTGAGGAATTTTCAGGTTGAGTGGATTCTGGCGCCCCCTGTGGACAAAGCAGTCTTTGCTTATCTTGTCCTCTACATATTAAAGTTGATAACAGTTGCATATAGGACTGTTAAAGTGGTTTTTGTATGTTAATAAAAATGTTGAACTAATCTCTAGTTTTTAGTACAGATGCTTTAAAACTGGCAGTTTGAAAAAAAACACAAAAAAAAAATCATGATAATAATCGAGATCGGACGATTTGACAAAATATGTTGTGGTCATTTTTTGCCTAATCGCCCAGTCCTAGTTGAATACATCATTTATTGTGACTATTTTACATTGAAATTGTAAAATAAATTAGACGGCCGTACAATGAACACTGTGCTCTTCGAACCTTGGGATCACCATCAGTCCAGAGTTTATTTATTTACATTTATTGAACTCAGAATGAAAACAGTGAGGTGTGCACACATCCACTCTCACCTTCACCGTGTCTCTGCTGACATGCCGTCAAAACAATCTGCGTTAAAACGCTGCAGCCTGAACAAAAGGTCGTTGTTCAGAAAGGATTTGGTTTTCTTTGGATTACCTGGATTTCACACAATAGAGAAGGTTTTTCCATTAACTCTTAAAAGATTTCAGCGTGTGCAGAACTGGTGATACAAGGGTTCAAAACCAGGACACGGTAACGCTGTCGATGTGGAGCGTCGACCAATGAGAAGGAGGGAGCGGACGGCCCGGTAAGCTGCTTGTCTTTTGAGTTCAGGAAGGTGAAACAAATAACCTTTTAGCTTTATAAACATGAATCCCCATCATGACAAACACACGTTTACACACTCACAGACTACTAGACGGTGTAATCCTCATCTTCTACAAATCCCCTGTGTGCCGCATTATAATGTGAGCGCTGAGAGAAGGCCTGGACCGGGGGGCTGGGCTTCAATCAGAGGTAGATTTCCTAGAATATGCTTCAGAGTAAGAAGGTTTCGGACTACACCAGAGTACTCCAGATATAATCCAGGAAAAACTCAATCTCCTTCTCAGATTGGTTTCTGCATCGTCACAACCTGAACAATCTGATCCAAGTCTGACTCATCTCCACGTGTGACGTCACTGCAGGGACTAAAGTCACAGTTTACAGGCAGCGATGCTTCATGCACTTAAGGTGCAGCGTTACATCACGCTGTAGGGGATTAAACGCTGAGAGGAGTAAAACGTCATCTTAATCGATTGTCAGGGATGAGAACAAAAGAGGGTCGCTTACAAAGACGGACCTGAAGGTGTGACTGGACTCAAAGTTTCAGTGGTTTAGATTCATTTGACAGAGATTGAAACATAAACATAAACATGAATTATGACTTTGTTTGTTGCTCTGCAGCGACACTGACACATTGCACAGATCTGAACTGTTGTAGACTTTTGCTGTTGTTGATCCTGTTGCATCTTGCACTCATTTTTGACCGCCAATCCACCAAAATCAGATTCAGGGAATGCATTATGCACACAAACACGGGCTGTTAAAGCAGGTATACAGCATTTGTTTCATCAGCACACTGACTGGACTGTTTCTACATTGGAAAGAACCTCAGAAACGCCTCAAGAAAATGTCATCATACAGCTAAAACGAATCAAGAAAAATAATGAGCTGATTTTATGCCTATAAAACCAACACATGGTGTACTTAACTTTCAACTCGAGCAGGATGTGAAGCCAATATCCTGCTCTCGAGATGGCCAGGAGGAAGTGTAGCCTCAGGTTGCAAACAATTTAGACAGGTAGCAAGTGAAGGGCAAATGAATTTGGGTCAAATGAGAAACACACCGGGGTTTGGCACAAAGAACAAACAGAGGATGAGCACCAGGACATGGACATTTTGATGCTCTACAGGGTTGAATTCTGCTGAGAGAGGGAGATGAGCACAAAGGAAAAACTCGAGAATAAGAACCATGAAGCCGTCAAGCTTCAAACCACGAATCTGAAGCCGTCTTAAGATGAAAGCAAATGTGTCTCAAGATGTCTTCAGACACTTCTTGTCTTCAAGACACAAAAATATGTCAGGGTGAATCCTATTTTCTGCTCTGGGGTGTCTTAAGACAGGTGACGTCTTCAAACTTTTGTCTTAAGACGTCTTGATGTACAAAGACGGCTGATTATAAAAGATCTTCTGCATTTTTCTTCTTATGGCTCAACAACCTGCAGTGTTACATCATCTAACACCTGTTAGCATGACAGTTCAGCAGCTTCAGTCGACACTACAGTAGCTGCAGTTTTTTGCTCTGTTGCATTTGCTTCATTCTTTTAACACCACTGAGTGACTATCCAGAGTAAAGCCGACTCATGTAACACATGCATTTTCATTACCGCCTATAGTGCACGTCATGTTTTTATGCTTGATTTTGATGGTTTTAATCATGGAAAAGCCTCTTTTTGGTCGTGTTGTTTGTGCTCGTTGCTGGAGGGTGTTTTTTTAGTGCCGTTTCATGTCATTTATGTCAATCTATAAAAGTCGACTTGAGGCAAAAATCTGTCGTGTCTGCTTTGTGAGCATGTTACTGCAAAATGAAATGGTGTTATCGTTAAATATGCGAAAAGACACCCGATGGCTCCAGTTACTGACATCCTCTCTCAAGACTGTTTCATGTGCAGTCACCTTAAAATGGTCCGTATCACTTCTCTCTGCCGACCCAAAGTCGACAAGTTTTAATGACATCTGATTTATTTTTTCCGGTCTTTTCATAAGGGATCAAGAGATTTTCACAAGGGCCATCATCATTATCCTCATCATCATCATCATCATCATCATCATCACTGAAATGCCAACAGATGGTCTCTTGTTTATCTGTTGGCATTTCCTCCTCTCTCTCTCTCTTTTTTCGGTATCTGTCTCTTCCCCCTCTTTGCAGCGATGAATATTTCTCCCCGTCTCTAGTTATTATTCCGCCTGCATCCGTCCTGCTGTCACATTAACTCAGGTGAAGTTTGGAAAAGTCACAACAAGAATGCGAAGTGTCAGGAGAGCAGCTACTTTGGAAAATACCTCCAAGGAGAAAAAAGCGGGGAGACTTTCTAGATGCTGTTTTATTATTCTGCAGGAACTTTTCTCTGCACCTCCAGAGAGCAGATGACATTTTCTGCCACACTGAAAGAATTTATTTCAGTTTTATTTCTTCACTTTAGCGTCACAGCTCATGTCAAACCCTCCAGTTTCCATCTGTTGGATCAAATTAGGACGCCCTCAAAGATGAGGAGGCTGATGGGAGCTAATAAGTGTTTTGATTTCTGGATCTCTACATCTCTGCTTCATGACTCCTCCACCTTTCCTGTTTACACAGAGATAAACAGATGCTTCTTCCTGAGTTCTGGCCTGCAGGCATCGACCGGTCAGCGTGGGACAGCGTCAGAAGGATGACCATCAGTGCCATCTTTGATACTGCATGTCTCTAAAAAATGAGGACGTTTTATTTGTCGTCTTTATTCGCAGATTTTCCTGAAAACATGAGGTGACAGAGCCCCAAATCTCTGGACTAGGGCCAAAAATAAAATCCTGATTTTTTCAAATGAAAACTTGATTTTCGATTTTGATTTTTTTATTCAGTGACAATTTCACCAAACTTCACCTTAATAAGAGGTTTTCCTATCGTCTCTCAAAACAAAACCACTGAAAACAATGTAGTGCATATGCCAAGCCAGTATGTAGCGCTATAACGCTGCACAAGAATTTTAAAAAAGACAGAGGAAGAGTACAGAGCATGTGTATAAAGGTTGTTTTGACCGGACACGTGCAGGCGCCATTAAAGAGTTACGCTGTGTGTCACATGATCGTTTGCAGAAATACAGATAGACATCCACACGGAGATGAAATGGTCGTCGTCTGACCTGTTTTCAAAAAGTACCGTTTACAGTCACCTGAAATGCTGATACGACAAAAAACGTTTGCGTTTACTCCTGAATTTGTTTCCATGGTGACGGGTTGATACCGCCTTTGGACAGACTTTGCAGTGGGGAGTGGTTTGCTCTAAATCGGAAACTGTGAAGTCGTACCAATTCAACACGACTAACTCGCTCTTGACGTATTTAGCCACGAAATTATCGCCTTCTTTTGCAAACGCCATGTTTGTTTACACTGGTGTGTGTGGGAACTGGGGAGTCTATGGTGGCCTGGAGGTGCGAGACATGATAGAGAAGAAAATCGATTTAAATAACAATTTAAAACCGATGAATCGTGCAGCCCTACTCTGGACTGGAACCAGGTCAGCTGACTCAGTGATCAATTTTAAATCTCGTCTTAAAACACATTTTTTATCAGAGAGCTTGAAGCATAAAACAGCCCTAAGAGATGACCATGTATGAATTTCATGTCTTATACTACTAACCGCAAAAACACGACAAAAGCTGCAAGACTTTCTAACAGAAGCCCAAAACTGACCTCAGCTGCTGAAGTTCAGCCGCTGGAGGCTCTGGCTTCAGTTTTAGAAACGTGTTTGAGATTTTGATTGAGAGAGAGGAGATTAAACGCAGAATACCAAAAAGGATTTCCTCACAAAGCTTTCCTGAACAACTGGACTCTCTGGATGAAGTTTGAGTTGTTTTTTTTAATTTGAGACCTTTCGTTCCTCTAAGCTAAATCGCGGTCATGCGCCTTAGTAAGAGTGAAGAAAGATTATATGATTGTTGACAAACTTTAATTTTGTGTGATGCTTCTGATCCACGGGGAAATCTGTATAGATTGATGCTAAGCTTTAAGATAAAAGTGACGCACAATTTAACCCGTAATCTGCTGGATCCTCCTATATATTCAAAATGGGTCAGTGGAGCTACAACAAGGACAACAAGGATCTGGCTCTGTTTGGTCGAATGGCGACCTCCCAAAGAAACAGATGGAGAAGAGGAAGAGAAACAGAGAAGAGAGTGGAAATAAACCCGGGGCGAGACATGAGAGGACACAGATCGAGAGATAAAGAGGAAAAACAAGAGTGTTGGGGGAAACATGCGATAAAGGCCCGAAGAATGAGAGCAACTGTAGAGCAGGAGAGGATGATGGGACGACAGCGTGGGTGATAATCTCATAAAGTTTGGTGAAAAGAGACAGATGACACTTTCATACAACACTGAGGTGGTTCCTTCCTTCACACAGCAAAGACACATCCTTCAGATCTCTGCACATGGAGTTAGTAACGCCATTTGACTTTTCCATTTTCAGTCTCGACTCGTGTCATATTGGCGATACCTGCAGCTTCAGGTTATAATAAAGTTCACCTTTTTCTCCAGTGATGTGAGAGTTGGGTTTTGACCATTTTAGAGTCCTTATCAGCTAATTTAGAGATGTAGTTCTCAGCTGTTGTGATGAAAAATGACTAAAATGTGCAAACTCTGATTTATTACTTTTAAATAAGGTGATCAGATGCATCATCCTGGATGTGCAGAACAATATAGTTGCAGAAAGCTGCAATGACTTAATCAACAGCAAATGTGCAGCAAACTTTTGAACAATGCAAAGAAAAAATACACAAAAGCAGAAAGAGAGAAAAAATGCTGAGTATCTTGAGGTGACCTGGCTGTGCACAGTGATCCCTCAGACTTTTGGAAGTGCTCCAGGCTTTAAGAGGCACAGGTTTATAAATGATGGGACAGAGAAGAAAGACAAAATTTATTTCTAATCATGCGGATAGTTTCAATATCATCATTCAGATCAGGCATTAACACCCTGCATCAGCGTCTCACTCTGACTGAACTTTCAACAGCAGGTATATAAACACGATCCCGGTCTAACCACTGAGCTGACCTGCAGAGGGACAAATCCCATCACCTCCGCCTGCTGCCCGGCCGCTCGCTCCATCCAATCATCTTAATGGCGTTCATTTCACTGACGTCATAAAAAAGACAAACCATCATGAGTAAGTCATTCATCATTGTCATGATCGCCATCGTCCTGATTTAGACCTCTGTGTGTCTATGACTTTCTCTGTCTCACCCTCGCCATCACACACACTGCCCTGTCTGTCTGCCAGCTCCAGTTATGGATGAAGCCAGCTGTATATCTCTCACACACTCTCAAACACACACACACACACACACAGACGGTCATTTATGAAAGCGTCTGGTCCGGTAATAAAAGCCCAGTGTTCAGCTCGCACTGAGAGTGAGGAGGACTATTCACACTGATCAGATCCCGCTCAGGCTGGAAGTGTAGTGAGCACTTCTCAGATTGTTTCCTCGCGTGTAAAACCTTCTTTAATTTCTCCTCCAGTTTTCTGTGATCTCCTTTAAACCACAACAAAAGATTAGGGAGGCCACGAAAGGCGCACATGCATGCGAGAAAATACCCAAAATGTTGTGTTGTTACTTCTAACACAAAAACAGGATAAGGCAGAGAAAAGAACAGAGCAGATTAAGAAATGAGAAAAGCTGCACATGTGCACTGGAAACACAGACGCCGCTCTCTCTCACCTTTGCAGAGATGATAGAGTTCTTGTGGTAGAAGCAGCACAGAGCTGCAGTCAGCGTCTTCAGGTTGCATCTCTCAGACATCCTCACTCCCTTATATTTTAACCTGAAATCACCTCTTCTTCAGCTCGAGTGTTCATGAGCAGAGACTCAAAAGTGTGAAACTTGTATGAGCGATTTCCATGAGAGAAAAACTCCCATCACAGACGCACAGAAAAAAACAAAAACAGTCGATAAAGAGTCTGCAGATGTGAAGTCAGAGGACTAGAATAAGTCTGCAGCATCAGGATGACTTCACTCCGTCACCTCTGCCTCCCTCTCCTCCACAGTCCCCCGCAGAGTGAACCCTCACACTCATTCCACTCTAGAGTTCCTTTCTCACACATTTTTCCCTCTTTTTGCCCCGCCCTCCGCTCCATATATGGGCGAGGGGTAAACCCATGTGATCTAATGAGAGCCAATGAGGTGTGGAGTAACTGGGAGTGGCCCAAAGTCTCCCTCATGCTGCTGAAAAACACATGGATGAAGGATGGAGACGAACAAACACAGTAGAGAAGCAAATATGTTTAAAGCACCAGTATGTAACTTTTAATAAACAGCTGCTTCTTTTATTTCTCTTCAATCTAGAGTGTCAGGCGTGTGGGGCTGTCGTCATTCATTAATAATGAATCTAATGTTTTATAAAGTCATGAACAAAAAGCACAAAACAAGAGACATAAAAACAAGGAAATTGCATTTTTAAGAAGCTGAAACTGATGGATGTTTCGTGTTTTTTCTTTAAAAAGTGACCTGATTGTTATCTACTGCTTTTCTTTTTGTTCACTTTTTGTCCCTCTTTTATTTTTTCACTCAAAACTGGTTAGGAAACACTGAAATTAAGACCATCAGCAAAGAGAAGGATTATTTTAAATACCTGTTTGAAAGTTTAAATGCCTAAAACTTCTGCAATAATGAGTAAGAGTCTGACAAAAGCACACTGCAGCACTTTTAATTCAACATATCATAATCTGCAGAGCAGTAACACCTGAGCTAACACTGAGGTCACATGACTTAATATTTTGTATTTACCTTAAATATTTACAATCTCACATCAGATAAGAATGGACTCCACAGTTCCTCTAACACCTAAACTAATAAAAAGACAAATTCATGACTAAAGGGAAAAAAGTGACAGAGTTTTTTTAAGTTTATAATCTCCAACGTTGAGACAGCTTGAAAAGAAATTTCACATGTAAGAGGATATGTGAGTCGTATCGTGATGGACTGTCGATTATTAATATTCTTTATCAGGTGGAGGTTGAAATGCTTGTCAAATGTGGTGCCAAAGCTGTTGTGTAGCCTCCACAGCTGGCCGAGTCCGAGTTTGTCACTATTTTGATTTAGAAAATTAAGATGCAATCACAGTAATAAGTAACCAGCAAAGGCGTGTGGACGTTCAACAGAGAACCGATGTATGATGGTGCTAGCTCCACTAATCTAAGACACACTCTAAACCCAAATTTTCTCACCTTGAAATGAGTGAGCTAGTCTGAATTAAAACATTTATTTAAACTAGGAATGTCCCAATATGATATTGATATCGGATATCGGTCCGATGTCAGCAAACAAACGAATGTCAGATTATATCAGCCTGCATCTAAAATCTCCGATATCAGCACTCCGATACAAGCAGTCCATTCCAGACTCTGCTCCGGCACCTCCAGGCACCTCCAGCAAGCTGAGCCCACATGATCACAACATTAATGTGTACTTAGGTGTAAACAAAATAGCAAGGAGTAAGAGTGTTTTTGTTTAAGTCCAAAAAACACATTGCAGCTGAGTAAAATACTTGTCAAACACAATTTTGTGCCAATAACGGATCAATATCGGTATCAGCCAGTATTAAAGGCTACAATATTGGTATCGAATCGGACGTCAAAAAGACGTTAATTTAAACGTCTGGAAAATTAGTCGTATATCCTCATCCCTGTCTGATCCTTTCAGCTCGTGTGATTCTTAGAGGAAATTCGTAAACAGTATTTTCAGCTCTGATATCACTCTCTTTAAACCTCATAGTTTTCAGTCTTAAATTAGATTATTTTCTCTGTCCCCGCTCGTACAAACTCCCCCTTTTTCTTCTTCTACTCATTACAAAGAAACTAAAAATAGAAAATACTTCACTTTCTGAGCTGCCAGAGGTTTCTTAGACACCAGACGACGACAACAACAACTGTGTAAAAACATTTAACGGTCACTGTCTGTAAGTTCAGTCACTCTGGATAGTTCTGCTTTGTGTCTAGACAGTAAAAACAGTCAATTAGGTGTGTGTGTGTTTAAGTGTGCGTGTGTGTGTGTCTGATAAATAGCCGGCCATTTGTGTTACTTAATGACTGCTGAGCTATTACTCCCACACACCAGTTGAGTGCCGCAGTTTTCCCACCAGTTCACTCACATGCGCACAGCGGGTGACACGATTACATAACAGCACAGATACACAACATATAGATGGAGGGAGACACAAAATGAGCGCACACATATGACACAAACTCTGTGAGGGTGACACCCTGAACAGAATCCAGTTAAAGGAATATTCCGCCGCAGGAAACGGAGCCACTAATTACAGCGTGAACCCTCCGTGGATCCACAAAGGAAATACATGTAGAACATTCCCCGGGGCACCACACACTAACACACAAACACACTCACACACACACTTACACACACATATACACTCGACTGCCAACCACAGCGGCCCCAAATCACCAGCTAGGCTAAAAGTCCACCTTAAAATACACACATCCGTCGCTCCAGGAATGCTCAAGGAAAACAACGAAGGGGCAGAAATCAGAGCGCTGAGGTTCTATGTTTTCTATTTCTATCTGTTTGTTGTTTCTCAAAGGAAAATGTGACAGAAACTTTAGAGAAGAGAGGAAATGTAAAGTCTGTAGAGATACAGAAGAGGGGTCTTAACTGTCTCCACACACCGAGCGCGAGTAAAATCATTCGCGCGACTGAATTACCTGTTAAGTCAATGCAAAGACGCGATCAGACGCTCGTACTACTCTGGCGGCGCGAATTGGGTGGGAGCTGAAATGTCTAAACTCGAGCGGAGCTTCGTGTTGCAATAACCAATCAGCACAAAGGTTTGATTGGCAGGGATTGCCGTTGAAATTACCATTGATGCGCAAATGGAGCAAGGAAATACTATTCATTTACGTGTCTAGATTCGCGCGAATTAAGCGAGTGGATGATTTAACTCCCGCTTGGAGTAAGTGCCCCATTAGAGCTCCCCCTGCTGACTGGCTGCATTATGTGTCATTAAGCCCCTCCTCTAAATGTAAACAGATGGAACATGAGTCTAGCTGTAAAATTAAATCACATGCCAATGAATGTTTTCTCTAGAAATCATCTCCAAAAAGAGGACACGACTGCGTGGGGGCGGAGTCAAAGAGCCGAATGAAGTTAATTTTGAGTGTTTTTCAGATCGGACCGAGTGTCTTTTACGTGCTTCTAACTCAGTAAGTCCACGTGACACAAACTCGAAACGTACAAAACCCGCAGACATTTGAAGGATTTTATAAACTTCTCTGGACAAGCTTGGACAGCCCCCAAAAAAGAGGACATGTCCAGGTAAAAGAAGACGAATGGACACCCTATTCCTGGAGCTTTTAACCCTCAGATAAGATAAGTGTATTCTCAGACACTTCATGGATTCAGTCCCAAAAAAAAGTGATTTTTCTGTTTTTATTTCTGTCTTTAGCCGATTATATCAGACAAAGGCTTTTGGTCGGTTAACCAATCAGAGGTTCAACTGATTCCCTGACCTCAGCTCAGATTTTGGTGGGTATAGAGCAGGTTTTTTAGAGCTAATCGAAGGTTTGATATCAGCCCTGGTCGGCGTCCTCCTGTACCAGTTCGAGTGCTCTCATCATGCTCCACTGCCAGAGGATAAATGTCAGACACGCTGCTGTTTACACCATGAGCGGGTCTGGATGTGTGTTTGTGCTTGTGATGGGTCATTGATCAGTAATGGACTGTGATCTTAGTGGCAGCCGTATCGATGAGTGCAACGTGACCCCTTTACTGTGTGAGCCGATTAAAATGTCTGCAGTCAGTATGAAACACTTCATGTGACTCACGGGGACAAAGACGAGGAAGAAATCTTGTTTTTAGCAAAAAAGGTACAAGAGCCTGAGCAGGCAGCACCCTAAATGCCCCCAAAACCCGCTTTACTGGATTTCAGCAGAACACAGTTGCCCTAGGATGTCTCTGCTCAAATCAGAGAGTCTGTTTTATCGAGGGCATCTAACTATACAATACAGGACTTTTATAAACACATTTCTTCATACCAACCTAAAAGCCAGATTAGTGATCTTCCTAATGCATGACTCTTATATAACCAAGGATGAGCGCAGAAATCGTGGGTCAGGAGTTTGATTTGAACTCTGTATCTTTTTGGTAAATCCTGCGGAGATGAGACAGATCCACGCAGATGTTTCACCGTCAGGCCTCTTTTTGTCCCGAGCTTTTGTCATTTTGGCCGGCTGCCCTCTCCGACAAACTGAGTGATTGATCCGCCTATTGACGTGCAGGCTGGTTAGTGCGGAGGGATATTCGGCCTACATGCTGGACGTGCCGGTTGGCTGTTTGCCTGCTTTGAACTCGCGTTGGCTCGCTGACAGAGGCGTACCATGATCTGATGAATGTCACACGGCTGTTTGGACTTTTAACTGCCTCACTGACGGACACCTGATCCCAATAACAGCTCCAGTGTCAGGCCTTCTTTTGCTGCAGTACCTTGATTGACCACTAGAGTGTACAAGAGAGCATATTTATTTTTACAGGTTTCTGTTTTGAGCTGCTGCAGCCTCCAAACTTTTTAATCACACACTGAGATGTTATCATTTAAGTGTTTCCCGCATAACTAAAGACTATAACAGGAACAATAATTCAATAAGATTTTATCATATACGTCTCTCCTCTTGCCAAGGAGAGCGAAAGAGGGAGGGAAAGTGCGGATTTGAAACCTGAAGAGGGGGTTCGGATCGTGACGCTAGGAGCTTTTCTAGTCCTCGATCTGCACGTTATATTTCATGACGGTACAAAATGAAAAAGTTCTTGTTGGGACGTTTGACCACACACACACACACACACAGACTCACACACACGGATTTAACACACACATGGCTACATGCACAGAGAGCATGATTGTTTCCTTCAGCTGTTTCATGAGAGTGGAGCAGTTTTCAAGTGAGACACAGAGTGGGAATGAAAGAGAGGAATCAAAAGAAGAGGAGTCATTTAGAGAGCCGGGTTCACTTTGAACTAATAGAGAGACCAACGGCGGAGAAAGAGCGAGTCTTTGAGTCCGCCTCTTGATCTTTTTCTTTTGGTCTTTCTGACTTTTTACTGTCTTTGTTTTCCTTTTTTCATTAACAATCACATTTTATTTTATCAGAGCGTTTTATTTCATAGTTTCCTGAGGACTTTTATTCATGTTAAGAAACAGTTTTATCCTCCGTCTGGTACATTTCCTTCTTTACTGAACAGAACTGACCTTCTCTGCTTTTAATCCACTTTAATTTCACAACGCTGTGAATAAATTCAGTTACAATCGCAGGTTTGACCTCAGGCAGAGGTCACACACTGAATCGCCTCAAAAGTTTGGGTACAACCTCAAAAATAGATTCTAGAATAAACTTGATTGACCTTATCTTCGACTTTTCTCCACCCAAGTTGCCCCAAAAGTCCCTTTTCACCAGCTCCTCCTGAGAGGTTTGGGTGTGTTTGTATAATCCCCCCGGGAACTCTGGGTCTACCCCAAAGTCTACTCCCAGTTCTTCTTGTCCTGAAAACATCCAAAGGGAGGTGCCCAGACCTGAAACTCCTCAAATAACCTTTTTCAATGTGAACAAGTAGCAGCTCCGCTCCAGGTCTCTAAGTCTCCAAGTCTGCTTTTGAGCCGAGCCACCTTAATTTTTTCAATCACGACTCAAACTCATGACCACAGGGGAAGGTTGCTCTGCTAACATGACTTCTGATAGATAAGAGGAACCAGCTTCTCAGTCTTCTGATCTGTTTACCCTCATTCATTAATAAGACCCAGAGTTACCTGAACTCGTAGACTTATGACCTTTTATTTCCCAGGATGATACTGGATATAGATAATGAATTCAAAGTGTAAAGGGACCCTCAATACACCCTCTTGTAGGGCTGGGTGATATGGCCCCAATCAATATCACGATATATTGATCAGTTCACCTCAATAACGATAAATGGACGATAACTACTCTACAAGCTGCTCACCCCCTCCCACATTAACATTAACCGTCCTCCATCTCCTCACCTGTCTTTCCCTCTTTGTTACGGACTGGATGGGGTGGAGTCACGTCTCTGATGTAGGACAGTGTCTTAAAGGGACATGAGACCAAAGCCTACCTACACACATCCAAAACAAACTTGTATTTGTTTGTTTATTTGACACTGAATATACCGATATGGGCAAAATGACATCGGTTATTGACATAAATTTCAGTATCTGTAAATTTTCGGTTTATCGCCCAACCCTACCCTCTTGTCTATCATGGTCTGCTGTGAGCCCACAAAAGTCTCTTAGCTCTTAGTGATGCTGCTACAGGTTCAGACTGTCACACTGAGCTCCTCTCCCTCCTTCTCCATCCTCCTCTTTCATTCACTTTGAATCATTATGTCTCATTAGAGTCACTAACACTCAGTCTTCTCTGGAAGTCTCTAAGCTCCATCACGCCGTAGGTTCCTCTGGATCGCTGCTGCAGACGTGGACGTACTTCAACTATATGCATTGATCTCATCTCGGTCTTAGCAGATGACTGTCTAACATCAGTCTGGTTCTGCTTGGGTTTTCTGCCTCTTAAAGGTTGAAGATGAGATGGAAGTGGGTCTGATCTGATCCCATCTTTACATCAGATCTTTGAAAATAGAGTCTAGACCAGAGTCCCTGAACCACGTCCAGTGTAACAGCTCAGTCCACCTCTCTCTCTCCTTGATATTTCATTATTTATGGTCCTTCTTCAGTATTTAATCTCCTCTTTTTCATCTTTAAGAAGTTTTATTGATGACTTCGTCTCAGCTAATACAGTTTGTTCTTCCTCTCCGTGAGTTCAAACATCTCCCTCAAACATCAAACAGGACTAAATCAGATTTTTTTTATCTTATTGTTCTCCACCGACACTTCCTTCCTCATGTACATCCATCCTTTAACCCTCTACCGCCTGATCGCACCAAACAATGCACAGCGAACCGCACCACTGCTGCACTTTTGACCCCGACAAAAGGAAACGACACACAACACCTGAACAATGCGTTATGGTCTGTGCATATGTGCGTGTGCAGATGGACATATGTGTGTGTTTTTCATCCACAGTGGAAGTGCAAACACACCTGGAGGAGCTGACAGGTACACTTTCACACCTATTATATAATACTGGGGTTACAGTAGCTCCATCTGCGGTCAGCACACACTCTCTGTTTGCACTCACACACACACACAACCCTAAATTGACCAAATAAATACACACAATTTGTTTGTCTATGTGCTGGTTTTAGTGTGTGTGTGTGTGTGTGTGTGTGTGTGTGTGTGTGTGTGTGTGTGTGTGTGTGTGTGTGTGGTGAGACCTGCTCTCATGGGAAGGATTGAGTTTGCTTTTCAGACCGAGGTGTGAGCATCCAAACACATGAGCTAACAGACGGAGGAGAGGAGTGACGGATGGTTTAGAGAGAGAGTGCAGAAAAGAGGGAGGGAAAGAACGAAAATGTGACTTTTTAAAGGAGCATTACACCAAAATAACTCCTGTATTAACGTAAACTCTGAACTGACTCACTCACATGTCCAAATAATGAAGCTTTTGACTTCTTTTTGAGCTACCACTTTCCTTTTTGCCATAGAAAATGTTTCCACTAAGAGCATTTCATGTGCGCTCAGTAAACAGATGAGAAAGCAATAAAACTTCATTTTTCAAGTGTGCAATTTTCAGGTTTTTGCATGACACGGCTTCACTGATGTTTCATCCGTAAACAGAGAGAAAACTGATGATTTATAGATGAAACCAAACTCAAAACATACCTTTTTAGTCTTGCTTTTAACTAAATTTAATATCATTAACTTTAAGTGTTTTAGCATTTATCTCTTCTAGTTTTAATGACAGGATCGTCTTTTGTTAAGCTATTTTGGTGCTCTTTTTTTAGTATCTTTTGTTGTTACTGTTGGTTTTCATTTCATTTTATGTTACTTTACTTTCAGATCTTAACCTAACCTTCAATGTTTCCTTAACTTTAATTTTAAAATGGCGTTTCCTAAGTGCACACTTTCCTGTTTCTATGAAATCGGCTCTTTTCAAGTTAACACATTTTAATACATGTTTCTGTTGCGTTTAGATTGTGAGGTGGGAATGAGGGGGTTGGGTCAGGGTAAATTTGGGTATTCTTTGTTTCTTTTATTCCTTTTTCTGTGTAAAACACTTTGTACTTCATGGTTTTGTATGAAAAGTGATATATAAATAAAGACTGATTGATTGATTGACTAAAGCAGGCTGGATGAAGGCTGGAAAGAACTGAAATGAGAGTTTTAATGGATGCCAGTATAAGATAAACATGTTTTTACACTGAGAATCAGGCAAAATAGACAGAACAAGCTAAAATGAGGAGGATAAGTCTCCTTTACGTTCTTTCACCTTTAGACGGTTGCTGGTATATTTCTTAGACGAACGCCTGATGACAAAATAGTTGCAGCTAACAGGTTTTCCCTTTTTCATTCCTAATAATGTTATTATCATGAGGAAAGCCTTCAAAGAATTCTTGCTCATTTTCTAGGTTGTAAATATATATTTAATGTCAAAGTTTTGGTCCTAGTCCACTGGGCGAACAGATTTTCTCTCCTCTCCTGTGCATGCAGACTTTTCCTGCTTTAGTTTTAACATCTTTCATATAACCTCTAAGTTTTCATGCATTAGAAAACCCACATCTCCCCTCGGTTTGAACAGAAGCTTTGCAGTAATAACACCGTGTCAGTGTGGCTCAGGTGGCTTTTTCTCTAATATGATTGAAAACAACACGAGCAGTGACAGACAGATGATTTAAAGGTGTGATTCTCTAAACGATATCAGATTAACTTCACCTCTGAGGGATTGAAGCCAAACATCATCCAAACACCGATTTCAATCAAGCTGCTGACAGCCACAGATGCAACCGACGTCTTCTTCACCATCTTACAATCTGAGTCTACGGCGTTTTCACGAGGGTGTTAATTATTTAGACTCTGACAAACTCGCATCACTTCTACCTCTTAATTACTCACATCCTCGACATGAAGAGAAAACTTCTCCGTCTACGACTTCACAGGCAATTTACTGCGACAAATTGAAGCTCACAGCTGTGCTGCACATCTGCAACACATTGCATGTGTGCATTTAAGCGTCTTTCATCTTTATGTGGTACAACCAGTCCCAGAGATACTGTAGATGCTCATTAGATGTGCTGAGAAAGATTATAGTGGGATGCATCGTGTGTTTATACTCCTGCAATCGGTCACACAAATGAGATGTCAAGTTTCTATCCTAAAAAGAAGATTTAATCAGCCATAATTCAGGGTTTTGAGTGAGAAAGTTTGTTCCTCCTACCTTCACGTAGTCCACCGTGGTGTCCAGGCTGGCAGCGGGCTCCCTGGGGAACACAGACAAAGACAAGGTCCTGTTTAGTGAACACATCTCACTGCTGTATGCTGATCTTTGGCTCCTCTCTGCAGGTCTTGTTTCAGGTGAACTGCTGAGCTGGTTTGGGAGAGTCCAGGTGAGACCCTGACAGGTGCTGAAGCCGCTTTGGAAGAGACTCAAACGCTGCTCGACTCTCTCAGGGAGTGGTAGACCTCGACAGGGAGGTGTGATGCTTCTTGGTTTTAGGGTTGGATTGGAGGTCCCATTTTTGCTGGACTAAGATGTTAGACCTGATCTGGAGGTGGATTTAGCTGTGAGAGTCAGGCAGTCCAAAGTTCCTCTGCATGTGAAAGAAATCCCAACCCTCACGCTGAACCGCTCCAAATCTCAGCCTGTCTTTTTCTCCTGTCAGTCCGTCTCTCACTCTCTCACTCTTTCTCTCAGTCAGCTGTAAACATGTTCACTCACCGCCTGCCTGCCTGGCTTGGCCTCCCTCCCTCGCTCCCTCTCTCTCTCTCTCCTCCCCCTCCTTAAAAACTCTCATCGCAGCCACATGGTTACTCTTCTGAGTCCACTGACAAATTCACAGAGAGGTAACAGCACAGCACCTCTTACTCTCTTTATTTTTCTCTTTTTTTTAGACAGTTCAACAGTTTCGATCTGGATCATCGCGGCTCTTTCCAGCTGCAGTTTTGTTTTCAAGAGCAGGAACACAGAGTACAAACAGTTCACTCCAGGAATTTGTTTGTTTTGCTCTTGGAAAATGTCCAAAGCAGGTGCCATTTTCTCCGCCGCTGCTCTCCATCTTTTCCTACTTGAGTGTACTAAAGTAGCTCAGAGTCTCTCCACACAGACGCCTTATATTCAGGAGCGAAGTTAGGAGAGGTAATTAGCTCAAATCCTCGGCTACATTAGTAAGGTTGGTAGTTAAAATCCCTTAAGTCCACGCTGGTGTTCCCACGGGAATATTATCACGGTCCTTTACTTAACAAACCAAATATGTTCAGCTCTAATCCCCCCCTCGGTTTAATATGGTCAGAATAATGAGCAGGACTTAGTTATGTAACTGAACAGAAGCCTCCATTCACAACAACATATAGACTCTATACAAAGATGGAGTCAGGCAGAGGTGAGGACACTGTGATCAAACATTTCCTGCAGAAACACAGAGAATGAGCTGCAGCGCTGATAATATTCAGGTGCAAAAATGTCCAATCCGTGTATCATGCATTCATTTGATTTTCAAAATAAAACCAAAAATGAAAAAAAAAGAAAAGGAATTGTTTTCTAAATCTTTAAAGTCTCTAAAATGAAAATGAAAAAAGGGATAACGGCTCATTTTCTGATTTCTGTTTACTTCATTTCAAATGAAAATGGGATAAATGGATAAAGACAGTTTTATCTGATTTAGACTTTTTCGTCTGTAGAAAGTTTTGTGACCCGGAGGTGAACCTTTGGCGTTATGGCTGACTCGAGACTTATTCAGAACTCATAGGGCGCTTTTTTTCACTCATGCAGAGATTTCCAGGCAGGAATACCGAGGTGTTCTGAAATGTCCGTCAGAAGGTTCTGCGCCCAAAACAACCCGAGGACAAAAGGACACATATCAGCTCTGAATAATAAGGGACGAATATTAGAAAACAATTCATTTTTCTAATTTTTTCATTTTTTCATTTTTGGTTTTATTTTGAAAATCGAATGAACTAATGATACTCGGATAATGCTCTTTCAGCTCCACGTCTTTGTGCAGTTTGTTTCAGCATCTCCACTCTCTGCTGCTCAGAGCTGTGCTGTGCACTCTAATCCTGACAGAGCTTTTTTACTCTTTTTACATATTTGAGGAGTTGGATAGAGAGGGGAAGTCTGTTTTATTGTAAAGTTGATTCTTGACAGATGTGACACAAATTTCAGGAGAAAACTGAGCAGCTAGTTCAGCTACAAAAAGAGAGAAATGTATGATGTAACAGCTTATATTTATGTTTATTTATCATTTTTTGCTACAAACAGACTGATTTTGTGTCAAAGTAATAATAACAGAGTGAATCATTTTGTCATGCAGAGCTAGATTTGTTGTCTTTGAAACTCTGAGCCTGACATCTATTCACCTTTCACCTGAATGTCTCTGATGACTTTTACTCACAACTGACTCTTAAACAAACTTTTGAAGCAATTTAATATTTTTGATTGGGTGTCAAAAAGTTGATGTCAGTAATAGATGCTTCAGCTGCAGAGAGGTTTATTTAAGACTGTTTTTGGTCCTTTTATTTAACAGCTGAGATCAGAGAGTTCTTATGCACATCATGGTTATGTGGCATGAGAAGATAGGCTTTATGTAAACTGTTTATGACTTTGTTTGTTGACTCTGGTGTTTGTCATGAAGTTATCCAGAGATACGACAAACAAAAAAAGAAGAATGACAAACTTTTCTGTGACATTCGGTCCGACACTGACCTCCTATTGTCCTGGTATTTGCTGCTCAGTTGTCTGGACCTCAAACCTGAACCACACCAACCACCTGCCCTCTCCTCACCCCTGCTCTGGTCCCTCTGGTCTGAGGTGGGAGTAAGGAGAATCCCCACATACCAGACAACACCCGCATATAAACCCCTCCTGGATCATTTAAGCGTACTACAGCAGAGGAAAACTACACTTTCTTTACACGGGGAGGTCAGAGGTCAGAGGTGCCCTGGAGCTGACGGAGAATCTGGAGAGGTTGGTGATGCGACTTTTGGACCAATATGACGGCGTTTTAGGGTGCAAAAACGTATTTCAGCACCTTTGTTCACCCCTCCATCCATCACATCAGAAACTATTTATCCGATAAGTTTGTTTTCTTAGTTTCTTCTTTAAACTCGTCTTTTCTTCTACTCTGAGACTGAATCATCTCCTCTCGTGTACAGTCAGAGATGCTTTCTTACTTTTTATCTTTCCCTGTTAACTTTCCCGTGTGTCTGACAAAACCAAAAGAATAAAAAAGAAAGAATAGTGAGTCTGAAGCAGTAAAGCATTCCAGTCTACACAAACCGACCACAGCTAACTCTGTCGTCTCCGACCATGATGCTGAAACAGCATCAGATGCTGGATTTTTCTGCCTCTCACGAACCACAAAACTGACCTGAAACGCAGACAAGAGACGAAGCAGCGAGGAGGGAAAGAGTGGAAGAGAGCGAGAGGAAGAAAAGAAAAAAAAAACAAGTGTAGGAAGGAGGGAAAGAGTGGCCGCAGTCTTTTTCTGGCTACTGTTGTTCTTTTCACTTCACCGCATGATACTCAGCATGACCGCAGCTGGCTTTACGCAGGGGTACTCCATATCTGAGAGAGAGAGAGAGAGAGAGAGGCATGCAGGGTGTGCAGACAGCCTACAGAGGTCAGTGTGTTTGCACTAGAAACCCTGACCTAAACACTCACACCTCTTTATCCAGCGCTTCACTTTCCCCTCAGAAAGCTCAATTATTTAAGGATGCAGCAAATCCACCCTCTGCCTGCAGCCGTTCAGGTCTGTGCAAGCTTTAACACACGCAATAATATAAAAAAATCTAAGAAATGAGAGATTATGAGAGTGAGGATAACATGCTGTTAACCGTGGACACGAGAGGACACCTGACTGACGAGAGAAACTCTTCAGCTAACCGGAGAGGAGGAGAGATCTAAAGTTACTCAGGGGCGCAGGTGTCCAAACTGTGAGTCCGTGAACCCGGAGAGTTACTGCTGTCACCAGTGGGGTTTGGTAACAGGACTTCAAGACCTTTCTGGATCAGAGGATCCCAGTGGCTCAAATACAGCAGTCTGCACTTAACAACACAGATGTACATATCTACTTCAATTTTCAGGAAGAAAAACAGGAAAGCTGAATGGAAGCTGAAGCGTCTACTAGGGTGACCGTATTCTGAATCCCCAAAAAGAGGACACCACTACGCAGGGCGGAGTCACAGAGTTGCGTGTACATAATTTTGAGAGTTTTACGGGTCGGGTCGAGTGTTTTTACGCGCTTCTAACTTATTAAGTCCATGTGACACAAACTCAAAACTTTCATACAAAACCCCGGACATTTGAAGGATTTTATAAACTCAGACAGCCCCCAAAAAAGAGGACACGTCTGGGTAGAAGAGGAGGTCTGGTCACCCTAGCGGCTACTAGCTCAACTCCTTCACCGATTTCTTAACAAAAAGGCTTAAACTTATACAACCCCACATTAAAATATCTGAACTATCCCTTTAAAATGAACCTTTTTGAGGATGTAAACAAGCTAAGGATTCAGACGCCTTTAAAACTGGTGGAGCCGGAGCGCTGAGGATAAATCTGTTCACACCGATAACAAACGCTTTTCAACGCACGAAAAAAACAACATCTTTCAAGCGCTTATCTGCGTGACATTTCTAAATATTTTACTAGAGCATTAATAGAAATAAGAGCTCACTGTGCCCTTTTTCTTAAAATATCTGGAGGGTGGTTAGATCCTTTCACAACCTTCCTCCTCTCCTTAAATCACATCCTGTTGATTTTTTCCTCCGTGTGTTCATCAAATGTGTTAAATTATCAGTAAATACGTTCATATATTAGGTTTTTAATTTTATACCAAGTAAACTAATGTTTTTAAGTGATTGTTTTGCTTGATTTCATCCAAAATAAAGGAATAAATCATGAATAATTAACATCAGATTTAACTTATTCATGCCGATAAGAGGAAAAGTTGCATGTGCTAACAGTCTGTCTCTGTCCGACCTCTCCTCCCCCTCTCTCTCATGGTGGTCCACCGAGGTCAACAGAAAGATAAACTGACCAATGGGGAGCCGGTGCAACATAAGGTCAGGGGTCAGAGGTCAGCTGACAGAATGAGGAATGGAAAGTCAAGATCGAGTGGCCGGCGGTCGCATTCCTCCGAGACGTCCACGCCTTCATCTTTTTATAGAAAAGTCCACTGTGAATTGTGTGGAGCTTCAAAACAACCGCAACAGAGCCGGGGGGAAAGTTTGGAGTATTTTAGAGCCGCTGTTTGTTCTGACAATGATTGTTTATATTTATAGTAACATATAAAATCTAAGATTGTCTTTCATTACTCAAACAAAATAGGCAGCAATGGGAGTTTCTCAAAATTTGCATAAAGTCCCTGTGAACTAATATGAAAAATTCAATATTAATCAGAAAGAAAACATGAACAGTGACTGCTCTGGACTCTTTTATCCTGTCCGTATTTAATCCTTCTACTTTTATTCTTGGTCACTTTTATCAACATGTTGTTGAAAACTGTATAATTTTATCATTCCTCACTTTAATAGTTTTTTTTTTTAACACTATCAGCCTGTTTTTAGCCAAAAACTACAACAAGGACTGCACACACTCTTCTCTCCTGAGGATTTATTATTTAAAGCACTTTTTGTGACATTATTGATGCTTTACAAATACAAATAAAAGCTCCTGTGTGTCAACTTTGGCACCCCCCTGTGGACAAAGTCATCTCTGCTCGTGTGCTTGAGTCATGACCTCTGACAAGAAATCTTTCTGAGTTTTTGATCAATTTAATCCTTTATTGTGAATATTCAAGGTGAATTTTTTTTTACCTAAAATATTATATATAAATAAAAAATAAAATAAATGTTTTTTTTTTAAATAAATACAAAAAAAATCTTTTTTTTTTCCTTTCTTTTTTAGGTAAAAATTATTTGCTGTTTGGCTGATACCTTCTCACAGGTGTTAACAATACAAAATAAAACCATCAATTTTGTTTCTGATGTTCTTAATTGTTTTTAAAAATCATAAAAATGAGTTTCAGTTTGTTTCATAAGCATAAAAACTCCAAACAGGAGCTCTAAGTCTTACTGGGTGATAAATTAAACTAATCAAACACAAATTTCTTGATTTGAGCGAAAGAAGTTGATTATTAGTGAGTAAAAAAAATGAGACACTAAAATAAAAACAGATAAAAGTCATTTTCAAAGGCAGGAGTGAGAAAAAATTAAAATAGGAAGTTTTTTATTTATGATTCACTTCAAGAAAAAGTAAAATTTTTAAGAATAAAGTTAAAAAAGGTTTTAAAAAATACCAAAATAAGAGACAAGTTTTCAGAATAAAATCCCAAATGTGTAGAAATGGATTTAAAGGTAAAAAAAAAAAATCAGCAAAGTCACTCTATTTGTGGATTGGGGCGCCACTGGCCCAGTGGTCTATGCATGTGCCCTATATAGAGGGGTTATGTCTCATGCAGGTTATGCAAGTTCAGTTCAAACCTGTGGTTCATGTCCTGCAAGTCAGCCCTGGTCCTCTTACTCAGTTTCTGCTCTGTCTGCAGTTCTATCCTCTCAAATAAAAGCAAAAACTGTGGCTTCAAACGCTTCGTCACTCTCTGGTAAAATCTTGCTCTCTGCGTTGGTTCACTTTGACTCAATTTCTCCAAGTGCACGTTAAAAATTGTGGACAGAAGGCGAGTCAAGTCTGAGGTGACATTTTTGGCTGTTTGTGTTCACACATGAAGAATTTTAAGGAGGTTTCTGCATGTGTGAAAACAGCTGTTCTTAGATTTGTGAGTCAAACATTGAGGAATATTTTTACTCTTTTTTTTTTAACAGGGAGACTGACCATAAATGGAAAAGCGGTCTGATCATTCAGCCACCTGCACAGGTTGAATTCGACCCAGACAAATTGTCCTGCAGGATGTCAGCGCTGTATGAAATGAATCCTGCATGAAGGCAGAAAGATGGAGGACGAGACAAAGAGCTCACAGTAATCTGTGATCTGTCCTGCCACACCCTGACCCACAAAGGTAACCCAAATGCTGGGGGCTACACACACACACATACACACACACACACACACACACACACACACACACACACACACACACTGGCTGCATCAGATACAGTCTGTTGAAACTCTACACGCCAGATAGAGAGATGGGTAGACATGATGAGGGATGAAGTGTGTGTGTCAGAGTGTGTGTTAGAGTGTGTTCTCCCTCTGAAGTTGAGCTAACTGCTGCACCCCCTCAGGGCTCTCTTACAGACTCACTTTTCTACGTCCAACTCTGAGCTCTCCGTCTGAAGAAGACCAGCTCCTCACACCAGTAAAAACTGTCCTGAATGTAAACAGACTGAGGCTTTCGAGGCACCAACGTGTTGTGTGTTAAGTCTGAAAAGTTAAGTTATCTCTGAAGTTGTAAACAGTCTCTCAAAATTACTTCTTTTAAATTCAACTCCTATGAGGAATTTTCTGTCTGTGTTGATTATCTGAAGTATTTATCTGCATTATGTCTGAATTTAATTGGAATGAGACGAGCAAGCAGGAGCGTCTGTTTGTGGGCGGGGCTTGTTGGAGCAGAGAGGGAGGGGAGAGGAGGAGCTGAGGGGAAAATTGGTTAGGAGGGGTAGAGTTTACATTCAAGATTTCTCCTAATAACTGGCACTTCCTCAGATCCTGACTACCCCACCTTTAACTTGACATCACTGTGATTTTCTCTCAGGAGGCGAACTACCAAATCCTCCAGAGCCAACACTCAAAGCCACTGAGTCCCTGAAGGATGTAATTTTGGTGAAGTGTTTTTAATTGTGCCAAACTTGCCTTCACTCCGAGGTCTGTAATTAGGGATTATGCAGCACAGATTAGGTAACAGCTCAGAGACATAAACACCCTCATGTTGACTGGAGATGAGAGCTGACGTTCGCCTGTTTCTGTGTTTGTTTACCTGTAACCATGAAAGTCATTGTCGATGATGTTCTGGACCAGCGGGGAGGTCAGGGGTTTTTTCACGTGTCCTGGAGGCAGCAGCGGCTGCATGTGATTGGCTCTGGGGTCCCAGGTGTAGTTGCCGTGGGAGATGTTGGCCCCTCCTCTTTTGCGCCGTGGGAGGGTCCCGTGAATGGAGACTGGCTGGTAGGAGGAGGCGGGCAGCTCTGATAGGCCGCTGCTGGGACCAGAAGGAAGACTGAGAAAGGAGAGAGAAATCAGACTAAAGTTTTGACATGAATCAGCTGTGAAAGTGGGCGTCTTTACCCTTACTCACCTCGGTCTGGAGCTGAGGAGGTCCATGGAGGAGGCGAGGGAGGCCTGGAGCCTCCTGGAGGAGCAGGTGCTGCTGTTGGAGACACCCAGGGGGGATGTGGGGACTCCAGGGTGGGCGGGGCCTCCTCCCAGGCTGTGGTGAGCGTGCAGGGACCTGGGCAAGCTGGCAAAACGCCCCTCTGCCATCATCCTCAACTCTGTATGAAGAAACACATCAAAATATTAAACACTCTGATGCAGAGGACCTGATTTTTATCTTCTGTATTTAATAATTTATCCTCAGTATGGAGCAAAAATGACCACAATGACATCATGACGTAAGAAAAATGGCGTTTGAAGACAGAAACGAGGCGTCAAATAACCTCAAAGAAATATTAGTGAGGTGACCTACCACTGCAGGTGAGTCTGAACACAATAAAACAACCAGATAACACACTTAGGTAACCACGGTAACAACACACTGTAGGTGAGGCGTAATACCCCTTTAATATGAGGACATGTGATCCCAAACACACAAACGCACACTGTCAGAGAGGTGAAATATGACGACACATGATACACACTCACAAAGAGAGCCAGAACAACGGGCGCCCTCGCTGACCTCACCACGACACACACACATACACACACACACACACACACACACACACACACACACACACACACGTTTACATGTACATCAGATACAGTCAAACACACACCGGCTGCTGCAGGGACGTAAAGTAACCTCATCCTCACAATGGCGGTGTGTGTGTGTAACTTATATATTTCACACTGTATTCGTTTTGAGGATGTTGTTCCTGAACTTGTCAGATAAAATCAAAGACGGACTCATTTCTCACGAGGAAGCTGATGCCCTGTGAGGGACACGACACAGATATGAATCCTCCGAGATGGACGTGACAGTGATGGAAAACAGCGGACACGTCCTCGATAAATTCCCCTCCTGTGTGATGATGAGTGGTCTGCTCTGAATCAGTCAGCAGGCAGGAGTTAGTCAGACTGTCCAAACTAAAAACAGACCGGACAGTTCCAGATTCCCTAAACTGATCTTGTTTCTGATTCAAGAATCTGAGTGGAGTAGCTGTGCCGGTGTTTGTTATTGTGTCTGTGTTTGTGCAAGCTGATAGTGATCAGAGAAAGTGCAGAGGGAGAGGAAACTCCGGGGTTTGGCGCTGTAATAGCTCTGCCAGATTTAGCCTTGTTTTTAAGTGAGGTGATGCATTTATTTTTCTATTCATCGGGAAAATTAAAGTTGTGGTTATTTTAACAACATGAAAAGTTCCATGTTCTCATAAAAGAGCTGGAGAATCATCCTGAGCCGCTCTGATATCACTTTTTATAATAATCACAACTATCAAAACAATCACGCTATATTGATCAGTTCACCTCGATAACGATAAATGGACGATAACTACTCCACAAGCTGCTCACCACCTCCTCTGACATGGGAACATTTGAATTTTTCGCACACTTTCTTTATTGCATTTAAATTTTACTGCATGTTTCTTTTCCCCTCATCTGAAAAGAAATGTCTCAAAATGTAAGCCGTAATCTCTGGGATTATTCTTGGTCTGTTCTTCATGACAAAAATTAAAAACAGCTTCTGTTTTGTTCTAATTTTTAGGACAGCGACAGGACGTCTGAGATAGGAGACACTCAGGACCTTTAAACACACACAGTTAAGTCGAGTTATGGTTGTAGTTTAGGCGATTTAAATGGACCACTGTTCTTGTAGACAGGAACCTGCTCCCTTCTCGCTTATTACTACTCATTACAGCCCTCTTTTTAAGTGTTTATTAAGTGTTCATGTTATAGTTCGAGGTTTTGTTTACTACCCGGCTTCGTAGAAATGCATCAATTTCTCTCGACTCTTGAGCGTGCAAAGGGCGCTCAGACCAGATTTAGTCGGAGAGAAGATCATGCATGAAAGACAAAATCAATCCCATCTGCAATAACCAGGTATGTCAGTTCAATTGAGCACGTTTACAGTCAAACTAAAATGTTTAATGTATTGTAAATATAAGATCTGCAAAATACCAGAAATGCCAGAAAATCTGCAGCAGTGTCATACGACAAAAACAGACCTAGTGTGCAAAAACCTTTAGGGCCTGGCTCTCCAAGACGAAACTTCAGCTTTGTTAGAGGTTGAATTGTCTAAAGTTGTGTGTCACTTTTCATTTAAGTGTTGTGTTTTCTTTGTTACATGATTATATTAATCAATTATAAGCAGAACTTCAGCTAAAAGGACTTTTTTTATCATGTCAAATCAACCACACCAGTAAGACCAGAATGATTGCAAATACATATTTTTGGTGCATTAAATCTTTTAGGAATATTCAATGATTTAAGTGTGGATTTATAGGCCCCACTACAGAGCAGGAAACCCTGAATGGACTATAAACTGGGACTTAATCCAACTTCACAGGAGGGTAACTGGGTCACCAGTGTGTGATGATGAATGTCAATAAAAATGCAAACACAGGTTTTAGGGAGAGGAGCAGCTGGCCACTTCAAGACAAGTAAACTTCATACAAACACACACACACACACACAGACACACACACTCAGACACACAAAGACACACACACTCAGACACACAAAGACAGTGTAAAAGTCCTGCTAAGGCATGCTGGGTCAGAGTGTGGATTCCTCTGAGGGGTTGAACCACTACAGGAGCAGGACCTATTATAAGAGCCTGAGGGATGGTCAGCTGTGAGTGTGTGTGGCCCTGACCATCTGCCCCCTACACACACACAAACACACACAAACACAGGGGAGAAAGGACAGACTCTCACTGAGTGAAAACACAGACTTACAGCACTTCCACATGAGGATTCAGACGTATCAGATATCAGATACAGATATCTCACTCTCTCCTCCTCTATCACTTTAACCTCCACTCTCTCCATCTTCTTTATTTTCCTCTTATTCAAATCCCTCACTCATCCATCTTTCTCTTCCTTTTCTTCGTCCCCTCCCCTCCTCCATCAGACGTCCCCTCCCTCCTTCTGTCTGTCCATCATGATGTCAGCTCTTCTTTTGCCTCCTCTCTCTGTCATCTTCTCTTACTCCTTTGTCCCTCCACCTCTCCTAATAATAGACTTTTATCCCTCTTTCTCTCAGCCTGTCTCATCCTCTTCTTCCTACAGCTGTTCCACCGCAAGCTACATCTCACACAAAGATACACAGAAGGGTTGAAAGAGATGGCGAGCACATTGTTCAGTCATCATGGAGTCAGAGTACAGAGGCGTTTTCCTATGATTTACTTTCAATTTAAAGCTCCTCGGTTTGCAGAAATAACATCACACCGCAGAGGAAAAACTCAGATTTTGTCAGGTCTGTCCTTAAGAGGAGAATAAAACAGTTTTTGATTGTTGATTTGTCAAACGGAGGTCAGATCGATCATTTCTGACTCCTTACATGCTGGAAATTCCCATCAGACGGGACACCTCCTGAAGTTGGAGCATCTGAGTTTTGCAAAAGTGTAAATTCTATCTCTGGGTATTTTGTCAGTTTGCTTTAGCGTGCAATCTATCGTGCACTTTGCTGATATGTTTTGTAATATCAGACGCAACTTTCTGACTTTTCAACTCAGGTGTGAAGTCAGTCCTGTAAACATACAGATGTCTACATTTTAGAGATAAATAAATCCTCGGATCGGTGCAAAGATGTTGTAACATGTAGTAGGGCTGAGCGATAAACCGAAAGTTTACCTAATAAAAAAATGAATAAATAAAGTTGGTTTTGGATGTGTGTAGGTAGGCTATGGTCTCATGTCCCTTTAAGACGCTGTTCTACGTCAGAGACGTGACTCCACCCCATCCAGTCTGTAACAAAGAGGGAAAGACAGGTGAGGAGATGGAGGACGGAGAGAGACAGCGGCTGAGGTAGAAACTTAGAGCTGGGTGATAAACTGAAAATTTACCGGTACTGAAATTTAGGACAATAATTGTGATATTGATTTGAGGCCATATCGCCCAGCCTTAACATGCAGTCAGTTTTTCTTGCATACGCTTGCAACTCTGCAGATTCCAGACTGGTCAATAACACTCGGGCTGCAAACGTGCAACAAAAACAGACTCCTGAAAACAGATTCTGCATCTGAATCTGTGTATAAACAAGGAATTTATGAAGCCATATGGAGATATAAGATTTGTAAATCATTCTCTCTAATGGAATTATGTGAAAAAAGAAACCTCCGACAGTCAGATTGCAGTTATCCAATGCCCTGGACCGTAGTTCACATATAAGGTTTACATGAACTTTTTAACCTTTAACTGGAAGTCAGTTTTATTAAAGGGGTTTCATTTTCAGTTAAGCTGAATTTAAAATGAAATGGCAGGTAAAAGTTTCATTTTGACGGACCCTCACCCTCGACTAATTACAGGTTTTGTCCTTGACTGTATGATTAAAAGTCTGGGGTGAGTTTTGCTTTCACTCTGACGCTCCTCGAGGCCTTAGCCACACTTACACACTCCCCAAAAAACACACAAGTCTCTGGGTGGGAAACAAGAGCAGATTAACAGGAAGAGGAAACAGCAGTATAAACATTTAGACAGCAGGCAGCTCATTATTGAAGAAAACTGCAAATAAACGCCTCCTCTTCCTCTTTTTCAATCCCTTCTTTCCTTCTGTATTTATATTTCACAGGATTTAAAGACACAATTTTCCCTTTAAATACGGGTTTGAGGAGTTTAGCCGCTAATCCGCTGAAGAAATCCACCAGGTGTCAGAGACCTTAAAGTGAATCAACAGGTCCCGTTCAGTCGGAGGAGACAGGAGTCCATATTTACGTGAAAGTCCACTCCTCCTTAGAGCGAGAAAATAACATCAACACGCCTGGGAAAGAGGGCTTTCCTCTGGAAGGGCTTTAAGTGTCTTCCTGCTTTGGCATGCTAAGACACACACACACACATGCACACACACATGCACACATGCACACACACACACCAGTGCATTAGTAAAACCACCCCTGGCCAGAAGTGAACAATGGGAACAACTGTCACATGACCGCTGTTCAGAGCCGGTCTTTGTTAGAGAGAGAGGGAGAGGTGTCCTACTGCGCTCTTCAGTGCGTGGGCCCACCAGAGAGAGAGAGAGTGTGTGTGTGTAACATATTAATAAGGCTGTTATTAAATCCCACAGCTGAAGTCGCCCTTTAATATTTCTGGATATTTGTCCTCTTCACACACACTCTCATTCTGTGTAGCTTCTGTTACACGCAGAGCTGGACAGTGTGGGAAAATGTCTGAGTGCAGTAGCAGGTGACTGAAGATCCTCAATGGAGTAAAAATACATTTGAAATCTGACGAATAAAGCAGAAATAAAAGTCTGTAAATGGAACTTCTGGTTTTGTGATAAAAAAAGTAAACACCGCACACACACACACAAACACGACATGAGCGCCAGATCAGAAGATTGAGTCCGATCGCGGTCAACTGAGTCAGTTTAAACTCCAACAAAGCTTCCTCATACAGAGGGGAACAAGATTAGGATATCTGCCATCTTTAACAGAATCAACCGATGATATAAAAGACTTAACTTTCTACAAACAAGTCCAGAGGTGGAGCTGAGGCTGCAGAGGCCTCCACCTGTCAGTCCACTGAGTCAAGACCGTAAATAAGCGATTTCATGCAAAACTCCACGCCTTTAGAGTCTCATTATCAGGACATTGAGAGTTTCACGAGGCCTAATGGAGGCTCCTTGGCGTTTGCAGTCAATTTTAAGCATACTTGGTAATAAAGTTACTTCCTGAAATTCCTGGATTTAAAAAAAGAAGGTATTCAACGAGCTTCACAGACGCTTACAGGTGAGTTTTATCTAAACAGGCCATCTGCTTCCCTGTATTTCAAGTATTCACCCTGACAAATCAGCAAGGATACAAGCTATGGCCTCATGAAAAAAGTCTACAGGATGGTTCATATGGATGCAGTGACTGAAAAATTTGCAAATGCACAAAACAAGATGATAGAAAATGAGAAAAGGGAGAAATAAAGGGTGCAGCATTTTCTGAAGGAGTAGAAACTAATTGTTTTGACTTTCATTTCTCTTTATTCCTCTGCTTTGCTGCTCCTCTTGTTTAACATGCATGATAAACTATTTGACCTGATACAGCGTTCGGTTAAATCTGCAGGTTTGTTTTCAGTCCCGACTCTGACTAATGTCTGAAACGACCTCCTGCATGAGTGTGTTTACGTGCACCAAACTCAACACTTCACACACACACACAGATGCACACATATGTCAGCCTCTGTCATCGTCTCACGGGGTGGTTGCTGTTTAAAGACGTGTTCTCATAACTTCGAGGTCAGGACTTCAACCTGAGCGGCTTCACTTAACCTGTCAGAGTGCTTCTGAGAAAGAATCTGTCGGAGTCGGTTTGGGGGTCAGGGGCCTCGCGGTCTCTGAGTCACATCGTGTCATGTCTTACATTTGGAGTGCTACAGTAAATAAGGACAAACCTGCTTCAATGTAACGGACATATTAGTGTGGTTTGACTTGTGAAGGAAACCGAAACTGATGAGTGGATCAAATTTTTAGGCATCCTACAATCAATCAGAGTTTTAACAGAAACATGTTTTTGCCACAGTGGCAACAGGCACAGGAGGATGGATGCAATAAGCGTTATGTGTGTGATCTAGTTTTCGTGGAAGACTTTGGACCAATCAGAATCAAGTTTTTCACACAGCTGGATGATTAGTAAAAAAGCTGAGTTATGAAATCAGAAACTAATCCCTCATTACGTAACTTTGCACAGGTAAAAAATAATCACTCTGGTTTTGTTGCCCGAGGGTCGCAGTAAATCAACAGAAGCCGATCAAAAGAAAAGTTTCAGTTTTAGTGATTTTGGAGGACAAAGGTGGCATTAGAGTGAGAATTTTAGAAACAAAAAAACTGATTTGACTGTTTGGAGACAAAAAAAATATGTAAAGCCCACCTGTACGATTGTGTCAGGTAGGAAAAATCTCTCATTTTGGAGAATTTGTCTCTTTCTGTCAAAAAAATCAGGACACTTAGATAAAACTTTAAAGCCTCTGAAATCCAATGAAGATACCACATTTAATTGAGGACAATGCAACACAATCACAGCTCCCTCTTTTGAGTGGGAGGGAGGACAGTTTTGTTGACCACACACCTGCTGGAAATGCAGGTGTAATGCACACACTTTACACTAATAATGAGACCGTCTGTTTATTTCAGGGTTCCTACACAAGTATGGAAAGTATGGAAGTAATTTGATCAATTTCCAGGTCTTAAAAAGTATGGTAAATGAAAAATGAAGTATGGTAAAATATTTAGGTTTCCAGACTATCAGTTCTCAGTCTTTTTTTTTCTTAAATTTTTGCAATAAGATCATAGTTGTCTTTTTTTACGCGTGGCCACATTTAGCAGGTTAAAAATCTGAAATCCTGACAGCCCTGGTTTAAAGCTCCTGTGAGGAACTTTGAGTTTGTGTTGATTCTGCTGCCCCCTGTGGACAAATTGGTGCATTTTAGTTCATTCTTGGTTTTAGTATTTTTCTAACTAAGATTCATTCCTGCTTATTCTAACAATCAAATATGTACGAAAGAGGATCAGGGCCACAAGGAGAGAAAAAAAATATTGCAGGAGGGAGATTTTTTAAATTTCCATTTTGAGATTAAAGTCGAAATTTAACAAAGTCTAAATAAAAAAAGAAATTTTGAGATGAAAGTTGACACTGCAAGATAGTTATCTTTTTCTCTTCATGTGGCTCTAACCCTCTTTTGTAAATTTGAGACTCAACAGAAAACTTTGCTGTGGACAATGCTAACTCGTCTCATCACTTTAACTGACTCCTACCTCCCGCCAATTGCTTCAGATTTATAAAAATAAAAATAAGAAACAGTCAATTTTTGTGTGAACAGTTTCATATGCCTTCAAAGGTCATAGAGACACATTAGTGACATTTTCAGTTTGTTCTTTGGGTAATTAAAAACTCCTCACAGAAGCTTTAAATCAGAAGTAAGATTTTCCTGATTTATGTGAATATTTATGTCAGTTTTTCACTAAATCAGTGATCAGCAGGAGTCTGTTTTTGCTCTGGGAGGAGATTAAACTCACTAATAAACAATCAGCTATGATGAAAATGTTTGTCAGATTATTACACAACACTAACAATCGTTTGGTAACCCTAATACTGAGGTGACACAAATAATTTTGTTGCATCACTCACCGCATTTCGACAAAAATTTAACTATTCAAACACAATAAAGCTCAAAATCTTAACCTCAGAATAACCAAACTGCCCTCCACACGAGTTCACATCTCAATGATAAATCTCGATCTTATCTGTCACATTTCATGTAATTATTTCCTTCAGGAATTTCCACACCAGCAGCAGCAATCCCAGCAACCACAGTTACACCCAGTGTCTTGGGATGGCAACACATTGCTCAAAAAGTCCCCATGTCAGTGCAACCAAGTAAACAGAGATACGACAGAGATGATACCACAGCGGGGACAAAAACTTCTTCAAAAAGTGGAGATGACCGTAAAGTTAGTGTGTCACCAGCTTTCACACATTCCTACACACCTACATGGATGTTTATGGATGCACACACACACATACACACATACACACACATAAACACACAGATTTACTCTCCTACCTGTCAGCGTGACCTCCTCTCCTTTCCACGACCTCTGCTCTTGTTTCTCTTTTAGTCTCTTGAGCTTTTTTCAGAGTTATTATTCCATATCAGAGGGAGTTTGAATGACTGAGGATCTGACTGACCGGCTGGAAGGCGACACACTCGCACTCCTTCAGACAGGCAACAACAAGTAGCACAATCACAAGCCCTGCCCTCCTCTCCCCTCTCTCTCTCTCTCTCTCTCTGGGGAGTGATTTGCGAGCGCCCGGCCCCTCCTTCTGCTCTGCTGTGTTTGGGAGGAGTTTTCTTTCTTTCTTTTTAAACCCCCCTCAAACCCTGCACCGAACAAAACTCTCCCTCCACCTCCTCCACCTCCTCCTCCTCCTCCTCCTACTCCTCAGTGTTCCCTGCACAGCCTCATATTTCATGCCTCCAAGTCTTTTTGTTTGGGAGCTCTTAACGCCAAACACCACCGACTGGTCCGGTGCTTAGAGAAGATTTAGATGTGACCTAATGTTGCTATTTGCAGAGAAGGGATGAGGGAGAAAAAAACCTGATCACGGCCCTCTTAAGGCATGTTTGAGCAACTTGAGGTGCACTCTAGACTCATGGGGTTTAACTACTTGACTCAGGAGCATAAATCAGCTCATTGCCAGGACTTCAGACTACTTTTTGCATTCATTTATGAGGTGAAAAAGTGGTAAAAAATGTTAAATTTCATTACTGCAGGATGAGGAGAGCTTTACTTGTGCTTTAACATCAGGTATGAGGTCATGTTGGCCCTCAGGACGACTCTCACCCCCGTCTTTGTCCTCCTGTTCCTCTGTATTGTCTAGAGTTGATAACACCCAGACACGTGCATGTGTGTGCAGGTATCTGTGTGTGTGTGTGTATATGTGTGTGTTTCCTCCTAGACAATACAAGGAGCCCATCCTGCTGCTATGAAAGCTGAGATGATTAGACAGCCCTTCACTGGACGTACACACTCTGACACACACACATAAACACACACACTGATGTAAGGCTTTAGATCTTGACATCCCATTTGTTTAGATCATGCAGCGCACGAGGGAAGAAACTGGCCGGTTTGCACGCCATGGTGAGATTTTTATGTAAGAAGACACGACTTTAGTACAAAAAAAATGTCCACAGGGGGCGCCAAAACTGACACCAACTGAAGGCTCTGCACAGGACCCTTAAATTCATCATTTGATAACTGGGGTTTGGATGCTTGAGCACATTCCTGCAGTGACCATCAATTAAAAGTCAAAACACCAATGAGGAACTTCAGATCTGTGTTGGATTTGGCGCCCCCTCTGGACAAAGTGGACACTAATCACTTAGCTGATCTTGATCTGAACAGGTGTGGGGGTGTTTTCATTAAAAAATCCCCTTCCCACCTTTCAAACAGCTAAAACAATAAATCTTATCCAGAGACTTTGCTGTGAAAAGTGTAAATTTGAGCTTTTCCGCAAATTGCTAATCTCCTCCTTGACGCTAACCCTTAGCTAGCAGTTACAGACATTAACGCAAACTTTATATTTATAGGAAAAATCACTCTTCCTGGTCCGTCTTATTTTTTTCCTGCTTTTAGTGGCATCAGCATTAATTTTAGTATGTCCTATAACTATCCAAAATCTCTTCAAAAAGCTTGAAACATCTTAAGGATTTCGCATCTTGACTTCTTTTTTTTTTTTATGTTTCTGAAATACTTGCAAATATATGCAATAAGACATTGCCTTGGTTAATTTTTATTATGTGACTGGTTGAATAAAAGCACGTAAATAGAGTTCGCACACAAAAGTTGACTCTAACTTCTACCTCTTTGCCTGGCACGATCTACGATTGTGTTTGTGTCGGTTTTGGCGCCTCCTGCAGACAAATTCATCTGTGTAAATCCTTGGCTAATATCAACATATGAATGTAGTCTAACCTTTATCTTGTGACAGCCAAATGCATCAATAAATATGAAACTAAGTTAAAAATAAGAAGGTTTCTTTAGCCTGCCATTGGACTTGTCTGACATCTATAATCAGATAAGATGATGGTCTGATTTGCTTTTATAGATCATAAAGAGGCACTGATGTTAGTGTTACTCCTCACTGTGACTTTAAACGAGATTAATTCTGAATCCTTATTAATAAAAAGCTTCTCCACCATTTGCAGCTTTAATTTACTCTCTGTTGATCCTCAGCTGTGACTCTTACCACGGTTTTCAAACATTTTCTGAACTAAAAAGTTGAAAAAGTAAAAAACAGTTTCGCTGTTTTTCCACATTTGCAGCTTTAATTTACTCTCTGTTGATTCTCAGCTGTGACTCTTACCACGGTTTTCAAACATTTTCTGAACTAAAAAGTTGAAAAATTAAAAAACAAGATAACGCAAGCAGAAATACAGTAATGCAAAAGAATAAATAAGTGTATAAATAAGGAGGCTCCAACGGCATGACTAAAAACAAATTAACACTACAATGTACTAAAAGCCAATGAGTAAAAGTACATTCAGTCCTCGCTCAGACTTCTGAACATCTGCAGTAATTAAGAAGAACTTAAGTGATGCCCTAAGGGAAATTCAATATTCATATTTCGTTGTCACACTTATATTTACGGCTTCAGAGTCAGGAGACTTCAGCTGAAAATCTGCTGGAGGCTCTGCTTGTGCTCACACTCAGGTATTTTCACGTTTTTACAGAGTAACAGAGAGAAAGCCGAGTCACATGTGGTCGATTAAATCAGCGTAATAATATGAAGGCATTAGCTCATGGTGATCCAATCCTTCTGGTTGGATTTTAAGGATCAGATCCTAAATGCCAAACCCAAGTACCCTTGCTTCTCCTGGACTCCCGTGGAGGTAAAAAGGACTGTTAGGGAGTAAAAATAACCCAGCTGGAGGAGAATTTCATATTTTCCTTGAGTTTAACTGGGTAATATGTCACACAGGCACGTGAAATACTTGGCATGTTTATATGTGCGAGGGTGGTATTTCCAGGAAGGTGTACAGTGAGTCAGGAGAGTAATCTGTCATTATCTTCTGAATCACCGAAACCCTCCAAAAAGAGGGAGGAAGGGGTTTGTCGTCTCAGCAGAAAACTGTAATTCCTGACTGATGTGTTGTGAAGGGGGATCTTATCGGCTTGTTTTTGGAAGAACAGACTTTTCTACAGACATTCCTCCATCTTTACGTTTGTGTGGAGGTACGCTGACACTTTTGAGTCCAAATATTAATACTTGGGCTTTGCAAACCAGGAAAAAGAAGCTGTACAATGGTGATGGATGGTAATGGTAATGTCAAGCTTGAGCAGGAAACAACAAATAGAGACATACTGGTGCCCAATGATGCAGTTCATTGAATGCCCACTAGGGGCTGGCTCAAATGTGAGTAAACCCCCAATAGGCCTTGTATTAGAACATTAGTAGTACATTAAGACATAAAAACAAATAAAACAAGCAAAGAACACCATAGAGCGAGCAAAAATACATAAACGCAAGAAATAAACCGATATATAAATAAGCAGGCTCACGGCAAGTGCTAAGGTGATAACTAACAAAATAACACTAAAACCCAAATATCAGCAGAAATTAACCTCCTAACCACCTGGTCTAAAATCAGTTTTGGCCAAATTAGCTCATTGCTTTTTTGGTGAAACTCAATCAGGCTAATTTTTTAAATAAATCTGTGGTTTTCTTTTATTCGAGCTAAGAGCAGTGCATAATTATTTACAATAAGGGGCTGGGCTGATGTGACTTGTAAGTGAATGTGTTGTGACTGTGTACCAGGAGACTCCTCCACCCTTTAACTGGTTTCTCTTCATTGAGAGTTAGTTTGAGTCAGTGTTGAACAAATGGCAACACCTCTTAGATTATGTCTAAATTTTGTCGAATTCCCTCATCTTGATGACAGAATATGTACAATCAGGCTGGATCAGAGGCGTGTCTGGGTTGGTTGAAAGTAAGGCGTGTTGAAGCTGTTTCCCAGGCTGACTAAAGGTCAACCTCAGCTTCACCTCGTCACCACTACTGGACTGTTCAAAGGTTTGTTGGAGCTGCCACTTCCAGTATGGTGCCTGCCATCACATCATTTAAGAAAACCTCTGAGATGAAAAATAAGGTGTGCAATTTTGCATGATTGTAAATATACGTCCTCGACCGTGCACTGTGCATCTGACCTCTAGAGGGCGCACTAGAGAGCTTAATCTGTGTGCAACTGCTGGATTTATAAACTGAAATTATCTCCTACCAGTTGTTTTGACAGCCATGTATTAATAAATGAGGACATCAGCATACCAAGTCCTTCAGCTTATCAAGTAAACTTTCTGCAATTGTTGTCCCTTTCGCCTCTATACTGCCCCTACTGTTCATGTGCATATTGCACCTCATGACTGCAGTTAATTTTCGTGCAGAGCAAACACACTAAACTAATAAAGGGGAAGCATGGCAGCCATCATGTATGTGCATAATCATAGTTAACTGCAAGTGCATCTCTCGTCTAAGGCAGAAACAGGGGCTGCTGTTCCTTGAGTGGCCACTAGAGGCTGGTTCCACAAGTATATCAATCCCCATCAGGATTCACATCAAAATGCTATGAAAGAGAATTAGGGTCACAAGAAGAGAAAGAAAAAATCACAGGAGGGAGATTTTTTTAATCTCCTTTTCTGAGTCACTTCATGTCGACTTTGATCTCTAAATTTCAACTTCAATCTCAAAATTTAAATTTTTTTTAATCTTGAAATTTTGACATTATTAACAATATTTCAACATTTTGTTATCTTGAAATTTCGACTTTAATCTCAAAATTCCAATTTTTAATTTTGATTTTGTTAATCTCAAAATTTTGACTTTAATCTAGAAATTTTACTTTAATCTTGAAATTTCAACTTCAGTCTCCTTCCTGTAATTATTCTCTCTGTTTTCTAATCATGACATGATAGCTTCATACCACATTCAACAGTTCGATTTACACTCAAGGTTAATATCACAAACTCTTGTAGAGAATAAGTCTGATATAAAGTCTGCTTTAGTCAGGATGCACTTTTGAGTGATTGTGCTTTTTTTAAAATATAAGTAATGATGATACAGTCTAAGGTGTTGATTCATTCAAAACTGGCATAAAAAAGCAGAAGCGAGTAAAGCCACTGTGGATTTCCCCCCACTGTGAACACACCACGGTATTTTTAGGAGTGTTATGTTGTGTACAGAGTGAGCCACACCGGACAGGAAGCCAGCAAGATCAAGATTTAATCTGCGGCTCTCCAACGGTCTGCAGATCAAAATGTTTACTTTTTTAAAACCAGTTTGAAGAATGACACACTCAGGCGACCGTTTCCAGCTCTTCCTGTTAATGTGAGTCTAAAGGCCGAGCCCTCATTTGGCACACCGTGTTGGCACTACGCCCTGCTGAGTCACTCATTTATAGTCACTGACCACCAATCCACCTCCGGGCGCTGGGCTCCCAAAACCATTAAGTTAATGGGCTTGGCTGCCCCACCTAAAGAGGATGACACCTGCATATATTTGGATGTAAACCAACACTTTACATTTCAGCTCCTTCTTGGTTATTTCTGCTTTTTCTCGCTGGCATGATGAACTTTCTAAACATAACCTCCTCTAGATTTCATCTTCCACTCTCCTCCTCATTCCACCAACGTTTTCCTCCCCCTGCTCTCCTCGTCCTCCACTCCCTGTTCGCCCTTATAGACCTATTTCATGTCTGTGTGTGTTTCTGATCTAGAAAGAGTGACGTATAAACAGTCAGATGTTTAAGACACTCCTCATTCCTCCAACCTGCTGCAGCCTCGGGGTCTTACAATTGAAAAGGTAAATGTTTTGTCTAAGTGTGCTCAGGTGGAGCGAAATCCTGTAATTTTTTATGACTCATGGGGTGATAGCTTCTGTGGAAAGGTTTCCTGTCAGTTATTGAAATCAACATCACTTCACAGCAAAACCTGATGAGAGTACTTCTTATGTAACTGTGAAGGTTGAAACATGCAGCAGCCCAGAGCGATTTTTACATAAGTCTCATAAAATTTGGGGTGGTTCAGATTCAATAATTTAACTACTTTCACTAATTATCTTATTCATGTCAATTATGATTCCCTGAAAGATGATTTTGAGTGCAAAAGTCTGGAGTTCACTTTGATTCGACAAGTTTTGATGTGGTTTGTATCAGAGATGGGTGCAAGTCCAAGTCATGTCCTAACGTAGGCTATCATAGCTACGAAAAATACCGAGTAAAATAGAAAATGTAGCCATAAAAATTGGGCTAAGTTAAAGATATTCAATATTAGTTATAGATATTATAAAGGGTGACCATATTCTGAATCCCCAAAAAGAGGACAGGACGAAACGGAGTCATGCGTAGTTAATTTTGAGACTTTTACGGGTCAGATCGAGTGTTTTTTATGCACTTCTAACTCAGTAAGTTGACATGTAACAAATTCAAAACTTCCATACAAACCCCAGACATTTGAAGAATTTTATAAACTCCCCCGGACAAAGCCGGACAAGGCTGGACAGCTCGAACAGCCCCCCCCCCAAAAAGGACGTATGGTCTTTCTATAAAAATATGTGAGTAGTAGCAGAAAACAGCAACAACAAAGTCTAACTTTTCTTGGCGTTCATCGTTAAGGACTCAAAAACACTTGTCCTAAGTCACAACCTACAGCACTAACAGATGATGTGAAACACTGAACCGAAAATAAAGCTACATGTCTAATTTAAAAGGGAGGGGGGGTGTCTCCTTTAGGGCTGGAGCACCCCTAACTATAACCTGTCTCCGCCCCTGAACCTGCAGCTCCGCTCTTGTAGCGTTGGTGTTATCTGCCTCAGTCCCTGATCTCCACGACCCAAAACAAGTGATTCATGTGTGTGTTAATAACAACCAAAACAAGAAGCAACAACAATTTATAGAACAATGTTTAACTAGCAGTATGAGAAGTTTTAGCAGCTCAAGTTACACAAGACGAGAGGAAATGACAGGAGTGAATATTTGCACAAAAAACATCCATAACAGTTAAATATCTGCAAACAAACCAAAATAAATAAAACATAAGTGATGAAACTGGTATGAAACTACTGTCCTGACTTCACTTGTCCCTCTTTGGATAAATATTTCAGTCCTTCTTATCTTGGATGAGCCTGAATCTGGGAACAGCATCTTCCCTTGAGCTGAATAAACACAGTAACCTTGACTGCTCTGTTGGTGTTCCTGACATACATACAGAGGGACATGTTTATAGTACACTCAGTATTAACTCTGGGTCATGTTGATGAGTCCGTCACCTTCGCTTTAGAGATTATCCTGGTTCAGTTTGTTCTGTTGTGTTTAGATCCGACAAAAGTGTAATCTTAAATGGAAGTGGAGCAGACTGAAAAAAGGACAGAGGATATTCTGGGGTTTTCATGAATGTATCTATTGACATCGATCTAAATGGGGCTTAATGCATACAAGTGAAGAGGAATCTGTTCAAACTACTTCACAAACAGACTAAATGCTGTCACCATGGCAACATCCCCATCCACCGTGACAACAAACAAGCAAACAAGCTGTCTGCATGAACACCTGCTGCTTCTTTCTCTCTCTCTCACACACATATAAACAATGTAAAACTCCTGCTGGTCCATGTTTAGCATGGCGGACCACAGGCGTGTGTGTGTGTGTGTGTGTGTGTGTTCTGGTATTCACATTACACACTTCCTCAGCTCGTATAGTTCATGAGTTACAAAGCAGATCTGACCTGAAGACAGCTGCTGGAGTCCAGAGAGACAAGTTTGTGAATGAATGGATTGATGAATGAATGAATGGAGTTAATTATAGATTATTATGTGACTATTCTCCTTCCTGAACCCATGAGGAGCTCTGAGATTAAACACACACAAAGAAAAAAGAGAATAATTTGATGTAGGGATTAGTTTTGTCTCGGAAAAATCTGCATTTTTAGTTTAAGTGACACTTTAAATTTGCATCCCTAACATTAATACATTTTTAAAACAGGTCTATCAATTTGACAAGTTAAATTAAGTCTTTATTAATGTTAGTTAATATGAAAAAACATTATTTTCTAAGCGCTTATTAAATAAGGTTTGTCAGGAAGGTCATGCATCAATAAGTTATTTTAGATTTAAAAACAAATGGTGGTGAATTCCTGAAGATTAACTTGATTTTAATAACCATAAAAAGTATGATAAGGGTCTTATCTTGTGCACGTGTGACAAAATTGTGTGTTTGTTTAGGTTTTGGCGCCCCCTGTGGTGAAGCTACAATACTCATCCCTTTGCTTATTCTGTCCTGTTTCTGTTTACTCCACATCTACTTACCAAAAACCTCTCCTAGGTTGTCTTTTAATATTTATATATCACTTTATTTGCTATTGAAAATGTCAGAAAATAAAGATAACAGTCATTTCTTTTTGTGTGTTTTAATAGCAGCAACAAGAAATACTGGACGAGCTCATTTTTGTGAGTTCATATTGATTTTGTCAGCAGAGTAAAGACGCTCATGAGAGATGTAAACAATGATGAATGACCGGCAGAGCTCTGTTAATGACTGTGCATGATCTACACATTTGCAGTGCATGAAAGCAGATGCATTCATAAACTAATATTTCACCAGAGCCAGGTGCTTGATTAGGTTAAACATCCATGCCAGACGTGAGCAGCGGAGTAAATGTACAGCACATGAGCCAAATTAGAGGTTACATCAGGAAATAACGTATTTGTTCTGTCCTCGACCAGAAATACAAGCAAGTGTCGTGTTCATCTTTGAATATCCTGATCACAAACGAGCCGCAAATATGAGAAATATGAGAAATATGGGATAAGGCTTCACATCGCCGTCTCTTATTTCACCCTCTAATTGTTTAATTGGAGCATCTCGTTTTCTCTCCTGCCAACCGGGAAAGTACCTAGTGCACTAACACACACACGCACTAACACACACACAGTCTTATTCCAGCCACGTAATCACATACTGCAGCCAAGAGCAGTAATATGATGAAATGAACCTGCGCCTGGATGCAGAGTCTGGGTGATTATGTGTTTTATCCTGAAGGTGCTCTCTCAGGAATGCTCTTTTCTGGGTCGAATGTTGACTTGGCATTTTTAGAGGATGCTTGTATATGTGCGCGCGTGTGTGTGTGCACGTGTGTGTGTGTGTGTGTGTGTGTGTGTGTGTAGGATACCATTAGCTGAGCAGATCTGGGCCCCGTGGTAATGACAGGGGTGGCAGGCTGCCAGGCAGACAGATAATACCACGGTAGTTGGTGACTGAGTGATTTCAACTAGAGGTTGTTTCACCTCGGCAACGGTGCTCAACCTGCAGGTCGGGGCCCCGCCGGCGGTCCTCAGGAATGTGAAAATGTACGCTCTCAGAAAAAGGATGATGTGTGGCAGCAGTTTACTTCATGTTTTATTCAAGTCATTTGTGCATCAAAAGAGCCTGGAGGTACTTATTTGACTATGACTTATTTGCTGCCTCTACACGGGTTTTCTCACAGGGCCTTTTCCCCTTCTGTACAGCCTGATATCACCGCCTATGCTGCTTATTTTACAACATTTTTCTGGCTGTTTTCAAACTTTTGTTATCTCCGTTTTAGAGAATAACCCCCAGCGCTGTTTCACTCCTACTGAAGAAAGGATTAGCAAGAAAAATTAAGCTGCCGGAGTCCTGTCAAACACGGCTCTGTGTGCGAATGTTTTGGATACACACTGCAGCTCCAGGTCTGTTTTTGTTTTTAAGACACTTCGCCGGAGAAGGTCTATCGAATTTACAGAAAGGTGTGAGGATCCTCTGAAAAATATGTGTGATGCTTTGTTTTTGTTGCAGAAATATCAGAGTCAGATTCTGGAGCAATAACACAAAAATATAATGTAGAAACAAATGTCTGCAGGGGTCAGCAGGTTAAATGTCCCAGTTTTGCAGAAAGGCTTCAGACGGACCACTTGCTAGAAACTGGACTTGTGCACAGCTTAGTCGCCAAGACAACAGCGAGATTTCTCAGTATAACGCATGGGAAACTGGGCAAACAAAGCAGTCGCACAAACACACACAAACACACACACACACACTCATGCCCGCAAACACACTTGTAGAATAGATTAAACCCAGCAGGACTGCAGACCTCAGCACTCTTCTGCCTGTTTACTGACAGCTTTGGAAATGTTCAGTGTTTGTGTGACAGAGTATTGTCCTCCAGCAGACGGCCCCTTCCCCACCATGAGAGACCCCCCAGGCCTTAACATGTCCACACATGACGCTGGTGCTATCTGTCTCTGTGTCTCTGTCTGCCACAAAGGGAAACACGGAGCCGGAGTCAACAAACCGGAGCAGCAGATAGAGAAAGATAATGTTTGGTCAACACTGAGTGTGTTTGCGCATGTGTGAGTGAGTGTGTTTGTGTGTGTGTGTGTGTGTGTATGTGTGTACCTCTCCTCCTCTCTCGCTCCTGGAGGAGGCGCAGGGAAGTGAGAAGGTGCAGGCGGTGGAGGTGATTGTGGACTCCCAGCTCCAACAGGTCGTACTCCGAAAGGTGCAGCAGGTCCTGGAAAACATAAAACTGTTTCACTGTTTTCATTCAGTTCAGTATTAGTGCGACCTATCAGGAATTTCAAAATAAAAGCCCAGTGTACAACATAGGAACTAAAGCAAGACAGGAAGCACAACAGACAACCGTTTTACAAGGCAACATAGATGATAAAATATGACTTAATTGTGTTTCTAAGTAAAATTCATGAACATACAAAGACATAAATCCTGTTGCTCCACCCTTGTTTTGCCTTTTCTCAATTTTACTTTCTATGTTGTTATAAAGATTTTCATAAACATTGTTATCATGATATTTATGGGCCACAATAATTGTAAGGTGACGACCTGATATGGTGACAGCTGACCTATCAGAGAAGTTGGTTCTTTCAAAATAAAATCCACATTTGTGTTTTACAGAGGAATCAAACACTGACTGATAATCCTGCATATGTGGACCCATTAATGGCCATCACTGACGATAAATGTCAGGAGTGTAGGGCTGGGCGATATGGCTTCAAATCAATATCACGATGTATTGATCAGTTCACCTCGATAACGCTAAATGGACGATAACTACTCCACAAGCTGCTCACCCCCTCCCACATTAACTTCGTCTACTTCAGCCGCGCCAACTTTTGAACCGTCCTCCATCTCCTCACCTGTCTTTCCCTCTTTGTTACAGACTGGAAGGGGTGGAGTCACGTCTCTGACGTAACCCAGCGTCTTAAAGGGACATGAGACCATAGCCTACCTACACACATCCAAAACAAACTTTGATTTATTTACTTATTCATTTTACACTGAATATACTGATATTGGCAAAATGAGGTTGATATTGTCATAAATTTCGGTATCGGTAAATTTAGTTTATCGCCCAGCCCTACAGGAGTGTCCCTGATCTGTGTATTCTGAGTCGCTGACTGAGCTGTTTGAGGATTATGAGGTTAGATTGAGCTGAGCCTACAGGTGACCTCTTTTCTTCCAAAAGTGTGCCGTCTCCTCCCCTCGTCCTCTCCTCGTCCTCCTGTCATTACACCATCATCTTAAACTCACAAACAAACACAACCTGCCTCACTTCGACACACAACATGATATTAACACAAACGACCCTGAAACGGCCTAAAGAGGGAGCAGACGCAGACGAGTCTTTGAACCAGAACTCAACTTTGAGCTGTCGTACACACACACATACACACACACACACACACACACACACACACACACACACACTGTATCATCACAGGAGGCTTCATCCTCAAACTAAGACCTCGTTGTTTTCATTTCCAAACAATAAGACCATTCTCTGAGTTCATCACAAACACAGCTCTATTTAGACTACACACATGTGCAGTGGGCAAACCCATGAATATAAACACACACACGCACACACTCACACACACACTGAAACAGCGCACAATCAAATTACAGTCACTCTGAGGCACTCACAGCCAGGAACAGATTCACAACTACACACATACCTGCATAACCGAGTAGCCAAAGCTGCACAAACACACAAATTTGTGCACGCAAAAGTTGCTGAAAAGCATCATTAAAAAATATTCAAGCTTTTGGAATAAAACTGTTGCATAAAGCTAACAAACAAGTGTATACCAGCACACACACAGGCACAAAAAACACACACACACACATGTGCAGGCGGTCATTACAGTCAACAAGCCTGGACAGCTCAGTAATAATGTGTTAGAGAGTTACAGAAGACAACACTGTATTAGTTCTGCTGATGTTAACACATGTAACACACACCCCGTGACTCTCTATGTGTGTGTGTGTGTGTGTGTGTGTGTGTGTGTGTGTGTGTGTACGTGTGAGACATGGCTGGCGTATCACAAACCTCATCTATCTCATAATCTCTCCTCCTCTCTGTGTCTCTCTCGTCTCCCTCCGTGCTCAGCGGCAGGTTGACATGTTTTCTTTATTCTTTCTTTTCTGGATCACTCAGAGCTGCACAACAAACTCAGCTCTCACACAGGCCTCTGCAGAGTTTGAACAGCAGCTGTCAGTGCTGGTTTAGTCGGCCTCACTGTTGTTATAAAGTTATAAAGATGGTCGGGAATAAAAAAGATGGAGCTCTGAGGTTTTAGACGACACTTAAAGATAAATAAAGATAAAGACTTGAACGGTGAAGTTGATCTTTAACTCTGTGTTGTTGTAAGAGGGTGTATCTGCAGCTGTTATGATCGTATTTTTTTATATAGAGGTTTTCTGAGCTGTAGCGCAGCCTGTCGCCACTAGCAGGAGCTGTAGCTGCAATTTATGGCGACTACTATCCGATTGCAAGCGAGCAAAAATGACAGATCGCATATTTTAGCCCAGTTTGACAGTTTATGGCGTTTAACACACAATCATAGAATCTGCAGGTAAAGCTGCTGTGAGGAACTTTTCAGTTTGTGTTGGTTTTGGCGCCCCCCTGTGGACAAAGTGATACCTCTTATCTCTTGTCATGTTAAAATGTCATCCTGCTGTCTTTTATCAATGTTTTTCACTCACTCTGAGTATTAGCCATGGAAAAATGTTGAAGAGGCAGTTTTCTCATCTTGCTGTTGGACATCTGGTCGGAAATTACGAAAGAAGATTAGGGCCACAAGAAGAGAAAAAAATAATTACAAGAGGGAGTTTTTTTAATTTTCATTTAGAGATTAAAGTCGAAATTTTAAAAAGTCAAAATGAAAAAAAAAAATCGGAATTACGTGAATTAAATCTAAATTTCGACTGTAATCTCATAATTTTGGTTTTTATCTCAAAATTTCAACATTATTCATGACATTTTGATAATTTTTTATCTCGAAATTTCGACTTTAATCTCAAAATTTCAATTTCTAATCTTGAAATTTCGATTTTATTGATATAATTTCATTTTTTTATCTCAAAATTTTAACTTTAATCTCAAAATTTCGACTTTAGACTCCTTCCTTCAAGTTTTTTTTTCTCTTTGTGTGGACCCAATCCTCTTTCGTAGAAATCAACCCCTCACTGAGCTTTAATTGAAGGGATTAAAGGGCACCAGTATCAGTTTCAGTCTGTTTCTCAACCAGATAAAAACTTCTTATAGTGTCTTTACATAAATTATGCTCATTTTATTCTGAGTTTGTCTGAACATTAAGGTTAGTCGGTTAGTCAGAATTTAAATCTCTGTTCCATAAAATGTTAAATCAGCTGCTTGTTTAATAAATTATGGTCAGGACCATGTAATAAAACATGTTTTTTTAGCTGCAACCATGTAATTTGATATAATTATGGTATATATCAGATTACATGAAACTTCAAAATATTTTTTAAGGTTATTCCTACCTAAGTGTAGAGCTGCAGATGCATTGCAAAAAGTATCTGACATTATTCCGCCTACAGTATCCCTATGTGGGAATTTCAACTGTGCATGAAGCCACATGTTACTCAAACATGTCTGAAGAGCTGATCTGATCACAGAAATCCTAATAAATAATAAATATGGAGACAGCCTTCATGTTCTTGTATTTGCTGCTGACACTGATGATGCCGGCTGAGTTGGTTTTCATTGGACTGTTGTGTTAAGTCTGGATGTCTAAGAGGCACTGAGCTGGATACTGTTGTTTTAAAATCCTAAAAAAGGGCAGCAGAGGAGAGCTAACGCCACCATCATGCATGGAGGATGGTCAGAGTGGGATTTGAAGCTTGTATTCAGCTCAAAACTGAAACTTTCCTCTAAACTGAGGAAATTTGATATAATTTAATTTAAATGACTGGTTTTCGTAGAGACTCCCATCCTTGTCTCACCTTGTCCTTGTGTTTCCATTTTTGCCTACATATGTCGCCTCCTTTTCTGCAAGAGTTCCCACTAATGACACCAATGCATTCTGGGTAAACATTACCAAGCGGTTATTGAATAATTCATGTCTTATTGGCTCATCAGTCTCCTCTTTTAGCCAATGTCTGCGCAGCGTTCAGATTAAAGTTGGCTAATGGTGGGATGTTAAAAACAGCTCGTGTATCACGGTCCCTCCAGTCTAATGGAGTTTTATTAGACAGTTTTATAAAGGCGGCTGTGGGAAACACTCCTAATGACAGCAGTAAGTCTTACCAGAATAGAAACACTTTCTTATGCAACACAGACATTCACTGAAATACTCTTTGAAAGCAGCGCCTGGAAGGTCAGATCATTCAAAAGACAAAAATTATGTTTGCACTCACCCCTGATGTAAACAGCCTTTTGGCTTTTATATCCAGTGAATGATAGTTAGTTGCATGTACTGTGTGTTAGAGGATCATGTAGGGCTGGGCGATAAAGCAAAAATTTACCAGCACTAAAATTGACGACAATAACCAACGTCATTTTGCCCATGTCGATAAATTCAGAGACGTGACTCCACCCCATCCAGTCCGTAACAAAGAGGGAAAAGACAGGTGAGGAGATGGAGGACGGAGAGAAAGTTGTAGTGAAGTTAATGTGGGAGGGGGTGAGCAGCTTGTGGAGTAGTTATCGTCCATTTATTGTGATCAAGGTGAACTGCTCAATATATCGTGATATTGATTTGAGGCCATATCGCCCAGCCCAAAGATCATGCATGTTTAAAGTAGTTTACAGTGAGTGAAAAGACAATACAAAGTGAAGACAGGTGCAGGTGCATGAAAACAGAAGGAGATGACTGAAGTTTGACCCCAAAGACGATGCACAGAAGTAGGTAAAGGATGAGTAACCTTGGCCAGATTAAACAACATTTATCCTGCTAATTTATCACAAATATTTATGGTCTCCAGAGCGTGTATTTTTAGAGATATGAAAAGATTTATTTATGTAAATTTCAACCATGACAATGCACGCAGTAATGAGCGTTATACGAAGTAGTGGTTGATGAATCTAGCATATTTGAGCCACTGTTGAAACAACAAGCATTAATAATAAACCCATGTATGTGTTTCTGTGTGTGCACACGTGTTTGAATTACCTCTACTCCGTCATATTCCTGCTCCAGCGCTGTGCAGTACTGCGGCAGACCCAGCTGGCTCAGCCACCGGGAGATAGACTGATGCTTCATGGTGGCAGAGATGCACACACATGCATGCGCAGAAATGTGCACGACACAGCAAACACACAGTTTTTCTGCGTTTAGAGAGACCTGAAACACACAGAAGGAAAACATACAGTGAAAAACAAACATATCTCCTCTCTTCTTAGTGAACTTGCAGTTATTGTGACTTTTTTATTAATCAATGAATGAAACATGTTTGCATCTTTTTAGCTGGACACTTCTGCAACAGCTTTATCACTGAAACCTAGCGAACTCACGTTTCTGTGAAAGCCCCGTGCTGAACCGACTATCTTTTTCTCACACCAAGGCTGATCTGTAGCCAAGGCTCCCTCTTTATCAGCCTTCAGGGCCGATTAGCTGCAGCATTACAGACACTTTAACACTGTAAACACCCCAGAGTGATGATGCCTGAGTGTCAACAGGAGGAAGATACTGAGACTGAGAAATAAAACCCGCTCTGGATCTGCCGTCAGTCCAGATAGCGACACAAAACACTAAACAGACTGTTCGACAAATAGCAGAGCTGGATACTGGGAGCGGGAGCTGATATCACCATAACACCCGGGGTAATTACACCACCAATCACCACCAATCCTTTTTACCCAGAGGCCCCGCTGGCACGACCTGACAGCAACAACCAAGCGCAGATATACACATCAGCGCCAGGTGATGAAATAATAAATGAGAGCCGAGCCAAGAGCCAAGATAAAACATGGAAAGTATGAACGAATTTGGCGGGGGAAGTCCGCCAAATAACAGCCTCGCTGGGAAAAAACACGGATAGTGTCTTTAATCAGAAGACAAAATGTCTGCAGGCAGAAAAAACAAACAGATGAGTGAAATTTTGAGGGATATCTTTAACCACATTCCTCCGAGGTTATATTCCTGATCAATAATAAACAAATCTTTATTGATCAGGAACAATAATAACTCTGTTCTTATTGTTGAAGCAGCTGTGTTGTCAGCGCCTCCCTTATGTATTGTCTGACTGAATGTGAGCGGGTTTACACTGTCAGTGCGCTCACATGTGTGTTAGTATTCATGTGTCAGACTGAGCACGTGCGGTGACCTCCCCCCATCCCATTTCAATCACTTAAGTGATGTCACAGAGATGTACATGATGTCACTAAAGGTTGTTTGACCCCCACCACACACACACACACACGCACGCACACACACACGTCTTTCAGTCTTATATCAATCTCCTGTGGGGGTGTAACATCATGTAGATTAGAGGAGAGGACTTCTTCATACAGTATATGGTCTCCTGTCAGCGTCTTACCTCTCCTCTACTTTAACCTAATGGAGAGCTGGAGGTCGTCCAGGAGAACGAGGAGCCTCAGTGTCCCCCAGAAATGAACTTGACTGCAGGTCACACACAGTCCTCATAAATTCTCCTACAAAGTGTTTTAATGAGATTCCATGATGTTAAAATTAACACAATTTCTAATCGGCCTCTCTTCATTTTCAGGAGCGCTGTCTCAGAAATTTCTAAAGTTGCATGTTCACACGTGTCCCTCAGAGCATGAAATCTACCCCGTCAAAGATGGAGATGGGGTATCACTTCTAAATAAAGCTGCAAAAACAGTTTAATGTTTGTGACATGATTAAAGATGGTGGCACAGTCTGACACTGTGATGGCAGGTTATGAATTTATGTCAGTGCAGCATGCAAACAGGCAGATGTGCAGACACTTTCGCTGGTCATCTTAAAAATATCTCTCCTTCTTCAACTATGATGTTTTTTTTCATCGGGTTTTGTGTTGCTCTTCAAGGTTTGCATCTTCACATGGACTTACCCAGACTACTTTACACATGCTCGGCTATTTTCATAAACGGACATTTCACCCTCTTCGTTTCTGTTCACATGCAAACAGTTTTTTAAAAAGCATTGTTTTCAGGGGTGAACTCTCCGTTTGCGTCTAAACTAAGGGTATGAACGACGGTTAAGGTCTCCATTTTTTAAAATAACTGTACGAATAAACGGGCCCCAGACTCCATTTTGATTTTTTTCTAGGAAGCTGGTGGGAGATTAGGGGGCATTCAAGCGTACAGCTTCCCAAAAAATTCTGCAAAATTTTTAAGTTTTGCACATGTGTGAATATGGGTGATTATAGCAGTTTTTGAAAGTTTGTAATCTGTTGTAGCTCCAGGGTTGCAAAAGTAAACTCAAGCCGACAGTTAATGGTGCAACATGCGTGCCTGTGACGTCTCACCTTCAATACAAGTGCTGCAGAGCCGACATCTGAGGAGGCATTACAGTGGTCAGATAGGATCACTGTGAACTAGTGAAGCAGCATGTCTAAGTATACGAGTTTGCAAATCTCCCACTGTGTTTACCTCTGAAAGGCTGTAACACAATGTGAAATCACACACTGGGATGACAGTATCATGCCGCTGCAGGATCAACATGACAGTACAAATGCATGATGATGGAGGAACTGCTTTTTAAAACCACAGAATCCCAAAAATCACTGATATTTGTGTGAAAAATACTCACAGAAAGTAAAAGAAAGAGGCAGGGAGCGTGCACACCAAGCTGCAGAGGTGGTTGTTGGATCGTAACCTCCTCTTTATGTCTGATGTGCCACAGACGCGGCGATAAATACTTTAATAAATACAGTTATTTTCCTGTCTGTGTGGGCTGTAATCATGCTGCCCTGTAAGAGGTTTAATAGAAGTTCAGATTTCACTTCATGGTGTTTGATGCCAACACCAGGGTTACGTGCGATTCCCTGCTCTTACTTTCACTCGTTTAAAAGGGATATCACAGAAAGAAAGAGTTTAGATACCACTGCTCTCCATATGACAGCCGTAAAATATCTTACAGTGGTTAATTGAGGAGCTTTAGCGGTGAGAGGATGCCAATGAAACCTGTCTAAGCCACACCCTGTCTGTCTGCAGCCCTGATATCAGGAGCTTTTCAGCATCTTTCATCCAGATGATGCATGTAAACAGAGATTTTGAGCAGCTGTGAGTCGTTTTAAAGTGTTGAAGCTTTTCCCTGATAGTGTGAGCGGTTTGTCTTGTAAAAAAAGATCCAAAGAGCGCCACATGGCTGGTTAGAAAGAGGTGACACAGCCTTTACAGAATGAACACTGGAGGTGGATTCGATGGAAGGAGAGCAGCTCGAAGGAGAACTTTGCGTTTTGTCCTTTGGGAAGGTCAGATTTCCTTTCCTGGATTCGACACAAACACAGTTTGTCCTCATAAGACAGGGCAAACTCTGCAGGGATGCTTACCGTAGAAGAGAGTTTCATCACGAGGAACTCCTGGGATCTGTTTTTTAACATGGACAGCATCTTTTCTCTTTGTTTACAGTGGGAGGACATGCTTGTATATTCCCTGTAGTGCTGACAGGACAAGAGAAACAAGAGGAGGACAGCACTGATGAGTAGAACGGAGAGGGGTGCACAGAGGAAGGATTTTCCCATTAGAGCCAGTGAACAAGTTCACTAACCAGAAAAACTGAACCCAAAGTGTCCCCTAGAGGGATCCTCATCCTGTCCTGTCAGATCCGAGCCTCATGTCCTCTCAGTCTCTGCTGGTTTGACCTCGGCTGTTTCCCATGACCACATTTCTCTTTGTATCATAGAATATAAATCAACCTATCCCATAATCCCCCTCTCTAAACAGCCCGATTATTAGACGAGTAGACATGAATCAAATACCAAACATCGAACTCCAAGTCCGGCAACATTAGAGGACAATTTTCCATTCTCTCACTCGCTCTCTAATGTCTGTATTGGCCGCCTCCTGTAGTCCAAGGGCGTCCCCTTTTTGCCAATCACATTACACCGACACAATCCAACCAATTGAATTAAGCTGCGAAAATAACAGCAGCATCACCGCGGAGCCATTTCCAGCTCCTGTGACAAAGCAGGCAGCAGCGTGATGTCTGATTGTCACAGACGAAGGACGGCGTGCGGGGAGAGACAAGACTCTTCCAGTGAGTTACAGTCTGAAGCCAAGGCTGCGGCGGATTCGTCCTCTATGACCAACAGAGACATGAGCAACAGAAAGAAACGTTCATTCAAGAACCCCGAACACCTCTCAATCAATCTATGTGCATCTTATATACAAAGGTCAAGAGAAACTCACTGAATCATGATTAAATGATCAACAAAGTTTTCTGTTTAATCACTCTCCTAGGGCCTGTGTCCACTAACTGTATCGTTTTTACTGCAACATCATATCTCAACCAAAGCTAGTTTTTGTAGCTTGTTCAGAGCCCAAGGTTAAAGGGATATTCCGGTGTAAAATTAATTTAGGGTCAAACACACCAAAACACAGAGTTAGACACCCCCTCAAGAGATGAATGTTGCCGACCGCTTGCTTCTCTAGTTATACCGACTTGAGTAACAACCGCGTGATAGCAATACACAGCGGTCTGAGGAGCCATAAACAAACCTCAACCAAAACGCCACTCTATAGCATCAACAGGACATATAGGGTCCGAGCCATAGTACTAGCCACCAAGCATCTTTTTAACTTTGACTGATTTCTTTAGCAAAGAGACGAAACACAACTCACCTACTCTCCTCCAGTAGCCACTTGTTTGTCCATTATGGACTACAGTGGGGTGACGCAGCTCAAGGAAGAACATTTATGATCATTTTTTTTAATCATTTCCTTGAAGTAATAATCATCATATTAATCATTTCTCTGCAGACGCGGTAGTTCTTCTGCCTTAGCCTCTCCGTCTGATTGCATTTCCATAAAGTAATGATCAGAAATGTTCTTCCTTGAGCTGTGGCACCCCACTGTAGTCTGTAATGGACTGGCATGAGGTCTCACTACAAACAAATGGCTGCTGGAAGAGAGTAGGTGAGTTGTGTTTAGTCTCTTTGCTAAAGAAATCAGGCAAGGTTAAAAAGATGCTTGGTGATTAGTGCTGTGGCTGGGACCCTATATGTCCTGTTGATGCTATAGAGTGGCGTTTTGGTTGAGGTTTGTGTGTGGCTCCATAGACCCATGTGTATTGTTATCGTGCGGTCGTTACTAAAGTTGGTATAACTAGAGAAGAAAGCAGTCGTTTGACCTTAAATTAATTTTACGCCGGGATATCCCTTTAAAGGTCGGTACCGCTCTTCATCTTCAGGAGTTGTTTCCTGACCTCTCCTGAACTATTTCTGAGGTTTGAAAATGAACATGTGATGGAGGTGCGATATCATTTTCTCCCTGTGGTCGTGAGCGTGCCTGGAGAACGTGTCTGAAGCTGTCTGAGAGTGTTTACCTGAAGGTTACAGTACCTACTGAAGCAGCTGGAATACGGCGGAGGAACATATTTCAGAGTCGAGAATAACGACTGTTTTCTGAGAGTTACTTTGTTGTTGGTTAAAATTGTGTCCCCTCTGCTTTTTTTCCTGTCTTTAAGACCCCCAACGGTGTCTGGCGCTCATTTTTTTTCTCTTTTTTTTTTGCGTCACTCCCGTCTCTTTGAGCCTCTCCTGAAATATTTCCCAAACAAGGCAGTTCACTCACTCTACAATTTTCTCTCAGAAGGTTTAATAAAAAGTCAGAGCTACCTCTCAGCTGCTTGCGTTTGATGAACATGTGAGCAGAGTCTAACCACAGCCTGCAGGATCTGAATGTTTGACATCTTCATCAAGTTATCTCCCTCTCTCTCTCGCAGCCACACAGGTGCATATCAAGCATGGCTGGGCTTGCAGATAAGTAGCCACACAGCAGCAGCAAACACCTTATTTGAGTGAAATGTAAGATGACTTTCACTGTGTCTGCTGCAGACAACACCACACTATCAGCACTTTTTATACAGTTTGGATGTTTGCCTCCAGGATGTTGCATTTTCTCTCTGGACAAATACTGGTTCAGTGCTCCTGTGGGGGAACGTTTTGCAGCTTTCTTGGGTATTTAAATGTCTATATTTACTCGAGGAGCTGGCTGGGAAACAAGGAAATATCTTCAACCCCACAGAGAGCTGAATTAAGACACTGATTCAGTCTATCTCTTCAGAATCAGTTTTAGAGTTTTAGAAATCAGTTTTGCAGGTTTAATACTAACATCCTGCATGACCTCTGAAGTATTTCCAGGTGCCGTGAGCCGACATGCTTCTGCATCACTATAAAATACAGCTTGTTGGATATGCATATTAAAATCTGCAACTTGTCGTCACTTGCATGGAATGTACTTTATTTTAAGAACCTGAAAAACTCTTATCAGAGGGCAGAAAAACTTCAGCATCACAATGAGGTCATGCAAAATATTTGCAATGTTTAGTCATGCATTGTATTTTGCATGAAAAAGTTAATTAAGTTTGTATTTTCCACTTCTGATTCTGCAAGATAAACCCTCATTTTGGGGGGATATGCTTGAAGAAAGTCCACTTTTATGAGGTATAACTTGTATTTTTTTATTTAACGGTCCCTGCCTGGTGATAACAGCTAAAAGATAAGAGATGGGAGAAGGAGAGAGGAGGTATAATTTACATGACTCAGCTCTGAGGTAAAGGCATTCCTGGCTTCAGCACATACTGGAGACCAAAACAGCTGGGATGCATCTTATTTTTGAGAAGAGAGAGGAGAAACTCGATGATATAGGACAGAGGAATTTTCTCATAAATAAAGAATACACTTGACTTTTTGCTTTTAATCCTAATCCTCATAAATCAAGATACCAAAAAGGGGTTATCTGTGTTTTCTGGATCCAGTAATGAAGTTTATCTCTTTTAAATTCTTCAAAAACGTTCATTTTAATGACTTTGCTTCAGTTTCTCTTTATCTGACCCGGATAGATTTTGCAAACTGTGCAACAAACGTGCGTGAAAATAGTCGAATTTTACCCGTAAGACATGCACTGTTGTATTTTTCTGCACACAAATATAAATCTATAAATCAGTGAAGTCTTACCTTTCTGTGCAGCGGACTTCTGCATGCAATCTGACGCGGTGCAGAGTAGATGTAGGAGCGCTGATGATAACTGGAGTTTTAATGTTTGTACCGGTTACGGACAAGTTTCAATCAGCGAATAACATCCACGGCAGCTGCTCTCTGCTCCTCAGCTGTGGGTTTCCAAATGTCAAAAGAACTGAAGTACCTGTCAGGACCAAGAGAGACAGAAAGAGGGAGGGAGGGAGGGAGGGAGAGATGCAGCTTCACGCTCCGGATCCACGGAGCAAAATGAGGTGTCAGTTCAAATCAAGCGAAAACCAATCAGAGGCGAGATTAGAGGAGCTCCTGAAACAAATACAAAATACAGACCCTTCTTTCTTTTAAAAACATCTGAATCGTAAATGTGATACCGATGAACCGAAAATTTGCCGATACCGACGTCGTTTTGCCGATATCGGTATATTCGGTGCCAAAAAAAATAAAAAAAATCACAGACCCTCCTTTTAAAAAAAACAAAACAAAAAAACATCCAAATCATAAATGTCATGTTGAAAGGCTAAAAGATTTGGATAAAATTTCAGGTTGTCAGTGGGACAGGTTCAAGGATGAATTATGGACTTAGCTTTTTGTCCACAAGGGCGGTCAAATTAACATTTTACCGATCCACTACTTGCTGAATTTAAGGCTGCTCCTTTATTACCAGTTTTACATTATTGGATACATTGATTAATCCAGGTGTGCGTCTCACTAGTCACAATGATCAGTCACACCTGGATTAATTAGTTTGTACAATAACGTAAGACAGGAAATAAAGGAGCTGCCTTAAGGTCAAGATGTAGTGGAGGACTTCAAATATTCACAATTAACGACACATTGGACTTTCAAATGTCTCCAGGGGAAATTTTTTATTTACTTAGACACTACTGAACTTGTCGGTTTCGTCCACCGTGGAGCCAAAATTTAACCCAAAAAATCCTTAAAGAAGCTTTAAACATGTTTTCAAGAAAAGCACAGAGACAAGTTTCAGTCAGCACTGATATGTGGATGTTTTCTGATTCTTCATTCAATAAGCAAAAGCAGTCTCAGACAGACATCTCCCTGCTTTTTTCATTTTTTCTCTCCTGCCCCCTTGTGGTACTTATTGGTAACTACAACACTTTAAAGTCCCACTCTGATCGTTTTTTTAACACACAAAGTATTATCAGTGAAGTTTTAAGCCAAAATCACATTACCTGTGTCATTTTCAAGGGCTTTTCTTCTGCAGAGCTCCAGCAGCTTATAAGCAATTCACCTCTGAGTCGTGGGCGGAGACAGCACTGCTCTGTACATTCCTCTTCGCGTTAGCTTGCAGCCTAACATTGCCAGTGTGGTAGAAGTGGCAGGTAACACACGATTTAATTAGCTCTCCAACACAAATGTCTTAGGGGACAAGATGAAAGTTAGCATCATAATTAGCTTTCTCACACGCATTGCAATTTGTCAACGCATACGTTTGTTCCGCAATTGCCCTCTCGAGTTTTCTGAGTCTGTCCTCTGGGGGCGGAGCTTGGATTTATGATGTAGGAAATCTCACTGTGGTAAGCCTGCTATTTGGGTCTCCCAGAGATCCACAGCATTTTGAATGCAGAAATACTCAGAAATGCAATTTTCCACTTACTTTTCTCATGACATGTCCTGTAGCATCAGAAAAATGCCATATGAACATGTAGACAAGAAAAACACGATTTTCATCGGAGTGGGTCTTCAATGTGAACTTGTTGACTCCACTGTATGAGCCATCAACATGTGAAGGCTTCTATGTTATGATGCATGGCACCACCTGGTGGACATTTTGCAAATTGCACCCCTTGTTCAGCATGAGGGAGCTTTAGTAAAGACAGATTGGGGTTGTTAAAAACTTACCTTATGAAATATTTTTGTTTTTGGTGTTAAATAAAATAACAGACTTCAGCTTCAGTGCAAGAGTTGGGTTTTTATTGTTATTAACCGTTGACACAATCAGCAGAGAAACAAGGCATGACAAGAGACAGGAAGAGACACACAGGAATCAAATCTTGTTGAAAGCTGCTACGTCGACACTCTGGACCTGAAACAGATCAGAACAGAAACAAAGATTATGAATGTCCTTCTGACCATCAAAATGTAAAAATTAATGTTATCGTAGATGTTTCTTTGCAGTGTCCTTACATAGTCTTCGAACTTGGTGATTTCCTCCTCCAACATGTCTGTTCCCACCTTATCGTCCTCCACCACACATGCGATCTGGAGTTTCTTGATGCCGTAACCGACGGGAACAAGCTTCGATGTGCCCCACAACAGACCATCGGCCTGCACCGAGCGCACACACTCCTCCATCTTCGCCATGTCCGTTTCATCATCCCACTAAGAAGACAGGTGAGAGGAGTCAGTATCAAACCTGTGAAAACACATCACAGCTGTTTTCGTTTTGGACTCACAGGTTTGACGTCCAGTAGGATGGAGGACTTGGCGATGACGCCGGGCTTCTTGGCCTTTCTCTCCGCGTACTCTTTCAACCTCTGCTCTTTGATTTTTTCTGCCTCCTCGTCTTCATCGCTCCCAAACAGATCAATGTCATCGTCGTCATCATCATCATCCTCTTCCACCTTTTTCACCGGAGCGCTGCTTTTCTGCTGGACGGTTGTACCCTACATAAAAGTAAATACAATCACATGTGGTCTGCGGTAATAACTGAGAACTGATCGGATGAAAACAGCGTGTAAAAACTCACATTTGTGTAAGGGACTGAAGGAACGGGAGCTGGGGTCACAGCTGCAGGAGACTTCTCCAGGACTGATACCCGACACTCCAGTTTGGAAAGTGCTGCCCTCAAGTCTTCAACCACTAAAGAAACAGAAGCAGAAGATCAAAACTCCTCGAATTTGAATAAAAACCAAACATTTGAAAATCTGATATGTGGTCTTCTATGACATGACAATGGCTCGATAATCGTAATATCAATATAAGCCAAAATAACTGTGATTACGATAGAAGCACCTTTGTGTAAGCTCTGGTTCTCCAGCTCCAGGCCCCTGATTCGAGAGACGATTTCCCCTTGATCGGCTGCACTGATGCCGCTCTGCTGCTGCTGCTGTTTTGAGTCACAAAAGAGAGACGGAGAGAAAAAAAATCAGTACGGTTTATTGAGAGCAGCGTCTGAAAGCCAAACCAGGCGGAAAGTCATCTGGTCACACTCAGGACGATCGAGCAGAGTGAAAACACAACACAGCCAGTGGCATCGGAGACACAGGAGCTGCAGTCTGACAGGAGGATAAGTGAAAGCAGCTACACTTGCAACACTTCACACACAAAAACCATCTAGCAGCTACAAAAACCTCTAATCTAAAGGGGGTGGACTCTAGGAAACTGGAGCGTGGATGTCAGCGAGGTGCTTCCAGGGACACACACGACTTGGGTGGCACTTACAAACTGGGACTGACGGCTCAGGGGAGGTTGACCAGACCCTCTGTTACACAGTGTGGACTTGAGCTGGGGGGAGGAGGGGATTTCAGGCATGAATGATGGAGGGATGGAAGGAGGAAGGGAGAGGGGGACACAACTGAATGAGGTACAGGATGCTCAAGGACAAACAAGGACACTCAAATTACTTGGACAAAAATGTTCATTCAGTTTTGTTTTGACAAAAATTCGTCTGTGGGAGGAATCCAGTCACTTTTCATGCACTGCCTTAAAACTTCCAAGACTAATCCAACATCTTTGACCTTTCTAAAACAGATTAAGTGCATTATTCTAGGAGCAGATACGACACATATCTGTTACTTACTCCTGCTAGTGATTTCTGGATGTTTTCCCGGGCCCGAGCGATGTCCTGCAGAATGCTGTTGGCTCCTGCATCCTGCAAAGAAATCACAGATAATCCTTCATTATTAAATTGACAACAGAATAAAACACGTTAATGCAGCCTCAGGAAAAATGAAATTAAGGCCACTCTGAAGTGTTGAATACAAGAGAGGATAAGGGCAACATAAAAGGACAGAAAAATAATCACAGGAAGGAGATTAAAGTCGAAATTTCAAGATTAAAGTCAAAATTTCGAGATTAAAAATAATCAAAATTATGTCAATGAAGTCGCAATTTTGAGATTAAAAATTAAAATATCAAGATGAAAGTCCATAATTCAAGACTGGAGTCAAATTTCAGCATAAAAAAATCGAAATTATGTCAATTAAGTTAAAAACCTGAGATTAAAAATTAAAATTTCGAGATTAAAGTTGAAATTTCAACATAAAAACATCGAAATTATGTCAATAAAGTTGAAATTTCGGGATTCAAAATTGAAATACAGATATAAGTCGAAATTGCATGATTACAAAATGTCGTGAATAATGTAGAACTTTTGAGATTAAAATTGAAATTTCAAGATGAAAAAAATCAAAATTATGTCAATAAAGTCAAAATTTCAGATTAAAAATTCAAATTTCAAGATTAAAACCGAAATTTTGAAATTATAAATTGGCGAAATGTTGTGAATAATGCTGAAATTTCAAGATTGCTGGCAAAATGAATTAAGTCGAAATTTCAATTTTTTTAAATTTCAATTTTAATCTCGAAATGGAAATCAAAAAATCTCCCTTCTGTTATTTTTTTCTCCTCTTGTGGCCCTTATCGTCTTTCGTAGTTCAATGACAAATGCTTGGGATGAGAATTTCAACAGTATGTTAGTTTCACAGTGACCAATTTCACACCAGAAATCAGTCAAATTTAAACATAATTTAATCAGCTGGGTTTCCTTTTTCATACTTTGGGTAATGTTGCACCAAATGTTTCTAACAGGACGGCAGGTGGGCTTCTTTAGCTCCCTGACCCTACCACAAAAGAGGTGTTAGAGCTACGGCTAGGCAATAAACCGAAAAATTTACAGATACTGAAATTTACAAGGATAACAAACGTCATTTTGCCTCACCTCTGTCCCTCTTCAATAACACGGCTAAAAGAGCATGTATAACCCCAGCGTTTGTGTCAGTGTAGTACCTGCGCTGCTGTTGTTGTTGTTGTCATCATCGGTTGTGGAGAGCCGTTCATCCGCTCGTAGAAGCGCCTCTCTGCCTCGTCATAGCGAGGTTTGTCAAACCAGATCTTCTCCTGGGCGAGGAAGTCCGCTGAAGTCATGGTTCTGCAGAAAAGAGAGCGAGGAAGGAGAAAGGTTGAAGAGGACACAGGAGGTCAGAGCAAAGGAAAAAAAACAAAACAAAATCTGTATTACTACGACTAATATTGGTATTTTTAATCCTCTGGTATTCGTTAATCTCAGATCAAGATTAAATCTAAAAATTAACATGTTAAAATACCTTATTTTTTGCAGTTTACCCACAAACAGACCATCCCAACACAACCACAGAGGGAAAATAAAAACAAAGAGGAAAAACTCAACAATGGTTCAAACAAAATCAGTCATCCAGGATTACTGAGGAAACAAAAAGGCAGAAGGAATCAATGAACCAGGAAAAATGAAAAATACTGAAGACGATGAAGGAAAATAAACGCATTCAATTCATGAGAAAACTGAGAAAATGGGAAAAGATCAAATGGAAACATCGCGAGATCCATTCTCCTCGTTTGTCATACTTGTCCCTCTGAGGGGCGCTGGAGGCAACCGGCGCCGCTTCCTGCCTCCGACCCTTTTTCGCCTCCACAGCCTCACTCCTGCTGTGAGAATGGAAACGGCTCTCTGCAGCGTCATACCGCCACTTGTCCAGCCACACCCGCTCGCTGTCCGGGTGAGCGAAGAAGCAAACTCCTGCCCCCGACTCCTCTTCTGTCTCCGGGACCTCCGCTGGCTCCTCCTCCTCCTGAATCGGGAGCAGAGCGTGGAAGACTTCGGCTTTCCCCTGCATGACCACCCTTTTCTCCTCCACCGGCACCACTTTCTGCTCTTCCTCCTCCTCCTCCTCTTCTTCTACGAGGCTTTGAGGGTGGTCGCTACTTCTGGAAGTGGAGGCGCAGCTGGAGCGTTTGAAGGAATTGTTCCCGTACAGGTTTTGGTAAAAAGCCGCTTCGGCGCGGTCGTAGAGCGGTTTCTCCAGCCAGACGTCCCTCAGCAGCTCCACGGGGATGCGGGGAAGACCGTTGATGGACTGTCGATTGGTTGGCGTTATAGCTGCGTGTTGGACAACAGGGGTTGAAGGAGTCGGGGCTAGAGACTGATATCCTTCATCGGGAGTTCTGGCTGCGATGGAGCGGTTTGGTGGAGGAGGAAGGTTCAGAGAGTTCGGGATAGACGGCTGCATGGACTCTTCGACAAAGCGGCGTTCAGCTTGGTCAAAGGTCATCTTGTTCACCCACACGGCCTGGACGACATGATGGCAGGCTGTCTGTTCCCCGTGTTGACACACCGATGCTGAGGAAGATGGAGCTGGAGCTGATGGAGAGTTTGAGTGTTTTTGTTGAGGCGGAGGTGACCGGTTCGGCTGTTTGGTCCCGTTGGAGGAGCTCGCCAGCCAGCACTGGTAGAGACTCTCCGCTCGCTCGTAGACGCTGCGCTCAAACCAGATGTTAGCGCACTCAGACTGCAGGCCAACCAGTCCAGAGTGAGGGTTTGAAGACTGGCCAGTCCTTCTCTCCGGCTTCTCCTCCTCTTTAGGCTTACTTTCCACCGACTCCTCACGGTTACTATCAGAATTAGATGAACGCTTCTTGCGGCGGTGGCGGCTTTTCCCGCTACGCTTTGCATCTCCGTTCAAACTGCCGCTCTCCGGGGACGAGGACTCTCCGTTTCTTTGACCTGATTCAGCCTTGTTGTTGTTGTTGTTGTTCCTGCATCCCAGAGCGGCGTTTGCTGACCGGTCCACCAGACAATGACTGGGAGGCTGATCGTGCTCCGACTGATCCAAAGCAGAACACGAGGGGATCTTCTTGGACATCATCTTTGATCCGTTGCAGGAAATAAAACAGAGAATAAAAGGCAGAGGCTGTTGGATTAGTAAGAGGGATGCAGGAAGGTTTAGAGACACGCAGGGATTCATCTATCAGACTCAGTACAACAACAAGTTATTTCAAATTCAAGATCTTCTTCTTTTGTTGCAGAAATGCTCATGAAACGAAGACAGACATGTGACTCCAAAGATGTGAGAGGATGGACAAGCATGCATGACATCAGGAGAAATGCATGCATGTAAACTATGATCTTCTGTGCAAGGAACTGACTCATGTGACGGTCTGTTAGGAGACACTTTCATCCACAGGCTGATGCAGAGCAGAGGAGAGAGAACTTCAGATCTGCTCCAACTAAATCTTATCCCTCAAAATTATATACCGTATTTTTCGCACTATAAGGCGCACTTAAAATCCTTTTGGCTTGTCGGAGAACTGCAGCTACCGTAGCCTTGCAGAGTTATTGAATGAGTTAAATCAAGTTTGACTTATCTGTTTTGTTTGACTTAATGCGCTTTATAATCCAGTGCGCCTTATGTATGAGAATAGACGTGAATAGACGCGTTCATTGATGGTGCGCTTTATAATCAGGTGCACCTTATAGTGCAAAAAATACGGTAAACTGAGCGCTCAAATCTTTTAAAAACCTGTAGTAAGGATGGGCGATAAATTATCGTTCATGATATATCAACAGAAAAATCGTCCATTATAAATATTTGCAATCTTGTGTTAAGTGCAATAAATGAAAGTTGATGGCGTAAGCATATTTATCCAATGCAATCAAGGGAAAATGATTAGAGCTCCAAGACATGCAGCGTAGGTCTTATATCGACCAAACATGCTCAGTTTGCAGCTATCATATGATCCTTACTAAAAATAAAATTGATCCTTAAAATAAGGTTCAAAACTGAGGCTCTATCATGGAGACAATGACTGATAAATTGATAAGATACTTTTGATTCAATAGAATAATTATAAAGAGCATTAGTGGGTCTGGACTGCTGACTGTAGAACACACAGGCAGATCAACTATCCTGAGTGAAGCCAACTCTTGTTTAGATTGCTGCGGAGTTGCGTTGTCACTAACTGTGGGCAGTTCAAACACACTCATTATTTTTCTTGAGCAAGAATCTGGAGTTGTTGCAGAACTCTTGCCTTGTTGGCATTTTCTTTTTTTGCCTTGTACATCTTTTGTAAATAGTATTTTGACCATTTTTGCACCCTTTTGTAAATATTTTTGCACTGCGCCTTGGGAAGCCAGCTAAATAAATTTCACCATAACCATATTTTTCGACCACGCCTGTCTTTTCCACTGTTTTTGATTGTTTGAGAGAGAACCCCACATCAATCGCTTTGTAAAAGTACGCTTTTATTTTGAAGTTGACTATTTCTGGTCGATTGTAAGTTACAGAACTGAATAAAAGCCTTTAAAAAAAGAGAAAAAAGGATAAATGTTTACTTTATTAGTAATCTGAAGAGGTATAAGGGCTAACGCTGTTTTTAGATTCATGATCAATCTTGAACATCAGTTTTAAACATGCCGAATCGTCTCGCTGATGGTTGCTAGATCACTAGCTGTCGGCTACTTCTTCTTCTCTTGTAGTTTTATATTCCAGGATTACCAGAATAGAGGAGGAGTTAAAAACAATAACTTTTAACAGCTGTGAGTGTCTGCTTCAAATCTCCTGTAAACTACACCAAACTCAGGGATCTCTGACATCTTGTTGGTAAATTAAATCCCTGTTTTGGTTCGTGTTAAGGTTGTGATATCAATCCTGCAGCTGCAAGAGCCAGATTACTTCTGAGCATGCCTTGGCTTCACCACTGAGTTGATATTTTGGCTACACATGGAAGAGTTGGAGACGATGGAGGCATGTTAATACAGTGAACAGTTTGTACCCACAAACAGTTTCCTTTTTTGTTCGGGGCATTTCTGCAGGATTAACAAACTATTTCTCTTTTTGGATTCGTCACTTCGCTGCGATGCAAATTTGAAAATAATTTCATTTATGCACAAACACAACCTCTGCACAATGAAATGAAAACATGCTGAAAAGAGTGAAAATGTTTCAGATCAAATATTAAAACATCAATCACATGCTGACATTCAGAGAGATCTGTGAAAAACACCGACATGCTCATGCTTGTTCAGTCTGACTCGGCAGGTTTTGCCCTTTAAATCATCACACAAGTCATTTTAACCACATTTTACTTTTCTGTTCAAGTACATGAAGAACATTCACTTTACAAGCCGACATGTGGATGTAAACACCATGGAGCAATGATTTCTGGGAAGGCATTTCCTGCTTATGTTGAAAGGAAAAAAAGTTGGATTCAAACTCTCCACTCACCTTTCTCTGAAAAGGTATCGAGCTTAAACTATTATCAGCGTCAAATGCTCAACACGCTCTTTTCATCCAGTTGACCGCAAGCCATTGAAAAAGGAAATTTAACAATCACCATCTTTTTAAAAACACTGACAGGAGAGGACAAGAGGAGAAACGAAACTCAAACCACATCAGTGTGAGTGTTTTCAAGGAATACTCACTGATCCAACTCTGAATGCAACATGAGGAGAAAGACGCTGCGTGTTAATTACAACCCTCTCGAAAATGAGAGGAAACCTTCAAAAGGATCTGACGTGGTTACCCCTGCGGTCTGGTAGAGGAGTGACTAATGCGGAAAATACTCGCTAAGAGCTGCAACGGAGATCCACGACTGAGCTTTTCCACTGTGAACACGACTTCCTCTTGATCTGTAATCGGAGGAACTGCATGATTGCAGCTGCAGCGTTATCAATCCTTAAACCCCATCAGTGAATTAAATACACAAACCACTGACTTAATCAGGCGGGCTCTAATATGTGGTCTATCTGAAAAACTGATCAATGAATCCACTAAATTACTGCTCGGTCTATGTGCAGATAAAAGATGCAGCAGAACATATCGTCAAATTAAGATGGAAAGTTTAATTATGCAGGGTCTTAAGTCTGATCAGATCTTGGGGAAGATTTTGCTTCTCTGTTAGGGTTCATATTTGACACTCTGCTGACTGTAACCCATGGTTGTTAGGGATGGGAATTGTTAAGATTTTATCGATATCGATGCCATAATCAATTCTGTTTATCGATTCAATTCTTTAACGATTCCCTTATTCCTTGATTTGAAAAAAAAAAGTAGACTTTAGGTTTTCACCGTTAACTCAAAATTTTATTAAGTCTCTGATGACAGTAGTCTACAGATAATCCAACAACAAACTATTTGTACAGCATTTACTTCGGTCAGTACTGAGTCAAATTAGGGTGACCAAATTCTGGATCCCCAAAAAGAGGACATTACTAAGTGGGAGGTGGAGTTGCGTGAAAAATTTCGAGGTTTTTTTGGGTCGGGTCGAGTGTTTCTGACACGCTTCTAACTCAGTCCAAGTCTGGCATGCATTGCGCTTATGTTGACACAGGACATGCGTACCTTCCATGCCGTTGCTGAGACAGAGCAGCGGCGGCTGACGACCAGAAGAAAAGAATCATTAAGGGAATCATTAAGATAAGATGTAAATGATGTCGATGGATTGAACCATTTGGAACCGGTTCTCAACAAGAGTTGGTTCTCGATTCCCATCCCTAATGGTTGTGGATTTCTTGCCCAAATTTGGTCTTTGTCTCTCACTTGAACAGAAATTTTAGAGATCACTTTAGATGCAAAAAAGTAAATCTGAGGATACAAATCCCTGAGTGACAGTTTCGGTAAGACCAGCTCTTAATACTTTGACCTCTTGGTGTTGTGGCATTTCAGTAAATGATCAAACAGAAGAAAGCAGGGCGCTATTTAAAGCAGCTTATTAGTACCAATTTGGTGCTCTAGGAGGTATTTCTGGCAGCGGGACTGTGTGAGTAGGGAAAGACTAAAAATAACCTCCTGTGCCCATGTTTACAGTAACAGAGGAACAACCCAGTTCAACAGCACGGTCCAGTGGTGTGTTATTAAAGCTGTGTACTCTGCTCCAGTTCAGAGGCAAGTCTGCAAGCCTGTACAGACCTTAAGAGAGACCTTCAGACTTCAGCAGATACTTAAATGTTTCTTTATTGTATTAAAGTTGAACATAACTCTGGTTTTTATGACTCAAGCAACTTCTCAAAGGTTCTGATGTTTTATGGTTTGGCATTTACAGCAAACACAAAGCTTTCCTTGTTGCATCAGTCTGCACTCGTCTGCAGGAAGTCCAGCAGAGGGCATTTAAGGACGGGGGTTAACTCAGGGTGTGGACAGCACTGAGGATTAGCAGACTTCAGAGGTACACACTCGCATATTTCAGGATTCTGCAAGAGTGCTGGAGTCCACAAATTTATGTTCAGCCTCTGAGGGACTGAGGAAAAACATATTTCTATGTTTGGAGCATGAGTGATAGGATTCATTTTGGAGTTTAACTTGATTTGTACACCAATTTGACCAGACATCCATAAACTACACACACAACAATTACTCTTAGCTTCACAGACAGCACACTAGGTTTTATCTCTCCTTCAAGAGCTGATGCTACAGGTGATGCAATCCCTGTTTTAACAGCACTGAAATGCTCCTATCATGGAGCAGACCACTGACCAGGGAATGAAGATGATGTAAGGTTATCTATAGAGGCTGTGAAATGATGTTTCAGATGGCTCCACTGTACAAAGACAGGCCTTTTGAGTACATTGATTAGTCTGTTTTCATCAAATATGATCACTTATAATGCAGTGTGCAGCTCTGTATCAGATTAGGGCTCAGTATCTGCAGAAATATATAGATCTAGATTGGATCAGCATAAAAGCTGATTGGGACATCCCTAATAGCTTTTACTGTCTTGAATTGTGCAACAACTATTAGTTTGCTGTCACAGATGGCTGCAGAAAATGTATCAAATTTAAGCATTTTACTTTTGTATAAGCAGTTGCAGATTAAATCAGATGGTTATTAATGTACCAGTTTTTCCATTGTGCCCTGCTTTGCAGACGTCACCTCGTATGACCTTTACAAGGCATCACCTATCTTTGTGCCCGTTTTATACTACCCTTAAATACCATCGACAAGTACCTTCAAACTTCATGTTTTATCTTTTAGATATATGCAGATCAAGTTAAAAGGCTGCACAATAATTAAAAAACAGGGTCAAGAGGAAATTAAACACTTAAGGAACATGGGGCACAGTCACTAAGGGAGAGATTTTACATAAAACTAATAGATATGACTCCAATTTACTTACAGTCTAGACAAAATACTACAACTAAAGCATTTAACAATATTAGACCATCTTAAATCGAAACCTGAATGGATCAGTCTGGGCTCATTGAGAAAACAGATTGGGCTTTAAATGGCTTTACACTTGAACCAACACTTTCACCCCTGAGTCTTACATGTTTATATATACATGTATCTCGAAAATCCAGTTGTGCAAGATGTTACACAATGAGAAAAAAGGCAAGTTGAAAGCCTCAGTACAGCTGTCATCCCCAAAGGTGTGCCATGCTAACCTCAAAGCAGTCTTTCCTCTTAGAAGACGCGGGAATGAAATGATGAATTTTATCCCCGCAAATTTAAAAGAGACCCCCAAACATTTTGTGTGGTTATTTTGAAAATGTGACACAACAGCGTTTAGTCTTCATTTTGACTTTACATTTCAATTTTGGGTAAAAGCGAAACCACCGAAGCCGGTTTCTAGTCTGGTGTTCTGTCGAATAGTACTACCAATCTAAAATCTTCTAAAGTGGGTCTACGCACGTCTGCGCATGCTCAGAACTGCAACCGTTGGCCCCTGTACCGCGTCCACAAATCAATGCAAACCAGATTGGGACATAATTTAAAACCCTTAAATTGAGATTTTTGACCTTCATAAACGCAGATAAAAGCATGTAGACACTTAAATCACCCTCGAATTGACAAATTCATCGTTAACGACGGAGAAGTTCATCAAATTACAAAAACGTGACCCAACATAGACAAGTGAATTACCCACTAAAAGGCTTAAATTTTGAATTAAGAGTGACATTATATAACATAACACACCAAAGTATGTATTTTATGTTTCTTGAACCATTCGAAATAGTTTGTTGTGGGCGTAATTTGATAAAGGATTTTCCCACCGAGACGTTTTACCTTGAATGATGAAGATTTTTATCAAAGCATAAATTTATTATCAGATAAATTACCAAAGCATGTGTTCGTTTATTCTTGCAAGACACTTAGACCCGGCTGTAACCAAAAGACATACCTTAAATATCAATAAAAAAGCCAGAATTTGTATCCGCAGTACTGGAAATGGTAACCCATGAAGGGGCTTATTTCAATATAGCAGCAGAATTCACCGGAACACCGGGGTGACAGAAGCGTTAGCATTAGCACTAGCAAGCTGCCCCATTCACAGCTAGTCGCATGCTAGCCTCGGCTAACACAGGCTGTACAACACTGAATATTCATTTATTTCACAAATACTTGGTTTAAATAAACCCCAGCAGTTATCCCCACAATGAAACCCAAGCTGTCAGTCAATGTTAACGGTACTTACTGCTGTTTTAGTGGTCTTGTCGGTGTGAAAGCAGGCCGGTGGATGAAACGTGCTTCTCCAGCCGTGAGTGACAACGGGAAGGAGGAAGAGGAGGAGGAGGCGGAGGAAGGAGCAGAGGTGGCTGTGAGATCCTCAGAGGGGTTGGGGGATGGGAGAGGGGGACTTATGAATCATTAATGCTGCCTCATGTTAAAGCTCATGTATTGTTGACTTTACTTTAAAGGCTGTGACCTCTCAGGGTCATGTTTTACAGTTTATCTTCAACCTTTGTCCTCAGACACCTGCTGAGCTGCTGGAAAACTATCCTCACCTTGGACACCTGTGAAGAAAGAGAAAGGTTTATTAGATCTTAATGATGTACTGAAAGAAACAAATCTTGAGTTCTGATCTAATTGGAAATGCCCCAAAATTCAAATTTTAGCAAAGTGGGTCCATTTTCATGTTCAACTACCATCAGGTAACAGGCAGCATGGTAATGGAAGATGGTACTAGAAAGAGCTACACATCCGCATAAAAACTGCACATTGCCTAACACAATAAGTTTCATTCAGGGGGAAGATTATTGCTTTTCCTCCACCCAATCTACAATCTAAAATCTCCAAAAGTGGGTCTAAGCACGTCTGCACATGCTCAAAGCTGCAACCGTTGGCACTTGGAGGCTACCACATCCACAAATCAATGTAACCCGACTGGGACATGTTTTGAAAACCCTTAATTTGAGATTTTCAAATGTGTAGATAAAAGCATGTTAATACTTACATTAACAGTACTAGAGACAGCAACACATCTGCGTAAAAACTGCACATTGCCTAACACAATAAGTTTCATTCAGAGGGAAGATTATCGCCCCACCCCCTAGAATATCGTAAATTTTATTTCATTTTTAAAAACTGCAAGCAAACTCCTGCACAATGTCTGTAAAAAAAATTCATTGGCAACTGTTTTTGCACCAAAATAAGAACTTTCTGGGCCACTTCCTCTCCAATGTATGGAGTAATTTTCTAAAATTATAAGTAATAAGATTTTTAAAACTAGATACAATGAAAGAAAGCAACTTGCGAAAGCCAGTTGCAAAACGATTTTCACTTCTGACAAAGAAAAAAAGACAATCACATTTGAGTATTTTGTAAGGGGACATGGGTGGCCAGTCAAATTTCATCATTTCTGGGCAAGCCACCCCTTAGCAATACTCCTTGGACACACCCCTGGGTGCCCCATGCTAGACCTCTTTTACTGTTAACACTCAGTTATGTGGTAGAACCCGTTTTTTTGTTGGTCATTTTGATAATACCAGAACATTTACTGTAAATATGACAGCAATTCTATTGAACACATATGACACAATAAAGACTTTTGGCCCCATCATCCTTTTCATGTCGTGTTTGCACAAGGTTTGTCAGAGTATGGTGAGGGTTATCTTTGCTGCTCAAACTGCATAAAAAAAAACAAAAAATATGAATTTTTAAACACAGTTTAAACATTTCTAAAACTATCATGCGTCTCATTTAAGGTGAATTTTAAGAACCCAGAGTAAATATATGTCCCTAATTTAATTCTAGATTCATTAATCTCATGTTTGGGATTATATTTTTAAACGGGGTATGATATAACATTTGTCACCTGCTCAATTGCTTGAGTCTGATTGAACAGTTATTAGTTACTTTTCTGCAAAATATATAAAAGTCAGTAAAAGATGCAGCTTTCAGGGAGCTCGAGCTTATCTACCTGATCGAAATGAGGAGTTAAGAACTGACAGTTAAATTTACTTAATTCCTATCTAATTTAAAAATTACAGCCTCATCCCAACATAAAGACAAGAAACAGTCAAATGGAGTCAAGTCAAATGACACTTTATGTAAACTCTTCCTACATGTTTGGCATGGTAGACTCAGTCAATGACTCAATATAGATGTAAAATACACCTGTTATAGCAGCTGCACAACCACGACCTTTCAGTAATTATCTCCAATTAAAGTTTGACGTTTAATCCAGACGAATATTAAACACTATGTAATTACACATCTTTAAATTTACCTTTCATTCTTCTCTTCACATTACATGCAACAATAATCCAATCTTATCTGATAAGGCATTGAACCGGATTTGTCTGACTGATAATTCAGGGTGTGGTTTGTTGAATGTTTTCGTACTCTACTATAAATACAGATATAGAGTAGTGTGTATGTTGTATATCTACAACTACAGGTGTAACCGTATTCAGGTGACAGCTTATTTTCCTCTGTGTAACAGCAGCCATGTACTCTGATAAATTACAGGGTTATCATCCAATAAGCTACTGGTCGGTGTCAATATCAGGACTTAACCATCATTTCTGTTTGTCCACAACAAATCCCAGAGAGCAAATACGTGAAAAAGACGTGTCAGCTACTCTGGTTGGATTTACAAAAAAGTGATCAGTCCTGTTTCTTCTTTCTGGTCCAGGGTGACAGACTGAGTCCAAAATCCACTCTAGAGGACGCCAGAGAGGCAAATGTCATTTTTTGGTCCCTGACTTCTTGCCAAACTCCCTGGCTCTTTCAGTGGCGGACTCTACAGCGCTCATGGTCGTCGCTCTCAGGCCGCCTTTTTCCAGAGTGTGAAGTCCATAGATGGTTGTTCCTCCCGGAGTGCAGACCTCAGAGCGGAGCTGAGCCGGATGCTTCCCAGAATCACGCAATAACCTCCCTGCACCCTGAAAAAAGACGGACGAGTCCCAAAGTCATCATAGAGGGTTTGTCATGTGACGTCCTGACATTCAGGTCAAACTGGGGACGAATCTGACTTGATATGACTGAAACTTTTATCACACAAAAAGTTCACAAACAGGGTTAAAACTCTCACAAAGCTTTTCACTGAAGTTCTTCAAAACAAAAATGGTATCAGTGCATGAGGACAAACTCACCAGGACAGTCTGAGAAGCGATGCTGTGAGCCAGAGCGCTCGGCATTCCCATTTTGACAGCTCCCTCCGCCAGCGCTTCAGCAAACAGATAAACCTGAAGAGAGGGATCACAAGGTCCACGGTCACAAAGTCTCTGCTGTTTAAAAGTAATCTGATCAGATTAGGACTGGAGGGTCGGAGCAAATCTTGAGAATGGCTTGTTCAAACAAAAAGGGATTCAGAAATCTGATTAGATCAGGTAATCCAGTTTTGTTCTCATCTTGATTAAAGCCGCAGTGTGTGTCATTTCAAACTGAGTAGAAGAGGGATGCCTTTAATGAAAAAAAAACCCAGCAGGATAGTGGATTAAAGATAAATTTAGGGAAGTTTGGGGGAGGGGAGCACAGTTTAGAGCAACCATCTTACTACCTTTGGTTTGAGAGTGACTTTACATGTGCACACTCGGTGCAGACGGCAGCGTTTGTGCAGAGAGGGAAACCACCCAGGTCTTTAAATTAAGCCTAATGAATAGATTGGCTTTCATTAACTGTGTTAAACCCGTCCACAGACGTCAGATTTACTTACTGCCTTTTGTCTGATCATTTGAGTGAATGATGTGTGAAATAAAAAATACAACAAAACAAAATAAAAACTTTGAGAATGCCTCAAAAGTAAAGTTTAAATGAATCTTTTTAGTAATATTCTTAATTAAATCTTTGACTTCTATCATGTTAATGAGATTAATAATAGAACTTTAGGTTAATCTCGATCAAACACAGAAAGAAGCGTCCACTGTGCTCATAGATAGAGCCCAACTGTCCAACAAGGATTCAGTTTAGTCCCATTACAGCTCACAGCACAAAAAACTCAAACACTCCTGGGACACTCACAAAGGCCACTCCGCTCCCACTCAGTCCAGTATGGATGTCGATCCAGGCCTCAGGTCCCTCCTCCACCAAACCACAGCGGTGTAGCAAAGACCGAATCAGAGCCCCATCTTCAAGTTTTGCATGTGACCCGCGTGCAAACAGGATAGCTCCCTCCTGAACCACACAAGGGAGGTTCGGCATCATTCTGATGGCGACCGTATTATCCGGCAGGATCTGGGAAATAGAAGCGGCTCAATGTCACTCATCTTCAGATCTCCACAGAGACGCTGTGAGTTTAAAGTCTCTGTTAACGTGTGCTGAAGTGAACTCACCTCCTCTAGGGTTGACAGAGTCACTCCTGCTGCGACGGACACGATGATGTGTCGGTCTGTGATGTACTGCGAGACTTCACTTAGAACCAGAGGAACCAGGTGTGGTTTGACCGCTACAAAAACCACATCGGACCCACAGACCACCTCGACGTTTGAGTGAGTGACGGGAATGCCGAGCTCCTGAAAGACAACAGAAGTCTGTTTGCTGACCAATCCGCTTACCTGCATTTAGAAACACTCACACTTAATCATGTCACCGTTTTTTTTTTTCAAACAGAATGAAAAAAATAATCAAGTCTGAAAAATAAAAACTGATTAGAGAGCGTTTAAGTCATCATTTCCAGCCATATCATACACTTAAAAATCTTCTGGTTCAAGCTGAATCATGAAGATTTGCTGCCTTTTCCTAATTTTCTACTGTAATCCATTACGATCGAACCAAAGTACCTAAACAAAGACTTTAAAACTTCACGTTGACATCAAAAAAATTTAAACAGATTGTGAAGATGGTTAAATTTGTATCTTTTTGGACCACCGACCGAATAACACAAACACTTGGCTTGACACGAAACTGCAAAGCTTTCTTTCCTTTCGTCTGTTTCTAAACGATTTATCTATTTATTGAGTTTATTTAAACTTGAATGTAATGCACCTCCTTGTATCATTTATCGTAGTTGATATTTCCACTCTTTAATTATCTTCTAGTATAAATATCTTCATGTATACAACCTTCTTGATAGTTCTAAGTGCACAGAAATCTGCCTGCAGGACTTTGCCGCTCTCAGACAGAAAAGATGAGACTGCAGAGAAACCATCCACTCAAAGGAACCTGATCTTACAAACAGTAACTGTGATCTGCTCAGTGTCCTGTAATCCAGCTGGTTTTACTGAGAAGTGTGAAGACGTACCTGGAAGCGCCCGAGGTTTCTTGAGGAGGGTGCACTGACCCTGACATTAGCGGGAAGAACATTTCCTGTAATTGTAAAACAGAAAAGAGGAAAATATTAACTCCTTCATTAAAAAAAAACAAAAAAAACTCTCCTCTCTCTCTACAGCTTTCTCCTGACTCACCGGACAAGACGCCCTTTGCGATGCCGTAGGCCATGTTCCCGGCACCAATGAACCCGATCTTCAGCTGCGTGTCCATCTCCGGGTCCATTTTGATCTGAGGAGAGCAGATTTGTGGGTTAAACATCAACAGTATTGTTAAACAATTACCGTAAGAGCAGGAGTGAGACTCACAGGCATCACGTTACCACACAAACACCACAACCATGTTATATACCGAAAAACCAGCTGTCATGACCAGGACTTGATTCGATGCTTTTCTTTATCAAATGTTGAAGTCTCATGGATATTTTTGGGGGTGGGGGAATTCAAGATAACTAGAATATTGATTTAGATGCAGAAATTCTTATTTTTTTACCAAATAAATAAAAAATTCAATCAGTTTTGCTGAATTTTTCTGACTAAGATGTCAATCTGAGAGCGAGTGCACAATCTGAGCTCTTCTACAGCAGAGCAGCAGCATGCAGATAGTGTGTGCAACTGTTTAAATTTTAAAATCTTGAACTCAGGACGAAGATCTCCAGATTCGTCACATTAACAAACATCTGAAGCATAAGAGAGAATAATAATTAGCTTCTTCTTCTTCTTCAGAACAAAAGACTGAGCCTCAAAGTTTCATTTTCTTTCTACTTGAACCACTGCAGCCGGCATAAATACTTCTCTTTATCAAGTACTGTTTATTTAAGACTTATGAGCTCCATCACATCTATTAAATACTCGGCTTTGGGACCCTTTCATGTCATGTGATCAATTAGGCCAGTGCATAAATACCAGAGCATATAGCGTTTTGATTATCAACTGTGTAGACATGCACAGCAGAAAACGGATTACTATGAGAAAGCAGGTTAATGCAGGAAATCAGATACCATATAAAATCCGAGTCGACAGTTGGTCTGTAATCAGATTTCTCCCCCTCCTCCTCCTCCTCCTCCCCTCTCTTACATAGTTGTTGCCACAGCTTAGCTCCTCCGTCCTGGGTCTCTTTTTTTTCCCCAAGCATCTGCGGGCTTAATCCTCAAAGAGTTTACAGGGCCAAAAAGCATGTTTCTGCAGCGCAGCTGCTTAATCAGATTTATCCACAGAGCCTGCAACCTGATTAGGTTTCAGCAGGGAGGTTTGTGCTAAAGCCGAGGGTGACCAGATTTCTCATTCGCATGCATTTACAAAAACAAGAGGAAATCATTATTAAACTAGTGTTTCTCTAATGTACAACATGATGTAGTGAATATGGTGGGATCGCAAGTCTTGATTGACCTTGGTAAAGCTACCTTTGACATAAAAACTTTAGATTGGCCTTTTCTTGACATTGAATTAACTTTAAAGACCAAAAACAATCAGCAAACAAATTAGAGAGTAGTCCGGACTCAGAGGCTAGTTGATAATGAATCCCACCCTCATGACTTTAATAATGTTGTATTATTGAAGGTAAACAGAAATCGCTCAAGCATCCCCAACATTTGAAAGACAAATTTTGTACTTTTGACTCCACGTTTCCTCGAATGTTCTCGTTACTCGCCACTTTTGCGCTGAAATCATTTACTAAACCCCGATCCAGTAAAAGACAGTAAACTGTGCTTGTGTAGCTCTGGACAGGGTTTGTTTCACTGTTTTGTGAGCCTGAGCTCGATATCAAAAACTTCATCATCGTCATGAAAAAGTGAATATCTAACCTGGGAAGCCTGTAAAAGTTTGTCACATAACATTTGTCTTATTCCAGCTTAATACTCGTCATGAGAATGTCTGCGCTTGCAGCATTATAGCTTGTGGTTTAACTCTGTGGTTCGTTGTTTCTTTTATTTTAAAACTGCAGATCTGGAAATCAGTCACATCTGAGTTTTAAAAAAAGGAAACAGTGTTCTTAAATTGCCATATTTGACACATACTTTTATATAATTCTATCAAATCAATATGATCAAGAAATTACTAAAAAACACCTGAATACAGTCCAATAAATGATAAAAATGTCCTCTTGTAGTTTCAGTTTCCAAAAACATCTAATGTATCAAACCAGATAATTAAATATATTTGTTAAATTTTAAGGACACTTTGAATTTTTTGTTTTTCAGTAATAAGTGAAATAAACATTTCAGCTCCAAAAAAATTTGAATTTTCTGGCCATATTTGTGGTTTCAGGCAATAAAGGGTTACGGTCTGTGTATTATCCGTCCATTCAATTATTCCATTCAATCTAGTAAACAAAAACCCCAAAAAACTTTGAGTCAAGATTGGGAAAATTGTTCTCTTACTCGAGTTATTTTCGACCAGGTTTCTATTTTCTATCTTAATTCAAGTAAAGAAATACTGTAGTGCAGCTTTTTCACAAATTATACGATTATGTTGCAAGTCAACGATTATCGCAGAATCGCTGTATCGTGATATTTTCGATGTCTGAGGTCGGTTATCCCTTAACCCCTGATAATGAATGCATGCATCTAGACAACAAATGAAAGAAATCCACAGACTACATCGCAGCCACGGTGTCACCCCTACAATTAAATCCAGGTTGAGGTTCTGCGGGGCAGAGTCCGGGCAGGGCTGCTGCCAGTGCAGGATCGGAGGATCTCCATCTCCCTCTGAGTCTTCTGTGGCTTCATCGGTCCGATCGGCGTGGACTCCTGTTCCGATCAGAGGGTGTCTGGACTCCATGATGGCGATCATAGTCTTTTCATACCTCCACCAGCCCTGGATTTTGGCCGGAGCGTTGGAGTTCGGTTCCCGTTTGCCCTTGTAGTACGCGCTTTTGAGAAGTTTCCATCGGAACTTGAGCTGGTCCACGGACCGGTGGTACCCGGCCGCTGTCATCCTCCTGTGGGCCACTTTGAAGATGGTCGTGTTCCTTACTTTCCTGCCGTCCAAACACTTCTCCATGTCCAGCTCTTTAAGGATTCCTAGAAATAACTCGGTCTCCTTCACGTCCCAGTTCTGCTTCTTCAACCCGAGCTCCTCCATTGTTGTGGAACCGGATCCTCGCGAACCCGACGGTATTTGAGGGTTACACAGCCAGGCTGCTAATTTAGAGCTAACATGTTTGCAGTAGCTGAAAACTGACAAATGTAGCTGCTTTTCAGCGAGAATTACAGCCCCGCTGCTGCACCAATCTGGAGACAGCGAGAAAATAATCCACCGCAGATTAGATTAGGAATACAATGCACGTGCGTGTGGTTGATTGGACAACCATAAAATAACGCGGAGTGACATAAACACGATGCCGGGGCGATGCTGTGTGTAACACCGGCAAATACTGACGGCGAGATTATTATTCACCTGGTGGTTCTCCAGATTTGCTGCCGTCCAAAAACTCAAGACTGGTGTTTATGTCAGTCTGTTAGGTTGGGAACATCCGGAGAATTCACACAAACTAAACAACCAACCAACCTACCGACCAACTGACCAACCAACCGAGGTCCAGAGAACTAGGGGTGGGTTAGTTTTCTGTTTTACTACCAGGTCAGCCGGGCGGTGTCTTCAATGATAGTATGGTGGTCATCATGGTTCACTTCACAAAAATAAATGAATAAAAAATCTGAACGTCAAAAACAATTCCCTGAGGTGTTTTTCAGTGACACAAAATCGGTTTATTTTAATATTAGTAGTTAAATTAATGTTGATAAAAGAAATAAATTCAGAAATGTAAAAATATTTTATGAAAATGTGTTTTTTTTCTCCACGGATTATCATTGTATTGTGAAATGTTTATTTTATGTATTTATTCTTTGTAGCATTTATTGAACAAAGAAAAATGAGAAGTAAAAAAGAAAAGAATACAGCCTTCAGATTCAGGTATTCTTGTTTCTTTTATTCCCTTTTCTGTGTAAAGCACTTTGTGCTACATGGTTTTGTATGAAAAGTGCTATAAAAATAAGGACTGATCAGAAGGGGTTTTATTGCCATTGTCGATGAACAGGATTCACAGATTAGGATTTTTTTACGGTTATTAAACAGAGAATAATATATAAAACACTAGAATAAAAACTTATTAGTGCATGCAGGAAATTTATGAAGTATAAAAGGCTATGATGATAAAGCAGCTGAAGAAATCCCAGCAGGCTTGCACAGTGGCCCTCTTAAGTGAAAACTGAACATTCAAATGAACATCAAATAGTATTAATTATTACAATACAATTTAAAAATTGTTAAAACAAAATACAAAGAAGAATATCCAGACAAAAACACACTAAACAGAAGTTAGATAGACTATAATGTCATAGAACAATTAAAAGTTTGTTATGCTTAATTGGCCCAACAAAACTCTCTTGCAAATGTGTTTGCAAACCATTAATTGTTTTTGCCAGTTTGTAAAATATTTTTTGAAATTCTTTGACAGTTAAACACCCAAATGATAGTTCCCGCACGGTGCCAGCAGAGATTTAAATGCAACATACCTCTGTCACGTCACCGCTGAAAAAGCGAGTGTTCTGATTGGTTGCGTCCTCTAGTTTTGGGGCGGAGCCTCGGTGGACCAAATTTAGCTTTCATTCAAACCAGCTGTGAGCTGAGGAACCTCACTGCAGAAACAAACAGCAGGTATGTTCATCTAAAAGGTTAATGCATGTAAATCTTCACATACGTTCATTTTATCACTTTGAACTTTATTATGATTAAGTCTGTTTAGAGAGTTAAAGGTTATTTTTTTCATCTTACTGTATTACTGATGAAATCACGCTTGAATTTCGTAGATCTGATGTAAATGTGTCCGAAACATGTTAAAATTTCTACTAAATATCTTAAATATATTTCTGTTCGTGTTCGATAAGTATAAAGTAAATCTGTCGTTTTAACAGCGTCAATGATGCTGCAGAAGAAACGCTTATGCAGCAGAACAGACATGCCTGGACAAGTCTCTGTGTACTCCTCCAGTCAAACATGAGACTGAAACTGCGCAGAGTTTATATTATTTCATGCATAAAATTGTGCAAATTCTGTTTGCGATTGCGAGACATCTCAAGTGTAATTATCAATCAAATATGAGTTGCATTCACGGTTTCAGTCAATCAATCATTCAAACATATTGTGGAGGTTATTGTCGTCCTCTAGCGGTATCATTCACATCTAACAGGTGAGTTGAATATTGTGTAGATTATTTTTTAAGTACATTTGTTTAAATCTTAAAGTTAGAAAACGATCACCAAACATAAACATTAGTGCCATTTAATACTGAGTGAACTAGGGTTATTTCCATTGGTATCATTATCATTATTATTATGACTTGAGTCAATGAAGCCTCCAGACACTTATGGTCAAACATTACTTAAATATCAGTGAAAGTTGCTGACTTGCCACTTAAAATACTCTGTTTAAAATCTAAAAACATGGTTGTATTTTCACAATGCATGAGTGCCATCAGGAATAGTTTGTATATTTATCTATATAGTTTATTAAGAAAACATAATTTATGTCTTAAAAAGCCCATAAGCAACAGACTTCCAGATGTGCAGCTTTAAATGTAGAGTAATAGTAATAGGAACATTTATTTTGTTACTGTTTATCACAGGTTAATTTTCTGGAGAGTGTAAAAAGAAATGCAGACCAAACTATTAATGCAGCCATTAGGGCTGGGCGATAAGGGAAAAAGTTTATCATGATGTACTTATTTTATGTCAGTCGATATCCATATCACGATATTTTAAAAAAATCACTTCTTGTCGATCTTAAATGTTCTGTTTCTCTACATTTAACATGTAATCAACATAATTTGCAGTGAACATTACTCTGCTTCATGTCCGACCTCAAAAAAAACAGAATACCTCCACACCACCGACGTTTTCTTGCCAGTTTTGTCCACAATATCGTCATCTGTTGAGCCTTCATCGTCATTTCTGTCGTGGGTAGCACCCATTTTCTTTTTCCCTCACCATCAGTGCTATCAGCTCCACGTGTTTAAGTGCTATGGTTGTGTGTAGCTGCAGCCTGCTACTACACAAGTGTTTGCTACTTGGTTCTAATTCAGCAGGATTGGTTCAGTGCGAAGTGAACCCGGAGAAACTCCCTTTTTCATCGGCTATTTGTATTGTCTACCGAAACATGGCAGAATGCCGGCTATCAAAGCTTATTGACCAGCTTTCATAAGGATATTGAGAGAAAATTAATTTTTGAAATATATCATTCTAGTTTTATCGCCCAGCCCTACCATCAATCATCAATATTTCACCAAAAAAGGTGATGTATTGATGAGAATTGATAGTCTTTGTCTTTTTTTGCAGACATGGGTCATCTCCTGATCCGTCACCTGTGTCTCCTGCTGATCGGCCTGTTGCTCTGTCAGTGTCCTGCAGTCTGCGGCCTGTTTGAGTGGTTGAAACGCTCAGACGCTCCTCCAGCAGCTCCTCCTCCACCTCCTCCAGTATCACCGGCGCTCCTCGCAAAAGACGCTCAGTTTGAGATGGCCACCGCTGATGAGAAGTTTCTGTCTGAGTCGAAGCACATGGAGATCAGCCCGTTAGAGAGCTGCCATTATCGGGTAAAACTGAGCGTGTCCACCCCTAGAATGTCACGGTGTCTTCAAGTGTTTGTATTTTTGGTTAAAACTCTGTTTATTTGTAGGTGGTCGCCCGGCTGAAGGCGAGCTGCGACGGTCTCTCAGAGGAGCAGCTCGCGAAGCTCGGAGTCGTTCTGTTTAACTGCCAAGCTGAGAGCGAGGGGCGGCGAACCTACCCGTGTACGGAGGAAATGGTAAAAATACTCAGATATGATGAGAAGACAAGTCTGTTTTATGTCTACATGAAGATGTTTAAACGTCATGTTGATGTTTTAGACCATTAAAGAGTGCACAGCAGACATGGATTCAGACACGTGGAACGCCTACCATATAGTGAGCAACAGAGCGCGCTCAGTCTGCTACGCCACTCGCCAGCAGCTCTTCAGACGCAGAGCGGAGCACACCGTCAACGCTCTCATCTCCACAGCCACCAGCCAGCTCGACGCCATGAAGGACCTGAAGGTAGAGTTCACTTTCATCGCAGTATCAGACAAAGAGTTGAGGGTTTCGTTGATGACCTTTGATGACCCGGTGTGTCTTCACAGGAGGGCCAGAAGGAGCTGAAGGATCTGACTACAGCCTCACTGCACAAGCTGCAGGAGGGTCACAGCGCCCTGCAGGAGCAGCAGGGGAAGCTGTACGAGGGTCAGGAGCAGATGGAGGGCTCGCTGAAGGACAACCTGGAGCGTCTGAGCCAGGAGAAAGCCCTCATCGCGTCCGGACAGGAACTGGTGGCTCAGCTGATCCAGGGTATCACCAAGAAAATGGGTGAGAGCTCCACGACTTAAAACTGGAGAAGATTCACAGCAAAAATAAAAATTTAAAATAATAAAATCCTCCCTCCTTTTTATAGAGAACGTGAGCGAGCATCTGCAGATCCAGGGCTCGGAGGTGCAGGACAGCCACAGCGCCATCGTGAAGGACCTCGCCGATGTCAGACACCAGGCTCAGGACATCTACCAGAAGATCGGTAAGGAGATGCAGCGGCAGGACTAGACCGCACTGACTCCAAACTTGTTGTCCAAACTTGCTGTTCACTCTGTGTGTCTCAGATCACAGCATGCTGGAGTTCCTGCAGTACCAGGACCAGACCTCTCAGTACTACACAGACCTGATGAACAAACTGGAGCGCATGAACAGCACTCTGGGGTTCCTGCTGCACTACCTGGACAACATGCAGAGCCGCATCGAGGAAAGACTTCGCATGATCCAGGGCTACCTGGGCTGGGCAGGTGAGACTCAGGAGACCTCAGAGAAGCTCATGAACAGATATGCCAGTATTTTAGGAAAATCCAGAAAAACCATTAACTGTAAGAAGATCCTGAGGTCTGATCAACATACTTGTGTTTTAAGTCTTCAAACAGCGCAGATGACGGCTCCTTCTTGTCTTTCTTTCTCTGATTTCAGGTTTGAGTCTGACCGCCATGTGGACGTGTGTTGCCCATACGGGATACTTCGTGGTGTGTGCGGTTCTCCTCACCTTCCTGCGTTGTCCGGGTTTCTCTCGAGCCATGCTGCTGCTCACCGTCCCTCTGAATGCAGTGGCAGAGGTCAACCAGCAGCCGGCGCTGGATCTCACAGGCCTCGGCCTGCTGCTGCTCGCACTCACTCTGGGTACAAACGCCCCCCTCTCCGTCCACAAAGCAACTTAAACACCTCCAGTTCTTCTTTATGATGTTAGTTATTTTCCTCTGAATCCTCGTAGGTCACTGGTTTCTGAACCAGCTGCTGGCCGTCTTCCAGTTCAGAGGGAAGCCGTCCGCTCCTCTGCCCCTCGCTCCATGTGACATTGTGAAACCTCAGAAGCAGACAGCGTCATCCTCATATCCACCTTCCTCGACCCCACAGAAGTGAGTCGTTTTATTTCAGAATGAACTCCAGTATTGAAATGGGAATTAAATGAAGCTCTGCCGGCCTGATGGTCTGTGTTTGCCCTCATATACTGAGGTTAGACCTCAAACAGTTGGCATAGATTTGCTTGTGACCCATGACTCCTTCACTTAATTTTACCCTCTGCTCGTTTCCTACTCTGTCCACTGTCCTGTCCGCTCAAAAAATAAAAGGAAAAATCCCCCAATGAATCTTTTAAATGTGAATTGTAATATCTGAATAACTTAATTATCAAATGTTTTAAAACTATGAAAAAGGTGAGCCTAGTTTACGAAGTAAAATCTGAAAACTTCCTCCAGTTATGAAGCCAACCGACTCTGAATTCACTTACAATTGTTTTTATTGTTTCTTTATTTGACTTAAGAATATCTAACACTGGTTGGTGTTTCTTCAACCTCAAGTAGACAACCTTTTCTATATCCAAAACTTAAAGAACTTAGGTTTCCATCACACAAAAAGAAAGCAAACAGAAAATCTTTATATTTAAGGACTAAAACCAATAAAATCATAATCAAAGTATGTTAAAGAAGCGAACAGGATGAGCAAAAAAAGGTATTTTTCTCTTAGAAATTACTAAAACTGATCACTATCGGCATATTTTCATATTTCAGATGTCAGCTCTACAACAGAAACCTCTTCATGCCTTTTTATTTCTGAACTATAAAACTTTAACCTTCTAAATGTATTTTGATGCAGTCTTGACTAAAACATCTAAATGCTGCAGTTGCTTTTATTTATCCAACCAAATATTAAAGACTATAACATTTAATCAAGTCTGTAGAGCGTGTTCACCGCTGACAGATTTAAAGTCTTCTTGTTTTTGTCCTCCAGAGATGAGAAAGACGGCTTCAGGGAGCAGGACCTCCTGTTGAACCAGGACAGCTTCATATCAGGTTTGATGTTCATAATGCATCGTCTTTACATTGGTACCTTTTTTTTGAAGATGCATACATAAAAACATAATTGATTTTGAGGTCATAATGCCAATCACTAATATTTGTGATTATATATTGTCTCTATCAAGCCTGCTGATACCTCACAGGATAACGTTTCTCACATTTGCTCTCACTGATTTCTTCAAACTCAGGAGACCTCGGTATTTCCGCAGTATCTCCTCCTTTCAGGAAGCCGATGCCAGAGTCCAGATTTGTGCCGATCACTGGCACACCAAACCACTCCACTCCCAGACTGGTACCCCAGCCTCTTTCAGCAGTGAGCAGACCATCTGGACGGCATGTGAAAGAAAACTAATGGCGTTCGGTTTGAATGAATTCTCAATTTTGTGGTTTTGTTTCCAGGCTCTGGTCGATGAAATCCCTCTGAGGAACCTGGGAGGAGTTTTTGACGCGGTGAACGACTCGCGTGACTTTGGGAACGACTCCAGAAGTGCTAGTCCTGCACCGTCAATCATCAGCAACAGGTCTGGGTTTGAAACTTTAGCAGAGTGCTTAAAACTCAAGTGATAGTTCTCCTTTTAATTTTAGTTTTGTTTTTCTCGCAGCTCTCTGTCAGGTCGTCAGCTGTGCAACGGCATCACAAAAACCGGGAAGGCCTGTAAGAAGAGAGCCGTGCCCGGACTGGAGTTCTGCAGAGTCCACGAAGGGGGGCTCACCTCATATGTGCAATCCTGAAACACTTCAGTTCACGTCTGTGTTTGTCTTTGCTAGAGGTCCTTCTCTACAAACTGTCTCTCTTTTTTTATTGTTTTCCGCCCGCTTTGCTTTCCAGAGTAGCTTGTGAGCACTACATTTGCATTTTTAATGTACTTTATTGTCATATTTTTAACTGTGTAACTTTTTTTTACATAATAAATTATTTCTTTATCGGTGTTTAAACACAGTGCTGTGTGTTGTTTTCTTTAAGCAACTGGACCATCTCTAAAACCCTCAACACTGTAACCCAAAAAATATTCTCAAATCATCACCTCTGACTCATGTGACATTTCCTGACAAAGATCAGACGACACAAACATCAGGTACAAAATATTTATTGAGCTTGGTGCCAGTTTTTTTTTTTTTTTACTTCAAACCATCCAAGCTTCCACTTAAACAAAATATACCATAAATATTTCTTTAAATAAAGTGATAAAGGGGTCGCTTCAAATCCACCAGATTTTCTGAAATGTTGATCAGCTGGAAAAATTAATAAACAATAAAACTCTGACATAAAAGCACCTCGATTAGCTGAACACTTTAAATTAACCACTGAAATGTGTAATACGACCAAAGCAGGTGACATTCAGGTAAAAGAGTAAAACACTATAATGAATTATTTATTAAAACACTAAAACTAAACTGGTCCTGATTTGAATCCACACCGAGATTTCAGTTCATCTGACCGAGTGAACAGTCAGTAACCGTCTCTCCTGCCTGAGCAGATGCACTGCCGTGATTTCCTCAGCGCCACCGTCATGTCCTCTTCTCGATCGCCCCTCAAAGCAGACCTTCTTCTTGATTCACCGACTTTTATCCCGACTTGATTGTCAAGAGGTCTCACTTCCGGGCTGAGTCATAGTTTGCAACAAACCAATCGCAGGTCTCCTTTAAAGCTGCGATAAATCAAAGGGGCGAAGTTCATTAAAATATACTCGACTTTTACTAAAATCTAGAGAGGTACAACTGAGCGTGTCCGAACCTTGTTTGAAGGGTGTGAAGGTGAAATCTGGCAGGTAGTGTCTCAGCTTTGCATTGCTGGCTGTCTTCTTGAACTGACCGTCTGCTTTGCTGGAATCGAACTGGAAACCTGAGGTCAAGGAAACTTCAGGAAGCTCTCCAGATATTTCAGTAAAATAAGAGACAAAACAGCAAAACATTTTGAAGAAATCTTGAGAATCATCCTCGCAGGAGAAACTTTTGTCATGTCAGTTCAGATTTGTATGAAAACAAACTTCTCATGGCGGTGATTTTCAGCATCCTTGTTTTCCCCAAGTCACCCATTTGAAGACCAATGTTTGCGATTCAGAGGGATTTATTTAAAGGTTGTGATTTCTGAATATTGAAATCACTGACAGTTCATGTGACTGGTATCTTTTCTTCGAAGTCTATTTCTCTGTTGTTTCTTTTACTGGCGTCTGGCTGTGGAGCTACAGCTTTCACATTCTGTCAGACCTGGAGGCTGCAGATTCAAGACCACATTTTTAAGACTGCAACTTCAAGACCCTTGTTGTTTATGACCATATTTTATTTTTAGAGTGCAGTGCCATCGCTGCTGAGACAAAAAGCAGGTCCTAGAATTGCAGCTTTTAGCTCTGCAAACACATACGACTGCTTATATCTGAGAGCAGTGAATAAAACTAGCAAAACTAGTTCATACCCATGTAAGGAAATCTACAACAGGGTTGCACATCTAAGGTTTCCCTTTGTCTGCATGTAACAGGGAGATGGAGTGGGGGAAATTAAAGCCACTGGGAGCCGCTGAACACCTTCCTGTAACCAGTGAATCGTACTTTTGCTTCAAATGTTTTGCAAACACCCCTGAATTTCAGAGAAACAGATCAGCAGAAATGATGAAAAGGATACAACCACTTCTCCTCTGAAGTCCAGAGCTTCCACGACCGCTTCTGCTGCTTCTTTAATGGAGACTTCATCCTCCTCTCCAACTGAAAACCAGCAGACACCATGCAGGCTTGATTAGCAGCCAGATTTAACCTTTATTTATGATATGTTCCATATAAGGACTCACCGGAGAGAATGATCGGATCCACTTCTGGATAATCTCTCAGGACCCACACGAAGAGACGAGCCAGGTCCAAAGAGTAGATGAACTGTCTTCTGGGAGTGCCGGAGCCCCAGACCACCAGGGGCTTCCCCTCCTCTAATGACACGCAAAAAAAGCTAATTATTAATAAACACAAGACTTCTATGACAGCTAGTCTGACACCAGGACTCAACACAGCAGCAGAAGTAGGATTCAGTGAGAGGTGATGATTTTCTGTGACTTACTCTGAGCGATGTAAGCTTTGTGTATGAGGCCTGGAAGCACGTGACCGTCCTCGATACTAAAGTTGTCATGAGGACCGAACACATTTGTAGGAATCACAGCCGTGTAACAGTGTCCATGCTGCTGGAAATACGCCCTGAGAAACACACACACAGACACACACCAAGTCTCATTCACAAGTCACATTCATGGCAAACCTGTTGGAGGCGTAGAGGTCTCACCTGTTACTGACATCTATCATTCTCTTGGCGTAGGCGTAGCCATAGTTTGACTCGTGAGGGGGACCGTTATGGATCTTGTAAAAGGAGGAAAGTTGGAGTTAATCACTGTTCACATGTTTGCTGACACGTGGAAGCTCACATAGATTCTCTTACCATGGTCTCATCTATAGGGTAGGTGGTCTTATCAGGGAAGATGCAAGTGGACAGACAGGAAACGACCTTGACGGCTCCGACTTCATGTGCCGCCCGCTGCACGTTATCGTTGATGTAGATATTGTTTCTCTGAGGGGAACAAATGAGAAGTTATGAAAAACTACAAACTCCTATCAGTAAATCAAAGCAGGAGGACTGTCCCCTTACCCAAAAGTCCAGGTTGTACTTCAAGTTCTTAAAGAGCCCCCCAACCATAGCAGCCAGGTGAATGACGTGGGTCGGCCGATGTTTTTCAAACACCGCCCGCGTCTCCTCCATGTTCCTGCAGAGACCGTGATAACACAAAATGAAGACGGCGCAGAAGCCGAGCAGGAAATCGATCTTTTACGAGAGAGAGAACACTCTTACATGAGGTTTGCATCTTTGGAGGAGAGAAATATCCATTCCTCCCCCTCTCTGGCTCCCCTCTCCTCTTTGACCACATGCTGTATGGCTCTGCCCACCAAGCCGGACCCTCCGGTCACCAACACCCTGAGCGGAGCGGCGTGTTCACTCTGACCGTTCATCTGTGAGAAGGAGGGAAGGCACAAAAATACTTAATGAGGCAACGTTTACGACAAACACATAATACCGATTTTATCCACCGATCTTATCTACCTCAGCAAAGCTCTGACAGTCAGACCTTTTGCCAGAATAACAGGCTCACCCACAAGTTTAGTTTGTCCCGTAGATTATTATTTTACTAACTTCCTCAAACCTTGTAATTTCCTTTATTTGTAAAAGCAAAAAACTGCTGCGCACTTTATCTTGGTAAGAGGCTCAAAACAGGTCTGCAGTCTGACCTGTTGTGGAAAATAAAAGACTAAAGAAACTGTCAGAAAAATTAAACTGTATCTGACTTGCAGCCAGCTGAGAAGAACGACAGAGATAGTGGACTTCTTTTTCTTCGATATCTTTTACTTGCAAGGAGTCAGCAGCTTACAACAGCGGCAGCTTCCTCTGACTGAGGGATTCAGATTTTTACACATCCTTTATGCAGTCAAGAAACAGACACCCCCGCCCACTAACATCATCTCACAAGTGGCATGACATTTCAACAGTATCCAAACAGGGTGCAGGTTGCAGCTGTAGCCTGTACTGGAAGAACAGAGACAGCTTAGTTCATCATCAGGTTCCTGCACACTGCTGGGAAAACAACCTGTGAGTGAAATTTTAGCATTCATGTAGTTACATGTCTTCAGCAGAAAAGTATCAGTCCCAACTCCAAGGTCATACTTCTCCTTTCCCATGCTCATTAAACAGAAACAGATATGACTCTGCAAGCATCAAGCTTTGCATGCTTCTTTAACCATGACAGTCTGAGGGTGTTGTTGATGAACATCGTCTTTGTTTACACAGCTGTCAGCTCAGCTGTCTTTCCCAAGACTGTGAAGTGGACTGAAATGAACTGGTGGTTTATTTATCCATTTAGAAAGTAAACCAAAGGTGCAGCCAAACTCAGCAGACTCAGGTAAAGGCCACGTCAGACAGCAAATCAGAATAATAGCTGTATCATGTTTTCACGCTCAGGACTTTTACACACCCACAAAACAAACGGAGAATTAACATCAAACTACATAAAGACAAACTCTATCTAAAGGAGAATAGTTAATTTCGTTAGCTTACCTTTATAACAAAGGTTCCCCGCGGTAAACTCCTCCTTTTCAGCAGCTTTGAATTCAGAGGTGTTATGAGAGTTTTAGTGACTCTCAGAATCTAGCCCCACATGCTAATGTTGTTAGCTAAAGTTGTAATCGCTATTACATCTCTACCTTTATGAAAGTAGCAGCAAAAACCAAACCACTCCCCTGATATTTTAACTGTTGGTTTGTTACATTAAAGTATTTTTCTCTTCCTTTACATGAGAGCTTGTGCCGTTAACTAACGGGTCCGGGGGGGTCTGTTAAAGAAATGCGGATTCTCACCAGTTGGCGGTGAGCTGCGCGAGCTGCTCCGCACAGAGGCTAAAGATGTGACGTTAAAGCCCACTTCCGGCTACGGACTTCAAAATAAAAGCCGTATTAGCGATAAACTTAGACAACCTACGGTGTTTTCGTGAATAAGTTTTATTTTTGCATTTGAATTCAACCCACTGACCAATAGACGGATATGAGACGTCTAGATTTTTTTTAAACCTAATTTCAATCGTCTCTAGATTCTGTATATTTTTGGACGTAATTTAGACGTTGCACTTTAACCCATTATTCGATATTTATTTCAAAATCAACTGTGAGTTGTAAACTGATCTCCAAGTACTTAATCAAAATAATTGTGATAGCTGTTGAGCAATATACAGTATAGTATAGATATAGCCTAGACTTAGACTTGGTCTAAACTTGGTATAAATTTAGATGTCCAAAAAAACTTTCATTTTTAGACCTGTGGTAGCCTGATTTTGGACCAGTCGTTTGGGCTGCATTTAGATATCTATTAGCCAAAAAATGCTCAGTGGGAAGTGTAAAATTTTACCCTTGTCCCTTACTCGTGTCCCAGGACCTCCAAAGTGTGGTAGGCCTTTCTCTGAATTTTTTCAAATCCATGATAAATCCCATTACATCCTCCAGGCTTCAGGAGTGCAAATGTTTGACCAATCTTGTAAATTCTTCTAACTGATTTTGAAAATGTTTAATGATCATAATAATCCACAGTCCTCACTGTGACCAAATGAAATCAGATCTACTTTCCTTACAGTACCATCTAAACATCTGTTGTCTGGGCTGTTCATTTGAGTTGATTCAGGAGTAAAAAACACATAAATTAAACTGTTAATATCTAAGCTTGTTTATTTATTCTTTGGAAAGCTACATCTTTAATATCAGAGCAAAACAATAACACATAATCTAAAATCCTTGGACTTGAAAACAATAAAAATAAAGTCTTCACTTCAAAGATTTTGAAGATCTTTATTTAAACCGACCCAAAATCTTCCTCTGCTGGTTCCGTCTACTGAGGAGATGAGAACCTGCCGAGGAAGAGGATGGACTTGGTCTTGTTGTGCCTGATGAAGAAGAGGAAGGGGTGGTCGGCTGTAAAGTGCTCCTCCCTAAACATACATAACACCGCTATGCCTGCCGTGGCTGCAGCTGCCTCCGTCCCCTCCTCGTTCACCTCCACAAAGGCCTTGTGGGCCACCGTAGAAAGGAAGAGTCCTCCTTCACCGTTCATGGCGGACAGGTCGGCCTTCGCAGCACAGAACACGTCTGTCATGCCCAGCTTGGCGAGGGGCTCGTTCAGCTCATAGTCTTCCTCCAGCTTGAACTTGGGCAGGTGGATGATGACCTCAGAGTGGACGTCCATGTTCCCACAGTCGGTCCATTCCTCCAGGCGCTCACGGGTCAGCTCTTTCTCCAGCTGAAACAACATGAAATCTTTTTACTTTTAACACACATTATGCAGAATAACCGTGTAAAGAAATGAAATAAAATATGTCGAAGATGTTGACCTGCTGACTTAGAAAAGAGACGAACCAAAGTGGAAGAGAAAAACTTGATACTCTCTGATAAAGACTGCTCTAACTTTACTTTTCTTACCTTGAGCAGAGGGTCGGAGCCGTCTGTAGACTCTTCAGGCAGCAGAATGAACATGCTGAGCTCCTCATCAACGTACGGCAGCTGCAGGATCTGCAGACCTCCATCTGGACCGGGGATGTAGTTGTAGGGCAGCTTCTTCTTCTGGTACATCATCTGGACTGGTTTGCTCTCATTCTGATGCACAAAAACACAGAAACATCCATATTTAGTTTCCCATGCTTGCTTGAACTCTCTGTGTGTTCAGATTTAAGTCTGTACGTCAGAGTGTTTCCACCTGGTTGACTTTGAAGGGCATTTCTTTGGTGTCTGCCGCATCGAAGCGGTTCATCCAGTTCCCCTTGAAGTAGATGGCGTTAACCAGAGCCAGCCTTGTCATTGAACTGACTGTTCCTGGCTTCAGAAGATCTTTAATTTTATCTGAGAGGGATCACACAGACATTGAACAGTGATTCACACAGATGGTTTAGGAAAGGTTTTTTTTTTTTCTTAAAGGCGATCGGGACAAAAATCTTTACTTTCTGTCTGCTCCTCCACCCAGCTGTTGATCTCTGCTCTGCAGGCCTCTGGAGATCCGACGAAATCCACCGCCTTCAGGTCAGCCCGGTAAAACTTCTGTGTGGCCTCAAGAAATTTCTGCAAAGTAAAGGAAATTTTATGGTATTTAGGTTGCATAAATTCATTAAATAATTCTCCAGCAGGACAACAATATCTGGAGAGGCAACAAAACATCTGCTATGGAAGTAAATCTGTGCCATCTGATTTTAAATTTCTAAAGCAGAAATTTTTTTTTGCATCAAAATCAGACTTTGAATTTCAAAACCATTGAATTTCAAGCATGCATTTTTATCTCTGGCACAAATTTTTTCACAATGATGAAATAAATTCAGTGTTAAAAAAGGTCTCTCAGAAATATTTGTTTAGTAAAAATTCGACCAAAAAAAACTGTGTAAAAAAATTTAACATAAAAAAAAATTTCAGTGTCAAATAATTCAGTGCAAAATCGATTGCTTCTCCCTGATTATCCGGATGTTGAGTCTGTCTCTTTTACACTCAATTTTTTGACACTTAATTTTTTTTTTAAATGTTGAATTTTTTTTTACACATATTTTTAGTCGAATTTTCACTAAACTAATATTTTGGGAGACCAATTTTTTTACACTGAAAGACCTTTTTTTTTTAAACTGAATTTATTTCATCATTGTGAAAAAAAATTAGTGTCAGATAAAAATGCATGCTTGGAATTCAAAGTCTGATTTTGATAAAAAAAAATAAATTCAGCTTCAGAAATTCAAAATCAGATGGCACAGATTTACTTCCATAATCTTCAATCTTGTATTTACACATCAATTGTATTTGACCACTAGAGGGAGCTCTGTGCTTTTTCAGTGGGGAAGCTGGTCATGTGATGCCAGTCAGGTGTTAAGGTCACAGGTAACCAGGAAGTAGGTTTCTTCGGCAGGCTCAGCGCGACCAGTTCCGGTATTACTGATAAGATTTGGCCAATGACGGGGCAGGTCAGTCACCAGTTTTACCTTATCACTATGGTAACATCTTTATGTTTGTTCAGTCTTTATGAGGCACCACCATGAAGTATCTCACTCTAGACTGGAGTTTAAAAAGTTTACAGAAACTCACAGGGAGGAAGTTGGCGGTGCTTTCTCCGTAGAGTCGGTTTGCCAGCCTCAGGATGTAAGACGCAGACGGTGAGTTGATGTCGGTGTTCAGAGCCTGGAAGTCTGCATGGACGCTTTCTCCAGAGCCAAAACAGAGAGCCTGTTCAAAGGTAGAAAACGACAAATACTATTATAAATCAAACCAAACTGAAAGCTGTGCTGGACGTGATGTTTAGTAACCACATTTAACTTACAGTTGGCTGTCTTTTCTACTGTATATGATTAACTGAACATGTGGTAAAAGCGAAAGAGATTTAGTTTGCTTGTCTAAAACTATCTGGCAAAACCATTTCAAACTGCTATGGAAGATTTTAGCATATTTCATGAGGTATATGTGATTGAAATATAATACAAGATGAGTGCCTGTTGGAAAACGATGCTTCGTAAATTTAAAAACAAGGTCTCTCATAGTTCAAATGTCATATATAAACAAGAAAATTAAACAGAAAATTGAATCAGAACAGCAAAATAGGAGCTCGTGTTGATTTGAAGCAGACAATTATGACTAGGGAAAATTCATTGACTCTAATTGTCAAGTTTTTTACATTTAACCTCTCTGGTCTACCTCTACTCTGATACAAAACTAAAACTTTCCAGTCGTTTATATATATTTATGTGTAGTCAGACATAAATCTGCATAATAAGAACTAACTATCATGACAAAAACACTTTTTTGGTATATTTACGTATTTTTGCACATATATTTCATTTTAATGGTTTAAACCAGTGGTTCTCAACTGGTGGGTCCCGACCCAAAAGTGGGTCGTGGACACGTTCTGGATGGGTCGCAAACAGCTGGTCAAAAAAGTAAATATTTAATGCGCATCTGATGTTTGACCTGTCTTTTATTTTGAGAAATAGCTTATTATGAGAGGCCGCTTTATGTCGTGGTCCTCCCCAGTTTCTTATTAATGTGGCCTGAAGGCAGTAAAAATACATGATTTTTCTTTTTGGTCTTTATTTTGTGCAACTTGATATTATTTACTTTTGTCCATGCTGTTGTATGGTCCTCCTCAGGTTCTTCTGAATATGCTCTGAATGCAGAGATGCATATAAGTCACATTTTTCATTTTGTTGGTCTCCATTTTGTGCAATTTGATATTTGATATTTAGTAGTAACTTTAATAGTTATCGTCCTCAGCTCATGTACTCTAAAATGCACTTTACTCAGTAAAATAAGTGTATTTATGTTAAAGATTTGAGTCTTTTTTTATAAAAACTAAACTTGCTTGGTTTGAATTTTATAATAGTGGGTCGTGACTAAAGGACCAGTTAAGAATCACAGTTTTAAACCTCAAGAGTTTATAACCTATGCAGCAGCCAATCACTAGAGGGAGCTCTAATTGTTTTTGCGTCATGGTTAGATTATTGTGGCCAATGTCCGCGTCAAACTGGTCTGGAAACTGGTCTGAGCCAATGAAATTTTCATGGTCACAATCATCAAGAATGTATCCTGCGTTGGGCTGCACCACCAGACGTCAGATCTTGACGTCAATCTTGTCCCATCTCTGCATGTCTTGGCTCCAACACTGTAAAACGTCTGTATTTTGGCTTCGCTCCTCTGAATGGGGGGGGGCATGGAGGCCTGTTGTCCATAGTAATGCGCAGTCAGTGTTGTGCATGGAGCTCCAAACCTTGACCCAAAGCTATAACTTAGTCATGAAGGAAATACAGACTGTCCCAATATCGGTTTAAATCCCTGCAGCTGGGTTTTAAAATCAGATGGAAAACCTTCCCACAAGAATCGGGGTTATTAGAGATTATCATCCATTATTCTGCATTTACATCTTCAAACAGAAGAGTTTCATTTATTCATTTATCAAAGCTGTCTCACCTTTAATACAGAAATCATAAAGTCAAAAGCCTTGAGGATTTACTGCTCTTTAAAAAGCAAACAGAGCTGAAACTGCAGCTCGTTGTGTAAGTGACTATTTTTACAGCCCTGTGTTTTAAAGGGAACAATACCTGACTTGTTTCAGAGTTATTTACTGAGGTCAATGTACAGGTATCTGCAGACTTTACCTGTCTCAGGACACACCTTAAAATCTGTAACTAGATATGCTTCAGGGCAAACAGGCTGAACTACTGAACTCAGAATGAAAACGGGGCCAAGGTTTCTGTCTTCTATCATGCGGATAACCTTTTGTTACTTTAAAATAAGCACTGCAGGGATATTTCTCCTGACCTTTGCCATCTGAGCAGCAGTGTCTCCTTTAGCTCCGAGGTAAACCATAGCCAGGGCAGAGCTGATGCTGAGCGGGGAAACAAAGAGGTTTCCGGTGGGGTTCGCTTGGCTCAGGATTCGGAGCAGTTCCAAGGCAAAGTCTGTGTTTGAGCTGCTGATGGCGGCCATGATCGGTGATGTGGGATTATCCTGCAAAGAACAAATGGTATTTGGTGTTGACGTATGAATCCATGTTTAAAAAACTTCCTCGCAGGCGGTTTTTAGAGTAAACAGAGTTACGTTCGCTTACATTTCATAGCTGAGAGTGTTTATTTGAAGCTAAATGTTATTCCCTCTGATTTGTGCAACTGACCACACCCAAAAGGAGAGAGAGCCCCCACACTTTAGCTACATTAAGGGGGTTACAATTTAATTAACAGTTGTGAGTAATTATCTACAGAGCCCCTGAAGTCTTGAATAGTAAAATCTTCTACATTTGTGCACAAAAGATAATGACTTTTACACACAAGACACACATTACTGGAATTATCATCTTGCTGCAACAAGTGTTTATTCTGTGCATGTGGGGAAAACATAATTATCTTGTGGGCAGATTGAAATTTTAAATGATAAATTGCTTCTGTAAAATGTTGTACATAATATATTAACCATATATGCACTAAATAAGGAGCTATTTTACTGCACACATAGAATAATCCAAGATCATTATATGGTGCACACATAGATTATTAACCTCTGTACATTAAGTAATGACTTATTGTTCCTAATACATAACACTCAGTCTGCACAAAGGAGGAACAAATGATAATCTGCACAAGATTAAGACCTCTTTAAAATAATTTAGCACCTGAGTCAAGCATTAAATTAGATTACAAAGACATAAAAGTATATAAAAATGGTTCAGTAGGTGTTGTAATATGATTAAAGTTGGCCCTAAAGTTTTGATAAAGGAGAGTATTGTAAAATATTTACCTCAACTTTTATCACTTTTATGTAAAACAAGAAATATTTAACTGAATCTGAGATTATATGTTACCATTTCACCCAAAGCGGTTAATAAGGACTCTATTTTATGCCCTAGTTTCCTTAAATCCTTTAAAGTTAATGCATATTATACGAACAAGAATCACTCACCTTGCAGAATGCTTTATGGAGTGATGTGGAAGTATAAAATCACACAAATGATCTTTTCTTAATTTTTTCTTAATCTTACACTCTTTAGAATCAAATTTTGATCATTCCTGTCGAAAAACTACATAATAGAGGGTGAAATTATCAGTTTCACACCACCCAAAGTGATGCAGCAGTTTCAGGTGTAATGCTGCGTTCAAGTACCCGGAAACAACCTGCAAATGTCCAAACCGAGATTGAAACACTTGCCTGTGAGTTTAACTTTTCGTGTGTTTACCTCATGCCTCGAATATTATTGAGTTTTTTGTTTATCATCTTACCTGATTTTTGTGACTGAACGACTGAAAGAAGCTCTCCTGTCCTGTCGTGGACGCGTGGAAAAGTGAAAGTAAAAGGAAGAGCGAGGTAGTTTTCCTCGAAATTCTTCTGAAATGAGAGAAAAGTCCCGGAGGAGTGAGTGTACACAAAGCCAGCGGTCCGCCTCTGCCCATTTATGCAGACACGCACTGTTACATACACACGGACACCGCAGCACTCTGGGGGTGTGACGCGTGACTGCGCGATAAGTCAGTGACAAACTGGGATAAACACACGCCATTATACTCCCGAGGACAAAAACTGAACCCATACAGTGAGGTGGGAAAGTTTACACAAGCGTGGACACAATCTGCCTGCTTCAAATGGAGATATGTAAAAGATTTATTTGTGTTTTTCCTCCCTGATTAGTGCGTGAATGAGCCACGGTAACTGTTAAGGACACAGACCACACCCACGTGCTGGACCTGTCTGTGGAGCCTGAGAATAAACTCAACTGAAGTGAGTTAAACTGAAATAAGATTAATTGATTTTCTGCTGAATGACACCAAGAAACTTCACTTTAAAGTGAAGTTGGCTTGAAACAAAATTTCATTTTAATGTATTTGTGGTCCTGATCATTTTCTGTACATACAGAAAAGCCTAAAAAAATGTTGGTTCATATGTTTGTTATTTAATTAAACTAAAGCCAAAGATCCATCTATGCACAGTTACACTCTTCATCTCTGCCATTAGAGACCAGCTGCTTTAATTAGCGTGTGTTTATTATGCAAATTAGATCAAATCAACAATACGATAAGGTAAAACATGAACTTTATTAATCAATGAACACTGATTTCTTCCAGTTCAACAGACCCATGATCCGTTTATGCTCGCTCTTGGTGCTGCCAACACCCATATACCTGCTTTATCACATGACCCCGGGATATGGCCACTATAACTCAGCGAAGTGAAGAGTGTCCTTATCCTCTATTTTCTGATGTTTAGGTTTCTGTTTCAGCCACCTTCTCTTCTGTATGAAGTTAGATTTAACACACTGTGAACGCCTCTATTTATTCCTAAAGATTACACTGGATTATATGTGGGGTAAATTTAACCGTCCGCAGCCAACAAAGAGCAGGGGTTGCTCTTTTCAAATCTGTCATGTGTAGAAAGGTGTGTCCATTTGATTTACAGCGTGGAGATTATTTCTTGTCTCCACCCGTCACGGAGGCTTACAGCGCAGCCTTGGTAACCACTGACACATGATAAACATTTCTGATTCATGGTGACCCTTGACCTCTACACTCCAGCGTTACATAAGAGCTGTGGTATACATGGTTCCTCCATAGTCGCCTTCCTTATCTCCTGTTGACTCATGCCTTACAGGTTTTGTACAGAGGTTTGATACAGACAGAGAAAAAATCAGCTCTCAGCCTGTCTATGCTGACTCAAACAACAGGTCAAAGCCTAGTTCAGGATGTTTGTTTTAAAGGTACAGTACGTAGTTTTAGCAGCAAAACAGACTTGGTAGAAATGAACATATTTCATGTGTTCAAATGAGTGTGTGATCACCCAGATGACCACATAAACCATCATTTTGCACCGTCATGTTTCCATAGAACAGGGTGGATAAACCCGGAACACAGTAATGACTGGATGATGATAATGGAGAAAGAGGTTGTTGTTGTTGTTGTACATAGAAGATTTTGTGCTAATGGATTTAAATATTTTAAAAGATGTGCTTTTACAGGGAATATTATCAGGGTGGGTTTTAAGCCTTTGGATGCTCTTTATTCCAGTCTAAGAAAGCATCACTAGCATGATCTTGGATTATTATTATGTTATTTGTTATTATTATGATTTGATTTTACCTTTTGATTAGTTTGATTTCCACAGTTTTTCTACATTGTTCAGCTCCCCTTTATTTAAAGGTAGATTTGAGCCTTTTTAACTTGTTTTACGATGGTCTTTGTAATAAAAATAATGAAACTGAAATTTAGAGGTAGAGGAAAATAAACTGCAATAGATTGATGACATAATAACAACAACAACAACAATAACAACAACAACAACAATAATAATAATAATAATAATAATATAATAATAATTCTGGTTCCAAACTGCTCTCTTGGTCCTGTTTGTGGCTTTTTGGGTCCAACACTTTTCTGAAAATGAAGTTCTGTTCTCCACTAGAGGGAGCCAGAGGGATGCGCTGATAAACGCTCTCTTGCTGCCTCTTAAACACCCTCTGCATATTAATATTAACAAACTGTTCTCCACTCCTATAGAAAGAATAAAAAAGCCTTTTTAATTATTTTATTTTCTGTTTCTTTAACAGCATGAAGACTTTAAATGACATTTGATCTTAATGGTCTGAACAAAGGAAGCAAGAAGAAATACTAAGTGCACATGATTTGTATTCATTTTACACTCAAAGACATATCTGAATCACAGTGAAGAAGGTTTTCTTTATGCACAAACTTTTTGTATCAGTAAAGGATCTTTTTTTTATTCTTTGGCACCATTTCTCAGGTTTTGCCTGTTTTTCTGTTTGAAATCACATTGTCGATATGTTCTACTGTAAAGGAAAGTATGTGATCAGATTTTTCCCTTACGTAAATAATATTTCCACCATGCTTATATAATCCTGCACTTGTTGTTAGTTTGTAACAATGACACTGACAGCCAGTGTTAAACTCACATGCCTGCCTCTCTGAGATGTTCTGTACTGTTCCTGTGGTCGGCGTTGGCATTTCCATTAGTAGCAGCATCTTTTTGTCCTGTCATCGTGCTCCGTCACCACGAGCCCCCGGTCTGTTCACATACCCATCAGCTGTGGCTTCCATTAGGGGGAAACTGGACGTGGACACTGGGTTAGCCTTGAGCCAAAGTCAGACTGTAGATAGAAGTTATACAGCAACTCACATAAAGAGACAAGCTGCAGATATATGTTAAAGAACTTGGTCCAGATATGTTTTTAATGTCACAGACTGAGCCTTTAAGTGGCTCAGCTTATTGGTGGTATATGTCTCTGTTCAATATGCTGCACCTGACCCGTGCAAGAACATCTGACCTTTCATAAATCTCATCTTTGTTATTCTGATTTACGTCGGGGTGCGAGATGAAACCAGCTCCCCACCAGCTGCAGGCGGTGAGAGACGTGTTTGTGTGTGTGAGGGTATTTCACTTTGTTTACCTTGCTTTACCTTTGTCCTTTAGCAGACACATGGAGGACCATCTAACGCCTGGACTCACAGATAAACACTTATAAACTTTCAGGACCTGTGGGGTGAACAGTCCCCTCCTGGAGAGCAAATTACTAAACAAACAAAGGTCTGTATCCCCTTAAAGCCAGAGCGCCGGGCAACAGCAGCCAGGACCGCAAGGAGAGAGGAGCTCGGAAAACAAAAGAGAAGAGGTGATGTGGAAAAACTGAGAGCTAACAGACAGGATGTGATAGTTTGTTTGTTCCACAACAATATGAGTGTTCGCTGTGAGGTCAAGATCCAACGGCTTGTCGTGAACCTGAATTTATGGGGTGCCAAATATTATCGAGCCGTTCTTAATACTCTGACGTCTTAGAAAAAGACACCAGAGATTACAGAGGGAAACAGTCAATACTGCGGCCTTAACTCACCTTAAAGGGATATCCCGGCGTAAATGTAAGTTATGGTCGTCTCTCGAGGGGGTGTCTAACTCGGTGTTCCGGTTTGTTTGACCATAACTTAAATTTACGCCGGGATATCCCTTTAACAGCCACACTACAGGAGAAGTGAGACAATCTAGGAAGGAGGTGCATTTGCTGTTTTTCTCTGAGAAGTAACGCTGATGATGCTTGAACATTAAAGGACCAATCTGTATTTTAAAGCGACCAACCCCAGTTCTTAGGCGGTTCAATGTTGTACTTTGTCGGCGTGGTGTGTCGTCTCCTCCTATGGCGCCACCTTCTGGGTCCCAAATATTACAATGGCTTACTTTGTTAAAGCGGTTTACCTGTCCAGCAGAAAGGTTACAGGGTCCGATTAAGCGCCCGTTATTCCTCCAGAGTCTCCGGTATTTACTTCGTTTTCTCGCTTGTGTTGGCAGTTGTGGCTAAAGGAGGATTCAGACAATTTTCCGAACTTTCTGGTTGGTTTCTACTGTCCGATATTGTAGCACGCTAACTTTGTTTGGGCTCCTGAACGACACGGGGGAGCAGCATCTGCCGCACAACCAATCAAGTTGGAGGAGGCGGAGAATGGCTTTGTTTACAGTCAGAAAGAGCGGACCGCTCTGAAATTTTAAAATGTTGACTACACAGACATAACAAAACACAGTGTTATCATTATATTCCCAAATGTCATCAATAACTAATAACTATTGACTGATATTAAAAGCTTTTTTGTATATACACCACAAAAAAAGATGCGTCTTTAACGGGATCCTGCCGACCCCACCTTTGACTGTATTGATTTGAAGAGCAGATGACCTTCCTAGGAGAGTAAACAAATGCTACCTCTCATATTTTCCAGCTCCTAATTAGTGTTTTTTATTTTAGCTTGTTTATGTCACCCTCAGAATCAAATAACACAGAAAGGTCCAGACTACTTTTATATTGGGAAAGTGGATTTGGCAACGCCTTCTTCACACATATGTGTATTCATACATGTGCTATTTCTGTGTGCTGAACACGCTAAACACACACAGGAATAGTTCATGACATATCACCAGATACTGCCGTAATCTCTTACTCACAATATTGACCTTAATTGATGCATCACTCTAGACTTTGACAGCCCCCGTGGATGCAATTAAATAAGGTGCAACTTATTTGATACTGATTCTGGAGCGTTTCACCAACCAGGCAAGAACACTGTGTTCGGACTCTTTTGGTGTTTGCTCAGATTTCTCTGGCTATTTGGCTTGGCATAAACACAGCTGCCAAAAGACTTTCTCTGCAACAAGATCTTTCCATGTCTGCGAAATCACATCTGGTGTCGCTGCTGCAGGATTTAAACTTTAAATGGCAACTTGTGCCGCCGTCTTCAGAGCCGGCGTGCAAAGGATGAAGTTTATGTAATATCTACAGAGGTAAGCGATTTGTTAGAGAAACACGTGGATGAGCAGGATGTGTTCACAGACTCAGGGTAATTCAAACTGTTTATTTACTTTAAGGGAATAGGATGCTGTTAGTTCAGCACGGGTTAATCTCTGCTGAATTTATCCGGCGTGATCCGGCGTACAGAAAAAATAGAACTCCTGTGATCAGCTGTGGAGTCTGGCGATCCGCAGCAGAAAGGAAAGAAGTCGGTGGAAATTGACACATTAACTTGAATGGTTACAATCAGCTACGGTCGGCGGATACTGCTTTTTCATAGCCATTCCGGATGTGGTGGAAACTGGGGGTTATGGGGACTGACTTTAGTTTGGAGTCAGCCCCAAGTGGCAACACAAGGAATTGCACTTTTTTTGCACATACTGTATGTATTGACTTAATTTTCAAGCCAAACTTCATGCACAACACTCACAGACAAGTACAGTTACTCTATATTGTGCAAAGTGCTGTGCATGTGTTCTCATCAATATCTTCCATATCAGGTTATGCATTGCACAAGTATATTAGCTTCTTAGCGTGCACACTTTGATTGTTATCGTTCTCCAGCTGTCACTCCAGGAAACTCTAATATCCGACTTTATTGTCCCTGTCTGTTCATTTAACCCTCCATCACGAGATGACTGTAACCAGACAGCAGCATAAATGTGCCACAGATCTGTAGACGTGAGATCATGTCAACGTAGAGGCCAACCCCCATCCTTAGATGGAGTCAAACATGGGTGCCCTCGATTTTATGGGCCGCGGAAAGTAGCCTCTGTGAACCAGCCTCTGTGGTCAGTCGGCACGCCGGCCTCATTGTGTGCCCACACAGCTGTGACCTTCTCAGGGATCATCAAGGAATCCACCTTCCTGATTGAGATTCCACATAAGATTAAGTGCGGCCCCTGGAAATCTGTGTCAAGTGTACGGTGTGTCAGCCGCCGGCCTCCACGCCGTCCAGCTTTTGTTTAGCAGCTCGCGTGCAGTCAGCGCCACAGAGATTTACACTCCATGCGATGTCACTTGCCTGCGCAAAATTGTGACTTGATACATCTTTAAAACTCTGCGGCAACCATACCAGACAGTCTACGCTGCATAATAAGCTGAAAATACCTCGCAGTAAACACAGTTTTAAAAACTGACCTGACTGTTTGACACGTGTTATCCAAAGTGTGTGTAGAATTTTCTATCTGGGAAATTGTGTTTAATTCATGGTGTGAATGTGTTAAAGTTATGAGTGGACTGACAGTAATAATAATATTTAATACAATTAAGTTTTCTCAGTTGTGCCACCTCTCGTTAATTAGATGTGTTCTTTAGTTTATGGGAAACACTGAATAAACTAATAAATTGGATGTTTTAGTGGCTGTGTGGGGTGAAAGCAGACAGACATGCTGGTTCTTGTAAGACCCAGTTAAAAGTGGACTATTTAACTGAGGGGCAGGTGGTGGTCAGGTCAGCCAGCAGCTGTTCGTTTCACCGCCAGGTCATTGTTTTCCTGTTTTTTATTACTCTCATATCATACGCCATACTCAGGCTTTGTTTTAATTTAGTGTTACCATTCACTTTATAAAAACATATCTACAGTGTTTTATTAATCTTAAAAAATCAAAAATTGCAGAATTGTCCATGTGTATATCATTTTTGAAGGTAAGTCAAGTTTATATTCCTCATATTTTGTAAGTGATTAATTACTGCTTATTTCTGGAGTTTAGTATCCTGAGTTATTTTTCATTTATAAATTATATATATATATATATATATATATAAAAAGAAGATAATTAAACAAATTGTATTTGCTGCTTGTGGCATGTTTTGACTGTTCAAGTCATATAGCTCGTGCTTTAGTAGTCTTGCTTGACTATTTGATTGTATGTTTCTTACTTTATTCTGATTGGTCAGACTCCATAACAGCAGTCTGTTATTGGGGTGTGCTCTGAAGAATTCACCGTTGCTATGGTTATTCCTCTAGGGGGCAGCTGTGTCGGTTCGCAGGAAGGAGGAACATTTGTTTTGGTTAATTTGCAGAGGAAAATCAAGAAAAGAGACAAAAAGCGGGTAAGTTTAAAAACACAAAACTGCAAGTGAAAATGGCAAAATTTTCAAGATAAAAGATGGTGCAGACTTGTGTGACTCAGCGATACTATTGGGTGTTTAAACTGAAGAAATCGTAGCCAAACTTTTTCTACACGACTCCAGATCATCTGAAACGGGCTCCTGAAAAGGTCCTGGACATTGATTTTAACCCTAACCCTGACCCCAACCCTATCCCCATATTCCAAACTCTAACTTAAAATTTTTTCGATGTATGTCCTAATGTATAATCAAAGTATTGATAGAAGCTTAATTCCTATCCGTGGAAGCATTTTAAAAGCGTCCAAGCGTACTTTCTCTTCTTGTAATGGGGCTGTTCGTGACAACTGGGGCTCTGAATTTCCATTTAGCTCCAATTAACCTCGTTGTCATTTATATACAGACAAGAGGAGGTCAGGATGCATATTACTGGAGAGACCAACACAACGCTGTGTTTGGTCACATTTCCTGTGCCAAACAAACACTACCATTGTCCCTGAGATAATCTAATTGAGTGTGAGCTAAATATAGTATAACAGGAGAACAAACATTTGGCCCAGGGTGAGGCTCTTGGACTGATGTAAAGCGCCGCTAAACCCCTGCAGCAGCAACAGGCACCATTGTAACCAATTAACACACCGAGAAAGGTACGGCGCAGGGACAGGAGGGCGACAGAGGAGTGAGGGAGGATTCGGTGCCAGGACAGAAGACTAAAGAGTGAGCTCACTAATGGGAAGGTCAGGACAACAGCAGATGATGATGATGAGAGATACAGTAGATGATAATGAGACAATCCTGTGAAAGAAAATTCAGGGTTTGGGTTGGTTTCAGGGAAATGCAGCTGAAAAGAATGATGATATCAATCTCCGGACAGACTCATAGCATTTCAATGAGCTTACAGAAATTTTGAATGTTGCATGCTTCTTTCCTGTGGTTGACATATCTAACCTGTCCACCAGGTACCCTCAGACATCCCACCTGTGACCAAGAAAGCAGGATTAGCTGTTATGGAGGTACTTTAAGAGTTTTGATGATGGGAGAAGGTGGAGAGTCTTAAAGGGATATTCCGGCGTAAAATTAAGTTAGGGGCAAACACACCGTAACACCGAGTAAGACACCCCCATCAGGAGATGAATGTTGCCGACCGCTTGCTTTTCTAGTTATACCAACTTTAGTAACGACCGCAGGATAGCAATACACAGGGAACGCCACTCTATAACCACGAATAATGCTCAGAACAGCACCTAACTTCATCAACAGGACATATAGGGTCACAGCCATAGTACTAGACACCAAACATCTTTTTAACTATGTCTAATTTCTTCAGCAAAGAGACTAAACACAACTCACCTACTCTCTTCCAGCAGCCGCTTGTTTGTACGGAGACCTCTGGGCGAGTCCATCAACTACATTGGGGTTTCACAGCTCAAGAAAGCACAAGAAGCCTTTTGTTTTTTGACCACAGGCGGCTGGAATTTGTGTTGGGTTTATTGGTTTAAGGTGTTTGAGTTTGTTAAGGAATAAAAGGGTTGGCATATCCAGATGAAGCTTTTGCCTGCAGAACTTTGATTGTTTTAAACTTAATGAAACAAGTAACTCATGGACACTCAGTGGACAAACAAAAACTAGCCGAGGCCGCGAGTGCAAAACACGTGCGTCACCAATGTTAATCATTTTGCTCTGCATACGCGGTAGTTCTTCTGCCTCTGATCATAAATGTTCTTCCTTGAGCTGCAGCCCCCCACTGTAGTCTGTAATGGACTGATCGAGGTCTCGCTGCAAACAAGCGGCTGCTGGAAGAAAGTAGGTGAGTTGTGTTTAGTCTCTTTGCTAAAGAAATGAGTCAAAGTTAAAAAGATGTTTGGTGTCTAGTACTATGTCTGTGACCCTGTATGTCCTGTTGATGAAGTTAGGTGCTGTTCTGAGCATTATTTGTGGCTATAGAGTGGCGTTTTGTGTGTATTGCTATCGTGCGGTTGTTACTAAAGTTGGTATAACTAGAGAAGCAAGCGGTCATCAACAATCATCTCTTGACAGTTGTGTCTAACGCGATGTTACGGTGTGTTTGACCCTAACTTAATTTTACCCCTTTAAGTTTCAAACACAAAACAAACAAACTTAAAAAAGTATTCTCCTGAGTAAACTTTTGACTCTTAGTGTGATTATTTTAATGCATTTTAAAGCAGGGGTCTCTGAAGTCTAAATCTGTATCTCTGTCCCCTCTGCCTCCCCCATCCTGTATCTCTCTCCTCCTCTCAGTCTATCACCCGTCCTCTCGCAGAAACACATGGCACTTTGGCGTTCCTCTCATTCCACTATAACAAGCCACATTCCCTGGAACACTTCCTCCGTTCTGTCCCGGCTTGTGGTCCCTGGGTCCCAGAGCAGACACCCCCTCCACCCCCCCACCTCTAACCTCCCACTTCTCTCCCACACACTCTCTCTGTCCCTCACCCGCCCCCATCTGGTGCTTATCCCTGGGCGTCTGTGGCTCCCACTGCAGATAGCCACAAGCAGCCAGAGCTTCCCATTTAACCGTCTGTCCTGATCCGTCTGCCTGTCTGTGAGTCACCCTGGATCAGATAGTCTGGTCTTTGTAGAAGGAGGGAGAGAGCATCCAAGAGCAGGACCTTTTAAAACACAAACCAGCAGAGGAAGAGGAGAAAACCTGGAGTGACGGACACCATCACACCCATGAGAGACATGGGGGGAAAAGAGAAGACGGTTTTGGTGATTACAAACGCGCCCGAATACAAAGGGTGAGTCTTTTTGGTGACTTATTTCTCTGTTTCTCAGATTGGCATCAGAAGAGCGGCATTTTTGGTGACGGTTCGTGTTATTCTTCAGAGTGGCACAGCAGTCTTTAACGTGCATTTTGCCCATGTTTTGCATTCTGACACCTCCTTTCCCCTGGTGTCGCTTACGCTCAGAGCAAGGTGCCACTTGTCAAGTTACACGGCACTCTGATTTACTTTGTGCACATTCGCTTTGCACTTAATTTGATCAGACAAAAGAGGTTTTTTTTCCACCTTTTCCTCATGGAGAGAATAAAAAAAAACATCAGAAAAAGGAGTTTGACATAAAAACAAAACAACCAGAGATTCTCTGCTTTATGTGCAACTGATCTACAAACATCAATCTAGTAAAAACTACAATAAAGAGATTGTAATGAAGCTATAAAGGGTACGTTTGTGCAGCTGTGGCTAAAATAAGAGCTGTGCTTTGTTCTTGGCGAAATGGAAAAGTACACCGAGTGGTAGAAGATCTTTAGTTACACACTTGTGCAGAAGCTGCTGAGCTGTTGTCAGTGTGAAGGATTGGAGAGGCTGCAGCAACCTCTGAATATGTTTGTTGGTGTGTATATCAATGCATACGCTGCAGCATGTGAGTGTGTGAGTGTGTGTGTGTCTCAGAAGCCAATATAAAGTAACTGTACCCATAAGTATTCTGCATCTGAATTTATATATGTGTTTATTGTATTCAGCACTTGACGGCGGAATATCAGGGTCGCCCAGGTTCGTTAAAAGTCCTGGCACCGTCCGTCCGTCCGTCCTGAGGGAACATCCTCAGTTCAGCTATTTGCATTCGACACTCCGGAGAGCTATGGCGATGAGACATTGATCATGTCTTGGCTTTCAAGCTGCCGCGAGCTGGCAGCGCCGGGGAAGAGGGAATGCCAGCTTTAGTCAGAGGAAAATAAACCTGTTGATCACTTGATATTATCGTGTTGGACACTCATCATTCTTAATATGATTCCTATTAATGTGAGAAGAGTCTGCGGTCACCTGAGGATTCTGTCTACTGGGGAAAAGTCTTTTCGTCTGCTTGTGATTGAGGTGGGGGGTCTCCTCTTACTCCTTGCTCACTGAATTTTTCTGTTTGCTTTCTTTGGTCGAGTTGAGATCAGATTTAATCTGACAGTAATGTCCTGTAGCCGTTTATTCTCTTTTGTACACGCACATACGCTCAGAGACACCTCCTTCACATTCCTATGGTTTATAGGCTTCGATGGCTGTTTCCATGCAACTACTAAACCGACACAACAGAGGCCCCTGAGAGAGATAGCACCCTCTGTGTCCATTCAAGCCGGCCCCTCCTACTAAAGGCTTTTGGGAGTAGACCCTCTATGCTGGCATGATACCTAAAAAAGCCCCCTAATCTGCCCTGTTGCTGTTTCTGTACCACATAGCAAACAAATGCACTTTTACACAAGTTTATTTATTATACATGTAGACACGCACACGTGCACCTGACACATGCAGCAGCAGCAGCGTGTCCCCCTCACCACTTAACCATATCTCCACTGAGAGCGTCTGCAGTGACTGTTTACCTAGCAGCAGATACACAAAGCAGACACTGAGATGATATCTTAAATATCACTTCACGACAACCTACATGAAGTTTTGACGTTGCTGAACAGGATCACCCCTGCTCATTGTGCAACATTCAAGCCCGGTTTGTTATTCCACTCCGGCTCGGATGAAGACTGACATGCCCCCTGCTCTGATGGATAAAAATAAATAATTTGGGTTTTATAGTTGGAAATACGCCACTAATTCTTGTTTAATTTTCTATAGATTATAAATTAATCAATTCAAACAAAAGGTAATATTTCAGGAGTTGAAAGACGCGTTGGGCCGAATCTCAAAGGGCACCACTCTTCCTGCTCAAGTGTCACAGAGTGCAACCAAGACAACAAGCGTCATCTGTGTTTTGTGTGGAGTAAGGACACAGTGGAATGATAAGCACCCGCTGTGAACAGCTGTTGATAATCAGAAAATAGCACGACTGCGTAAGCTAAGTGTCGTTGATCCATACGTGTTAAATCCAGAAGATACAGCGGGGAAATACACAAATATACGATGACGAGGAAGCTGTTTTGTCCTGTTTTAGTATTCTGGGCCAAGTTATGGTCAGACACGCGCAGGCGCCATAAAAGAGTTATGTTGTGTGTCATATGAACATCCACACGGCTATGAAATGGTCGTCGTTTACAGATTTATTCACTCTCTGACCTGTTTTCAAAAAGTACCGTTTACAGTCACCTGAAACGCTGTTTCTGTGTGAATGAAACGCCGATACAACAAAAAACTTTAGCGTTTACTCCTGAATTTGTTTCTGTGTGGATGAGTTGATATCACCTTCAGACAGACTTTGTACCAATTCCACACAACTGACTCGCTCTTGTCCTATTTAGCCACAAAATTATCGCCGTCTTTTGCAAACGCCATGTTTGTTTACACTGGTGTTTGTGGGAACTGGGGAGTGCTCCCACAGGAAGGGGGAGCCCACGCTGGCCTGGAGTGGCGAGACATGATAGAGAGGAAAGTCAAGGGATGATTTAAATTTTTTTAACATCATAATCAAATAATCCGATTACGATTTAATATTGATTAATCACGCAGCCCTACAAAACTGATAAACTGCATTGTATATTTCGACAAATGATGATTATGTGGATGTTTAGTGAAAAGGATATATAACAGCAGTGAGCTGATGGCCTGTTTTAAACATGTATGTAACCGATGAGACTCCACCCAAACTCAACCAAACAGTGGGTCGACCAAGAAAGAAGCAAAGAGTTGGGGTTGAAGTGAATCTTGGTCTCCTTGGTTACGGTGTGCCGTTTGCAGTCAGCTGTGCTCTCAATCATGTGAAACTTGTACTTTTAATATTTTCAAATTTAATAAGTTATTAAAAATCCACACAGATAGAAAGATGAGCCATTCAGACTAGAATCTCCGTAAACATGTTGAATTTTGCTGATCGGAGCCTCATCAAGCGGCAAACTCGAGGAAGTGACCACCAAACACTCAATGTCATCTAGGTGTCTTTTTTCAGGCTAATTTAGCCCAAAAAATTTAGACAGTCCGAATCTAGATGTTGTTTAGACGTATGGTGAAGACGTCTTTTCAACCTTTTGCTTGGTGGAGGCAGTTTTAATCTCTTCCACATCAGCTTCATTTCTCGACTGGAGGTTTCTGCTTGGCTTTTAAAAGCAGGAGGCGAATGCCGAGGGCCGACTGCCTCCAGAGAGAAGAGAAGGAGGTTAGTCATCAACATTTGGAAACAGCCAACAAGAACCTGATGCTTGTGAAAAAGGCTGACGGTGGAGAAAGATACTCTGCAGCAGGAGCTGTAGGTCCTTAAGGGAGAGTCCTTTAATGAAGAGAGGGGTAAACAGAGAAGCTTGAATCATCAGCTGCAGGAAAGGCCAGTGGAAGTCTTGAAACAGCTCAGCAGGAGGCTGTAAAGTAGGGGTGTGCAGTATGGACAAAATGCAGCGCACTCCCCTGCTGCTCTGCTGTCTGTATGTTGGAGCTTTGGGGAATCAGGCTGACACACACAAGCATAAGCAGAGGAATGCAACACCCTGCCTGTTTACTCCACTGGACTTAAGCTCCTTCGCTGTATTCTGGTTTACAGGATCAAGACTTTATGACAGGGCTACTCGCTAAAAGCCTGTTTTATTTTTGTTTTCTGCGGCGACGTAAGAGGCTCGGTATGTCTGTGCAAATCCAAACTTTATGAACAGACACTGACAGATGATCACGGGGAGCTGCTGCGAAAAATAAAAGAGTTAAAGCTCAGTATGTTTGAGGTTATAACAGTGCTTCATTAGCCTACGTGTACGGTTCTTTCTTCTGTTTTCCCTGAGGAGAGTTTGGATCTGGATTATCTTCCATCTGCAAACATTTGGAAATGACTGTCCAGTTTATTCCTACTCTGTGATCCTGGTGCCATTTTGGGTCCCTTGTCGAAGACTGACACACACACACACACACACACACACAGGGGTGTTGGAGTGTCACCTGTTACCTCCTTGTCTATTATAGTGTCTCTGTTTTTAACTCTCTCTATTGTTCACAGCTTGTACCTTGTTAACCCAAGGCTTTGCGTAGACACAACTACGGCATTCACAAACAGTCCAGATGAATATTTAATAATACTAAACGCATTATTTTTATTGCTGTCCGTGTGTGTTTAATCGGCCTTGAAGCTGGTATAAATAGATTTGGGATATTTAATGCGCTCGGCGGGCAGGTTTGAACTTTGATTTCGCCTCTCATCACTTTGCTCTTATGGCACATTTGGCATTGGAGGGGGGATCCCTTTTTTTTTTGGTCCCAACACAGACAGTTGGACCCCCACAGTCCTCAGGGCTTTCATGATTCATAGCTACTTGAAGAGTTATGAGACTCATGCGGATCTTCCTATCGGTTACATGGAGGGATTACGATGGAGAGGACAGATTGGAACCCCCCTCGACATTTTATAGAGAGGGGGATTAAACAGGGCCGCCAAGCAAAGTAAACAGACACAAACTACAGCATTGCTTGGACAGCGGCACACTGGCTACTCGTATGCATGCACACATTAAACGCAGCCGCATACTTTAGAAAATACCCTTATGTAACGTGTGGTTAAAGCAACAACTGCATCGAGTCAAAGCGACCACAATGGAAAGCGATCTGTTCGGGTTGAATTCCTGTCTGCCCGGCAACCAGCGCTGTGACAGCTCCTACCTCCTAATGGTTTTTCACTGATGGAGGTTTTCCATTTCTGGTGATAGTGTGCCCCTTGACCCTCCCTCGCCCTGTACTACTGAGGACCCAAAATAAAGTCCTTTAAAGTGAGTGACCCGGGTCACCAGGCCTAGCGGGGTGACGGGGCTCTCCAGGGCTGCAAGTCATCTCAGCTGCAGCCGACACCGTCAAAACAGGAATCCGATTCTTGAAAGGCGCTCCGCAAAAACAGGCCGAGAGGTGGCCGGGTCGGCCAACTGTTGTGTCTCATGGGGGGGTAGAAGAACTTTTCACTTCCTGTTACCAAGAGGTTGTGTTACATTTACGTAAAACATTATTTGTGATACAGTTACATTCACCTTTTTATTTCTAGGATCACTCGGATGATCACGGGTCGTACATGAATAAACAGAACGTGCATCATCACAAGTGGTCACATTTAATCTGTTAAAGGTACAGAGCGCAATATTTAAAATTGAGAGTCTTTAAATCTGCAAAATACGGCACCGAACAAACTAACTCGTAGAATTAAACGAATAGCTGCCCCGAATTTCACCAACTGGAACATCAATATCTAACTTTTGATTGTGCTAAATATTCCCATTTCTACTCCTATTTCAATTGAAATGAGTTAAAGACAGTTCATGTTTAATTTGATGAATCGGTGTAGATTTCATATGCAGCACTTCAATGTAAAACTCATGCATATTGAATTTCCTTTTGGGGATAAATAAAGTTCTTATCTTACAGCAATTACTGGACAATTTTCCAGCGAATATTTTCACCATCTTCCACGACTCAACGTTGAATCATTTGCTGCTCAAACATGGGGTGACATTGCTCTTTGGTAAAGTTTGGTATGCTCGTGCAGAACTTCTGCTCGCTATCGTTAAAAAAAAAATAGCACCTACGTATGACCTTCGGTGACCTTTGGAGAGCCTTTGACTTTACTAAGGCCAAAAGTCACAGTTTATTGGTTGTGCGTGCCTCTAATGCAGATCTACGCCGACATTTGATTGGTTCATCTTTGAGCTGTAATTGCTTTGAACATATAATCCAACTAAAATTGATAAAGAACTTTGATTGGGGTGTACTCATTTTTGCATCCTGATTTTAAATTGAAAAAAATACATTTTTGTATGCAACTTAAAAAATCTTGTTTGCAATCAATGACCTACATTTGGGGGAGTATTTTGTTTTATTGTCCTACATAGAAAATGTTGATTTGACAGGAAACTAAACATCTCTGAAGGGGTGTACTTATTTATGCTGAGCACTGTAGTTGCATATGTACCTACAGTGTCCCGCCTGGATAAAAGTAAATACATAAAGATCAAAATATAATACAGTTATTTGATATGAAATAAAATAATGTAGTCATAAATCACTGCATGTAAAAACCCAGCATAAGTAGCAGTGACAGGTGCCTCCCTGGTCGCTCTTTCAGTTTTAGCTCTGCAGCTGAAATCCTACCCTGAGAAAGCCCCTGATGCTGGAGAACAGGCCTGGCTGCTACACGCAGACCACATCCCATACTCAGTCTACGCTGAAACTACAACCACGCTCTGACCTCTGTAATTGTCAAGCAGAGGCAGGACATTTACACTCAGGGGGTATAAATATCCCCCCAGTGATCTTCCATGACTCCCTGTGAGGCTCAACAGGTAGGGCGCAGCGGAAAGCCAGCTGTCTCCCCCCACATCATCAGTCATCCAGTTTGGATCCAGACTTGCAGACTGCTGATCGGTCTGATCAAAGCATCTGCGGTGCCCTCGTTTCAACAGCGTACATTAAAGTTGTGTAATAACCCTGAGAGGAGATTTTGTGATTTTCCACTTCTCTGAATGTCGGAGTCCTTTTAATAATCGGGTTTTATAAGCAGAGGTGCAAAGCAGCAGTGAGGGCTCTTCTATATCATCGTGGATTTACAGGATTGTTGCATGAATGTGAAGCAGCGCCCTGATATTAAAGATAATTGATTCACTGTATTAGATAATGTTAGATTTACAGACTGGGGTTATTTATAGTCGGCAGCTTAAGACTGCTCTAATTTACTGCTTTGTAATGACTCTGCTGGTTATATTCCTCTCCGCTAATGAGCAAAAACAAACTACGCTAACTTGAGACAACTTTGAGGAGCTTTATGTAATTAATTAACACCACCATTAAAGCCATCATGATAAATAAATGTCTTGAACAAACATATTTTTTTTTTAAATGGTGATTTAAACTCTTAATTTACGTGAATAAGCTTTCATTAACGTTTTATCTCTGTTTTGATTTCAGGTCAGACAAGAAGACTCTGAGTACTGAGTCTGTTTCCGGAAAAAAGAACGGGAAACCCCCGACATCCGCCGTACCGCCTCCCATTCCCATGTCGCCCATCGTAGAGAAAATGGAGGGGCTGAAGGCCATCCGTAACCGCAGCAACAGCCTGCGTCTGGGCCGGCTGGCTTTCTACCGACACCTGGAGAAGGTGGAGACCATGCGCTGCTTCTGGGAGCTCAAACACGTGGAGCTGGAGGGAGGAAACCAGCAGGTAACATCGACACACCGTCCTCTAGTCTTATATGTTGAGACAAACTTGAAGATAAAGTTAATAATGGTGGATATTAAAGGTGGGGTCGTCAGGATCTGAGGAGGTTCCAGTTTTTAGGAGAAATCTTGAATGCAAACTCTACCCCTCCCAACCAGTTTCCCCCTCAGCTCCTCCTCTCCCCTCAAGCCCCGCCCACAAACAGACGCTCCTGCTCGCTCGTATTGTTCCAATTAAATTCAGATATAATGCAGATAAATCCTTCAGATCATTACAAATGGGGCCCAGTCAAGGTGAAAGTCAAAAGCATTGGTGCTACTGTAGATGCCAACAGACTACCAGCAAACACAATGTTTGCAGGACTTCTACAACGAGGATAAAGTGACATAGTCCAGGACCCGAGGGAGGACAGTTTAGCGATGGAGCTACAACACGCTACAGCAGGTCCGTTTGACAAGAAACACTTCTGTTACAGACACTTGTCTTACTTTGTTAAAGCGGTTTACCTGTCCAGCAGAAAGGTTACAGGGTCTGTTAGATCCCGAAGTGTCCCCCATCGTTTATGTTGACTCGGCTTCTTTGCTCTTGCCCGGACTACCTCCATTTTAAGCGCTCATTATTCTGCCAGAGTCTCCGGTATTTACTTTGTTTTATTGCTTGTGTTTTCCGTTCTTTCTGGTTGGTTTCTACTGTCCGATATTGTAGCACGCTAACTTTGTTTGGGCTCGTGAACGACACGGGGGAGCAACATCTGCCTCACAACCAATCAGGTTAGAGGAGGAGGAGAACGGCTTTGTTTACAGTCAGAAAGAGCGGGCTGCTCAAAAAATGTAAAATGTTAACTGCACAGGCATAAAAAAAACTTTGATATTGCAATATTACCAAATGTTATCAATAACTAAAAGCTATTGACTGATAACAAAAACATTTTTTGTATATACACCACAAAAAAAAATTTGTTTGTTTTATTTATACATACATATCTATTTTTTTTCTCCATATTTTGTTTTTTTTCTCTTTTGCTTTTATCCTGTTGTTTTTACTCTGTAATGTGTCCTTGAGTGTCTAGAAAGGCGCTTATAAATTAAATGTATTATTATTATTGTTATCTACTGTCCTAAAATCCAGTTTTGATTGCGTCAGATTTTCTGTTTTTGTGAAACTGTAATGCTGCCTGATACTGCCTGTGCTCAGCCTGAGCCTCAGTCATCACTGTGTGCAGAGGGGGAATCAGGGGAACTGAAATAACTCCCTGCAGACGCTGTTCCAGCGCGCTGCACCTGTTGGCAGACTCATCATGTCCAGACAGGTGGAATACAACGAGAACACTAGAGGGAGTCGTAGATCTTTGCATGCTTCGAATCGTCCTCCCAGTTTGAAGCCTGTTAACTATCAGCCAGTCTCACACGTTCAGTAAGACACGGGCTGATAGAGCTGCGAGCCACAAACCCCGCAGCCACAAGGTGGAAGCACAGAGTCAGTTTGTTTAGAGAGACTTTTGCATGAGTCACTGAGGATATCTCTCTTTGAGGAAATTAATGTGACAAAATACTGTATAATTGACAAGATAACTGAGTGGAAAAACCACAACCTCTAGGGTTGTCAAAAGTCAGCTTCTGAGTGTATCATTGATCCAGCTGTGTGCTGCATGTGAGGCATCCCTGAGATTCAGTGCACTCTTTGTATTAATTAATTTCTCTTCTACCTTACATAAGTGTTCGTATGAGTGGAGTAATGCTTTGTTTTTGAAGAGTGGAGATGGGTGTATGTTCGTCTGCATGGGGTGTCCGGGAAGCTGCAAACTAGGGATGCACTGATCTGATATTTGGATCGGATATCGGTGCCGATGTTGACAAATTAACTGGATCAGATATCTGATGAATGATGCCGATCCAGCATTCTGGTCCAGTCTTTTTATTCTTTTAATTAATATCATACACAGAAACATATTATTTGTTAATAATTAAAAGTAAGTAAATTTATATCTGTGTTAATTTGTCACCTTTTTTTTAACAAAGCTAATGTCGAGCCTGATACCTTCACTCACAGGGCGAGGTAAACAGTTCATTCATTCAACAGTAGTATTGGATCAGTATTGGATATTGGCCGATACGCTCAGCCCAGGTATCGGTATCGGTATTGGATTGGATCTCTTCTGCAAACATCACTCCTCTTGGTGCAGCAAAATGCACTCACTGGTCTTGCCTTGTCGTGTTTTGCAAGTTGAACTCTGAAGCCTGAGCCCTCGTTCACACTCTCACATTAGTTAAGTGCATTGAGAAACTTGATGCAGATCACGTGCGCTCCAAATTCTGCAGGGTGGTCAAAATGGATCATCTGTGATCCTTTCCACGCTGCTCAGGATATGCTCGTATGATAAATTCGTATATGAAATAATTTCTTCGTCCGTGCGCCTCTTTTTCTGTTGGATGTAGATGCAGGTAAACAATCGTCAGGAGATGGTGTTTGCCTTGTTGAGAATGTGTTTTGTTTGTTTTTATTCGTCTCGTCAAACTTATAAATCAGCAGCGCTTTCCAAGAGACCACGGTGGAAATATTTCAGCTTCATGGGAGGCAGCATGTGTAACCAGAGATCATGAGCCTGTCACAGAGCTCAGGGAACAACTCTCTCACCACCCACTCCATCTCTGAACTCCGACCTCAGCTGCACCTTTGCTCCAACACCTGTTTGTCCGTCTCCCCCCTGTGTGCTTCACTATCCCCCCATCCTCCTCACATCACCACTTCACACCCCTCATAGTTTAACTACTACATACTGTTCCACGCCGTTATCAGACACATGCAGATCCTTCATTAACAAATACGGTCACTCAGCTCTGCTCGCCGCACAGGTTCTCCTCAGATTCCCTCTGAGGAATAGTTTCCCCCCTCAGGGCTCCTGCTCTGTAACCCTTGACCTCACCTCACACCTGCTGCTGCTTGTTAAATCAGCTGATGTGCTCCAAAAATTCCCACTTAGAGGAATCGTGCAAATCTAATGTGTGACAGAGCAGTTTGGAGACAAAACTTGGCGTAAAAGAAAACTTTTAGTAGCTGCAGCTGCATAGAAACTGAATGTTGCTGAATGAAGTGAAAGACAGTTAAACCTGGTTTGTCATTTTCTCAAATAAGGTAAAGTTTTATAATAAGTAGAGTAATTTTCTACTCTTTCTTATCCTGTCTGGTTGTAAATAGAGTTGTTTTAGCCTTGTGCTGCTGGTTTAATTCACCTCAGAGGAAATTAAACGGTCATTTCTCTCGACTGGTTCTTGTTTTAATGGACAAACATCACGTGGTTTGTTTTCACACACGTCCTGCCATCTTAGCTGTTTGTGAATGCTCATCTTAAATACAGGATTGTGATTGGTCCACTTTATCTGACACTAAGGGTAAATGTTTAGCATGGCAGCAGCTTCAGATCCACATGCCAGCGAAAATTAATATGAGCTGACCGATGGTTCTGGTACAGCAGACTCCGGTCCTCCCCTGCTGGCCTTTAAGAGGATGCAAGCCTGGTGTCACGTTTGAAACGGCTATTATATTTGTTTCTGTGAAGTCTATGCTGAGTGAGTGAAAATAAAATTTCAGGCCTATACGCAGAAAAAACACGGACTCCTGAATCTTAAATCTATCTATAAAAAGTATTCAGACACCGAGATGTAATGGAAACCCTTCACGTTGTAATGCACCAGCCTGTTTATCAGGGAATGAGGGGGAGGGGTCTGATCTGCCTGACTGCGGTGGTCACGTTCTACTATGTGATATAAATCATGAGCTCTTGCACTCGCTGTCGTACACACAGAGGCATCCACAATCCAGGGAAACCTGCGTATCTTTATCTAAAGGTTGTTTGTGGCTTCAAGCATGGAAACTAGAAACAGGAGAACATTTGTATGTGGTTTTTTTCACTTTAAATGTCAAAGTTTTCCTGAATAATTCCAACTCTCCCATCCTCCTCATGAATTTAAACACTCAAACCTTAACTCTGGTTTAGTTTAGCCTAGTCACCCTTGCCCTCTCCAGAATGTAATAATTGACTATAACCACTCAAACCTCCTACTCTCTTTTTCTCCCCAGAGTGTATTTGATGACTTTAACCACTCAATCCTTAACTCTGGTTTAGTTTAGCCTACTCTCCTTAGCACCTTTGACTTAAATAACTCAAACTTTAACTCTGGTTTAGTTTAGCCTTCTCTCCTTTCCTTCTCTCCACAGTGTAATTGACGACATTAACCACTCAAACATTAACTCTGGTTAAGTCAGGCTTACTCTTCCTTCCTCCTCTCCAAAATGTATTTAATGACTTAAACCAATCAAGCCTTAACTCTGGTTTAGTTTAGCCCACTCTCCCTTCCTCCTTTCCAGAATGTATTTAATGACTATAACCACTCAAACATAAGTTCTGGTTAGTTTAGCCTACTCTCCCTTCCTCCCCAGAGTGTATTAAATGACTTTAACCAATCAAACCTTAACTCTGGTTTAGTTATGCCTACTTTCCCTTCCTTCTCATGACTTCAACCACTCAAACATTAACTCTGGCTTAGTTTAGCCTACTCTTCTTTCCTCTTTCCCAGAGTGTATTTGGTGACTTTAACCACTCATACATTTACTCTGGTTTAGTTTTGCCTTCTCTCACTTCCCCCTCCTCAGAGTGTAATTGATGACTTAAACCTCTCAAACCTTAACTCCGGTTCAGTTAAGCCTACTCTCCCTTCTTCCTCACCATAGTGTATTTGGTAACTTTAACCACTCAACTATAACCTCTTGTTAAGCCTACTCTCCTCTCCTTCTCTCCACAGTGTAATTGACAACTTTAACCACTAAAACATTAACTCTGGTTTAGTTAAACCTACTTTCCCTTCCTTCTCATGACTTCAACCACTCAAACCTTAACTCTGTCTTAGTTTAGCCCACTCTCCACACAAATGATGATCAATCAGTTCAGGGTTATTCCTGTCTCTCTTTTCAACCCTGTTTTCTGTGAGACATATGTCAAAGACAGACAAGTGCAGAAGTAGCAGCACGTGCCCCCGGAGATGATAAACTTAGCCCCCATTACATGCAGGTGTTTGTTTACATGTAAGCGTGTTTGTCCGCTGGTTTGCCATTGTAAGAATTTGCAGTGATTCATGTAAGACTGTCTGTGTTTTTTGAGGTATAGGGGAGTGAAGCTTCTGCAGGACAGATATACTGAGGGGTTCACATGCATGCGTGAAGTGCTGCGTCTGAAGTTAAAGGATACCGCCGGGGTCTCACTAACATACCAGCAGCAACAGAAGGCATCTGATTCTGCGTACAGCAACGACACGACACCCTGAGCCCGATACCACCTGTCCCCTTCTCGTCTCAGAGACAGCATGTCCTCTCCTTTTAGGTCCCGGGTGGGAGGCAGGGAGAACGCCGGGTGGAGGGTGACTGGTTGGCTGGGTGGGCTGGCGGCTTCACAGCACAGAGCCTGTTCTTGTCTGAGCTCGCAGTGAGCGAGAGAGATTAAGCATTTAATGCACAGCTTTAGACGCCAGGCTATTTCATCATCAACTCCTGCTGTTGCCCTATGTCAACAACCTGTTGCCACCTGAGAGTCGTTTGCCACAGGTGACAGAGAGGCTGAAGTAAGACAGACAGCCAGTACAGGTGGACTACAGGGAGAGGAAGATGGAGAATTTCCTGAGGGATAAAGATATTTGGATATTAGGGAGTGTGTGTCTGGTGGCTACTTTCCTGTGGGGACCACTGTGGAAATTATTCTCAGGAAAGAGGAGGAGAAAGGCTGCATCGTCCGCAGACGCACAGGTAACAATGACAAAAATGTGGACAGGTGTATTTTGGAGCATGCCAGAAGTTTGTTTAATCCAGGTAGATCTTGGAGGATTGTTGTCAATAACTTCAGAAATGAACATGTCTCTGTTTATGGATCCCAGCTGTCAGTCACTCTATAAATTACGCCAGAGGCTGACACGCTGCAGGCCTGCATAAACCGGAAGTAATGCATGTTATCAAATTATCACTTGAAGTCATGCTGTCTAAATGCCAGTGTGAGAAAATGTTGAACAATTTCTGATTTACTTTCAACAGATTTGACCAAAAAGGTTATAAAGATCAGTGATGTTTTACAGAAAATATGTGTGATAGTTTGGACGAGTCGGAACAGATCTAAATAAACTTTTGGTCCAAAGAATAAAGAATAAGTGATCAATTTATTACATATATTTTTCTATACAACGGAAGAGCTGTTTCGTATTGATACTAGTTTGAGTATTAGTACTGCCTCAAATCTCGTCTTGGTTATTGGTAGTTACTCAATCAAGAACTACCTCTAAAATCAACTGATTATGTAAAGTTCACCTGTGGAGTCTTGACAAAGTGAGACTAGACCTCAACATAAACTCCATAACTATAACCCGAATAATTACCCAACAACCAACTAAATACACAAACATACCAACACTTAGTGATGATCTAAAGATTATATGATAGCTGTAAAGATGATTTATTTGAATAGAAATAAAACTTGACTGCTACCGTGATGTAGTTTATGGGTCCATGTATTATTCGTCCATCCAATTATTCCATTCAATCTAGTAAACGAAAAATGAGTCAATATTTTGTTTATTTGTTTTTCTGTATAACCAAAAAATAAAAAATAGTGTTTGTTTTTGTAGCATTTTTAGCTCAAAACAAAATATATAATAGAGATGGAAACGAAAACGAAATAATAAATCTTATTTACAATTATTGATTTTGAGTGCACCTGTTTGAGCATATATGCATGGAGGCTACATTGGCCTTCCCATGATCCTCAGCAACAGTTACCATGGCGAAAGATGCAACAGAGTGGTTCTAGCGCCAAAATCTTCCGTTGTATCAGAGCTCTGGTTATAATTTTCTCTACAGTCATATCTTCCTCCTTCAGCGTGACCCTTTTGGCGGCTTTAAAAAATACGAAAGATGCGTCCATCACCATCACAGCAGGTTAGCCTTTCTTGACCGCTATGGCCTGGAGGCTTTGGTCCACGTTGTTGCCGACTTTGTTGCTCAATGCGCATATGCAAACAGTGGAAAGGCACCGTGGAAATAGGGACATCAATAACCCGAAAACTAAAAGTAGATTAATTACCATATTTTTTGCACTATAACCGCATTAAGCCAAACAAAACAGTCAATGACTCCTGGAGGCTACGGTAGCTGCAGTGCTCCAACAAGCCAAAAGTGCGCCTTATAGTGTGAAAAATATGGTATTTTGTTTTCATTTCCATCTCTTTTATATATTCTGTTTTGAGCTGAAAATAAGAAAACAAACACTAATCTTTTATTTTTTGGTTTTATAGAAAAACAAATAAACAAAATATTGACTGGATTAATTGAATGGACGGATAATACACGGACCTTTATGTTTACTTTTGTCTGTTTTCTTCAATTTGGTGGATGTCATTTTCACTCTGTGGCCTATAATGTGTTTTGACGTCCGTCTCTCATTGTTGCGCTGTTTTCCCACATTTGCTAATCTAAAGTTTTATTCTATAAAACTAAATAAATTACAAATCTCCAGAAACTACAACATGAGGAAGTGTAATCAGCAAACTGGATTTGCTATAATTCCTTTTCTGCAGATTGATGTGTGTGATCAGGTTGACTTAGATGTTGCGTCACTCAGAATTAAGAGGTTTTGACCAATCAGAATCAAGAATTTAACATGAGTGATTAGTTAAAAAGACATTAATTAAGCTCAATCAATTGAAACCAAAGTTAATTATGAATAGATGTGATATAATCTTCTACGGTGTCTGGTGATGTCGCCCACCTGTGGCCGGAGTGTGAGCCAAGGACACTGAGTGGAAAACATCACGTCATCTTTCCTGCGTCACACACATGACACCAGCCATGACATCTAAATTCTGTCAGGTAGTACTTGGCTCCTCCGCTCCATCCAGCTGAGGCCTCACATACCTTATCCAGTATAACCCACTTTATTATGTCAACATAATCCAGCATGACGCTAGCGTAATCGACTCCTCATAAAAAGTGCATCCGTGTCAGCTCAATATTTTTATTGGTCTCAGTCTTCTTGTCCGGGGCTGACAGCAGACTTATTACAGCTGGATTTATAACTCTATTTATCGTTTCTGCTACCTTTAACGGTTGGTGTGTCAACATGTCGTCAACGAGGAGGTTGATAGAAACGTGAAAACGGTAAATCAGACAGGTGGAGTCAGATTAATTGAGAACTGTCCAAGGTGCTGAAGCAGCCATAATACTCATCTGATATCTGATTGGATAATCTCACTGTAAACTTGCTGCTGCTGGGAATCTGACCAGTTAAACTGAATCTTTTGCTAAATTATTTCCATCCTGGACAAGTTAGAAACAAACAACCATTTTAGCACCTGACACATCTAAACTAGCATGCCGTTGTTGTAGAACCATAATGTATTTTTAACTAAAATACATATAACTGGTTTATTTAAATCTAAAGCTGTGTTAAGCATAGATGAAGGTGGCATTTACCATTGTAAGGTTGTACCCTTGTCTCTACTCCATTAGTTAAAACTGTTTTTTTTTAACCCTGTTAAACTCCATTTTAAAGCTCCTGTGAGGAGTTACTTTGACATTAGGGGTGGGCGATCTGGAAAAAATCTCATACCACTTTTTTTTTTTTTTTTTTGCAAAATCCAATCACGATTTTATCATGATTTTTCCAAGGTAATAGGGTGAAAAATAGAAATAATAAATTAGATAATATATCCAGATATTGGCAACGAACAGCATTATATTTATCTTAACTGGATGAGTCTCATTCTCAGAGAAAAATAGGAAGCAGTTTCTTTATCTTGTCCTTTTTTTGTCCAATTTTTCCGCCACTGCAGTTACTTTTATTAACATTAACACGTTAATTCTGTGGGTAAATTAAAATGTGCTCTCTTAACTTCTAAAATTTAGATGTGAGAGGGCAAGAAATTTATGTAGACACATTTTAGGGACACAATGTGTGCTACAGACAGTTCTACAATCTCTGTGCTTTGGCAGATCGTCGTCACTATTTAATCTTTCTCGATCTAAGATCGTCAGATCGTACGCCCCTATTTAACATTGATGAAATAGACTGATATTCATATTGAAGTCTTTTTATGAGATACACTTTCAAGCAAGACCATCAGCGAGAAAATCTTCTATTTTTATCTTGTAATTTTTGATGTCTGAAAATGGTGGGGGTCGGTGTTGGCTGAACAGCTGAAGAGACAGGCCGGTTTTGCACAAGATGTTCGCAATAGATGATACAGTTAAGTGTCTAAATGACATTTTTATCAGAAGATACAACCTAAAATTTGTGGATGACGGGTAACTGCTTTGTCCACATGGGGCACCAGACCTTAACTTCCTCACAGGAGCTTTAAGTTTTATTTTTCACAGAGTTTAAAAGTGCTCAAGTTACTTTGTGAGGCGCTCAACTTTGATTTTATCTTAAATAAAAGCATATAAACACGTCCCTACTCCAGTCTCAGTAACAAACCCATCTTTTGTACTGTACCTCATACTGTGTGAGGCTCCCAGAGAGTAAACTGCGGCTTGCTAATGCGCGTGAGCATGACTAATGTGAGAAGAGCTTCTCCTGCCTCGGATTCTCACACTCACATAGCTCGGACTAAATTAGCTCACAGACAAATAAATAAAGGAGGGATGGAGGTGGGAGTCAGTCATAGTTTCATGTAATGGCTTTAAGAATACAACATGACTAACATGCACGGGATTAAACGTGTTTTTGTTTTAATCTCGTCTAGTAGATCCAACCATGGACAGACACATGCGTATTTTTAACTTCCAGTCCTTCATTTCATTACAACACAGTCGAGAAAGATGGAATTAATGAGCTAAGGTGTTTGATTTATAAAAACTTGTGCATATAAAATCTTTGAGATGAGTCCAATCAGCATATAAAACAATAAACAGTTTATAGTATATAACAGTTTTTTCTCACGTTTAAAAGTTTTATTCAAACTTTTTCAGTCCAGAGGAGTAGCTGAAAACCAGAAGTTAATAAACAGTGAAGAAAAAAAGAAAATCTAATCATGTAATCAGTTGGTTTGGTAAACATACAGTCTCAGTAAGACTATGTGAAGCTTTGAAGCCTGTTGACTTCAGTCACCATGTTGGAAATGCTAACTCATCCTGACGTATGGTTGAGCTGGGCCTTTAGCCAGCGGTTGGATTCGTCAAAATAAATAGATTGGGGTGTACAGACAATTATTCATACTCATAGATAAACATGTGTCTTTTTTTTTCTTGCTTTTCTCCTGAACTGACACCCGGGAGCTCTGGACATGTGTTTCATATTAGAGGCCTTGCATATCCAAAGTTAACAGGGATCACCTTCCGAAATAAATATATGTTACTCTGATCCTCAATCCTATTAAAATGCCGACAAGAAAAGTTCAGAAAAGTCAAATCAGGTTGACTATATCTGACCTTGTTTCACATCAAGTTAGTTCCTAATCAGTTTACTGTCTGTATGTCATTATGAATGGAAGAAAAAGGCCCTTACTTGTGTATTTATTTGATCTAAACTCTGAACTCATGAATGTTTTCCTCCTCAGCGTTACTATCTCCCTGTTTTGTCCTCTGTCTCTCTGTCTGTCTGTCTGTCTCTGGTATAAGGACACCGGGGGAATGTGCTGTTTTTGCCTGGACTCCCCTGGCCTCTCTGTTGGTGTCCATTTTCAGTCGTTTGCATAACCGTTCACTCGCTCGCTGCTGCTGATATGTACCAGAGTTTGGACCAATCACGTTCACTCAGTGCAAACAAGCTCAACAGATAGCTCTCCTATACCCTCGTCTCACTTTGTCTAATTAGTTCATTAGGAAGAGTGATTTTCTGTCACGATAAAGCAAACAAAAACACTTTGACTTTGTAATTAAGCAGTTTTAAACAACAGTGTGATCGAATGAGTATTAAGTCGTCTGATATGATTCAAAAAGCAGTTTGGTGATTGTATTTTTAGGGTTTGGGTGTTGTGGAGTGCAGAGGTGGCGATTGAGAGCAGGATGAAATTAATCTGAATCAAACTTTGGGCCAACATGAAGTGACTCGCTGGCAGTCGAGTCGGGCTCAGACCGCAGTCGCTGTTTATGATTTGACACCGTGTACAGTAGATCAAACGTCACCATCATCGACAGGTCGGGTCTGGAGAGGGGTCAGTAGGTCAGAGATCAGCTGTGTGGGACCCTCCTCCAGATTCACAGCTGATCAACAGCAGGTCGTGTGGTCAAAAGAAGTCTGTGGTTCTCTTCTGCCACCCAGTGGTAGATTCACAGAAATGCACTTTGCAAACTGTAGCTTAATTATGATTTAAAATTGCATATTTGTATTCTATGATTCTTAAAAAGACTTTAAACAAGCTGCCATTAAGGATGCACAATATTTCATGTATATATATTATTGGTATAACTATATAAAATCCTAAAATATTAATTATTTGTGTTGGCAGGTATGAAAAATTCCTGCACGATGCATTAATTTGGCACCACCGATGATAAAATCTGCCTGCAAACAACAAACCTAAACATATCAGCTGTATGAGGGTGTTTTTTTTAAGTGTTGGAACTGTTCATTTGTAAAGCACAGGTGATGTGAGGAGGACCGGTTTACTGTAAACCTTTTAAAACTGGGATTTAATTGTATGTCTCGGGAACCAAAGTAACAGCAAGAAAAGTAAGAAAACAAAAACAGAAGTCGCAAAAGAATCCTTGAATCACGGCTCTGGAAGTTGCAGGTTAATGATCGGTGTTGGTGTAGCAGTATTTTTATTGGTGTTGATATCAGTCAAAATGAAAATATCAGCAAATATCCAATATCGTGCATCTCCAGCTGCCAGCCGACACCCCCGTGTTTGTGCTGACACAAAAAGTAGAGGGACACATGAGCTCCCCTGTTGGAATTCTTCCCTAAGCTCTGCTGGTTTTTGTGTGAATGAGTCTGTGCGGGCGCTTTTTTGGCGGTGGGATTCACAGTCATTTGAGGAGGTCAGAGGTTAACATCTATCCCCCAATCCTCTTTCACGCCCAGTTGTCTTTACGTTACGTAATAACTGACAGTGAGTAACAAACTCAGGATAACAGAGCAAAGTCGGTTTGTGTGCATGTATTTTTGAACACTTATGTAAGATATTTACCAGCGTGGCTCCAAACAAAAATACATAAACACACTTTACAGACGTCAAACATCACCTCTTTTCCATGACAGGAATTTGTACGAGGCCATAACAGAGAAAAAGGCTGAACGAATGTTATCACAGCAGCTGAACTGTGAAAGTACAGACTGTCATCGGCCGGTGGTGACATGAGTAAGTTTGTCAGATAGAGCAGCAGCAGGTGGAGCTGCACAGATAATACGCAGCCTTGTTTCCATTTTCATTCACTCGCCTGGAAAAAAGCACCGTGGACATTGAAGTTTGATACGGTTTCTTCGAAAACACTAAACCAAACCTACATCGACCCATGAGACACGAGTCAGAAGTTTCCAGCTCTCAGAGTGCATTATGGGAAAACATACGTACATACATATACTGTCCAAGACATGTTGAGTATTTACATTCATCTCATAGTGCAGCTATAAAAACATGAGTTATGGGTCAGACGTCACGAGTCAACTTGGTGATTTCCAATGAAGGGGCCTCGCAAAACGCAGAGCACCTCTGTTGTTGCTTTAGGTTATGTGGAAAGATTGTGGAGCATCTGTCTATTTAAAAAAAAAATGTTTTTAATGATAAATATTCACGTAAAAAATATCCATGAGTTAAGAAAGCGCATTGCATTCACCAAAAAAGAAACAAAAACTATTATTTTTTGTTATGTTTTTCAAACTAACGAATAGGAAACAGAAAGATGAAAAAAAAATAGCACAAAAAACAGGAAAAAAAATAGTCAAAAAAACAGAAAGAAAAAAAATTGTCCAAAAAACAGAAAAAAAGCAGATAGAAGAAAAAAATAGTACAAAAAACAGAAAAAAAATAGTCAAAAAAAAAAACATAAAGTAGAAAAAAATAGTCCAAAAAAAGGAAAAAAATAGTCAAAAAAAAAACAGAAGAAAAAATAGTCAAAAAAAAGAAAGTAGAAAAAAATAGTCCAAAAAAACGGAAGAAAAACAGAGTACAAAAAAGGCAGAGAAAAATAGTCAAAAAACAGAAAGAAGAAAAAACTTTGTCAGAAAAACAGCACAAACAAAATACTCAAAAAAAAAAACAGTTTTCTTTACTATTGTCAGAGAATGCAATACAGATCCGTAGTGAACAGCTTTAGTAGTTGTTAAAATCCAAAGAAAACTAGCAAATAACTTGCAAAGTGACTTAGTGGTTACAGGAAAAAAAGTTGTGAGAATAAAGATATAGTAGATTTAAAGCCATACTGTTGTTTATTTACAGCTTTATCCGCCCTTTAAGTGAGTCCAGCTGGTTGTAAACTCAGACCACAGCGGCGGTGGGATCAGCGAGTAAAAAGAGACGCTTTGGCTGCAGTAATTTGAATGGAATTATATTTGGTGTCAGTGAGGCCGATGAGGCGAGTCATGATGATGGTATGATAAGGTCTTTGTGGGCAGCCATGTTCTATTTAAGGGGGGAAACCCTGTATGATTCAGGGGCCCCAGAGCTGGACCAGGGCCCTGTGACATGCCGGAGATCAGTGAGCTGTCACTGAGCTGTTGTCAGTTGGCCCAAAATTGTTAGTCTATTGCCAGGCACCCCCGGGCAGTCTGTCTGATTTGAGGTAGGGGGTCACAGGTTCAGCTCATGAGTTTACAGTCCCCTATATGGGGTTGATATAGAGCAGGGTCAGCGGGCTGTATGGAAGTTCAACATGGAGGATGAAGAATGGACGCACAATCAATTTCTGACATGTTTGCTTTTACTTGTATTGCAATTTGAGTGCAGAGGTGACACTGAAACACAAACCTTGACAAGGACTGTTTTTTCTGTCACACTGAGGTTTGACCATAGATAGTATAGACTATAGACAACTTGGCTCCGCCTTCCGTCATTATATGAATTTGAAGCCGAATTGCTCTCGGTATTTCCAGGATTTTCTCGCATTCAGCAGGAGAGTCGCTGAGAGTCGCCATGATGACGCTCAGCTCAAACAGTGTATCCCCTCAGCTGAGCTACGCGATCTACGTACACTCATAGGCTGTATCAAGTGTCAATCATAGAAAACATGAACCCCCTAATAACTTTTAAAAATGGAGCTGCACAGAAAAAAGAGGACTTGAGCACAAACCAGTCTGACAGTAACTACATGTCAACATCGCAACCAGGGGGGAGAAACATTTATATTCTGTGTAATAAATTTCTAAAGTTTGTCCACAGCTCCATAGGGATTGCTGGAGGAGGCGGGATTTATGACCCATACTGCAACCCGTCACTAGAGGGTGCTGTTCTCGCGGTGGCTTCACCCAGTTAGAAGGCAGACAGAGTCCAATCTATATACAGTATCGGTTTGACATTTTCATAAACTACCAACAGCAAATTTTGACACTTTTCAGTAAAAAAAAGCAAACAATCTTGTTTTTTAAATTGAATTTTACAAAAACTGCCAAAAAATTTCAAGTCAAATTCCCAAATGATTCTTCCCAGTTTTCAGGAAACTTTGAGTAAGTTTTAGTGTGAGTTTTGTTAAAACATTCAGCTGTATTTTAAGTTAAATATTGAAGGAATTTTATTGAATATTTATGTAATTTTCCAATGCAAAGTATGGAAAAAAACATAATTTGAAGTTGTAATCCTTTTGAGTCCTGTGCATTTTGCAGAAACTAAAACAAAAGTCTTCCTTGGAATTACTAAAAGCACGCTAAAACGATGAGTAAATGAAACCAAACTCGTTGGCCCAAACTGAAAATGAATCATTAAAGTTAAAAATCCATGATCGATAGCTCAACAACCTCAAAAAGAAAGATCTAACTTTGCTTTAAGGTGTACAGAAGAATACGGGTCCATGTTTTGGTGCAGTAACAGGACCAAATCGTGAGGTAGTAATATATCAAAAGTAATTGTAAGCACATTTGTACTCACTTTTCTCTCCAGCTGGACTCTGCAGGCTTTACTATTATTGAATATGGGCCGCAGCTTCACCACAATAGCAGCCGTAAGCCTGAGGCAGATTTTGATTGTGTGTCTCACAGTCTATTATTGTTTCTGAGGGATAAAGCTCGTTACATTCATGCTGCGCTACAGTGATATTGGATTACTGGACAGTCTGCGGCACTAGAATAAACATTATGTATTGTCTGTGTGTTCTTTGCTGAGTAACTTTATAAGCTGTCAGAGTGATGAGGCTGCGTCAGTCTCATTCCTAAACAGCGCTCCTATACCACACCGGCTCTCAGTTTACCATGCAACCTTTTCTGAGGGGATTTCAGAGATTGTACATCAGGGTACAGTTAAACCTCCCCCGGCCCTGAACACCACCAGACCCAGACCAGCATAACCACCTCCCTGATCTGATTCTCGTTGAATTATATTATGCTCATCTTTAACCAAAATTTGTAAAAATCTTATACGCTACATGTCACATCCATCCATTCTCACCACGTTCATTAACAGCTGGAGGAGGCTGCTCAGTGAAGAGCCCATCAGTATTAACTAATCCCATTCACACATATTTAAACACGCCTGACTTTGCCATCTAGAGTATCAGGAGGGGGTTCAGTGTCTCTCACAAGGACACTTAAGCATGTGAACTGCAGGATCTGCCAATGAGCCACCTTTACCACCTCTCCAGCTGCAAAGACACTCATCATGTCGACCATGTCAACTACGAGCCAAGCAGGCCAGCTCACACACTTTAAAGTAAAACCATAAAAGAGCCCTTATCTACGCGAGCGTATTGCATTCACTTACAAAAAAAAGGAAACTGTTTTTTGACTATTTTATTCTTCTGTTTTTTGTAAGAATATTTTTTCCCTCTTTTTGTTTTTTCAGACAAATATTTACTCTGTTTTTCGGACTTTTTTTTTTTTTTTGTCTTTCTGTTTTTGTCTTGACTATTTTTTCCCCTAACTATGGCTACGTTCACACTGCAGGTTATGATGCACAATTCGGATTTTTTGTTAAAACCGATCTTTTTGTGCGGTCGTTCACATTACAACGACAAATGCTGCATCTAATGTGAACAGAATGCGTCCGTGAAGTTACCCACATGCGCACAAAGCACAAATTGCTTTCCGCGCCTGTTTGTGTTGTCGAACAATGGTGACGTTTGTCGCATATTGATGACGTACAGGTCAGATGAACGCGACCTGAGTGTCCACACTGCAGTCACATCGGATTCATATCCGATTTATATCCACATACAGAAGAGGCCTGGGTCGGATTTGAAAAAATCAGAATCAGAATTGCACTGTTCACACACTTGTATATAAAAAAAAGTTTATACACCCAATCATTCATGACATTATATTGTTGTTGGAGGTGTTTGTCACATATATACAGAGCATCTATGAGAAAATGATGATACTTATATCTTTACCACCTTCTTTTTTCGTGTCTTCCTGCTCACTGTTTGTTTTTTTGTTATACATCTGCCGTTAGTCCTCAATTAAAAAAAAAAAAACTTAAGAAACCACCTCATTCTAGCAAACTGACAAAGTTAGCGAATATATCAAAGCATTTAGTGGTTTCAGAGTGAGACACTTACATCTGGAGTCGATGCGAATCACAGCGAGGCTGTAGGGAGAGCGAATATTCAACATCAGTGACTCCAAATGAATGCTAATGGTGCGTCATGTCGGCGAAATGTGAAAATAAGCAACAGGATGTTTGCCATAACAGCTTTATAAGGTGATAACATGTAGTGTTTACAGCTTGTCTCGATACCATTAGGTAGTCAGAATGTCACTGATGTTGCTGCGGTCCTTCTGCTTATTACGTGTTTTTTTCATTGAGCTGCTTTTCAAATACGAACCCATCTACCTGGATAGATTTAGAGGTGTCTCATGTGAGTAAATAAAGATGTTATAATGTCTGCCACCTTGTTAGTCTACAAACATCAATCTCCTTTGTTAGGTGACTGCAGAATGATGTATTTCTACTGTTTGTACTGTACCATGTCCGCACTTGCCCGGTGTCCTCTTTCATTCTCACCTCCGCTGGTAAATTGGCGCTGGGGACACGAGTGTTAAAGCTGACAGCTGACGAGCTGTCTCTACTGGGAACAGAGCGAGGGACAAACAGAGTATAGGTCAGGTTTTTCCGGTGTTGACAGATGGGTGCCAGTATATAGGCGCCGGCGCTCTGTCACCCTGCCTACTCCAGATAGCGATGTACCGAGACGTGGAAAGGCCTCAGGTCAATGTGTCCAGTCAGACACGTCTCAATAAGTGTCAATCGTTTGTGTCCGGACACAAATATGAATGTATGTGTTGGTATCCATGCGCAGTAGTATCTGTGTCAGTCTGTCCTCTTTAATTCTCTGCGGCGACACGTGCGTGTGCGTTAAGTTTCCTCTCTCAATCCTCTTCTCCAGCGTATCAACTGTTGGTGTCAGGGGCATCACCTGCTTCCTGTTCTCTCTCGTTGTCTTGTCCCTCACATTACTCGGTCAGTGAGCACTAAACTGGGACTGCTGCTAACTCTTTCCAGGAGGTGGATGCCAAATTTCCATAACTTAATTATCAGGCATCTTTGCCTGATATAGGATTGCTCAACAGTTTAGCGTCTCCTTTGTTGTAGATTCAGGCCATGATGTGTCAGATGTGGTCAGGTTAGTCCAGCACTCAGACTCTTCTGCTGCAGAGTAGGGCTGCACAATTTTAGCCAAAAAGAAAATCCAGTTTTTTTTCTCAGAAAACTCAATTTTCTATTTTCTATTTTTTATTCAGTGACAACTTCACCAAACTTCACTTTAAAAATAAAAGTTTTTCTATCATCTCTCAAAATGAAACCACTGAAAACAATGTAGTGCGTATGCCAAGCCAGTCAGTGGCGCTGTAACGCTGCACAGGAAATGCACAAAAGACAGAAGAAGAGTACAGATCATGTGTATAAAGGTTGTTTTGGTCGGACACGCACAAGCGCCATAAAAGAGTTACGCTGTGTGTCACATGATCGTTCTCAGAGATGCAGATAGACATCCACACGGAGATGAAATGGTCGTCATTTATGAATTTTTGCACTCTCTGACCTGTTTTCAAAAAGTAACGTTTACAGTCACCGGAAACACCTTGTAATAAATCTGAAAGTCTTTCCTGACAAAGGTTCTGTCTGGATGGCAGCAGAAGTTACTCTTAAAACTTTATATATTATTCAGCATTGGCTAACCATCCCATGAACACTTGCGCATCTCCAGACCATCATACATTCTGGTTTCTGTTTTTTTAAAAACAAAGTTGAGCAGAGGATGTAGCGTGCATAATTAAAAAAAAAGTCACCTTTATTTCTGGTTCATGTCCATAGATGGTTTCCTCTTTGTGCAGTGTTCACCTGGATGCATTGACATTGCTGCATTCACAGTCAGTGATTATGAGCCTATGCGGTGATTCCAACTACAGAGTCATGTTTGATTTAATGCAGAGCTGCTTTTCCAAGATTTCTCCAGATTCTCTCAGTCTTTAAATGATCATATTTAGTGTGGATTATTGATGATGAAACCCTAATTTTTTTTTTGCAATTTTAATCAAGAAACAGAAAAAAGGGGAAGTGGTCATCAGTCGAATCCTGAACCTGTTTTAAATGAACCTCATTAGTCGGAGAAGTTTCTTGCCATCTTTTTTTAAGCATTACAGCTCTTTCAGTAATTCATTTTTAAATTCTATTCTTGGCATCAGATTTAAAATGAACATATTGGTTTCCACAAAACACTAAAATCTTTTATTTTTAACATTTGATACGTCGTCTTAGCTAGGGTGACCATATTCTGAATCCCCCCAAAAGAGGTCAATATGCGGGGCGTCCTCTAGGGTTTTGCGGGTCGAGTGTTTTTTACGGGCTTCTAACTCAGTTAGTCCAGGACATTTGAAGGTTTTAAAAACTCACTCGGACAGGCCGGACAGACCCCAAAATTAGAGGACATGTTCGGGTAAGAGAGGATAAAAGTCTTCGCAAATTTTAGGTTTAAATGATTCAGAAACAATCAAAACCTGATTTTAATCAATAATTAACGGCAGATAAAGACCTCAGATTGTATTTATCACAAGTTTTATAAAAATCTAACTGTATGAAAACATTTTTTAATCATGACTTAAACCTCAAACTTTTTGTAAAAGCCCTCCCCCTCATGTTTGTTTTTGCACCGTTATGCAACGATCTGCTGACACATCCTCTCCAGTAAAAACAACTCGGCCATGAGAACCGCTCGGCATTTGTCGAGGTTCAAAAATACCTTCAATGCTCGTGTCTTTAACGATGGTTAATAAAGTTTTTGCGGCCTTGCACACGCTCGCACCTGTCGGTTTGCTTCCTGCTGTGAGACAATGTAAAAAAAAACTGCATGGACCTCTAAGACTCTTGTTTCTCCAAACACTCAGATTAAACTTCGCAGACTCTCTTTTTATCGGCAGATTTGGTTTTCTTATCTTCTCCGTATTCTTGGCTGGCAGCACTTTTTTATTTGTTTGTCTTAGTTTTTACGGCGTCATATTTCAGTCCCAGATTCTTGGGATTCTAACACCTGACTGAAGGGCTTTTGAAGTGTCTCAAATGTCACATAGCAACCCTCTCCAGCATCTCCCCCCTAACCCGCATCAATCCCCGACTGCACACCCGAGCCCCCCAGCTCTTATCACAGGCCACCCAGCCCCTGACGTCTACAGGGGGCTGCGCTTTAATTTGGACCTCAGCCATTTGCTATTCTTAAAACTGTGCGGAGCAGAACTGAAGGAGAGGTCTCTGTTCTCCGTCGGCTGAAATGGTTCCTGTCCTTTGGAGCATCGAGACTTGGTGAAAGTGATCGGACAGGGATTTTGAGAGGGTTTCGCTTTACGTGAGGAGGTCTCTTGTGAATTCGTCATGAATTCCAGCCTTGTCAACTCTTTAGCCAAAGTCTACGATCCGAACCCTCTCCACGGTCAGAAACCTGGAGGAAGGAAGCTCTCTTTTAATGGATCCGAGAAGTCCTCTTCTACTTCATCTTCACCTTCTTCATCCCCCTCTCACGACAGCACCCTGCGCCGCATGGAGAGCCGAATGGACTCCCTGAGCTCCCAGATGGAGCGCTTGCTCAACATGCAGCAGATCGTCCTCACTCGGCTGGACGGCTTGTCCCAGGACGTGAAGGGGATGGGTCGGGATCTGGCTTCTTTACGCGAAGAAGGGAGAAGAGGGTCAGGGATGGAGGCGGCGTGCAGGGAGCTGTGCGGGGCCGTGGAAAAGGTCGGAGAGCGGATGGAGAGTCAGGGGCGCAGGCTGGATGGGGTGGAGAAGCTGGTGGAGGGAACCCAGCAAGTGATCAGCTTTATTGGGGAGGTGGTGAAGGGGTCGAGGCTGGTGGAGCTGCTTTTTAAACAGCCTGGAAACAAGGCCAACAAGAAGGTGAGAGCGTGAACGACACAGATTTAAGATATTAGAAGAAGAAGGTGGTTTAAGGAGATCTTGTCTCTGCTCAAATCTGGTTTAGTTTGGTAGACCTTTCTGTGAAACTATGAAGAACTTGGTCACCTAACAGTTTGTATTGTTTATTGTTATTCCAGTCTTGGCTGCATACTATGGAGGCCTTCTTCTCTCTTATAATAGCTCACCATATATTTATAACCCTGTCTGTGTCTGCAGATATTATACATGATTCTTTTCATTTGGCCTCCTGAGGGCCTAATGAACCGGTCTACCTCTGATCTAGACTTCCTTTACCCATCATCTCCTCATCTACCTGACATATTTTTGACCCGACAACATTCCTCTCCAGCCTGATACGGCTCCTCATGGATCTTTTCTTAGCTCTGCTGTACTCCAACATGTCATTCTCTGTAATGTTAAGTAGTTTTCCTTTGTGCTGTGGTTGTCCTCGTGTTTCTAAGGTGTGAGTGATTCGGGTCAGACTGGGTTATCTTATCCGTACCCTGTCTTTATCAGCAGCTGTGTAGTGTCTCTGCATAGGTGACATTGCTGCATTGATTGATTAAATTAGCCACCACATAGTCTGTGGATGAGTCAGTGACATGTTTATTATCCGGGATTCTTGGAGGGATGTAGAGGCGCCTGTTGTGTAATTTCTCTGAGAGTGGATTTCTCACATATTCTGCTGATTCAGAGGTTGTTTTTAGCGACGGTAAACAGATTTCTCACTACGAACACGGGTGTGTCCAGAGGGTGGGAAAACTGGGGCACTGACTACTACAGGTGGTCGTATTTAAATCCCACATTTAGCAGGATGTAGTCGTCAGCTCCCCTCCTGTCGCTGAAGGGATGTTGTGTGGTGTATCATAACAAATTTGGTTCAGCCTTTATTTTGATATAAGATTATGTAGGTTACCAGTTTGCCCGTTCCTTCACAGCTACAGCAAAGAAAAATACTTCACCAACAAATCTGTGAGACTGAATTTTCTCTAGTTTTAAACTAAAGTAAGAAAACAAAGTATGAATGAGACGACACCACATCTGCGACTGTTGATACCTTATCTCTCCACCTGATCCCGAGAACATCATATCTGAGTTACCATGGCAACCATAGGCACTGTGACACCCCGACTCTATGTCTAGAAAGTGTAAAAATGCACAATAACCAAAACTGTAGACTGTATATAGAATGGACGTCGTCTGCCTCCTCGCTGGGTGAAGCCACCGCGAGAACAGCACCCTCTGGTGACGGGCTGCAGTATAGATCATAAATCCCGCCTCCTCCAGCAATTCCTATGGAGCTGTGGACAAACTTTATAAATGAATGACACAGAATATAAATGTTTCTCCCCCCGGTTGTGATGTTGACATGGAGCTACAGTCAGACTAGTTTGTGCTCAAGTCCTCTTTTTTCTGTACAGCTCCGTTTTTAAAGGTTATTAGGGGGTTCATGTTTGCTATGATTGACACTTGATACAGCCTATGGGAGTACGGAGATTGCGTAGCTCACCTGGGGGGATACTCTGTTTGAGCCAAGCGTCATCATGGCGACTCTCCCACCAAATGCGTACAACGCTACTGTGCAAGAGGTGGTTCCAGGAAGTGGAGAAAATCCTGGAAATTCTGAGAGCAATTTGGCTTCTAATCCATATAATGACGGAAGGCGGAGCCAAGTTATTTATCGTATATAAAGCCTATGAACCTAATCTAAAATCTGACTCCTGCCTCTGTAACCGCAGATAACCTTTAACCCATACTACATGAAGCTTCTGCAAGTGATTTGACTTCCAAAGCAAATAATTTTCTGTCTTTCTGTGTTTTTTTTTTTTTAAATCCAGGCAAAGGATGAGAAGGATAAAGCCAAACAGACCCAGAAGGGCTTGAAGACCCAGAAGAAGAGGAAACCTCTGGACACATCAGGTAGGCTCCGACCCCAGAGTTGACTTTGAAGCCTGCATGATGGCTCCTAAGTACAGATAAATGATGTTTCTTTGTCCTACTTTAGATGCGACCATACTCAGCGAGCCGGTGCTGCAGGAACAGGTGGAGAAGCTCAACAGGCAGAACACGGAGCATTCGCAGCACGTGAAATCAGAGTCCGACAACCAGAGAGCAGAGGACAGGGGGAGACAGGAGCCGGTGGAGCTGATCCTGGATGAACCTCGCACGTCTGCACCTGAGTCAGAGAGCAAGAAAGCCACTGAGGAGGAAGAGGAGGAGGAGGAGGAGGAGGATGCTTTCCAGGACTCAGAGGTAGAGGAGGAGAAGGTGAAGGATAAAAGTTTAGAAAAGACTGTTAAAGTGGAGGATGAAGCGAAGAAAGAAGAGCCGTTCAAACCGGAAACGGACTCGAGTGTCATCACAGATATCTCCAAGACCTCCGTCCAACCACAGGAGAGGTACTCCAAACTGACCGCTATAAACAGTCTGGTAAAAAAAAGAAAACTTCTCCAAACTTAAGGTTTATTTATTCTGTTTTGTTTTGTGAACGCCCAGCCCCGAGGAGGTCGGCGACGTGGCCACTTGCAGCAAACGTCGCGTCACGGAAGAAGACCTGGTGAAAGACGACCTGAAGAAAAGCCGGGTGGAGGACAGCGGAGTGGAAAAAGCTGAGGGACAGGCGGTGGAGGGGGGAGAACCGAAGGCCTCCAAACCTGAGGAGGCAAAGACGGAGGAGGAAGTGAAGGAGGCGGAGCCTGAACAGAAGGAATTTACTATAGGTGAGAAACTTAGACAGAGTATGGATGTCACATGATCTCGTAAATGTGGTTTAAGTATTTTTTAGATCAATGATGGTAGTTTTTCTTGGCTCCCATGTGCATATTCTTTTACTTACCTCCTTACTGAAGTGGCAAAGTTTATACATGACGTGACTTTTACACCTGCAAAGGTCAGGATCTGTTAATAAGTTGAAGTATTGTACTCAAGAACTGCGGCTTAAAATAAGTTCAGTTGACAGACACGGTAAAAAGCCTTGGAGATATTTAAAAACCAACAATGATAGGAGATTAAAAAAAGGTGTCAAAGGTCAGAGAAACAAATTTCTTCAGTCAAAATCTGCCTAAAAATCAAAGCTGATGCAGAAAACAAACGTTCAGATCTCCTGTAGATCCACTTTAGTGCCGTGTCGGTTCACGCAGACTCTCCATAAGGACTCTCCCCGCCGGGTTGTTAGCTGTTGACATTTGACTTTATGTTCCTCAGACTTTGGAGCAGATCCAGTGTCATAACACCGTGCCTGCTGAGCGTCACTAACATGTCAGTGGACACAGGTGGCAGAGCAGATAATGAGATGTTGGCGTGCTGCTATTTCAGACCACTTTGTCTCCAGGGTGGGGGCCTCCACTTCTGCCTCCGTCTCTGTTTCTTCTTTTTAATCATTTTTTCCTCTTCTCTTCTTCAGACTTAAGCCCTCCACCTTTGGCGCCTTTTGACCACCGCATCGTGACCCCCAAACCCCATCAGATCGCCACTTACTACACCATCAACAGAGACGAGGTCCTCGGAGGGTGAGTCGATCCTGCCACTTCAGTTTCAGATAATGAAATAACAAAGGACCTCACACCCTGAGAGGGGACGCCTAATCGTTTTCTCCAAGACCCTTTTATCGCCCCCTAAAGGACGGATGATTGGGACCCTCAGGAGGGGTGGACTAGTTAGGGAGAGAGCGGGTCTCTCTGATGTAAGAGTCTGGTGTTAAATCCTCCCTCTCAGAGTGGAGATTACCCCTCAACACGCAAGCACATTCCTCACATCCCTGACATAATGGCACAGTATATAACCCTAATTACTGTGCTCATTATCCTGGCATGTGTGTGGAAGTTAGATTCCCAATTAATGAGCTATTTTTACAACAGAAAAAGCATCTGTGTTTAGTCTACAAGGTCAGGAAATGTCTGTTTAAAGACACCTCTCAATATTTTCTCAGTCCAAAAATCAAAAGAGATTACATAACTGCGATCGCACACAAAAACTGAATCCTGGTTGATGTTGTAATCTCTTAATCCGATATTTTATATGTTAATGTCTGAATGTCTGATTGACTTATTAATATGTTTGTTTTTCTTGCATTAGGGGACGTTTCGGACAAGTCCACAAGTGCACGGAGAACTCGTCTGGTCTGACGTTGGCCGCCAAGATCATCAAAGCCAGGAGCCAGAAAGAGAAGGTGCAGAAAACGTCGCACGATGAAAACTTAGTGATGTTTTTTTGGATGTTCCTTCTGCAGACAGTTTGAGAGGAGATACAGCTCAATAACTCCGAGTGTGTGAGGCGGTTTATCAGCTGTTTATCAGAGTTACTTTCCCCGTATCATCAGATAGTGGTCTCGGAGAGATCAGATGTTGGAACATTGCTCTGCGGTTACAGATATCCAGAAAGTTAGGAGCCAACTAAACACTCAGTCAGATCCTCGTCTGTCCTAGTAGCTGTCAGCGCTCCTGTTACTGTTTGTCTGTTTGATTTATTACATCAAATGTGTGGGATATAGATGTCAGTCATGTGTGCAGTGGTCCAAACTGTAAGAAACATTTCCAAATTTGATCCGACTTCTTATTTCCTGTCTGTCGCTCAGGAGGTGGTGAGGAATGAAATCCAGGTGATGAACCAGCTGAACCACGCCAACCTCATCCAACTGTACGCCGCCTTCGAATCCCGCCATGACATCATCCTGGTCATGGAGTAGTAAGTCCTGATACCTGTTTGAATCCCGAGCAGAGCCGGCTGTTCCCTTTTCTCGCTGTAATCCTAAAAATCTGTCATTGTGTCGCAGCGTGGAGGGAGGAGAGCTCTTCGACCGCATCATCGACGAGAACTACAACCTGACGGAGCTGGACACGGTTCTGTTTATACGCCAGATCTGTGAGGGGCTGCAGTACATGCACAAGATGTACATCCTGCATCTTGACCTCAAGGTAAACCAGTTCCTACAAGACCTGAACCCCTTTCTTTTTAGTTTTCTTTTCGTGTCCAGCTCTACTTTTTATTTATTTTGCCGTTAAAGAGCAGCTTGTTGGATAATCCATCATAGTTAGATTTAATGCAATCCTGTAGAAGAGCCAGCTGCACGGTGGTAGGCTTAATAACTGCCCTCTGTCTGCCTCTTAAGAAAAAGGGAGTATGGCGCCCTCTTGTGGCAAGCACCTGAACTTGGTTTCAAAGCATCTTAACAAACTGCAGGAGGAATTTAAACTCATAGCACAGCTGTTTTTATTTACCTATTTATTCATTTTGGCTGAATGAAACCACCGTCTCCTTTGAGGGGCTGAATCCTGAAGTGTCTGAGAAGAGTTTGCGAACTCTACCTTCTGTCTCGTCTTGTGTTTTGTCTCCTTTTAATTACGATCCTTCTGTTTTGTTCTTTTCCAGCCCGAGAACATTCTTTGTGTCAGCAGAGCCACTAACAAGATTAAAATCATCGACTTCGGCCTGGCCAGGAGGTAAAACACGTTCCTCTGTGAGAGCTTTGTTGGCTCACCTTTCGTAGGAAAACGTTCTCATGTGTTTCTGCTCTGACAGGTACAAACCCAGAGAGAAGCTCAGGGTCAACTTTGGTACTCCTGAGTTTTTGGCTCCTGAAGTCATCAACTACGAGTTTGTTTCATTCCCCACAGACATGTGGAGCCTCGGCGTCATCACCTACATGCTGTGAGTAAAGAACCTGCTTCACTACTTCATTTTAGTACCAAACAGCAGCATCCCTGACCTGATTTTTCTTCTCTCGCTCCAGGCTCAGCGGTTTATCTCCGTTTCTGGGTGACGATGATAACGAGACGTTGAACAACATCCTGGCCTGTCAGTGGAACTTTGAGGAAGAGGAGTTCACGGACATCTCGGAGGAGGCCAAAGACTTCATCACCCTCCTGCTGGTGAAGAGTAAGAGCTGGAGGATGAGTGCGGCAGAGTCCCTCAGACACCCCTGGCTGTCAGACCGGAGTCTGCACTGTCGGCTACATCAGAAGGTGAGGATTATGTTAATGTAGATGTTGTCAGAGCTCTAAAAACACACATTTAATACCTCTTTATATCAGCTGTTTGCAAACTTGTACATAGTCAAAGAATAAATATTACCAAAATAAAATCCAATTAACTCTTTTGGTGATAAAAGGCTTAATTATCAGGCTAATTCCTCTGTATTTAAACTGGTTATCATTGTTTCAACCATGTCTCAGGACTGTTTTAATCCTTATTGGTTAGTTGCAAAAAATGTGCCAATTTAATATCTTATTGTATATTTTATAGTGGCCCTCTGCTGGTCAGTAGAGAGAATGCAGGATTGAGACGTTCCTCACTTTGTAATGTGGAGTCTGTGATCAATTCTTTTGTGTGATCGATAGGAAACTTTTTTTTCCCCAACATTTTTTATTGAGTTTTCCTTGGATGTGTTTCAACAGCAAACGTCAGGGCACAAGGGATTCAATTCAACACCAAAATAATGATGATAATAATAATAATAAAAATTTAAAAGAAAAAAATAAATAAATAAGATGAGCAAGTCTGTAAATATCAAAGTAAAAAAAATGCCAAGATCATACAGAATCAGATCATACCAAAACAATGCAAATAAAATAAAATAAAATAACCACATCAAGGAAATAGAGAGGAAATAAATAAAATAAAGTAAAACAAACAAAAAATAAATAAATAAAAATAATAAAATAAAAAATTAAATAAAGTAAAGAAAAACAAACAAACAAAAAAAGAGTAACAAATTATAACATAAAGAATAAAGTACAGTTTAACACAAAAAAGAGTAAAAAAAAATATTATAATAAAAAATTTAGTAAAGTAAAACAAACAAACAAAATAAATAAATAATAAAATAAAAAATAAAGTAAAGTAAAACAAAAGGAGCCAAAAAATAAGATTTAAAAATGAAAAAAAAGATTTAAAAAAGGGAGGGGATCTTTTCTCTGATCGATGGAAAATCTTCTATTTGTGAAGTTATCATACTGGAACATTATAATTGAGTGTCTACACAGACTTAGGTATCTGATGATATTGTTGATCATATTAAAAACTGAGACGGGAGGATGAAAGAGAGAAAACCAGGATACTCAAGTCCGTGTAAACACACTCATAGATTATCTCATTAATTAGTGTTAACAGTGAATTTTATATTGTTGCAGAAAAACAAGTGTCACTCCACACACGCCCCGTCTCCAGAGAGCCCAGCAGGTGAGTGGATGAATGTTTACCAGTCGGCCTGTTGAACAAGTTCTCTTCTAATCAGTTTTGGTGTTCCTGCTTTTACCCTCAACATAAAACCTGATCTGTTCCTTTTTGTTCTCCAGGAACGCTGTGAGGCCCTCAGCATGCCTGTAGACAATGTAGGGCCCCCGGGCCCAACACTGGACCAATGCTGCTGTACTTGTATGGCTACTGGAAAAACTACTCTCTGCCTCGCATCCTGGTGTTAGCTTAGCTCTGCAGCTCGTAGCTCTGACCTGAAAAATGACAGACTTGTGAACTTTCCAGCCTTGTAGCTGCAGAAACTCCAGACTGAACCCCCGAGGACAAGAAAACTAAACTGGTGTCATCAGCAGAGTCAAGGAACCGCTCTTTTTGAAGCAAAAATCAGAGACTGGAGGCCTGGATTTCTTGTCCGAACTTCCAAATGTTTGTGAGAAGTGAAACAGAAAATCAGCAGATAAGCCTCAGACTGTTATTTTGCCATGTCGTCCTTGTTTGTTGCATGCTTTGCACTTTTTTAGTCTATCTCTACAAGATTTAGCAAACAACTTTCATCAAAATATAGACAAACTGCTTTAATTTAAATGATATATTTTTGTGAATACAGATTTTCTTTCTTTCTTTAAGTCTTATAAAAATGTTTCTTTTTTTCTTTCTTGGAGGTCAAATTAAATGTGCCTGCTCGGAGTCATGCCACGTTAATTTATTTTGTATATAACACATCTCTGCATCTCTCATTCCCCTGAAAATCTAGAATATCTCAATCTCTGGTTCACTGTGCCGCCTTTGCTCTGCATGTTTTAAAGCCACTCGCTCGCTCGCTCGCCTTTGCTTGTGCAGTTTGGAGTAGCCCTCTCACCTTCCATGAAGGCACCACGAACAACAGAAAACTACCTACCAGTGACTCGTGTTTATGACTGAAGTGGATCCTCATGTTCTTTGATTTTCTGGTTCAGCGCCGGACTGTACTTGAAGTGCAAAGCTTTTTATTCAAGATGGGATGTTTTCTTTCAGGGGAGGCAAACAGGATTTCACTCACTGTTGTGTGATCGAGTTCAGTTCAGCCGACAGTAGAGCGGCGATGACGACGTCAGTCTATGCTCAGCTGTCGGCTGTTTCACTTGGAAATGGAAAAAAAAGCTTTGTGATTTTGATTATTTGTTTAATTAAGTTTATTCTACTTTTTCAAGTTTTCTTGTGGAATTATGAGACTTTAATAAACGTAGGATATAAATAAGCAGAAAAATAAAGCACACTGGAAAACTTTGGCTGTGTTTCTGTCTGTGAAAACAAAAGATACACGTTAATACTCAGATAAACTAGAATGGAACTTAGAGTGTAACTATACTGTCTGGTATTCATAGTGCTGCTTGAGCAGATGATTTAAATCGGTGATTGTTTAAAGAGAAACCAGGACGTTGAAAACCAGCAGGTTTGAGGACAAACAAAAACACTTTATTCTTTAGGGTGTGTCAGTTTCAGTCTCTCAGAAAAAAAAGAAGAGCTCTAATGTTTGAGGCTTTGAGAGAATAAGCTGATTTAACCAAATTAAAGGAGTTTTTGACATCTGTGAAATTTATAGCAATGCATTTTCATGATATAAAAAAGCAAACAAGAACAACAGAGAGGGGGTTCAAAGTGTTTGTGTTGTAATTTTTGATGCTTGAGCTCAGTGTTTTTAATTTTTTTTTTACATAAGAAGGTCACAATGAATGAGGAACAAAAAGGTGCAACAGGGGGCGCCAAAGCTGACACAAATAGGAAGTTCCTCGCAAGAGCTTTAAAGAAATAGACAAAAACTTTCTTGAGCACTCAGTTTTGCTCATATCACCTACAAATATACTGTATACACTGTATTATAAGGTCAAATTACCAAGAGGACGCTTTATCACATTTGATCCATTACAAGATGGCATGTTCTTCACTTCTGATATAATAAAAAGGTTCTTTATTAATGTTTCATACTCTAAAAGGAAAACTAGAGGGCCTTTTTTTTCATTTTGTTCAGGTTTCATCCTTTCGAAAAGCCGCTACTAAAGAAATCTTTGAACATTTCCAGTAGAAAGGGACCAAAGAGAGTATTTTAGTGACTTTTATTATTTTTAGCTTGCTGCCATGTTTGCTGCAATGCATTACTGTGGATTACACAATGAAGCGAGGAGCACCATCTTCCAGGTGAATGCGGGAGTCTTAGCTCTGCAGAGTTGAAGTAAACTGGAGTAGATGATGATTCTGCTCATGGTGAAGTCCTTGAAAGTCGTGTATCAAAACTCTTCATTGTTGTGCTGTCCCAGACTGTCTCATGTGAACTTTCCCCATCAGAAACTCATTTTTTCAGATCACTCTGACACCACCTTAGAAGTGTAACCACTCCTCTACAAGATTAACCATCAATCTTCTTTCCTCTTGGATGAACTTGGCCCTGCTCTCAACATGTGTGAAGGATGAAGGTTTCAGCACAGCAGTGGACACGCAGTGAGAGCCACATACCTCAAACACAGCCAGACACCTGCTGCCAAACAAGAGGAGAAGACGACGATGAAGAAGAAGAAGAGGAGGAGGAGGAGGAAGAGCCTGGAGCTGAAACAGAGCCGTGTTGTTCCCTTTTGATCAGGCGGGTGGATGAGCAGACCGCTGTGCTTCTCAGGACCTCGGGCCTTTATTTGTCTTTTCTCTCTTTTTATACAAAGATGTTGACTCTAGACTGTAATGAAATCACACCTCACGTCCCGCTGTGCACTCTGGGAAGACGAGGAGCGAGAGAGCGGTTTCACAAAGCTACTGACAGGCTCAGCTGGAGCAGATGTTGTCAGACGTGCTCAAATGTTCAAGAAAAATAAGAGATTAGGAGCCGCTCCGAGTGTGTGATCGCTCCTGTTAAGATAGAGTCTCCTGTGATGGAAAAGAAATTCCTCTGTCAGAGTCAAAATGTCGAGTTCGGAGTCCTGAAATTGTGTTTGTTTTGTGATACTGACACTGACAGGTCAATCCTCGGAGACATGGACCCACTAAAACACAGATTTTCCATAAAAATTCCCCCTAAAGACAGAAAAAGGACATTTTCCCACACTTCATGGGAATATCACATGGTATATCATCTGTATTTGGGTCTTCTCAAGGTGAAGATTTTTGTGCAGCAGTGTTAAACCTCAGTGAAGTTAAGCTTAAGTTTCCATGAGACAAACACATACTTATTATAGATAGTTATCATTCTCGGTTTCAGGTGTTTGTTCTGCAGACTCAATCTTGATGCAAATTAGCCAGAAAGCTTAAGAGCCCACACCCATGCAGTGAAATGCAAATATTTGAGTATGCAGAAAAACCCTGACAGGACTATAACACCTGCATGACACTAAGACCCTTAGGTCTGCGAAGCCTGAATACAATTAAACAACAGATTCTTACAATCAAAGTACAGCTAACATACAAAACCTGAAATACAGGGTCTGAATACTGACAGCAAATGACTGTAACTTCCCCAGCATGCGGCAGAAATAGTGTACTGTACAGAAGCACAAAAAAGTGGGTGAGATAACTCAGCATAAAACAAAATCCTGTTTTTTTTTTTATAAATGAAGAGATGTCTCGTGAAAGTGCAGTCACATATCAGAAACAAGTACAGCTGTAAATGGAAGAAAAAGGTGGATGAATGTTTTTGGTGTACAATTTGAAATTTGTCTTCTGCTTCACAAACAAGACAACATTCAGAGTCAAGACATGAAGACAGCTGCCCTTGGAACAAATTATTTAACTGATTTTGACTTTTTGTGTAGTTTCTTCATATGGTCATTTTTAAATACACTTTATCCAGTCTTATAAATTAATGTTCCAAAATTTTACTTTATGTTCATTTGTCTAACATTATTTTATGTGGACTTTTACACAGAGTAAAGGAAGTGAATTTAAAATAATGTGTATAAAGTCAATTTGACCATAACAGCACAGAGGAACAGAAAAGATAATAGGGCTTGGGTGTTTTATAGGTGTATTTTTGCTATTTTCGATGTTAATTTCATGTATTTGTTTCTGTAAAATTGTAGGGTTGTCATAAGTGAGACCCAAGATGACCAGAAAGAGGTTTTGTTGCATGAAAATGAAATAGAAATGTACTCAAATATGAAAGAAGGATTCAAACTCAAATTCAACTTTATTATCAACTTTATTATTAATAAAATAACATTAAGAGCTTAGATTAAAATGAACATTTGCAAGTATTTATACTTAGAATATTTTTTGTTGTGGTCCTCTGGGCCTTTCTTTGTCAGTATACCCCTCATACAGACATCCATGCTGAATTGATCTCACGTGTCTAGACATGTCTGGACACATTGCACATATGATTTCATGATTTTAGTTTTTGCTCTAATTATTAGATATTAATCTAACTGGGTCAACAACGACCCTAACACAAGAAGTGCCATAATTTTAATAAGAGCATTTTATAATTGAGTTAATTTAACTTTTCCTGAAAAAGAGGTTCCTGATAAAGTCAAAAAGTCTTAATGTAAAAAAAAGCTGAGTTATGTGGTTTTTTTTAAGCATTGAAAAAAAAAAACAGATTGGTACAGACCCTAATACAGTAAGAGGGTTAAAGTGAAGCTGCAGTTTTCCCTCCATACCGTCGTGGCGCTGTAGGAAATGACCCTCTGTATGTCATCTTCTTTAAACCGCTATTCTTCGCTGCTCCCACATGCTCTCCTCTGATTGGCTGATGTGAGTGCCGCTTCCTGAAACCCTCAGCAGCTGGAGTGTTTGGTTTGGTGTGTTGGTGCTGAGGAGGCTCGTCAGCTGGTATCTCTGTTCACTCTCAGGCGCTCTCTGTCGCTTTTTGTCGTTTATTCCTGAGCAGAAATCAAACACAGAGCCGGTCAAAGATGGCGCAGTGTTCCGAGTCCGCTAACGTCTGTCCGGAGATGAACGGAGAGCCGAAGAAGGAGAGGAAAGTGGCCGTTATCACCGGCATCACCGGACAGGTGAGGTTATTTCACTCTTTTACACACCTGGAGGGACCTGATAACTCTGAGTGAATGAATGAACGAGCTTTGGTCGTGAAATGTCTGCAGAAAAAAAGCATTTAACTGCTTTTTGGTCGTGATTTTAACGAGAATTGTACGTTTGTTTGTAACTACTGAGAGCATTTATACCTGTGTGTGAAGGTAACACACCTGTATGACACGATTTCATCTACTTTTCTTACAACAAAACTGCTCTTTAATGTGTATGTTTGTTAGCTTGAGTGATTTAGGCTCTAGTCTCTTCTAGAATCGATTTTAAGGTTGTTTTATTAGTTATTAAAGCTCTTAATGGTAATCTTATTTATCTCATCTGTTTTTACCTTATGATCCAGGTAGAGTCCTCAGGCCTTCAGGTAGTTCTCTGTGAACATTATTACCTAAAGTTAAAACCAAGACTTACAGTGAGGCATCTTTTTATTACTATGAAGATTTACCTGATGACCAGAGGATTGAAACTAATCTGAATGACTTTAAAACTTAAAACATACCTTTTTAGTCTTGCTTTTAACTAAATTTTCATTTCATTTTATTGATCATTTCTTAAATTTCACTCTATGCTACTTTGTTTTTAGATTTTAACCTCAACCTCCAGTGTTTCCTCATCTTGAGTTTTATAATGATGTTTCCTCAGTGCGCACATTCCTGTTTCCACAAAATGAAACCCTTTTTTAAGTTTAAGTTTGGGTATTCTTTGTTTCTTTTATTTCTTTTTCTGTGTAGAGCACTTTGTCCTACATGGTTGTGTATGATAAGTGCGATATATTTATATATTGCTCTCAATTGTTACTAAAACAAGTTTATCCCTCCCTAAGAATAAACAAAACTTAATACCATAAATTCTGTTAAAACATTTTTTTTCCATAAGGCCTAAAGAGAAGCTGGTTTATTGCAAATGTTTGAAAATGGAAGAGCATTTCTCTCATGTTAGATAACCTGCTGCTAAAAGCTGGACCGACAGGTTTTCAGGATGTGCTGTACCATTGGACAGGTGTACCAAGAAAGGCCTGCTCGTCTGCTAATGCGGTGCATGACCTAGAAATGCATGTTGCATCCATTCATACCAGTAAACCCCCTTAACTGACCTTGATTTGAGGAGCATTTTAAAAGGTTTGTGGCAGAGTGACTAAAAACATGATTGAAAATTTCACGATCTGTTCTTGTTACTTAAAGGGATACTCCGGCGTAAAGTTAATTTAGGGTCAAACACATCATGACACCGAGTTAGACACCCCGTCGAGAGATGACCGCTTGCTTCTCTAGTTATACCAACTTTAATAACAACCGCACAATAGCAATACAGAGAGCCACGTACATATAGGGTCCCAGCCATAGTGCTAGCCATCTGTTTAACTTTGCCTGATTTCTTTAGCAAAGAGACTAAACACAACTCACCTACTCTCTTCCAGCGGCCGCTTGTTTGTACGGAGACCTCCGGGCAAGTCCATCGACTACAGCGGGGTGACGCAGCTCAAGGAAGAACATTTCTGATCATTACTTTATCATTTCCTTGAAGTAATGAAGTTGTATCGTAAAAATCATGTTGCTCTGCAGACGCGGTAGTTCTTCTGCCTTAGTGTCTCGGTCTGATTGCATTTCTATGAAGAAATGATCATGAATGTTCTTCCTTGAGCTGCGTCACCCCACTGCAGTCCATAATGGACTGACCTGAGGTCTCGCTATAAACAAGCCGCTGCTGGAAGAAAGTAGTTGAGTTGTGTTTAGTCTCTTTGCTGAAGAAATTAGTCAAAGTTAAAAAGATGTTTGGTGTCTAGTACTATGGCTGGGAGCCTATATGTCCTGTTGATGAAGTTAGGTGCTGTTCTGAGCATTATTTGTGGCTATAGAGTGGCGTTTTGGTTGAGGTTTGTCCTTTTTCATACTTAATAACTATCTCGTATCCTGTTTACTTTTGACAGTCATCTGCATCCTGTTATTGCGAAAGATTAAAAAACACTGTTTTGTCTGTAAATACAGCCTGCTTTCACAGCGCAAACATAACAAGCTAATTTTCTATCCAACTACTGTCATGCTGCCAAACTCAGAGTGTGAAGTCAGGTGTCATGTGCCACAAGGCGGCGGCTGAATTCATAGAGTGGTGTCATTGAAGTATCTTGTGTACACTACTTACCTACTGAGTAATTCGATAGTGGAAATCATAGTGCAGTGCAGACTCCTGCGTTTATTTAACATAAGTTTGTGTGTTTAACAATGGCACAGCCTTTGAAACCTGCCTGTAAAGCAAATTTCCCTCAGGAGACAATAAGATAGAAGTTGAAGTTCTCTGCTGATGTTTTCTTGCTGGACATACCATGAGGGAAAGCAGGTCCTTCAAGTCTGCAGGGTCAAGAATCAGTGCCTGACAGTGACTTTAGGAGGATTTTAATCTTTGTATTTGTTTTGTGTCCTGGTAAACAAGAAAACGCGCTCCCTCAAATATTTAAACAGCAAAGATTTAAGTGGTTCTTGTTTGGCGACATGCTGCTTGTGCAAACCAAACCTTTTTTAGAAAACGACCTCAACCTGAACAAAAGATGACAACCAAGTGTTTGAGTAGAGGGCCGTGTCTGCTGTGGAAAACTGGGTTTACTGGTATTTCTGCACTAAGTGGAGTCTATTATAATGGGATGTATGTAAAACAACACTGCAGTGTCAGTGACGTTTGCTGTTACGAAACTCTTTTGTCTTTTTTTTCTTTGTGGGACTTTTTTTTAGTCCGGGGGTCAGAAAGTGTCCTTGTTGTCATGGTTACCACAAATGTAGTCTGTGGTTAAAAAGTCAGACGTGCCCCATGTGGAAAAGGGTTTGTATTTATAGGCATTGTTGAT